GGGAAATGGATTGTTGCTTACTTTCAGCCTTGTAGAGATCCGTGTGTACTCTGTTCAAGACTTTCCGCAGATGGATCTGCGCAGAGTAATAGAACATCATCATTGTGCTCGGGGCGCGGATCTCATTGGGCAGACTCAGCGTGAATCGGCCCTTGGGCAGAGAGATGCGGCCTTCAGACCGGGAGATTCCACTGGCGGGGAGGTCGAGTTCAGCCAGAATATCACTAAGTAAGTAAGCAAGAAAGTAAGCAAGGTATCTCTGGAAGACGAAAGAAATACCTCTCCAGCTGCAGACAAGTCCAGTAGGCAAAGTCGAACAAATCCTTGAGCGGCCCATCTTTCATCTTGTCGTACCGTTTCGGCCGGACGAGGACCTGGCAGGCGCGGGCCGCCTGGAAGATCCACCCGTGGCTCTGGAAGGGATGTGCCAGCTGTCCGGCATACAGGCCAGCAAGCAGGGCGGCCTGGACATGGGGCAATTCACTCCCTCCCTGCAAGTTACCTAGGATGAAGGTCGCGTACGCATAGTATGCCAACCCCGGGATGGCGTCTAGATTGCGCTGCTGACCTGACGAGGAAGAAAAAGAGGAGGAGCCATCGAGTCCTCCCGTCCCGGCTGTCCCTGTTGTTCCTGTTGTTCCTGTTGTTCCTGTTGTTCCTCCCCCTCCTCCTCCTCCTCCTCCCCCTGTCCCCTCTCGGCACATCGAGGCCGATCGGACGCTCCCCACCGTCGGCGAAGGAAACACACCACCATCTGGCCGATCAAGGGAGTTACCCTCGGATCGGAACTCGCGAGGATTTTCCCGTACAGGGCCAGGAAGAGGACTATCACGCCAATGACAGATACTCCCCAAGGCAAATACCAGGAGGACGATAGCGTTGGAGATGGACTTTTCGATCGGTCGTCGGACGGGCACCGGTGCTACCCCTCCGCCAGAAGAAGAAGCTGCCGAGAGCGATGAAAAGGACCGGTGTTGATGCTGTTCGGCCTGTGGGGGGGACATCTGGATGGTGTCTCCCAGCGGTAGAGTATCGCTGGATCGTTTGCGCTTGGCGCCGCGCGGGCCGTCCGGCGGGCCCGAGCCGGGCCCTGGAACCGTGGTAGCAGCGGGACCATTATTACTCCCGACAGGCGGACAGTACGCGCGCAGGAAGCGTTCGACTTGGTGTTCCAGCTCGGTCTGGTCGAGAAACGGGTGCAGCTTGTGCATGTGGTCCATGTAGATGCGATGGAAGTGGCGCAGGGTGTCCGGGTCGGTGTGCAGGATACCCGTTTCGTCGAGACCGCCGACGTGCCGGTTCTCCATGGCGAAGATGCCATGGGCGGGGCCCGGGTTCCAATGGCCCATGGGTGACGGGCGGGTTGCGTAAGGGTCCTCCCACGCCGGTGAGGACACGCTCGCCGTCGAGGTCGAGGTCGAGGTGGACATGGCCGTCGACTGGATGGGGGGTGCCGCCCCCATCGGCATCGACGAATCGGGAATCTCGCTCGTATCGGCGCCCTCGCCCCGGCCATACACGCGGATCAAGCCGCGCTCCTCCTCCAGCGTCATGACGTAGTCCTCGCTGTAGAATTTCTGGGACAATAGCGCCTGGATCGATGGCCATAGCAGGAGTTTATGCGCGGCCGTGGTGTGTTCGACGGGGATCGACAGCTCGCCGTCCTCCTCGGCGGTTGGGTTGACGGCGGCGGCAGCAGCAGCAGCAGCAGCAGCAGCAGCAGCAGCAGCAGCGGAGGCAGAGGCAGCGGAGGAGGTGGTGGGACCGTCAACTGGGACGTCCGAGGAGGGGACGTTGGTGCCGTTCATCATACTAATGATACTACTCCCCGTGGTGCCGGCGGTCAGGACCGAGGAAGAAGATGAGCAAGAGGAGGAGGAGGAGAGCGATTTGTTGGCCGTAGTGGGTGCCATGGTGGAAGCGGTTGGGGTCGTTGTCGTCGTGACGACCCCGCCCAACATGTCGCTGGGGAGGAAGGACGGAGCTCCTCCCAGCAAGGTCGTGGAGGGAGCCGCCATGGAGACGGTCCGCAACATGGTGGTGGTGGCGGCCTCGGGATCTTTGCCGGAATCGCCCCCGGCGCCCAGGCCGGCGTCGGATTTCAACAGCTTGTCCAAGGCGGCCTTTTGGGCAATCAACTTTTCCTTGGAGGCAAGAAGGGGCCTCCCGGGGTCCTTGAGCAGCGAGGGTTTTGGCGGGTCTGCAGCCCATTGGGGCACCGAGCGCTCCAAGACGGCCGTATGCTCGACCTGGAGTTTCTGGAGCTCGCGCATCCGCACCTCCATCCGATCCTCGAGCTGTTGGATGCGATCGATCAGTACTTGGGTAGCTTTTTCTTGTCTAATCGAGTTAGTTAGAATGGAAAAAAAAAAAAAAAAAAAAAAAAACTTACTTGTGCGGCGGAACCTCCTTGTAGACGCAGATGAGATTGTTCTCTTTGCAGTGACTACAGGCCGGACGACCCTCATCACACTTTGCCTTGCGGGCACGACATTGATCGCAGGCCTGGACGGCACGGGCAGGCTTGCGTTGGCGCATATTAAAGGCCTGGCTCTGGTAGTAGGCCTGATCATAGGGAGCCGGGGTATGAGACAACGGGGGCCCGTAGGGCCCTGGCGGAGGTGCCATGGCGACATGGGCAGCCATTTCTGGGCCGGCGGAGGAGACCGATAGCGGTTCCTGTGGCGGAAAGGACATGCGCGGGCGAAAGTCAGGGGGCGCGGAATGTGGATGGTGAGGCGGCAGCGGCGGAGGAGGAGGAGGAGGAGGAGTGGGATCGTGAGGCGGACCGGAGGGAGGTCGATAGGTAGGATGATGCGAAGGAGGAGGTATAGACGGAGGAGGAGCGGAAACCACGGGGTGATGATGACTCGGGACGCCCATCCCGATGCCAACACCGCCAGGCTCTGGGGGAGAGCGCGAAGGAGGAGCCGTCAGGGCCGGAGGGCGACCGTAAGGCGGCGGCGGGGGGGTGTCGTGCGGATTGGGCAGGACTGGGTAGGCGGCGGCCGGAGGCGCGGGGCGACGAGGATCGCCATGGTCGAACGGGGGGGGAGGGAAGGATCTCCAGGCCGGGGAGGGTTCGTAGAGGGCAGGGCCGGCGACTTCATGGGGCGACAGACGCGGTATAGAGGCCGAGTGAGGCAGCGAGGTCGACTTGTCGTCGTGCATGATGATGGTGGTGGTGGTGGTGGTGGTGGTGGTGGTGGAGGCCGCAGCGAGAGGGGGCGGTCGCGAGTCGGGGGACCAGACAAGAACAGCGCCATCCGATCAGCACATGGTGGAAGAAGAAGAAACGCGTCGAGAGTGGAGAGAAGACAGACAGATAGACAGATGGATAGATAGATAGATAGATAGATAGATACCTGATAGATAGAGGGGATGGAGAGAGAGAGAGAGAGAGAGAGAAAGAGAGAGGGGGAGGGGCGGGCGGGAAGAAGCAAACGCGGTGCGCCAACGACCACGACGGGACGCGCTGCGATTGCCACAGGCTCGAGATTCAGGGCGTCAGGAAGGGTTGTAGAGGTTGTTTGTATTGTAGAGGAGGTGGAAGACAGAGAGGGGAACAGCGTATACGGAGTGGTTGGTTGGATTGACGGTGGGAGAAGTGTGAGTAAACAGAGAAGTAGAAGGGACAGTAGGATGACAGTAGAAGTATAGTAGAGTGATAAAAGAAGTAACTATAGTAGAGATAGTAGAAATAGTAGAGTTAGTAGAGGACTCGTTTCCTGGAGGCAGAAAGTGAAGAGGGCAAGTGGGAGAGTCGAGAGTTGTTGTTGGAGTGTTTGGGAGGAGATGGAGCGATCCACACTGTCGGGTCGATCGGACCGCCCTGTTTGGCGGTACGAGAGAGCTTGGATAGACGGAGTATATACGGAGTAAGAGGAGATAAGTTGGTAGAGTTCTAGAGTATGTTGTAGTTATGTTGTGGAAGATCTATCTAATAGTTAATTATATTGCTAGAAGCAGATGCTGTCTAGCTGTATGGAGTACTGTAGATCTCTCTGTCTGTTCTTCATGGTATTACCTAATTACGGAGTCTTCTACGTACTATTAATATTAGTGAACTACCTATAACTATTAACTACCTACCTAGTAACCACCTGATTAATTAAGTAGTACCTAGTAACTAGTTAGTTACCTAGTTATTAGTCTATAGAATAAGCGACCTGGTAATGATCCATGGTACGGAGTACAGCATCCGTAATAAACCCAAGGATACAAGTCAGGATCCATGGAACACAGAGCAGTCAAGAATAGTTTATTAAGTGGGCCATCTGGTATCTGAAGAAGAAGAAGAAGAATAATAATAATAATAAACAAGAATTAGAAATAGACTAGGCGATCCATCACTATAATAGACTACTATCTATTAACCAACTACTGTCTCTGCAAGACTAGTTATGTAGGACATCTCTTGTCCTCCATAGCATATCCGCTGTTTCAGACTGACAGATCTCGTACAAAGTACTCCATACTACCTACTAGTTACTAGGTAGGTACTTAGGTAACTGATACTGGTATCTACAGATCCAATACGAGATGCATACTACCTGGTAAGTACGGTACGGTACGGTGCAGTATTCCAGCTACTACCTGGTAGAGTAGTAGAATAATAGAAAAGTAGAATAGTAGAATAGTAGAATAGTAGAATAGTAGAATAGTAGAATAGTAGAATAGTAGAATAGTAGAATAGTAGAATAGGTACCTAGATAAATAGTAAGTAGTAGCATATACACATCAAGTAGTTGCTCTACTATACATTCTTCTACCATCTCTGTATGAGTACCTAGTATTAACTTTGGACCAGTCAGATTCGCTCGTATGCAATTGATACCTCAGATATTGTATATGTAGTCGCCCGTTCCAGCCCGAGCATCTCCGAAGGATCAAACGACTTGTACCAGGGCCTCCATACTCCGGATACAGAGATAAAACTATGGAGAATCATTCCGCATAAGAAAGTGCAAGATCCGCCACAACCCCTTGAACGCCTCGATGCGATCCGCCGCGTTGAACAGGTCAAACCACCGCGTCCGCTGCAGGCGGAGAACGTGCCACGCCTCGCCCGACTCCCCAGTAGGCCTCGCCCCCGTCGTCAGCTGCTCCAGGTACCGCCGGTGCACGCGCAGGTGTAACAGTGCGACATGGTGGTTGATGGACGACACCATATAAATCTGACATGTTAGTCATAACGTACATACAGTAAGTACATGGAGGGATATATATACTCACGTCGTCAAATGGACTCTCCGCCACCTTGCCAATAGTCTCGTAGCGCATCCGTTTGTCCCACAGGCTAGGTCCCGCCTGCAGCAGTTTCCACTTCTCGCTGTTGGATAGCTTGCGCTCCGGTCGGGAACGCCGTGACAGCATCGGATGCTCAAACTTGGACCGTTTGCGTGATGACGAGGAGGAAGAGTATGAGGATGAAGATGAGGATGAGGAAGAGGAAGAGGAAGATGACGATGACGATGATGACGAGGAAGACACACGGACAGGCTTCTCGTCCGAGTTCTGTACACCTTCGACTACATCATTATTGGGCGCGCCTCCCCACCGGGGCCGGGTGGTCCACCACTTGCCCTCGCCAGGCTTCACCTCGACGGTTCCGTAGCGTGCCCGCTCCTGTGCCAGTAGTAACATCCCGCCCACCTCGCGGAAGATGTCGCACATCTCGGCCAGCCCGGCCCCGGGAGCGTCCTCGGCCCCGCGGAACGAGGTCTCGGGCCGACACTGGGCCATCAGAACGGGGCCTTCCAACACCCCGCTGCGCGCCAGCTGGCGGTCCCGTGGCGCTCGCCCGACGATAAACGACTGCCGCACGGGGAACAGCAACGACTTGACCTGCAGGCGCGGCGGCATCGTCGGCACGCTCACCTGGCCTCCAAACGGCCACGCCGCCATTTCGAGGAAGCCCCGGATGGTCTCTTCGCGGATGTCTTCGGGCATCTCGCGTCCAGTGCCCACGCGGCGACCTGTATACATCTTGACCATACATGGCGGGTCGTCTTTCTTTTCGCCGGTCACCACAAAAGAAGCCCTGGTTGGCAAGTCGGTTGGCAACGAGGTCGCCGTGGTGGGGTCCACATCCATAGGGGTATTCACTTCTGCGCCTTCCGCGTCTCTTCCTCCATCCTCGTCGGTCTGCATCTTGTCGGCCTCTTCCGGGCCCGGCGGGGGTGTGGCGGGGCGTTCAAAGTATCGGTCTAGACTGGCATCCCAGTACTGCGCCATGCGTTCCAGGCCGGTCCAGAATTTCCGCGACTGCGTCAGCCGCACGCGGGGCCGGTCATGGCGAGGAGGCAGCCGGGCAGTCTCGCGGTAGGCGTCGTCTTCATCGTACAACAACTCGGTACAGACCAGATCGAACCGGTCCTTGGGTGGGTACGGTGACCCATTGCACATGAGAGGCCGGTTCTCGTCGGGTGACCGGCCATCCTGTGGGGTTTCCACCTGCCACGGCAGTGGTGGCAGAGTCTTAAAGTACTCCTCGGGAACCAGACTGGTGGGCGGAACGTCGGTCTCCACTTGGAGATTCAGGCCCTGGAATTTCTCCACGGTTATATCCTGCGGTCTCTTGATGGAGACAAGGTGTTCGTAAAGCTCGTGTAGTTTGGTCTGGGACTCATCTTCCACCGTGGCAGGCAAGCGCGGCGTCGGGAAGTCGAGAGGAGTCGGTTCCGCGGGGGGCTGGCGTTCCTTGTCAGGGTCGGCGCCGATGGCAGATATGCCTATTAGACCACTGTCAGCCATACCTCCTTGGCTTCTCGATTCAGCCTTCAAGTGTGTCCAAGTACATGAGTTCGTCCTAAAGTGGTGGAGTGGCAGAAGACGGAGCTTTGCTTGACGCCGGGAAACCAATGGCCACCGATTGTCGCTCGCTCTTCAAGGTGCAAGGTCAAGGGAACAAGAATCGCAAGATAGCGATGGCCTGCTGTCAATGGCATTGCCCAACACTATGAAACCGAAACGAGACTGTGCCAGATACAGCAAAAAAAGAAACAAGTAACACACACACACAGGAGAGAACAGACAACCACATAGTGTATAACCAAAAGCAATACATCACTTACCAAGAGTCGAGCCCCATCCAAACATGATAAAAAAACACTAGGGGGCAGACGACAGATTTATCGGGTCTTTGTACACAAGTCCACGTCGTGAAACTCGTTGAAAAAAAGGGGGGGGGTCGTCGATGGGTGAGGCAACGCAACGCAACGCAACGATGGAAATTGCCAGGCGACGAGCTCACATGCTTTTACGACACCACAAACACGCTCGGCTCCAGCAAAACCACAGCGGAAGACAGCAGGAGACAATAGGCTATCTGTCTACCTAACCCAAGTATTCCGACGGCGGCAGTGCGAGGGTGTGACTCGAGTTTGGGGATGTTGTTCGGAAGAGAGACTAAATGAGGGGTCGGCGGAGGTCGTATCTTAATAGCTGCTGGGTAAGGTATGATTGACCATTTGGTTAGTGAGCTGCTAGTTAAGTTAGTTACCCAGAACTATTAACTTAATAATAATGTCGTAAGAGGAGTAAGAGAGCGTGCGTACCTGACAGTTTAGTTTGCACGATAAAATTAGGTGGTTTCTCTACACCGTCAGCGGTTCTGCTCTCGACCAGCCCAATTGGTTTCCAGGATTCGGCCATTTTGTACCTGGAAACCCTTCCATTGTTCTACTTCATACCTCCTCCCTCTTATCTCGCCATCTCCTGCTCTCTCTGGTGTCTCTCTATCTCTCTCTCTCTGGTGTGTGTTGCCTGTTGCCTGGATTCGACCTGGGCGAGAGCCAACCGTTCCCTTTTCTTCCGTCCGTTGACAGGGGCAGGCAAAGGCACCGAGAACAGGGCCTTGCTCCGAGTCGTTCGCTGGTGTATGCACCTAAACAAGAACGGGTCCTCCATGTGGAGTTGTGCACCACAATGAGGGCCGTGAGGTGGATCGAGCGTGTGGGCACTGGGCACTGGGCACTGGGAACAAGGGTATAAGAGCGGCCTGCTCGGGCCCGACGATCGTCTAGGAAGCTAGATTCCTAGTAGACAATCTCCAGACAGGCAGCAAACGCGCCTCTTTCTCTCGCCAGCCTCATTGTTCCTTTGTGAAGCCTCTCTCCTGCCTGCGGTGAGACGAAGCCGGAAGCCACGCCTGGGTCACATGATAGGATACAATAACTCTGACTAAGCAAGTAGCGGCCTTAGGTCATCAACGTATGTACGAGGCTAGTCTAGTCTGGCTCTAGCACGAGTCAGTATGCCCCGCTAGTCCCGAAATGGACGGCCGGCCTCATCCAGACGCTGGTTGGCTGTCGCCGAACCGCTGTCCTCCTCCTGCCGCGTCCGAAGAAGGGGAACCCGCGCTGTTCCTGCGACGAGAAGGCCTGCGAGGCTGGCGACAAGTGCTGAGCGTTTCTGAAGAGGTGCGAGACCCCTGAACGGCAGGCGGCGGTTGGATCTGGTGGGGGATTTGCCGGCCAATCTGTGATCCGAGCGCTTCCAAGCGCTCCAGGTCCAGACGAGCCCGAACGAGCGACTGTTCGGACTGGTGATGGCTGTCTTGAGGGCAGGTTCTGGTGTGGTTCCCAGTGGTGACGACTCGATCTCCCGCTCCGGATCCTGAGACCAGAACCATGCTTCTCCCTCGTTTTGTGAAACCAGGGGAGGGGTGCCGGGGGTGTCCAGGGTCCCGGTGACAAAAGGGCGCCTCTCTCGTTCCTGTGTTCTGCCCGATTAAAGGCAGATCCGTCGCTTCCATTCACTGATAAAAGCTTTCAGGAAATGAATGAAGTTCTGGGGTGTTGGTGGAGTTGAAGAGATCTCCTCCTCCTCATCGTTATCTATCCGGAACTCGTGAGGTACGTATACGCGGCGGCCCTGTATCAGACCATCCGGATTTGTTTTAACCTCTCTCAAGGTCATGAGTCGCATCCATCAATTTTCACTGAGACGGGAAGGAACTTGCACCTTCTGACGGCGTAGCGTCATGTGGGATGCCTCCATCGTCACCTCCCAAGACCGACGGTGCACCAAAAAACATCGGCTCTCGTCGACAAGCATCACCACCGCTCTACCAACGTCATTGTCCAGTGCGTCAGGTACAACCACCGAAGTCTCGAATACGCCATTGCCTTCGGAATCCTCGCCATCGCCGGTGCCTTTGAATGGCCCAGATCATGGAGTCACACCTACTTGCGAACCACCACCATCGACAACCACCACAACTACAACCACAACGGCAAGCGCTTGTTCATTTGTCTCGGAAGGGAACACATTTTCCGTCACCACGGTTACCACAACAACAATACCGTCATCTCAGGCTCACGCTGTCGAGTCGGCCCCCCCTCCTCTCACTCCCGCGGCAAATGGCCCCCCCGACCAGTCAGGCAAGTCTTCATCATCGACTCCAGCATCAGCAGCAAGCAATTCGACTGTGGCTGCGGCTAGTACAGCTTCATCGAGTCATGTGTTACGGTCTTCCGATCTGCCTATAGCCACAGCCAGCACGGCTTCGTCAAGCATCTCTTTGCAGTCATCCAGTCACGATGATTCCAAACCCGCTCTGTCAGCCGTCTTGGGGGGCACTTTAGGGGCAACTGCGTTTATCTTGATCGGTTTTCTTATATGGTTCCTGGTTAGACGGCATCGCCGTCGTCAAGAAGGTCGTGACTCGGCCAGTCTTCCTGAAAGTGAGCAACAGTTCTCATACGGAAACCCATTTGAACAACTACCTCGGCCTCCCAGTTCTATATACAGCCATTACTCGCACCTACGGCCGGTCGCCATGGAAGACCCATTTGCGGATCCCCCAGGAAACAGTCTCCGAGAGAGCTACAGCCCACATGTTTCCTCTTGCTTCCCGTCTCCGCTGGTGATAGCAAAACGATGCAGCAAGCGGAGCGATCCATTCGACCTAGAGCCTCCAAATGCAGCGTTTCCTTCACCATAAGATTCTTTTTTTACGCAAGTGAGGCAAGCAATCAGCCTGCGCTTGGATGCTGGACACCATGCATAACAGTATATTAATGCATTATTTAGTTCTTCTTGATACTATGGAGACTCGCTCTGTAGTGTTCTCTTGTTTACCTCTGTCGCAAGCTGCGCTTTATGATTCGAAATGGTTTCTTTTGCATCAATGGGTGGTATTCATTGCATAGTGATATATATAGAGATATAGAGATATATATATTTACAGGTTATTAACTTATACTTTTAAATTATGGATCGAGAACCCTTTGATAAGTTGCTGTTGGTACTGAAACTGCCTATAGTGTGGATATATATATTAAATCAAGAGAACATGATTTCGGAACCAGAAACGATTAATGCAAGGATGGATAGTACATATTTACTCTGAATTATTAATTTATAGTATAACCCAATGCTGGAGTCTACTTATTACACAATGATTCAAGAGGAAGACAGAATTTCAGCATCCAGTCACTCGATACATTCTACGTAGACCGCCGCTACAAGAGCTCGACATTCAACATGATGGCATTAATGGAAGGAGACTTGGTTACATCAAGGAGGGGGCTCGTAGGCGGCCAAATGGTCGGCTGGGGAAGGGAAAGACAGAAAACAGATGCACAGAGAAGGGTTGCAAGAGAAGCGATTCTAGTGATTTTAGGAGACATGAACACACCAAGCGCCATGCTATAGTTCGTAAGAGGGAATGAGGGGGGGGATAAGGGAGGCGTTCAAAATAAAATAAACAGGAAGGAAAAGTGCTGTCCTTCTTTTATCTTGCCTCTTAAAAAAAAAGAGATGACGGGAGTCCAATTCTTGGGATTCAAAAAAGAACTCCGTCAATCCCAGGTCATTATTTTGCTTTCCATTTTGGTTCAGAATTGCTGCTTTAATTTTTTGTGTTGGTATATCCTCCCGTGATAACCGTTCCCGAACGAATCTATCAGCCAGACCTGGAGACAATAGAGAAGAAAGAAGAAGCAGAAGCAGAAGCACAATTGAACCTGGGATCCTATCCCCCCTGGCTGATTGATTTGTTTTTTGCCCCTTCCCTGTCTCCAGCTCAACCGCCGCACCGCCCAAAAACGAACCGATCTCGTCGTCAAGAAACGAAAATTTACTCCTCGGCGGCGGTCTCGCCCAGCAGGGCGTTGCGCTTGGCCTCGACGCGCTCCTGTCGTCTCTCGCGGAGAGCCTTGTTCTTGGCACGCTTGGCGTCCATCTCCTCCTTGATGATGCGTTCACGGGCCCGCTCAGCCTTGGCCTTCTGGATCTGTAGTCACGAAAGAAAAAAAAAATCAGACCCCCGGACTCAAGAGTAACAATGTTGGGGCATAGGAATGCCCCGAGATGGTATTGGGAAACTTACGTGCTCAATGAGAGCGCGCTTGTGCTTGAAGGTGTTACCCTTGCTCAGGTGGTAGAGCTCGTGGTAAAGGTGCTTGTCGATCTTGCCAGCGGCGCGGTATCTGGCGAGAAGGCGACGGAGAACACGCATGCGGCGCATCCAGAGGACCTGGCTGTACAGGAAATAATCTATCAGCAACCCAGGACAACCCGAGATGAGGAAAGGGGGGGGGGAAGCAGCGCATACCTGGGCATACGGGCGTCCTTGGTACCCTTGCGCTTACCCAGGCCACGGTGGCGGCCGATTCTGCGGGCCTCGGCGAGTTCACGGGCACGAGAGCGGGAGTGCATGGTGACGGGCTTGCGGATGATGAGGCCATCGCTGACAAGCTTGCGGATGGTCTGGCGGGAGTTGGCGTTGGAGATCTCGTTGATCTCGTTGGGGTCGAGCCAAATCTTGCGCTTGCCGCAGCCGACCACGGAGGCGGCGAGGCGCTTCTGGGTGCGAAGGTTGACCCTGTTGAGATGAAAAGAGCACTTGGTCAGCCTAACTGTCTCCAACCTGGTGGATGATTTTCAACGGGGTGGTCGAGGATGCTGCACGCAGTACTGGTCGAGCATCATGGCGTCGGCGGGGGGAAACTGCTCCCAGAACACGCTGTGCACCCGGGCCAGGGTAGGGGCAATATTTCGAGATGAACTCACATCTTGATGTCGGCGTATCGACGGTCGTTGGCGGATGCTGTTCGGTACACTCGTCGACGGGTAGGAATTCAACAAGTGAGGAGTTTGAGATCCAGCGGTTGATTAGCTAAGCTTGTGCCCCTAAGCGAGAAAATCCACATTAGGGTTCGTGCCCCATCCCGAGCGGGGAATCCCGTCTGATTGGGCAGTTGCTCTGCGTCACTTACCGCCGAGGGACGAACAGCAGCGTATGAAGTAACCAGGTAACTGACAAGGTAAGTACCGAATAGAGATCGTTAATTTGGTCGTGACCGATTAATCGACGCAGAGGACCGTTTACCGTTTGAAAAATATCCCCGGGTGAGTCGGTTGTGAGCCTCGAATCCCTATCGCTTAGGAATCTCGCTTCGGCCAGCTTATGTCCACGTGATAGTCACGTGGAAATAGATCACGTGTTTACTATTTACCTCCTCATACTGTAGTCTGTAACCACCAGTTATGCCTACACTGTACCTAGTCTGTGTACCCCTAAGAGGTTAGAGAGTGGCTCGTCATGAACATAACTGTGGAATTCATATATATAATCATATCACGCGACTTTTTTTTCCTATGCAAGATCTATAGAATAGGGTCTACATCGTGCTATGTAGGTAGTATGTACGAACTACTAGTTAACTAACTAGTAAAAGTGGTCATCACTCGTCTGCAAAAGCGTCTTCCCCGAGATCAACCTTGCCAATGCTCCATAGTTCCTTCTCATCCTCAACTTCATCGTTGGACAGACCGAGGCCGCCCTGTCCACCCTCCGCCTCGCGTCTCTCCCGGGCCTGGTTCGCCAGGCGAACAGCAACCCGTTTGAAGTAATCGGACATGCTTCGTTTGGGTCCCGGGGGAAGCTCAGCACCTGGACCGGCCATATATTTGTCGAAAATGGAGGACTCAGAGTCTACCACGTCGAACAGTGACAAAAAGGCAGCCTCCGCCGCCAACTTGACGGGGATGATGACATCTCGCACGCTTGCGAAGACGGGGGGTGCAAGCAGCGCCAGGTGCGGCTCAATGAGCTCGTGTTGAAGGCGGCTGACTGTTCGAATCACCACCAATGCCAGTCGGCGAGTATCGGCCGCACTGCTCGGATGGATAGCCGGCGCCAGAGCTTCGAAAATAGTTGTGTTGGTTTCGGGATTGCTGTTGACACCTTCAGTCAGAAGATACTTTCCAGCGGCGAGTACACTGTTTTCAGAAATAAAGGTCTGGCTTGACATTAGTACAGATTTTCTAAATCATCACGGCACAAGAAAAAAAATATTAGAGCATAACTGACATCTTTGTGAGCGATACCCTGGCAGATGATGGAGGGAGTCTCAGCTGCAAAGTTCTCAGTTAAAGAGGTAGGAGACTCGACGAGCAGAGCATTGAGGCCCAAGATAGACGCATGAGTGAAGTGGGTTGTAAGCACGCGACCCCTAGTTGTTAAAAGTCCAACGTCAGCATGGTTTCATCAATGCGGAATTGTTCGAAAGGTATCTGGAAGAGCATACTTGATCAAAGGCACAGCGGTCGTAGCTGGCAGGACTTTGACGAGTGCACCAAGCAGTTTGGCATTTGTAATAGCCACAGAATCTTGTACCGACTATTAGCTTCCACAAAAAGAAATAAAGACTGGTTCAGAAGGAAGGTGAACTTACCGGTCTGATCGCTCGCGTCGTCGTCAATAAGCCCGAGGATAGCATTGCGAGACGCGTCGCTCATGTTGGACCCTGCTTTGCTAACCACTTCTTGGAGAGCCTTCATCATTGCATTCTTAACACCTAAATCGTCGGTCTTGGACCCGGCGATGAGTTCTATCATTGTAGGTCAGTAATGCAAGTGATGGCCAATGGAACGATCGATAAAGAAAAGACCAGCATACCGGCAATCAGAGGGTCAACCCTTGGAGTCAAAGTGATCAGAATGCCCAAGCCCTTGGCAGCTCTATTGCGCAGAGTCTCGCTGGTGGAGTCAGCTAACCCTCGTGCGAATGTGCGCTGCAATTGGGGCAAGAATGGCTTGACAGCTAGTGGAATCTTCTCCAAAAGTTTATTGAGAGTAAAGAAGATGGCACCTGGAAACAATAGATTAGATATGAAATTCTGAGCTAGCAGAAAAGAAAAAAAAAAGGTCCGTATCGCTTACATTTGATGTCGACCGAGCGCTCGGATACAACTCTGATCAATGGACCAGTGATTTGTGTGACGAATGCCTTGAGAGAATCTGCAGCCGTACGATCGATGACATCTGCAATAGCAAGGGCGGCCTGTGTTCTCTGGTCGATATTGCCGTTGAGAAGACCCTGCAGGAAGATGGGCAAGATGGCAGTGATGCCCTTCGGGAGACTGAAGCCAGGGAGGCTCGCCCCCGGTACTCCCACCTGACGCAGAATTTGGCGGGTTGGGATGGTCAGTACCTCCATCTCTTCCTTGCGCATGCGGGAAGTGAGTCCGCTCAGTGCACTCCATGCGGCCTTTACAACGTCCTTGTCACTATCGTCGAAGGAAATCAACAGGACACGGATCAGATCTTGGTGGTACCGAGAGTAATCGATGTCGGCCTCGGCGAAGAACTTGGCAAGATGCAGTGCGGCCCTAGAGCGGCGACGATGATCCTCATGCTTCAGAAGGGTGAGCATCACATTGACGACAACGTTCAGGCCATCGAATTCATCCACAGAAACCAGGACAGTATCGAACGCGCTGCTCAGCTCGTCCCGCAGCTCGTCGTCCTTTGTGGAGATGATATTGTCCATCAGTGCGTTGAGAATAGAGGGCAGACGGCGCGACATGGCCGAGCTGGCCACTTCAGCCAAGGACGCGAGCGCACGGGCGTTGAAAGCAGAGATAGGGGAGGTGAGCAAGGTCGGGATCAGGTTGGGGAGGATGATGTTGGCACGGGTTTGCTCCGTGAGCAGCGTCAAAAGCGCTGCCAGAGCTTGTTCAGCATTCTCATCGTTCCTCAGCAGAAGCAGGAGATGCGGCAGAACTTGGTCAACAGCCTTCTTGCCCAGAATCTGCTGCAGGGCATCGAACGCTTCCGCGGCAGCCTCGCGGACGTCTTCGTTGACATCGACCAGTGCAATGCGAACGGTGGAGATGAGTACCTTCTCATAGTCCTCGAGCGCCTCTGGGGATGCCGAAGTAATTAACTCTCGGAGGGCAATACAGATACCTTGCCTGACATCTACATCTGGAGATGTCTGGAGCCCGTCCTCGAGAGACGGCAGCAAAGTTGACAACACGCTTTCGCCGGCCTTCTTAATAAGATCGCCCAGCGCGTTACTAGCGATAACCTTCTGTTCCATGTTGGAAGATCCAAGGCGACGGATGATAAGCTGCGAAAGGGTGGGAACCATCTCCTTGAGCGTTCTTGGGGACGCCACAAGGGATTTCCAAACGGCCATAGCGGCACTCTTGACCAAACCAGAGGTATCGCAGCGGCAGATGAAGAGAGAAGACAGGACCTTGTCTCTCTTCTCCTGTCCCAGAATCTCCAGGAGAGACTGTCCGGCCTGGTTGGCCTCCTCGACCTCTTCCTCAGCATCGGCATTTCCGGTAATTCCAGTAATGCTGAAGAGAAGGTCTCCAACCAACTCGACGGAGCTCAATCTGATGCGGTAACTGTCGTCCGCCAGACCGCCCTCTAACTCAGGCAGCAATAGATCGATGGCCTTGGAGGCAAAGTTCTTAACCAGCAGGCGACCGGCGCGGAGAGAAGTCTCACGAATGGACTCGATGTCGTCCGCCAAACCGGCAAGGATGGGCGGGATGACCTTGCTGAGATAATTCGCGAAGCTGTTTCCGAAGCACGCAGGCAAAAAGATGAAGAGGGTCATGAAACCTTCGCGAATGGCGGGCTTGGAGCTGGAAACGTTCTGCAGGATCGTTGGCAGCGTCTCCTCCAGTCTCGTGGTGCCCAGGCCTGCAAGAACCTCGGACAGGGCCTGGGCGGATCCCAGTCTGTCGCCCGCACCCGTGTCCGATTTGAGCGTGGTCATCAGGTTGGGGATGAGATCGGGCAGCGCGTCTTCTCCAAGCTTCTCGACCAAAGATCCGAGCGCCTTGGAAGCGGTGGCACGCGTAGTAGGCACCGGGTCGATGATTGCCTGCTGCAATCCGGCCACGATGATCGGGAGGTGGGAGATCAGGTCGCGACGCTCCGTAAGGTGTGCCAGACTGCCGATGATCTGGGCGGCCTTGCGCTTGGTGGAAGACCGGTCACCGAGACCACGTTCCAAAATACGAACAACAAGCGCAAGGGAGGGAGAATCAAGATAATGGACAAAGGACACCTTAATAAGGGAATCCAAGGCCTCGTCCGTGTATTTCGTGGGGTCACTCAATGCTTTCAGCAACACTCCAACCAGACTCTTCACCTCAGGATTGCTGATGACTTCGCCGAACCGCTGCAAGCTGCGATTGGCAGCATTGCGGACTTCCTTGTGGGTATCGTTGAGCACCACGGTTAGAGGAGGGATGATGTCTGGCAGGCTTGCGGCCAGCTGCTGCGGGTCGAGATAGGCCATGGCACCTAGGAGGTCACAAGCACCCTTTTGGCTGCGCCACTGGGAATCGTCGAGACCCTCGAGCAGAGTGGGGAGGATTTTCTTAACACCATATGAGCTGAGATTGGCGAAGCAGGTCTTGGCCGCGTCTAGGCAGGCATCACGAACGTCGATGCTAGGGTCGCCGAAGCTGCCCAGGAGCTGGGGTACGATCTGAATAATGTATGGCTCGAAGGTCCGTCCAAGGATCAGGGAGAAGAGCTCATACGCCAGAAGAGCGCCTTGTCTCTGGTGGGATTCTTTCTTATTCTCTGTTGCTGCTTTGAGGAGACTCATGATACGGAACTCTCTTAAAGCCGAGATACCCTTTCCGCTCACAATTCCAGCAAGTCCATATGCCGCACCTCGTTGAGTCGCGTATTTCTTCGACTCCAACAATTGGCCCATCATTTCCTGAACATAGTCTGCAGCCTTGGGGCCTGAAAGTCTGATCAATGGTGGGAGACAGCCAGAGACGGCCGATTGAACGGTCTCTGAAGGGGTGGGAAGGGTAGCAAGTAGCTTCTTGATGACAGTCTGCAAGCGAGGATCGTCTGCCTTCAGGTGGCGTGCGAGAGAGCCGTACAAAACAACCACAGCTTCGTTAAGAAGATCGGAGCTTTCCGTGGCCTTGTCCGAGGTCTCCAGAGTGGTTTCTAAAAGCTTCATCAACTGCTCGACCTTCTGCTGACCGCGCACGGCGATCACTGATCTTCCACTCTCGGCCATTTGTCCTCGCACAGTGGAATTTCTGTCCACTAGGGGTCCCTTCTCGATCAAGAATCTCATAAAGGACACGGTCTGATCGCCTTCAAATTCATCTGTCATGGCCTTGAAAGCCAACGCGATACCGCTTCGGCTCTCCCAATGATCAGCAGTATCGACCTTCTTCGGCATTCCATACTTGTCGGTCTCGGGAGCCCTGGGTCTTGATTCGACTTCATATTTGCTTTGCAAGTCCTGCAACACATCTCCAAACTTGGAAGGCATAGACTTGATAGCATGAGCGAGTGCTCGTGCTGCGGCACCACGAAGCTGGTAATCGTCTGAGTCGAGGTATTTCGTAATCTTTGGTAGAGCGGCTTCATCAAGCTCCAGGGCATTCTCCTCCCAGATAGTCTCAGCCACCTCGGCGTTTTCCTCCACCTGATCATGACAGCTGAGCCAGATATGCTCGGAGAAATCCAGGTCAGTCAGGTCAATCTCAGCTTCAATCACTTGTAGGACCGAGCTTCGGACAGACGTCTCCGGAACAATGGTTCCCTGCAGGAGAACGTTGAGCTCCTCGGGGTTGATATTGGCTGAGATGCATCTGCAGAAATCAGACAGGGTATCCTTGATCAGCTTGTAATGCTGGGTGTATCTTTGCATTGCAGATAGGAGGTGTTGCAGAACCTCAAGACGGGGCAGCCGGCCGTCGGAGAAAAAGCCTGAGTGGAAGGACAAGAATTCAAGTGCAAGCAGTGTCTGCTCACCCTCCCCTTCTCCCTTCACCTCGTCAATTCCGTTCTGGTTCAAGATAAGGAAGATCAAGGGGAGTACGTAAGCAAGAGACGCGACGTCGAGAGGACGCTGCTCGGATGCAAAGCGCAATCGGTAGAGAATCCTCGTCACCAATTCTCCGAGGTGTTCCGACTCCAGTTCAGGAGAAAGATTTGTCTTACCAATGGACCGCAGGGTTGCAATGCCAACAAATGGCCGCAGCGGACCCAGTCGGGATGTCAGTCTCTCAGCACATGCAACGTACGCCTTTGAGACGGCATCTCCGACGAACAGCCCAGCTCCCGCGCGGGCAAGCGCAACGAGAGAGCTAACTGCCGGGTTAATCCAGCCATCAGCATCAGCAGCAGGCCCGGTAGCCAGGCCACGGATGATTCCTGCGCCTCGTTCGATTCTCTTGACTTCCTGCAACACGTCCGCTCGGATCTTCGACTCTTTGGCCAGCTGGGCTTTCACTTTGGATTGCTCTTCCGGAGTGAGTTTCTTGGGCTTCTGGCCCTTCTTCTCGGCAAGTTGCGCCCTCAGTTCTTCCTCCCATTTAAGAGTATCGTAATCCTTGGCGCTTTTGTCGAAGACGGCTTGTTTAGTCTTAGAGCTCAGGACATCGACAAACATGGTGTCTTCGGGAGTGCGGGCAATGGCTGCGTCCGTTGGAGTAAACTTTGCGACACGGGCCACATCCAGGTCATCTCTGATCTGAGTGACAAGGTGTGGAACCATTTCGTCTGGAGCAACGAATGCTAGATCTGCTGCGGCGGCCCAAATCGCGAGGTTAACCTGAGGAACGGTGGCCTTCACAGGGTCATCTAAAACACAGGTGAGCTGCTTCATGCTCTCCTCAGAGCCCTCACGGACGAGGTCACCCGGATCTGTGCCGGTCCTCAAACATAAATCAATCCAGGACACATTGTGGATCATTTCTTGGCGGGCAACAACTAGAAGGTTGATGAGTTGGGTCTTGAGGACGGACTTGACGTTGTCGGATCCGTCAATATCGGATGCAAGAGGGCAGATGGCCTTGACTGCAAGATTAAGATGTTTCACGTGAGATGGCCCTGCTGAGAACGCAGCGGACTCCTTATCCGCAGTTCTAAATGCCAGAATCCAGGCCCACAGAGCGTCAGTGATGACCCGGCCGATGGTAGCAGGATTTCGTAGATAGACATCTGACAAGGCACGGGAAGCGGTTTCTCTGAAGCTTGAAGGGAGCTCCGCGCCCGTGATCGCGTAGAGGAAAGCCTGAGCCCAGGCATTCTTAGCCGCATCGTTCGCTTGTTCGAATTTGGACGCGGATGCGACTGCGGAGAGTCCTCGAACCACCCATTGGAACTCGACTTTGGTTGTCAACTTCGAGTACGCTTTGGGATTCAGGAGGAAAGAAGGTTTCGGGCTCAAGGTCATTGACTGTGCAGCGATATCCTCCCAACCTGAATTCTTGGATTCCTGGGATCTAGACACACGTTCAAGGAGGGCCATAAAGATGTAGACTGTAGACAGAGAGCCGTTCTGAGCTGACGGCAGGGGGTTTGCGGCCACTTCGTTGAAGAGATCCTTCATCTTGCCAATGAATTTGTTAACCAGGGGCTCCATTTCGGTGGTGGAAAGAAGTTTGAAGTCCGTATTCCAGAGAACCTCGCCCACGCTGGTCTGCCAGAGCTTGCGAGATGGAATTTTCTTGTCCGCAATGCCCTTGACGACAGCATTCGCCACGTCATCTGTCACTGGGACAGACGATTGAATAAGGAACCCAAGATGCTTGCAGAAGGCATTAAGTTCCTGCTCCAAAGCGCTCTCGCTGGACTCCTTTGCAAGCATAGGGACAAGTCCTTGGACGATCGACTTGGAGATTTCCACAAAGGTGGGCGTAGCAAAAAGCGCCTGGGCAAACACCGCGCGGTGGTCTGGATTGGTGATTTTCTGCGTCTTGAGCGGGCTCACGATCTCGCCAGCGGTTTTGGCGAGCCATGATTCTGTCTTGCACCTGGAGAGGACCGCTTCAAGCGAAGTGGAGGCGCCCTGTCTGATGACGGGATTGTTGGATTTCATACTCGAGATGAAGTGCTTGAGCAACCGAGCATGCAGGACTTCGGACAGATCGACAGTCTCGGGCAGTGACGAGCATAGCGCGGCGATCAGGCCGCCCAGAACGACCTCGGGCGCCCTCAGCATCGCCTTCTCCAAGGTGGGCACTAGTTCCGTCTGGACATCTTCCGAGGTCACAAATGATTCAAAGAAGTCGGACAGCCCGAGGGCAACGTGCGGAGACACGGCCGTGCGGGAGCCGACGAGCTCCTTGACATAGTAGGTCATAATCTTCTTCTTCTCCCCATCAAGAACCGGCTTCTTTGCCGGTAGGCGGGAGCACACGCCGCATATCACACCCAAAAACGGAGAATTTCTATAGCCCGTCGTCGCCTCGCTGGTCAGTCGGGCCACCGCCTGGCGGATGACCTCGTCCCCAACAGTCTCCGACGAGAAGATCGCCCGCAGTGCACGCCTGGTCACCCGCAGGGCCGACTGTGGCACCGACGGTCGGTGCGAGGCTGCGAAACATATCTCCAGGGCCTTGGCATCTGCCACAATGAGGTCGAGCACCAGCGGCACAGGCACCGTCGGATCCTCACGCAGAAGCTGGAGCAACAGCGAACACCACTCGACCAGCACAAACGCCGACGAGGCGGCCAACCCAGGCTTGGCCGTCTCCGTCTGTATCCCCTTGACGATTTCCTTCAATCCATCAATCGGGATCGGCACCCGGAGGAACGAGCGGAGGCATTGCTGCACCGCCTGGCGAGACGGTCGGTCGATGTACCGCGGATACGTTTGAAATAGCAGACCCAGCAGCGCCTGGCGGGCAGCTGGAGGCAGCTCAGACTCTATCACACACAGCCCTCCAGTCAGCATTCCCCTCTCATCGCAGCCGGGGGGAGGGGGGAAGAGGGGCTCGGTCAGCACCTACCATTCCTGTCGCGGATCTCCTGTAGCACTCGCCCTCGGTGGGCAGTGGAGCTGGAAAGCAGAGCGACTCGCAGAGACTCCAAGTCTCCGGCGCTCACCTGGTCCCACGCAATGCTGTCCATGGTCGTGGCGCGGTGAACATGTCGTGGCCACAGTCAGACGTCGATGCTCCTTGGCTGAAGTTTTCCGCCGGTTTGTGGTGGGGAGGGGAAAGAAAGCTGTGGGCGGGCCAAACGTGCAGAATCCCGTTGACAGCAGTTGACCTCCCGACTTGACCTTGACATTGCCCGCGAGCAATTGAGACAGAACAAGGCGACAGGAGGGGAAAGAGAACAGGTGAGTGGTGTTTACTGCTCTGGGAACCCTGCTGACTGGGGTTTGTACAGGTCTGTCCCCATGCCGCCCAACAAGAAGAAGAAGAAGCCCGCGTCGAACCCGGCCAGAGGCTTCGCTACGGTCTCAGTACCCTCGAAGCCCAAGGCGACCCCGGGCGACTCGACTGCTGGTACGTCGGCTGTCGAGTCGGCCGCGGAGAGCAGCAAGCCTACGCCGGGCCAAACGCCAGGGTCGTCGGGTGTGACGCAGCCGACGACGGCCGCGGCGACGGCAACGGCGGCGACGTCGCTACAGGATTATTCACCCGAAGAGCTGGAAAAGCATCTGGAGGAGGCAGAGCTGCAGTTACTTGTGGAGAAGTATGCAGCGCGATGCAAAAGCGATGCGGTGCGTCAGGTCACCAAGCTTGACACCGACCGGCGGTTGCTACGCCAGCAGGCGGCGCCCTTGAACATCTCGGAATGGTTGTCGGTCGACTTGGTGGAGGAGATCCTGAGACTTGGCGAGAAGGAGGAGCATGAGCTGGAGCCCCTGGGATCCAAGCGGGGTGGATCGCAGGAGGAGCTGTGCGTGCGGTTGTGGACGCTGCGAGAGACGCTCAACAAACTAGGCTTCTCGCCGTCGAAAGTCGAGGAGGCGCTGAAGCACGCCCTATTGTACTTGTCTGCGAGTCCAGCCAGCACCAGCAGAGATACCGTGTGGAATCTCGATGAGTGTTTAGACTGGCTGGCCATGCACTGCAGCCTCGACGAGCTTCCCTCATATACGCGGGCGACGACTACCCAGCCCGTCAAGGAGCCGGAGGCTCCAAATTCATGGATAACTGGTGAGAGTGATACCGCCAGGCAGATTCTGCTACATGGGTTCATTATTGGCTAATTCTGGGGCAGATGCCGAGCCGTCACGGCCGTCGACACCCAATTCGGTACAAAGCAACAATAAAGCAAAGCGAGCGAAGAGCCAGTCCAAGGCATCAAGTGTCCAACTATCGACCCCGTACGACTCCGACAGCTCGCTCGATCCGGACAATCTCGTAACGGATTTCTTGGACTTCCAAACCCGGCTCTACAATCTGCGACCCGAACTCTTTGACCGACTGAAAAAGGGCAAGAAGGGCGCACAGGGACTACAAGCAGATGCTTTAGATGAGCCCGAGGTCGTGAAACTTCAGCGGAAAATCATGAGGATTGAAAAGGACGTGTTGTTTGACCGAGATGAGGCTGAATACCAGTGGAGAGAGAAGCTGGACCAGCTCAGAAAAGATGCAGCGTTTTCCCGACGGGCCACGCCGTCGGGAAATGAATCTCCTGCTCCAAAGCCCGCGGCACCTGAAAAACAAGAAGAAAAACCCCCATCAGAATTAGAAGACGACGAGAATAACGACGAAGGTGCCGGCCTTTTTGGTGACATGTTCCAAGCAGCGGGACCAATAACAGAGGTTGCTACGGATACAAACGGCTCGGATATAACAGTCACGCTTCGAGACTTTGGAAAATGGACAGGCCTTAACCCTCGCCGTGTTCTAGAGGAAACATGCAAGGCAAGGTCTGTATTCTACGCAATCTGGAAAAAGTAGGGTAACGGGAGATATAGAGCTAACCAACCCTTACAAATTAGGGACGCTGGGTGCACATTTACTTATAAGGAGATCTCCTCGGGATTTTCCAACAGAAAAGCTGTTGAGGTGCGATGGTCGAAACCGCAAGATGCTCCATTCTTAATATCCTTGGATCTGGTCACGATTAAATCCTCGCCGTACGCAACCTTTGTCTCCATGGACGAGATTGCAACCCCGACGGCACAGCAGGCAGAAGCGTACATTTCAACCCTCATCCTATTCTTTTTGTTCCCTCAGAACTCAAAAGAAGGCAAAGCATATCTACGCCTGCCAGCCGTGTGGAGAGAACTTTGGACAGAATTGGCTGCTGTGAAGAAGGTCCAGGAGGACGAAATCGACAAACAGACGATCAGAGAGCTCAGGTCTTTGATTCAAGATAACTCGGCTACTTTTGAAGACGACGTCGTGCTTTTGGACAACTTCAGGAAACGAAACGGCGCGGCCAACAGGTTGGAAGGTCCTTCCAAAGGTCGTGGGGGAGACCCGAGTCTCTCGGACGATATACTACGCAACACGTGGGTGGATAAGGCCTCGACGCCTTTTTTCCAGCATATGATGCAGGGCAGAATGAACCTGCCGATTTGGAAGTTCAAAGAGGAGATCCTCAAGACTCTCGACACGCACCAAGCCATGATTATCTGCAGTGAGACCGGAAGTGGGAAAAGTACTCAAATCCCCTCATTCATTCTGGAACACGAGCTCTTGAACAACCGCTCCTGCAAGATCTACGTAACCGAACCTCGCAGGATCTCTGCAATCTCGCTGGCGCGCCGAGTGAGTGAGGAGCTGGGTGAAAACAAAAACGACGTGGGAACCGCCCGGTCTCTCGTTGGTTTTGCCGTTAGATTGGAGAGTAAAGTCAGTGCGTCGACGAGACTGGTTTTTGCGTACGTATCTTCTTTCTACTTTCTCACGATGATGATGTCTAACGTTCTTCTAGAACAACCGGTGTCGTAGTACGAATGTTGGAGCGACCAGAGGACTTCAAAGATGTCACTCATGTGGTTCTGGACGAAGTCCACGAGCGGTCCATCGATAGTGACTTCCTACTGATAGTTCTTCGCCGGCTTATGCAGCATAGGCCCGACTTGAAGCTAATCTTGATGTCTGCAACCCTGGAGGCACAACGATTTTCCACTTACCTGGGCGGGGTTCCTGTCCTCAACATACCGGGCAGGACTTTCCCAGTCGAAATCAAGTATCTGGAAGATGCGATTGATATGACCAAGTATCACGTCACGGAGAACCAGTCGTCTCATTATCCGCTTGATGAGGACTCGGAAGATGCTGCATCCGAAGGCATGGCGAAAGATGAGCCGGGGGGCATTCTGGCCACGCTGGACCGCTATTCTAAGCAAACTAGAGACTCGGTGCTTCGATTTGACGAGTATCGGTTAGACTATAGGTTGATTACTAGGTTACTGGTACGAATCGCATCGGCGCCTGATATGGCGCAGTACAGCAAAGCCATTTTGGTCTTCATGCCTGGCTTGGCCGAAATTCGCCGCTTAAACGATGAAATCGCCTCGGAGCCAACCTTTGAGAGTGGATGGATTGTGCATGCACTCCATTCTTCTATCGCCAGCGAAGACCAAGAAAAGGCGTTTGTGGTGCCACCTGATGGGGTGAGAAAGATTGTCATCGCCACGAACATCGCAGAGACGGGTATCACTATTCCCGACATCACGGCCGTCATCGATGCTGGGAAAGAAAAGACCATGAGGTGAGCTCGTGATGAGCCAGTCCATCAGGCAACAAACTAACATCGCAGGTTCGATGAGAGACGACAGTTGTCAAGACTGGTGGAGTCTTTCATCTCCCGCGCCAATGCTAAGCAGCGACGAGGTCGAGCAGGGCGTGTGCAGAACGGCATTTGTTTCCATCTGTTTACCAAGCATCGACATGATACATTGGTCTGTAGGCCCTCTTGACAAATCATTGGTTTTGGAAGATACACGTACTGATATGGAATCAATGTAGCTCTCTGAACAACAAACTCCCGAGATGCTGCGACTTTCCCTTCAAGACCTTGTTCTCCGGGTCAAGATTTGCAAGTTGGGAGAAGTGGAACAGACACTCCTTGAAGCAGTGGACCCCCCCTCGTCAAAGAACATTCGCCGCGCGATCGATTCTCTCAAGGAAGTGAAAGCCCTGACGAACAGTGAAGCACTTACCCCTCTAGGAACACAGCTGGCTAAGCTACCCTTGGATGTGTTCCTGGGGAAGCTTATCATTCATGGCGCCTTCTTCAAGTGTCTCGATGCTGCGGTCAGCATTGCGGCGATCCTATCGTCCAAGTCGCCTTTTGTGAATGCTGTAGGCTCCAACTCTCAACGGGACGCGGCCCGGTTGTCTTTCAAAAAAGGTAGGCAATATTGAGTGAACAGATTGATTTTTTTTGGGGGGGGGATCGCTTTTGCTGATGGCACTATATAGGCGATTCGGACCTCTTGACGGTCTACAACGCGTATTGCTCCTGGAAGCGAACTAGAAGCACGCCGGGAACCAACGAATATGCATTTTGCCGCAAGAACTTTCTCAGTATCCAAACGTTATTGAACATCGAGGATGTGAAATTGCAGCTTCTAGTATCGATTGCCGATGCCGGGCTCCTCAGTCTGGATGCTACGCAGAAGGCTGCCCTGAATAGGTTGGTCTTACTCTGACTTTCTAGCTGCTTCCTCTCTCTGACCATCATCCAGAGCTCGTTCCAGTGGTAGACAGCGCCAGTTCTTTGTCATTCCCGAGGCCTATGACATCAATAGTAACAACGATACGGTCGTGAATGCGGTGGTCGCCTGGAGCTTCTACCCCAAGCTGCTCACTCGCGAGGGCCGCGGCTGGCGCAACGTGTCGAACAACCAGACCGTCTCTCTGCACCCGACCTCGGTCAACAAGCAGACAGACGGGTCGATAAAATGGCTGTCCTACTATCACCTCATGCAAGGCCGGAACCGGGCGTACAATGCCCATGATACTAGTGCCGTTGATGACTTTGCCATCGCCCTGCTATGCGGAGATGCCGAATTCAAGGTAAGGGAACTGCTCCTGCTCTTCCATCCCCGCAGAATAACCTCGCACTCACAGTATTCTTAGATGTACCCCGGCGTGATCACGATCGATGCCAATCGGATCCGCTTCTCGCTCCGTGATTGGAAGGCGATGCTTGCAGTGAAGATCCTCAGTGCGCGTGTGCGCGACATCCTCGCTGGGACGTTCCGAACCCCACACAAGGTCCTGACATATAAGCAGCAACAGTGGCTTGAGATTTGGCAGCAAATCTTCTCGCAGGCTGGTAATGAAGCCAAAAGGCCAGGGAAGTAGTTTGACTACTTCAGGTATGTACGGTAGTTCACGTTACGGTTTGGGTGGACACTGGATAGGTAGATATCTTTGGGAACTGGGGAGAGGTTGGCGCGGCTTCTTCTTTTTTTTTTTTGGTCTTGCTTTTTTTGTTCTTTTCTCAACTGCTACTTTGGCAAAGAGAGTGAGCCGGTTGGACAGCGAGAAGCTTCCGCCTTGGAGATATTGAACAGACAGAAACATATCCAATGACAACCATTGCAGAGGCCATGAGGACCGACTGGCTCTCTTTTGACGTGAGCCGGAAACAACGAGTCGTTGGCACCCAATCCTCTGTTACAAAGAAAAAGAAAAAGAGAGACCTACTAGGCTACCACTACCGAGACACCTTACCATCTGAAATAACAGGCCACCGATGCGGACCAGGGGGATTGAACGCCTTCCCTGCGCAATTTACGAGAATCCTTCGCAGGAAGTTTTTTTTCTTTCCGACATATCAGGAGAGAAAATGAGCTATTGACTAATAGGCGCGGAAGCATTGGTCATCAGCGAATTGATTAGACCTCAATCCATATGAACCTGGTCAGATTGAGAGGCAAAGTTGCTCCTCATCCACGATTAACCAACTATAGGGAAGGGGACTAAGTATGTACCTAGGTAGTATCTTCTCTGCCAGTATCGGCCTCCTTGATTGACTTACCCGCAGCTGTTTTCTGCTTCGAGAAAACGACGCTGGGTTGACGATATGCAGGGGTTGTCTTCAATGCAATCGTGGGGCTAATAGTAATCCTCCCAATGGTCCAGGACCTGACGGTCAGGTCGAGCGGTTCAGGATTCCTGGCTCTGTATACGAGCGGACCAGGAACCATACCAATGCTCAGCAAGTTCCAGTCTTCGGCCTTCGCTTGTGCACTTCTCTGATCCACATCAGATGATGGATACGACGGAGTAGTAAGTACTGCACAGTCCCAGACGGTTCGTTCTTCCTTTCTCGGGCGCAAGAGCATACCTGAAATGACCCTCCCTGAGGTGCAAGATGCCTCTTATCTAATTGGTATAGTGCTGGCACTGATGCATGAACTTCTAGATGTTTACCCTTTCCCTCCTTCTCCTTCATACGAACATGGGGTCATTATTCATCCATATGTACTACATAGTATGAATGCAACCCTTCCCCCCCCCCCCCTTCTTCAATTACCAGCCAACCAGCGACCTCTGATTTCAAGACACTCTGACCGGCAAACCCCAGAGGGCCCGTCGGGGCGCAGGAACCACCCACCACATCCAATGCTTGGTCAAGCTTGGTCAAGCTTGTGTTGGCGCCACTCCGGTCCACTTGCTGCTGAGGCTGCCCGTCCGGCCACTCGTGAGGCACGCCCGCTACACGTGTGTGGGGCCTGCCAAGCCGCGATCGATCTCGGAGAAATGATGGCGCCGCCAGCCGTCTTGCGGAGCCGACGCCAAGCAAGAGCTGTTGCGTGCCCACGTGCGCTATTGCCAGCACGCGAAGGCTCACGCGCGCAACGAGAAGATTGGGAAAGCGTGATATTATACCCAGATAGCGTTCCTTCGGGAGTCAAGGAGCGCAGACAGTCAGGACTTGCTCCGCTACCAGGGAATGGGCCGGTGACTCCCACCGACAAGGGGACGCAACAGACTGGACTGTACTATATAACCTGGACGAATCCCCCCCCCCCCTCCTCAGGTTTCTTCTGCTTCAGTGCGATTCATCCTCCTCCTACCCAGCTCTCACTGGTAAATTAAGCCTGCGGCTCGAGATTCTTCCTCACAATGCAGACCACTCTCGCCGTTCTTGCCGCTGGCCTGTCTCTGGCCGCGGCGCAGACGATCAACACCTCGGAGCCCACGCTGGCTGAGATTCGCGCTTCTCAGGCCGTTGTCAAGCCCTACTCGCCTACCTCGAGCGTCAAGGGTCTGGCTTTTGATCGCTTCTACCAGGTCTGGCTCGAGAACGTGGTAAGTTGATCAACGTCCACTTGAATCAAGGGGGGGGGATCAACGCGTTACTGTCTTTTTTTTTTTTTTTTTTCTTCTTTTGCTGATTGACAGGACTTCACCCACGCGGAGCGTGATTCGGACCAGGAATGGCTCGCCAAACAGGGTATCCTGTTGACCAACTACTTCGGCACTGGTCACACCTCGGAGCCCAACTACTGCTCGGCCGCCAGTGGTGACAGTTACGGAATGGACAATGATGACTTCCATCAGATCCCGACCAACGTCTCGACCGTTGCGGATCTCCTTGAAACCAAGGGGATCTCCTGGGGCGAGTACATGGAGGGCCTTCCCTTCCCCGGTTTCCAAGGGTACAACTTCTCCAACCAGGAGACGTACGCCAACGACTACGTGCGCAAGCACAACCCCCTGATCCTTTTCGACCAGATCACCAACAACGCGACCAGCCTGCGTCAGATCAAGAACTTCACCAGCTTCTACGATGATCTAGAGAACGAGACCCTCCCGCAGTGGGCGTTCATCACCCCCAACATGACCAACGATGCGCACGACACCAACGTGACCTACGCCACCCGTGTCTTCCTGCGTCCGTTTGTGGAGAACCTGATGAACAACACCTACTTCTGGAACAACACGCTCCTGATGCTGACCTTTGACGAGTCGTACGACTACCCCATCCCTAACCGTGTGTACACCATCCTGCTCGGCGGTGCTATCCCGGACCACCTGATCGGCACCGAGGACGACACCCTATACACCCACTACTCCAGCCTGGCGACCGTGGAGGCCAACTGGGGCCTGCCCTCGCTCGGCCGCTGGGACTGCGGTGCCAACATCTTCCAGCTGGTCTCCAACGCCACGGGCTACACCAACTACGACGTCGACACCACCAACCTGCTGATCAACAGCTCGCTGCCGGGTCCCCTGTCCCTCTCGGAGTACTCGCAGTACCGCTCCACCTGGCCCGTCCCCGCGACCGAGGGCAAGTGCTCGGCCGGCAACGGCATCCTCAAGTCCGTCGTCGACATGTACAAGGGCCGCGAGCCGACCTACAACTACACCGACCCCTTCCCCTACGATGTGAGCGCCGGACTGGACGTCGGCATCTCCTTCTCGCGCAACGGCACCGTCTACGTGACCGGCACTAACACCTCCTTCACCGAGGCCACCTCCAACACCTCCACCTCTTCTTCCAGCTCGGCTTCCTCGTCCGCCACCAGCGGTGGTGCCGGTATGACCTCCACCAACTTCGGTCTGCTGGCTCTCGGCCTGGCTGCCTTTGCTCTGGCGTAATCTGATTCTTTTCTTTTTTTTTTCTTCGAATGATCTTGCCATGACTGCTGATCATGGATGATGCTAATGCTCCTAATGAGTACTATGTAGGAATATAATCCAACTTGAAATCACTGGTTTATATATATATATATATATATGTAACGTAAGCCTGCTGCCACCAGTTAGCTTATATGGTCTTCCAGTACCGATGTAGAAGCAGATGCGCCTCATGCAGTGCATATACATACATTGACAGGAGCGTCGTAGTCTGTACAGCACATTTACTACCTATATCTACATATATCTACATATATCTACATATAATTACATCTACAACAGATGTAAGCTTGGAAGATGTCATTCCTATATTACACTATTTGTCTTCTGGTTTTATTCTCTTTCCAGACAACGGTAGAAGTTGAAATGTACTACCAGTCAGTCTCGAAGATGATGGAATGTTGGTCTTCGATTGTTTTATTAATACCCCGTCAGTCTTTGAAAGGACCTCAGTGGACTGTTTATTCTCAATCTATTGATTGGATGCAGTATTTCCAAGGTATAATCCAAGGATATATCTATACTAGGGAAGCATATTTCTTGTTCATAGATCAAGTGTGTAATTTTCTACGCAACATTGGTACTTGTAAGACCAAAAACCGACAACGAGTTCTCTTTCTCTCTTTGATAGACATTCAAAAATTGTAGTATACTACATAGTTAACTAGTTAACTAGTAACTAGGTATACCTACTATGTAAGTACTAATCTTACCGCCTCGAATTCTACAGCGAAGCTGCAAGGAGTCGGACGATCTTGTGGGATTCTGGATTGCCACCATCGCGTGGCTGGACTCCCAGCCTCAGCTTGTAGGGAACAGCGAGGAGAGAGAGCACGGTCAATCCTTGCCTGGAGGCTGGGCAAAACAATGTTGAACAGGAAGTCCATGTGGCGATCTTCAAGAGTTGCCAGCCGTAGGAAAAGGTGTTGTACGACACCGGGAGCCTGATCTGCGAAGCCCATCTAATTAGCTTCTAGAATACGAGGTAGTAGGTACGGGAGTTACTCTATAAGTAATCGGGTCCGAGAGAAACTATTAGATAGTGGACAGGTCATCGGATACGTAATCGTACGACTGGAGGTTACACAACGGCCTTGCAGCATCCCTTGATTGAGCAAGGAAGAGTACCTAGTAGCAAAGTGATAGCAATAACAGTAGTGTAGTAGTGTAGTAGTGTAGTAGTTAGTAGTAATAGTAGTAATAGTAGTGCTAGTAGTAAGGTAGTGTTAGTGTTATTCTATACGGAATAACAAACTGCCTGTATATAACAACGATCTAATCTACACTCGCATATGCACTACGGGACGCTGCAGGTCTATTCTTAGTGAAACAGACAATATCTAGTAATAGTACTATCAATATTACTCCGGAGTACGGAGGACGTACGGAGTACTTATCTAAGACTACTAAACTATACACAGGTACCTAGTAGTACCTATGGAGTAAGTGTACTGTAATACTGTATACTGTATACTGTATACTGTATACTGTATACTGTAATATATAATACACTAGTGGCTGATCCGCCAACGCACCGCCAGCTGGCGTGGGGGGAAGGGGAAAAAACAAGTGACGTGGTCGTTGCGCCCGCCAGTCGATAGTCGCCCGGATCAGAATGTTGAGGAGAGAGTCAAGTCGAAGGTGTTTTGCAATTTCCAGAGTACTGCTCTTTCTTCAGAGGACAGCGGACAGCGGACAGCGGACTCTGTACAGAGTACCTGTACAGAGCAGAGTAGAGAGAACTCCGTCCAGAGGACTCTTACTACTCCGTAGCTGCACGACGTGCAGTCGATCGCGGATGCATGCGAGGTTAATTGGAACAGTGCACTCGATGGAGAGTATGGAGTATCGACGGAAGACTACGGAGCGGATAGTACTAGTTGATACCGGAGGATGTTCCGTTGTAGTAGGGTATTTCTTGTAACTAGTCAATACAAGTACCTGGTGAGTATACCTAGTACCTAGTAAGTACCTACCTAGGTAGTAAGTACCTAACTTATAACTAACCGGGAGATCGACATGTCAGTAGAGTAGGTAGATATTCATATATCTGTATATGAATATATACTATGAATATTATTAGGTACTCTGTAGGTATGCTTTCTCCGATACTTCCTACCTACCTAATGTACTACTACCTAGTAGTTAGGTACCTAGGTACATAGGTACGTAGTAGGTTCGCGCTAACTAGGTAGAGAATCCATCATCTGGCCAATCAATCGCCATTAGATAAGCTTCAAGTCACATTTCCTTCAGACCTTTAATCTACTCCGTACGGAGTACGGAGTATTCTGTAATAACTATGACTAGCCGACTACCTAGTCTCCGGAGTCCTCCGTGCTCCGTGCTCCGCGCTCCGCGAGTCCGTCTGTTGGGACTCTACGAGTCCTCCGTCGTCTCGCTGTTGAGGAAGCAAGGGATGATCGACTGAAGAGCGGTGAGAGGCCTAGACCGGCAGATTGATTAGACGAGGTAGATGCCCAAGTAGATATCTGTGTAGTAAGTAACTATTTGGTTATTTAGATACCTAGATACAAGCACGGAGTCGCGTCTTAGGAGAATGGGATGATACTAGAGATGTAGGGTAATCATGCTAGATATTAGTGAATATCTGAATCTGGTAGATCCACACGGGTATAACCGTGATTCTTCGCAGGACTAGTCCGTAGAGAATACTCCGTTAGGACCTGGTACTCTGTACGGAGTACGGATTCCTAGGTACTAGGTAGGTACCTACTTAGTAGTTACTTACTACTGTAAGACAATACTAGTACTAGACTAGCTACCTAGTAAGTAACTGATGTATCGATTGCAATCTGGACCAACGATCAGGGGCGATCACGGGGCAGCTCGAGTGCAAAGCAGCTGACTAAGCCAAAAATCCCGCAGCGGGTCACTAACGCCGATCGTCCCGAAGCCTTATAGTGACCCACAGGAGTAATAGGTACAAATAGGTATTTGTACCTAACCTACTAGTACCTAGTACCTAGTACCTAGGTACTAGGTAGTTAGTACCGAGTAGGTATATACCAGGTAGTCCTCTACAAACGATACTGATTCACCTTGCGTGGAAGATAGCATACTAGAATAGAAGAATACAATAAATAATATAATACCTACTAGTAGTACGGAGTAATATAATACTAATACTAACTAACTAACTAACTAATCAAACGCAGGGTAAGGCTCCATACTAGTATTCCTCTAGTCAACTGTCACCGCCTGTCCCTGCTGACGGACGGCTGGGGCCAGCACTGACCGGGTCCACTTGGGCCTGTACGGAGTATTGAGCTATCCTCTGCTACTCTCAGTCGATTCATTCCTATCCTCCATTATTTCTCACTCGTCTGTCCATTTTCTATTCCATTCTCTATCCTATCCCCTCCAGATCAATCCTACATCCTCACGCTCTCAATTCCAATCCAACCGAAAAATCCAGGTACGTGGTGTGTTGTCGTGTGTTGATTGTTTACCTCCCTAGTACCTCAGTACTCTACTAGGTACTCTGTATTTATCCAGCCGCCGTGTCTCCCCCCTCTCCCCTCCTCCTCTCTTCCCCCCGAAAAAAAAGCCCCCATCGGTCCCTTCTCGGCCTGCCTCTTCATTCATTGATTTATTTTTTTTTCTTTTCTTTTTTCATTTATTTTCTTTTTTTCATTTTTCTATTTTTCTATTTTTCTATTTTTCAAAAATTGATTTTGTTATTATTGATTATTGGATTTCATTTCTTGCTGACCTGACTTGGTCGCCTTCATCAAGGGGGGCTTAAGAACACTCCTCTTACTACTCACTTACTCCTCTGTACACACTTTGCCTCCTCCATCCTCCTCCTGTTCTCCTGCAGACAGCCTGCAGCTGCACCAGTGCATCTTCAGATCGCTTCAGATTATTGTGAGTGGCTTCTCTCTCTCTCTCTCTCTCTCTGTCTGTCTGTCTGTCTGTCTGTCTGTCTGTCTCGCGACGCGTCGGTGCTCAACGGGCCGGTCAAGGCTGTCTTCCCACCTCCTGCGTTTGCCTTGTCCTCCTCCCTCCCTCTCCCTCTCCCTCTCCCTCTCTCTCTCCCTCTCCCTCTCTCCCACTCCCAGCCTTCCATCTCCACTCGACCCATCATCGGATTTCCTTTTATTTCTATTGATCCCCGGCTGTGCTCCAGCCCTGGGTTTGCTGCGAGCTTGAATTAAATAAATTACAAGCTCCCGGCGATCCTTCCCGCCGCACCCACCGACTTCTGCCGCCGCCGCTTCTGCTTCTGCTTCTGCTTCTGCTTCTGCTGCCGCTGCTGCTGGTGGATGACCTGCGTTGCTTTTGCTTCTAACGATCTTGCTTAACGACCCTGCCTGCTTATGACCCTGCCTTCTTGTTTCATCTTTTTCTTTTATTCCTTCTCCTTCTTCTTCTTCTTCTTCTTCTCATGACCTCACGAATTTAACTGTCGACTACGATTGCCTGTTTATTGACTCGTTCTTCTCGTCTCTTCTCCTAGACTTACGATCTGACGACCGACCGTCCCTCGCGAGATCTCCCGACCGTGTCTCCCCCCCCAAAATACCAACGATCGCCTTTCTCAATAAGAACCCAGAATCTGAGATCTCTCCGATGGTTCGCCCGCTTCGTGGCTTTCTCCCTTGACGATCTGATACGAGACCCATGAGACTGTACTTCTGTCTGCTTTGAGCCTTTTGCCAGCGATCGATTTACAGCCTGTTTGATTTTGATCAGTCATTCTTCTTCTTTCTGTTTCGATTCTTTTCATCGCCTTCCAAGCTTGGTCTTCTTTCCTATCATCTGGGATCTGTTTTTTTTTTTTTTTACTGAATGTAGATTGGCATTGAGCACGCTGCATTAGCCTTGACATTGTTCCCTGAGCGTTCCTCCACGAACTTACGACTTGTTGTTGCTGTTGATCATCATCCTTTTTCTCACTTTTTTTTCTGTACGCTCGGTTTCTCATCACCGTCGTACACACTCCCTCCTCCTTTCCGTCACCTCTCCTCTTTCTCTGGGGTTTTTCCTCCTCCAACCGAAAAACTGGAGCTACCGTCGATCTCCCAGGTCCACACCCGAGGCCCAGTGGATATTCCCTGGTATAACCATCACGCCGCCGAACGGCCCTTGCTTTCTGGTGACAAACTCCCGGCCCTCAGCTTACCTGCAGGCGCCCAGCCGCCCTACGCGGGCCACCTGTCCTTCCGGACCACCAGCTACCAGGACGCCTCCGCCTCGTCCGGGTCGAGCTCCGTCAGTGGCCGGGCCAGCTTCTCCGGCTCATCGGCCTCGGCGCTCAACGAACCCAGGAGTCCCCCCCTGCCCGCTGACCTGGGCTCCTCCTCCTCCTCCTCCTCCTCCAACTCCGCTGCCGTCGCCTCGATAGCGACCATTACCGGCAGTGGCAGCCACGCTCGCCTCTCCCTCGACTCCTCCGCTTCCGGCCCCGCCGACTACGGCTTGCCCGTCTCCAACCCGACCACCACCGAGCCCTACTACCCGGCCCCCTCCTCGCTCCACAGCATGAATCAGACGCAATCGTACATGGACGTCCATGCCTCACATCTGGCCTCCTCTCAACCCTATGGTTCTCAGGGCGCCTCCACCGCCCTCGCCCATTACCCCCCGTACCATCAGCAACCTCCCATCCTGCAGCCCACCTCTTCCTACGCCCCCGCCTCCTACTCCCAGTACGGCTATGCCAATGGCGTCGCCTCGCCCCAGTCCGTCTCCCAGCCCCCAGCCTCCAGTCTGAACGGCCAGGTCGCCGGCCAGCTTCTTCCATTACCAGGTATTTTGATCTCTCAACTCCTCTGTCTCGACACAACTAACAGTCAAAAAAAAAAAAACAAAGTGTCTAGCCATGCCGTCGCTCCTCCCGGCTACGGCAACACCTCCGGAACCCCCATGCAGGGCTACGTTTACGACACCACCGGTCAGATGGCTCCCCCGGGGGCAAAGCCTCGCGTCACCGCCACATTGTGGGAGGATGAAGGCAGCTTGTGCTACCAGGTCGAAGCCAAAGGCGTTTGCGTCGCCCGTCGCGAGGGTATGTTCTATGATTATTTTCCCTCTTTTTTTTTTTTTTTTTTTGGTACTAATTGTCAAGATAATCATATGATCAATGGCACCAAGCTGTTGAACGTCGCCGGTATGACCCGCGGTCGCCGCGATGGCATCCTCAAGAGCGAAAAGACCCGTCACGTCGTCAAGATTGGTCCCATGCATCTCAAAGGCGTATGGTAGGTTTTTTTTTTTTTTTTTTTTTTTTTTTTTTTTTCTCTAGGGTGGAAATACTTGAGCGAGCGCTTTCGCTTTCTGTGTTGTGTTTGGTTTTTTTTTTTTTTTTTTTTTTTTTTCTTTCTTTCTTTCTTTTCTTTTGCAACCATTCGAACCATCTGCTTTTTTGGGAAGTGTACTCAATTCAAATAGGATCCCCTTTGAGCGTGCCCTCGAGTTTGCAAACAAGGAGAAAATCACCGATCTGTTGTACCCCCTGTTTGTGCACAACATCGGCGGTCTGCTGTATCATCCGACGAACCAGACACGCACCAACCTGGTCGTGCAGGAGTCCCAGCAACGGCGGCTGGAAGGCCCCCCTGCCGGAGCGCGCCCTATACAGAACTCCCCCGCGGCGGCCACCCTCCACCATCACTCCCTCCAGTCCTCCTCCGCCCCCTCGCATCTCAGCCAGGCTCCGCCGCCCGCCGGCCCGCGCCCCGTTCTGGATCGGGCACACACCTTCCCCACCCCGCCCGCCAGCGCATCCAGTCTGATGGGCGTCAACCCGGGCCCCTCGGGATACGACTCGTGGAACAGCCAGGGCATGAATACGTCCGCCGTTCCCCACTCCCAACCGCTGTCCATCGACACGGGTCTGAGTAACGCCCGCTCCCTGCCCACTACCCCAGCCACCACGCCTCCGGGCTCCAACATCCATGGCCTCCCCGCTTCCTACCAGAGTCAGTCCGGCTACGACACCGCCAAGTCCTACTACTCGGCCGCTCCCGGCCCGCACACCCAGTACGCCGTCTCGCATGCGCCACTCCCGCCATCGACCATGACCGGCGGTTACGGACACTCTGTACCGGCCATCGCGGGCTACATGAAGAATGACATGGGTCCGCCGTCCTCCCATGCAGCCCGTGGCGGCGGTCAACATGACCCGGACGGAGCCGCTGACGTGAAATCGGAGCAGCAGCACCAGCACCAGCACCAGCACCAGCAGCAGCGGTATGCCTCCCAGACGAACGGCGCCTCTGGCGGTGCCGCCGGCAACGAGCAGCACCTCACCGATCAGGAATCGGAGTATCTGCATGATGGAAATGCAGCAGCGGCGGCGGCGGCGGCGGCGTATAATGTCAACCGCGGCTCCTATACGTACACCACCAACCCATCGGTCAGCTCCCTGACCGGGGGAGACCACGCGCCGCTCGGCGCCGCCGATCTCACGGGTTCCCCCTCTCAGCAGAATGGATCGGGCCGCATGACCCCGCGGACCAGTGGCGGCGCTCCCCAGTGGCCGTCCGGGTATAACACTTCGCCTCGGCCGGGTGCTGTCGCTGCTGCTGCCGCCGCCGCGGTAGCCTCCAGCAGCCTCTACAATGTCGTCAGTGACACGCGTGGGTCGGGGGCCGGTCCCTCTGCCGCAGACGGCTACTCGGTGGCAACTAACCCGGCCGCCAGTTACTCGTCGGCAATGAACGGCTCACTAGCCGGAGGTTCGACCAAACGCCTCCGCGAAGATGATGACTCTGACCGTATCGTCCGCCCCGAGAGCCGCGGGCCCGAGTTTGAGCACAAACGCCGCAAGACTCTCACGGAAACGCCTGTCGTTGGCGGTCCCGTCGGCGGTGGCGGCGCGCCGCTCGCCCTTCAGCCCATGAAGACGGGTGGAGTCCTGTCTCGTCGTCGATGATCCCTGGAGATGGTTTTTTTTTTCCCCCTTCCCCCACCACATTCAGGCAAACAAAAATCATTCTCCCTCCCTCTCTCTCTCTCTCTCTCTCTCTCTCTCTTCTGCTTGCAATGAATTCAATGATACTGCAAATGATCATAACTCCTGTTCTCCCCATCGGCATGAGATACGATTTTTTTTCTCTCTCTTTCTGTTATAGACTACATGTCCAACCGAGAAGCGTATATGAAGTTCATTGATTCAATACTCGTTGTTCGTGAATGGGAAAATGGGCAGGTAGATGCCCTGGCAATGGCATTCGTCCTCTTTTCCTTTTTCCCCCCCTGTCTCCTCTCTCATGTGCTTCCCTGTTTTACTGAAGCAGTGTGTGTGTGTGTGTGTGTGTTTTACTCGTTTCTTTTCATATGGTTCGGTGCTCTGGGTTCATCTTTGTGGCGTGTGTGCATGTGTGTTGTGTCTTGCCTCGTGTGCGTGTGCGATTTCCCGGCTATACTGACGATCATGAGTGACGAATCTCTTACGAATTGATTAGTTTCCCCTTTTCCCCCCCTTTTCTTTCCTTTCTGTTTCTTGTTTCTTTCCTGCTTGGTTATACTGCTTGGTCATACACTCGCGGCGGTCGAGATGCTACGGTTACACACAAAAACGCAAAAAAAAAAGGACCGGACGCCATGGATATCCGCGATATCAGCGCCTAGTCATTTCGATGTTACAAAAGCATGCATGAATTATGATTCTGATTGTAGTGCAGTCTGGACTGCCCGTCAGTATAGCTGTAAGTACGGAGCATTCTGTAGTACAGATAGTCTTCGACTCATGAATCATTGTGGGACAGTTATTTGTCATGGTAGTATCTATCTCAGGTCTCTGTCTAGTGTTGCAGCTCTCTCGTCTACCTCGTTTATTCTATCTGGTCTAGTCTTCTGTGTAGCTACAATGTATGACGGTACCACCTCCTCTCCGAAAGCACCCTGGTATAATCGGGTAGGAGGTTCTACAGTCTGCAGGTATCCAGAAGAATTGGAAAGGATAGAGAGGATAGAGGGGGGAATGGAAAGAAAGGTATAAAAAGACCATCACCATCACCGGAAAAGAAGCAGATCACCATCATCAACAGCCAACAAGATCAAGATAGTTCAGCTCTAAGATGAAGTTCATTTCTCTCGCCCTGATCACCCTGCTGGCCCCCGCTCTGGGCGCCTCGATCCCCTCCTCCTCCTCCTCCTCCTCCTCCTCCTCCTCTCAGGAGAAGGAGATGAACCCCAACCGGTTCAACGAGGTGACTCCCAACCAATTCGACGAGGTGAATCCTCACCAGTTCAACGAGAGGGCCAACGTCTATCCTGGCGGTCCCCCCCCTCCTCCTCCCCCTCCTCCTCCTCCTCCTCCTCCTCCGCCCCCGCATCACTACAGTCTGAGCCAAGGCCGTGACCTGCAAGAAGACCGTGGTGGGCTCATCGCCCGCGCCGAAGAAGATGATCACCCGCACGCTGGATGGGGTGGACCAGGCTATGGTCCTGGCGGATACGGTCCTGGATGGGGTCCTGGAGGGTATGGACCTGGATGGGGTCCTGGGAGGGGATGGTCTTCTTCTTCTTCTACCCAGCCCCAGATCAGGGATGATACCACTGGCACCACTGCTGATAAAGCTGTATAGTCTGAGTATTTCTCTTTATTTTATTTCATATTTTTTTTTTTTCTGATTTGCATGCTTGATATGCTGATATGCTGATTATTTAGACGGAGCTCTGTCATGGATTCTGTGGCACTGATTTGGTTTGTCGCTGCGAGGGACTCTTTGGTTGGTGTGAGACGCCTATGTGTCGGATTCCTGGGGAGGGGTGTTTGTGTTAGACCGTCTACTAGACTGTCTTCTGTCTAGACTGGACTGTTGTGATGATGAAGGCATTGGTAGTTAGTTGAGAGTAAGAGAATAAATGCCTTCTTCAAGCAGTACATGGAGATGTAGCCCAAAATGGCAAAACCAAAACATCGCCCGATTAGGCAGGCGGGGTGTCCACCTCCCAAAGTTTGGCTCAACCAGGGATAACAGCCTGACCTCCTAAAGATTGATTGAAAAAGCTACCTTCTAACAAAACGAAAACGAAATGCCCGAACCAAATACGACAAAGCCGACTGCGCCGCCGCCAAAATGTATTCCTTCAAACCACGAGGTCTTTGATCCCTGGAACTCCGCCTCAACAGGCCACCAGCGCGCCGAGAACCCGTACTCGCACACGACCGCCTGGCGGGATACCCGTCTGCAGAAGCTGTCGGCCCAGTTCGCCAGTGATGCTTCTCGCAAACGGGCTGGTGATTGGCGATGGATCTCCGGCGAGGAAGCGCAGCGGCGGTCCCTTGGTTGTCAGGATATTCGGTCCTTTATGGGTGTGACCAAGCGGAGAGTGGAGGCGAAGGAAAACCTGAAAGTAAAGAAAGACCTGGAAAAGGGAGACCTGGAAAAGAAAGACCTGGAAAAAGAAGACCTTGAAAAGGAAAGAAAAATCCTCTCCGGTACAACTATCTACATCAACGGCTCGACCATGCCTACCATCTCCGACCACCGTCTTAAACACCTCCTCGCCGAACACGGGGCGAGCATCGCGATCGGTCTTGCACGCCGCTCCGTCACCCACGTCATTGTCGCGAAGCCGAATACACGCTGCGGACACGGGGTTGGAGGAGGTCTTGCCGCGGGGAAATTGCAGAGAGAAATCGACGGGAGGACCATCAGGATGGTCGGCGTTGAATGGTACCTACTTCCCGAACTAACCCCTATAATTTCTATGCTAATGCTGCTTGTAGGGCTCTGGAAAGCATCAAGGCGGGGAAACGATTACCTGAATCCCGGTTCGCCGTGGTGCATGCGGCGAGTCGAGGACAGCGCAGCGTCAAGGCGTATTTCTGATTTTTTCTTTTTCTACTGTACTATATGACTAACGACTGTAATATGTATGATAGATGAGCTGTATACTATTCTTAAACAGGTCATAATTCATCTCATGACTCATGTACTCATACATTTCAACAAAGAGTAGATAAAGAAAACTATAAGAATGCGCCCTTCCCTGGCCCGCTACCTGGTGTACCTGCTGGAGGCGGGGTATACGAACCATCCAAGCCACCTTCTTCAAATGGGAGAGGAGGTAGCGGGTTCGGATAGCGAGGGGGAGACGCAGACGTGATGGAGCGCAATGCGCTAGGAGCGGAGACGAACGCGCCACCCTCGGGATGAGACTGCTGATACTCTTGCGTATGGGTATAGTAGTGATGATGGTCTTCATAGGGGGGGAAAGCAGAGGTTGACACGGTGGAAACAGAGGCCCCGTGTGGACGGGTCCTGCCGCGGCTATCACTCGTGGTAGCATTGAGGACACCGCTGCTGTCAGGGTCAGGGTCAGGAGGATGTTCGCCAAACCTGGAGCTATTGGAAGAAGAAGATGACCACCTCCGCTCCAGCTTCTCGTCCATCAGATCGTCGTCTCGGTCCGTGGCCCGCGAATCCCCCTTGACGAGACCTAGCCTCTCTTCCTCCGTTGCGTTCCGCACCGCCTGGCGCTGGTCCGCCGTGCTGTTCCGATGTGACCGCCGGAGAATACCCCGAGATGGGCTGCCGGCAGCTTTGGGTGAGGAATGATGATGATGATGGTGGTGGTGGTGGTGGTCGCCACCGCCGCCGCCGCCAGGACCACCTCCAGCGCTGCTGGCGGTAGCCTTGGTGCGGTTGAAGACGGTATTGAACGAGAACTGCCGGCGCGCGCCGCCGTGCGGGGGCGGGTCGGGCGCCAGGTGGCTGTTCTGGCTGGGCGACTGTTCTCCCTGGACCTCGTCTGCCCAGGATATCGATCGCGGCGTGTCACTGCGCTGCCGGCCCGTGACGAGCTGGAACGGCGGCTGCAGGCGACCCGCCATCTCGTGGCCGTGATAGCTGGTGTCCACTGAGATGTTGGTCATGGCTACAGGGTGGACTCCATTCTCGTCGTCGTCGAGGTGCTGTTGGTCCTCCAGGGAGTGCCACTGTGCAGGCTGGCTATGGTGGGAATGCAGCATGGTTGATGCACGGGAGCGCAGATCTTGGAAGAACGAATGCCCGCCCTGCTTTGTGCTTGGCCGGCTCATGACCTTGCTGGTGTCGCCGCCGTTGTTTACCTCTCCTTCTTCTACCTCCTCTTCCTCGGGGAAACGAGACATGCCTAGAGGTGGGCGGTAACTCTTGACCGAACCCGGCGTTCGAGGCGTGCGTGGCCTGGACATGGTCGGGCCTTCGCCGATCACCGTCTTGCGGCGCCGCAGCCCGTCCCACTCGATGATCTCGTTCTCGCTGGGCGGGTTAAGCTGGTCTTCCTGTCGTTCCCGGAAATACCGCCGAGCCTCTTCGACCTCCATCTTCCGTCGGGCGGTGGAAATCCGCCGGATGATAGCTGCCGTGCCTCGGATGGAGTCTGCCTTGGGCTCCGACTCCGGGTCCTCCACCGCGGCCACCTCGCGGATCTGGTCCAGATCGCCCTTGAAGACCGCCGCGTCGGGGATATCCTTGGCAGATTTCGACAGCTGCAGCAGCACGACCCCGGAGCAGATCTGGAAGAAGCCCAGGATGACCGTCGTGATCTCGATCGCGGTCCCCTTGAAGCCGCGGAACAGGATGGCAGAGGTGATGATCGTGGCGCTGGTGAAGAAGACGTAGTACGTTGGTGTTACCAGGGCGGCATTGAAAAGGTTCAACGCTTTCTACGGAGGTTAGCCTGATAAAAAGAAGGTGTGTGTGGGGGGGGGGGAGCAGAGAAATAAGACATACATTCAGATAGATGATTTCTGTCAGTAAAGTGCAGATGACAAAAACCAGCAGGACATACATGAACCACTGGTTGAACTGGGCCTCTCCGTTGATCTGGGCGAGGATGGCGGAGCCCAAGCCCTGCGTGGCAACGACGCTGAGGCCACCGACCATGCTGCAGATGCTGAGATAGACGAACATACTCTTCTTGCCGTAGCGGGGGGCGACCCAGAGCGCGGTGAAGATGGCGCCCACGATGATGACGCCGGCATAGGAGAGAAACCCCGGCGCGATGACATAGCTCTTCATTTCCTGGATGTCGGAGACGGAGGACTGCTGGGGTGCGTTGAGGGCGATGACGACGGAGCCCAGGATGCAGCTGAAACAGCCGACCTTGCCGACGAAGCTCAGGCGCTCCTTGAGGAAGATGGCCGACAGGATGGTAGTAATGACGACCGACAGGGCGCCTAGAGGGGTGACCAGGATGGCGTCGACAAAGGCGTACGCGACAAAGTTGCAGATTTCCCCCAGGATCATCAGCGTCATCCCCGACCACCACCAGACGTTCTTGAGGTATCCGTAGCCTTCGCCGGCCTCCTCGTTGTACTTGGCATTGGCCTTGAGTAGGCCGACCTTCTTCAGCACAAACGAGACGCCGATGAACAGGCCCGACGACGCCGCCAGCGTGATCCCAACCACCTTGTACGTCGCCGACCGCTCGGAACTCGAGCTGTCCGACCGGGCGACAATATCGGCCGCATGCGACACGAGAGCCCCGGTGAGGTCCATGAAGCCCAACCCTCCGCGACAGGTCTCTTCCGTAAGGGGATGTAGCGAGCAGAAACAGCAGCAGCAGCAGCAGCAGCAGCAGCAGCAGTAGATGTTGTTTGAACCCCCTACTTCTTAAAATATGACGTGAGACGATTTCCTCATGCCGTTCAAAGGGGCGTCCTAATTATAGTACTCAGTACACTTTCCCCCCTCTTGCTTCTTTGACTGTTCTATTTCCGCCCACGCACAAAGCGGCAACAATCCTCGAAGCTGCAGCTATCGACCGATCGGCGAACCCGATGACCGAGACAAATCTGGATCGCGGTAAGGTGCAAGGATGCCCGATGGGAGGAATGTGGCGAGCACGCTTCAGTGGCAGTGTCAGTGAAGCAAGGCGGGTTAATCGGTCGGAGGCAGCTCGTGGGATTGGAATGTGGACGTTTGAGACGTTTGAGACGTCTGAAGACAAGACTTGAGTGAGTCCGTGTAAGACAGAGAATCTGTTGTGAATCTGCAGGATAAAAACAAGAAGAATTAGAATCAAGTCCAAGAAATGATGGAATAGGAGAAAGCGTTGTCCTTGGAGGAGGCTGGGCCAGCCGCACTTCTCAGCTGAAGTTCAACATACTCACTTATTTCCAGCGATATCCAGACAAAATCACTGATTTTATTGTACCCTTGAGCAAGTATTTCAACAAGACAGGAAAGGAGTTCAGAAACAGGCACGACCGCAAGGATGCTGGGGTCAAGAATATCGTGAGATCGTGCACTGCGCAATCTGCACCGCCCACGCAGGGCCTCGAGCCGTTTCAGCTTGCGTATGTCACTGCCACGAGTGGATCTGGTCCACTGGATAAGAGATCGTGATAAATTTAGCTGTCTGGGCTTACGGAGTATCTCATCTGTGATAAATTAAAATACTCAGAGTCTCGCTGTGCTTCTGTGTAGTGTGTATTTGTCTGACTTGAATAGATAGTCAATAAATTCAACGTCGTTCCAATTCTTAGGACATATTTACCCTTAAACTACAATGTCATAGACTAGGGACGATCAGAGCGTTCCATGGAACAGACCCTGCGTCTGTCCCTGAGTAACCATTCAATGGATGGTGGAAATTAAGAACCATGGAATATTACAGTCTATAAATATGCACACTGTATAGACAGACCAGCTGCCATTCATTCTCACGATCTCATGGTATCATAACTCAATGCTCATAAAACAATCGATAGACATGATCATAATGACTTGGAAACGGAAAAAACAAGGAAGAAAGAAAGGGGAAAAAAATCATCGCACATGATAACTCGGCTTGCGGTGCTTGTTCACCACCGGAGGCTCGTCGTCAGGGTACGGCGGCCGAATTTTCCCTGCAAGAGGCTGCGCGCCGCCCGAGGGTGCAAAGGCAGCGCCCGGTGGCACAGGCATCGCGAGATGATGGGGGAGAGAAGGGGTGCTGATCTCCGCCGCCAGCTCGCTCGGCTGGGAGGTGGGATACGGGATCGGAGTCTTGGGAGGCACGGGCGGCGGCAGCATGGGTTCGTAGACGTTGTCGGCGCTACGTCGGGGCGGGGACCCGTGCGATGCTGGACTGTGGTGAGTCACGACCTCACCGGCGGACCGTCGAGCGGGGGGGACGTGAAGCCGTTCTTGAGGTGTAGGGTGGTGTGGAAGAGTATCGCGAGAGGGTGGGCGGGCGGCGGAGTTCGTCGTCCGATGAAGGTATTCCGAGGGGACCTCGGCGGGGAGTTCGATGGCGAACTCGTTCGAAGGACGAGCGGTAGGAGCGGAGGACGCGGAAACGACAGGTGCAGAAGAATCTGTTGGTAGGCTGTCGTCACCATCAATATCGCCGTCCTCGTTGGCAGCTGCCGCCCGCGCCGCCAGGCGGCGGTGCATGCGCTCGATCCTTGCAAACCGCACGCCGGCCTCGAGGATGGACTTCTTGACCTCGGGTTTGGCTAGGTAGCGCCGGGTATTGGTGCTGATGTCGGCCAGCCGGTTCCACTCGTTCATGCCAAACTCGCCGACACCGACCTCGACGTTCCAACGGAAGTAATTGTCCTGGGAGACATTGCGCTTGCCCAGGTGGTTGCGCAGCATGGCCAGGTGGATGTCCTCGCAGCCTTCGATTTTGGAAATGAGGCGCCGCCGCGCTTCAGCAAAGGTCCCCAGCGAATCGCCAAAGAAATCCTCCCACCACTCGTGTTGGCGGCTGTTGGTCCCCGACGGGCGCTTACCCGTCCCAATACTGACAAACACCCCGATCTCGCGGCCGGGCCACTCGTTGACGGTCGCTTCATCCAACACCTGCGGCGCTGGGTTGTAAGTGCCGGCGCCCTCATCGATGAAGACGTGCTGGCCGATCTGGATCGGCTTGAATGCCAGTCCGGTGGCCGAGGTTGCCCGGCCAGCCTGCCAGACGGTGCAGTTGAATTCGGGCGGAGGCTCTTTTCTCGAATCGTATGATCGAAGGAGGACGGCAGACCCGTGTTTTGTCGTGCCTTTATACAAGGCTGTGACGGCTCTAATAGAAAGTTAGTGGGATAGATAAGACACTTGAGCTTTGAAGATAAAAGAGATATCTCACGTCTTGGTTCGGTATTCCCGATTATCGTAAAGAAGCGCATCTGGATTCCCCCATCGCAGACCGTTGATAAAGGTCGACCCCCGCTGGCTGAGAGGGGTTGATGGAGGGTTCGAGGCCCCCATCGTGCTCACGCTGCCCCGACTCAAGGAGCGCTGCGGCACGGAGGATGGGCTGAAGGGCGGGCCGGCCATGGAATTGCGCGAGCCGCCACGGGGCAGGTCGTTCCCCTCGGCTTCGAAGACGGTGTGCTCGCGCACGCACTCGCGGATCGCCTCCTCCAGCTTCGAGGCCTTGAACAGCGTAGACCGGTAGGGGATGCCCGCGATCGTCTTGTCGGTTTCAAACACCTTCTTCGTCATCCGCACATACACATCCTTGCATGTCTCCAGGTCGAGCCGCAGGCGCCCGAGCATCAGTGCAATCAGACCGCCCGTGCCCGTGCCAGCAATCAGGTCGAAATAGTCGCATGGTTTGGGGATTTCTTCGCGCCGCGGCGCCTTGCCCTCACATTCAACGTAGACGCGGTACATGAGTTCCTGTAGGATGATGAGCATCGAATATCCGCGGACCCCGCCGCCATCTAAGCAGTCAGCTTTCTTTTCTTCCTTTTTTTCTTAGAAAAAAAAAAAAATTCATATCCTGTCAAGTAGGAGGCATACCCAATGACAGGACCCTCAGTGGAGGGCCTTTGGTCGTGTCCTTGCGACGCAACCCGCTTTTGTCCATGACCGACTCCTCCGAGTTTCCTCCCTTCTCAACTCTTGATATTGTCTTTTTGTTTCGATGGGTTAAAAAATTCCCGACCTCCCACGTGGAAACTTGTTCGCCTTTCCCGTGGGTGGTATGCGACCTTGGTACGCGAGAGATGACTGACACCCGATCGGCGATGCAAACACCAGAACTTAAATAGTAAGAGATGATGATATTGCCTATTCTGCGATAAAAACAGTCAGGAACGAAGAACTGCCCTCTGGTTCGAAGCGTGCGGATCGTGCGGACTCACCGGACAGGGACTGCAGGCAGCGATCAACGGTAGGAACGGCAGGGAAGACAGGAAAATGCGAGCGAAGAAGTCGAAGCGAGAGACCAGGGACAAGCCGCCACAAACAGGTCGCACGAGGGAGATGCCAGACTGTGAAAAGGAGATGATCAGAAGACGAGGCCGTCCTTTCAGTGAACTTGGAGTTGTTTTTACTGGAGATTCTCCCTCCGACGACGCCCCTCAGTGTGGCGGTGCTGGCTCACTGCGTCATTCCAGGCGACCCTTCGGAGGTACAGAGAGAGAACATCCACCGCCAGTTTGGCAAGAGACTACCTAGAGGTATTGGTACCTAGGTAATGTACCTGGGGAGTACTAAGTATAACGTGCCTCCCTATAGGATAATTACTCCAGCGACACGATGGCAAGTGCCCAAATGGATGAGACCCAAACGAATACGACTGTTCGTGTGGCGGTGCGGGGAGTCACCCTGTCTCGCCAGGCAGTCATTTGAGAGGAAACAGATGGATAAATGGGTTATGCTCTATAAAGGTTCTAGCAGGAGATTGAAGTACGTAGTTTAATGGTCTAATGAGCAGAGAGCATCCAATGTACAGAGTAGTGGCTAACATAGGTATAAATTCATGGCTAATGATAGCATGATCATTAATCATTCCATTCTTCAATTCGTCAACCCTGGCCAGTCTATAGAGTATTAGCATTGAATGGAGATCTGTACACAAAAGAGGCTCACCATAGGTAGTGCGTTCCGCGATCAGCCAGGGGACCGTGACTTCATCGCCGACGCGGACAAAGTCTCCGTTGGACTCCTTACTTAGAAAGGCATATCGTCCAAAGACAGGACTGTACTTGGCACCCTTATCCACGCGGCGGTCCTTCATCAGCTTCTTCAAGATCTTCCCACTCTCCCCCTGCCCAGCCTTCCCTGTGGCGTAGTCGACATTGATGCTCGTGCACCGCACACAGTTGGCCGTGAGTAATAGACGAGTGCTGTCGCCGCCCTGCTGGTCCCCAATCGCCAGCTCGCCCCAGAAGTCCTCTTCCCACGCCGTCTCCGCGCCGGAGATGACGATATTCGGCCGGAACTTGGTCACGTCCATCACCTCGCCTGTTCCGATCCGCCCTGTGACGTCGTGCAGCGACGTCTCAGAGACAACAAGGTACGGCGCGCAGTCGGCGAACGTGATCCGCTCGTCTTCATCTTCACCACCGTTATCCCAGCCTAGATACGGAATCCTCCCTGCTACCTTGGATAACAGGCCGAACGCACTATACGATGACGACGAGGAGGAGGAGGAGGAGGAGGGCTGACGATGCGCAGAGCTCAGTCGAGGCGAAAACGTACCCAGGACCCGCCGTCCATTCTCACCCAGATACGCCAACACAACATCGTACCCGAACCATCTACTGAACCAGTCGTTATAAAGCTGGCCCATGTCGTACGCCCGGGTTGGGCTGCCGTGTATCTCGACCGTAATCCCCGCCGAGGCGCCCAGCTCGTCCACATCCGGCTCGAGCGGGATCTCGATCCGCCGGTCATTGCTTGTTACATTATCTTTTGCACCGGCGTCTTCCTGTCCCGTCTTGTTTGTTGGCGGGTGATACGTCACCACCAGCGTCCCAGGCGTGTGGTCCGTGGGGAAGATGATATCCGTTTGGAACAGCCCCATCTCGGGAATATGGGAGATGTGCATATTCTTGGGCTTCTTCTTCTTCTTCTCCTCCTCCTTCTCTTCTTCTTCATCCGGTACCCATTTCAGCAGCATGAACCGTCGATCATACTGGAAGCCTTGCCGGGTTACCCATGCGTCAGAGAGGGCGGTGGGTCGTAGCGATTTGATAGGGTACGTATATAGCTGTACTCAGCTGTTAACTAGGAGCCAACTATATCAGTCAAACTATCTCTCACCTGGCTGATCCTCATTTTGGTTGAGTAAGGACAAAGGTGAAGAGACGTTCTACATAATCACCTTAGGTAGGTGCCTCTGACCCAGGTCTAGGTTAGGCAGGCACCTACTGTCCACTACATCCAGGTTAGGTGCATAAATCCGAGGGACAATATCCGCTTATTAATATCCAATCGGAATGGTCCCCTGTGGAAGGACATTCCTTCCTCTTTCGGAAGGCACGTGAGACTGGCGCCAAGAGCCTCGAGGCCCAAGACTGACAGCGGGCGGCGGCCTCAGGTCGGAAGACTGTGGAAGATAGGTAGAGTCAAGAAATAGATCGGAATTAAGAGTCTACATAGCTAGTTACTTCCATACCAAGTCACTACTCAAAGTCATATACTGCTTGAGTGTTATCTTATACTGCTAGCTAAATAATTCTAGTTCTAACTCGACTTCCAGATAAGAATGGTATGATGTACAGAAACCAATAGAGTACCGGAATCTAAGAAGGGAAGAGAGACAAAATGAGAATAATCAAGTGGAGCCCGAGAAATGGGGTATATATGAGAATAATACCTCAGGAAGAAACCAGATCATATACACAAAACGCTCGATGGGGATATTATAGGAATAGATGGGGGAGGGAATCCGTTTCCAGCCCGGTCAAGCAAAAACACCAAGGGGGATGCATTTTGAAAGAGAAGGAGAAAAAAAAAATCCCCTCAAAGCCTTTTTTTAAGGGGGTTTTTCTTACAGCTTGGAGTTTTCATTCACGTCGTCCACCACGCCGGTCAGACCGGCATAGGTAGGGCCCAGACTCGACAGCAGGGCACCGACCTCACGCTCTAGGGCGCGGACCTCCGTGTGGGGGTCGTACATGCGGGACTTGATGTAGTTGTCGAGCTCGTCGTCGCGCATGGAGCGCAGCCCGGTCTCGCGGTCGACCTTGGCCTCCTGGGCGGCGCGGATGACCTTGCGGGCGACAACGACGCTGACGGCACGGATGCGCGTCACGTCCGGGTACAGGAGACCCTGCTCGAGCTCCTCGCCGGTAAGGGCTTCGGCCACCGCAGCGCCCGAGGCGTAGATCATGCTGTCCGTCACCTCGACCGCCTTGGAGAGGATCGTGCCCAGGCCAATACCCGGGAAGACGTACATGTTGTTGCCCTGGCCCGGGGAGTAGGTACGGGTCTCGCCGGCGGAGTTGGTGAAGGAAACAGAGGGGAACGGCGAGCCAGAGGCGAAGAGCACCCGGCCGTCGGTGTTGGTGACAGCGGTCTCAAAGTCACACTCGGACTTGGAGGACGGATTCGACAGCGGGAAGACGATCGGGTGGGTGTTCCAGTCGGCCATCTTGCGCAGGATCTCCGGGGTAAAGACGCCGCCAAGGGTGGACAGACCCATGAGGATCGTCGGCTTCACGTGGTCAATGACCTCGTCGAGCGTGCGCAACTGCTGGCCCTCATTGTCCTGGCGGGCAAAGTAGACCTTGTGATCGGCGAGCTTGTCACCGCGGTCGGCGGTGACCAGGCCCTTGGTATCAACGAGGTAGAAGCAGGCACGTGCCTCGTCCTCAGTCATGCCTTCGCGTACGAAGAAGTCGACGATTTGCTTGGCAACGCCCACACCGGCACTACCCGCTCCCAGGAAGACGGCACGGTGATCCTTGCAGGGGAGCCCCGAGCGCTTGACAGCGTTGATGACACCGCCCAGGATAACCGCACCGGTCCCCTGGATGTCATCGTTGAAGCAGGTGTAGGTGTGTCGGTACCGCTCGAGAGAGGGGAAAGGGTTCTTGAAGTCTTCGAATTGAATGACAATCCTATCCAGGTTAGTTTTTGGTTTTTTTGGGGGTTCTTTTGATTACAAGTTACTTACCCCGGCCACCTCTCAGTAAGAGCGGTCATCAGCTCGTCCATAAACTCACGCTCCTCTTCCGGGCTGATCTTATCCCGGCGACTACCCATGTACAGCGGATCTTCACGGAGGGTCTTGTTGCCAGTGCCCAGGTCAAGGGTCAAGGGCAGAGTGGCCTCGGGACGGATGCCCGCACAGGCAGTATACAGGGCCAGCTTGCCGATGGGGATACCCATGCCGTTGATACCGAGATCTCCAAGTCCGAGAATGCGAGAGCCATCAGTGATGACGGTGATATCGACATGGGGTTGCGGCCAGTTGGCAATGACGGCGGCAAGGTTGCCGCGATCCTCCCAGCTGAGGTACATGCCTACCAAGATGGTTAGTCTCTGAGACACTTTTTTTTTTTTTTTTTTTTTTTTCTTTAGCACACTTACCCTCGGGCTGCTGGTAGATTTCTGACCATCGTTGGCATGCTTCGCCAACCACAGGTGTGTAGATCAAAGGAGTCATTTCCTATTATGGTCAGTAGGGATTTATTGGAGAAGGGTTTTTTTTTGTTTTGTGGGCTGTACCTTCAGGTGGTCAGAGACCAGACGGTAGAACAGATGCACATTGTTCTTGCGGAGGGTACTGAGGTAGAGGAATTTATCGATAACGGTGGACTTGAGGGCCAACTGTGCCAGACCTGTGGTGAATTAGGTCAGTATCAAGTAGGGAGAGAGAGAGAGAGCCAAAAAAAAAAAGGTGGTGTTGGTAGCATACATCTTGTCTTCTGAACCTCGTACGACTCCGCACGCGGGGGTGTGAGGCCGTATGTGCGGAGGTATTTGCGGATATAGGAAGGGTTGGCAGTATCGTAGCTGGCTTCTCTATAGATGGGAAAAGAGATCAGTATGATGCAGAAAGAAAGCCAGGGGAGCGCGCCTTCGCGGCGACCAAAAAAATTGAAATGAAGACTCTTTTGTGAGGACTTACACCGGCGCAGCGTGGTTCACGTATGGGGTCGCGTGGACCGGACGGGACTGAGGGGCAGCAATGCGAGCCATCTTTTTTCCCGGATGCACGACCAGTGGATGTCTTCTGATGGACGGGCAAGAAGAGGGAGGATAAGATGAAGCAGGAGAGAAAAGGGAGCGAGCAGAAAGAGGTCTTGCGACAGGCGCAGCCCTGGAAGTATTATGTATGTGCGCTAACATGGCCCCCTGAACTGGATTGAGTCCACACAGGCATCCGACACGGGTCCGACTCTGGAAAGGCAGTTCCGTCAGAGCAAATAATCGTCAGGAATGGGAGTGCCGGGGGGGGGCGAGAGAGGGGGGGGGTCTCACCTAATGGCTATCTTGAGCAGGGTGATGACTCTGCGACATGAGATCGGGAAGAGTCGGGCACCAGGGGTGAGGGTCGGGATCGCTGTGACAGTGGATCTTTGGGCAGCCTTCAAAGGTGGCAGAGCCTAGAGGCGTCAAGAGAGTACGAACATGGGCAGCTTCACCAGTCATGAGCCAGGAAGACCGGGCTGGTCGTTGCCTGGCCCAAGGATTAATAAACGGGGCGGTCGAAACGAGGAATCGAGAGGACGACTTTTCGAAGGAGTGGAGCCTCGAAGCAGACCAAATGCGGAGAAAAGAGGGAAGAAAGACGAAAAAAGGAAAAAGAGGAACACGGACAAGGGCAAAAAAAGCCTCAACAAGTATCAACAGAAGCTCAACGGAGTTCCTGTGCTGGTTGCTACTGTGTACATGGTGGTACGGAGGCATTCCTTGAGGTTTTTTTTTTTTTTTTTTACAGGGGGAGGGAGGTACGTAGTAGTCCCTGGCGGTGAGAGGACATTACAGCAACATCTTCCCACACTGACAATCTGGTGACAGTCTTCTGATCGCTCAACTGTCATGCTATTATCATTGCTCTAGGTACAGAGTACCAATGCAACGAATTCTATTGAGGATTTCTATCCAGGTACGAATTACTAATTAATGACGAGTACTTTTGTCGTACTCTACCGAACTCCGACTAGTTTTCGGAGTAGGTGGAGCTGAGGGGAAATTTCTCCAACTGACTCCAACTCCTTACGCTGCGATGTACAGAGTACTGCTACTCATAGAGTACAGAGTACTGATAAACTGCTACACAGGGTGAGGCATTTATTTGGGTACTTCGTATAACTGCTAAATTAGGTATTCAAAAAAAAGTATACCTAGTACGTACCTAGTACCTACAGAGTCAATTGACTCATCCCTCAAGCTATCGAAGGAAGCCCTAGAATTGGAGCAGGAGGAAGAGGGGAACGCAGACGAAAACAAAAAAGAAATCTTTGCTTGCCGGTGGAGCAATATTACCTAAGACTGCCTCTAGATTCTCTCTAGAACTTCGTCTCCCCCGCACACTAGAAAACCAGACGGCTTCTGACTGGCTGTAGCGAGCAACCGGCCCGACACCGGAAGCTGGCCGAGGTGAGAACCCGATGTTTGCTGAGTCAGCTCCCGATCTGACTGCCGATGGGATTGCGATTATCCAGTGGTCGGTCAATGGTCAATTTATAAGTATGGCAGTTGAATAATGTCAATGACTTGATTTAGCTTGAGTAATTGTATTATTGTATTAGCTATATAATAGACACTGATACAGTGTGAACTACCCGTGACGCCTACAGAGCTGCTATCTAGTATCTACAGTAGTTGAGTGCCCACGCTTCCGTATTAATTGCTTCAAATACACCATAGAGTACTCCGTAGGTGGTTACTAGGTAACTACCTAGTTAGTAGGTAAGTGTATGCTAGATGCATAGGAAAAGGCATCCGCTAGTGCAGCCAAGAAGGGAGATAGCTTATCCAGAAGAATATGGGGTAGAGGCAAACAATACCATCTCCAATTCTCCACCGATAATCAACTCCGACTACCAAGTATACTCGCAGTATCACCCTGCAGGTCTGCCTTTACTGATCTCACCAGATTTTCCATTTCCCATTTCCCATTGAGTCATATCATCTCGCTCGTCGGTGCCTCGGTCTGGAACGTGCATGGAGATCGCAGGGTTCAACGTCTCCGCATGGAATTAATCCCTGTTGCCCGTCATTATCGTGCTTGATGCACCCTGCATCGGAATCGTTGCATATGCGTAGAATGGCCGAGGCTCATCTTGGTGGTTTCCTCGGTCCCATGTGGGCTTCTTCGGTAGAGCCTGTCGCGACGAACATGTCATTCCGATGGAAGAAATACAAAAGTGCAATCAACGTGTCAGCGCGTAACAGCTGGAGATGGACTGTAAACCGGGCCTCGAAAAGAGATACCTACTACCTAGATACTCTGTAGCGACTCGTGAGAGACATGATCCGCAGATACCTCAAGGCTCAGGCCAGTGACTCACCTCGGGTGCTTGGGCTTTGACATCTCCGGGATCTCAAGGAAGCGCTTGTTATCGTGAGTTAGCCCCTGTTCAAGCCGGGGTATCCGATCTCCAAGTCTAGATCTGTCTATCTTTAGTAGAGCCCCGTCAGACCCTGCGATAGTTTTGGTAGATGGAGGCTGTTGGCTGGAGAGCACCAAAACAAATGTCCACTATCAGTTAGCCAGCCACATGACCAGGCTAGAAGTGTTACCCCTCACCAAACTTCCTCCTCCGCTTGTCTCTCATATTCAATTAAGACAAACCAGCTTCTAAATTCTAGACAATATTTGCTAATGATCTCTTTTAGAAGCTATACTGTCTCAGTACGGAGTACTACTGATAGAGTCTACGGAATACTCTCATACTCACCGGCATTTTCGAGATCGAATATCGGCCTTTGGAGAATGGCAATCCTTCGAAGACACAATTCTGGTTATCGGTGAAACACTTGAGAAATATGCATACCGTCACATCGGGTGGGTAGAGCTTGGTCTTATAACATGAATGGAGAGCATAACCGGTTGGAGATGAGGCAGGAGTTTGAGGTCGATTTCGCAGGAGGGAAGGTCCTCTTAAATCTCGACCTGATTCTCCCTCACAGAACTGAGTCTTCGAATCGGTGGAAAACAAGGTCCAACTGGCACGCCTAGAATGAAATCTCTAGTGGTGTTGAACGGTAAGATAGAAGTTCCTCGGCTTGTTCTGTCGTACATCTGGGCTCGACTGAGCAATAGTCAGCTATTAGGCCAGCTCACCAGTAAAAACTTGATACTCTTACCACTGGTTATCGATATCTGAATAATACATGAGGGTTCTATAGGATTATACTCATTATTTCACTCCACACTAGCTCTATATATTACTTCGTCACAACTCATTCTTTACTCGGTCAATTCAGTCTATAGCACAATCTCACCAACGCAGTCTATTAGCATTCTATCTAGGTACTTAATACCTTGGCCAAGTACCACCTAGATACCTTGATTATGTGTAGATACTCGAGTATTGAAATACTTCAGTAGGTGTTGACTTGTTCTCCAATACTACACGCTTTACCTAGTCTGGAATAGCTGAGGGGAATTTGGGGTACTTCCATGACTAGCAAAATAGCTCCTGATAAGAGGTACCTCCTACCCAGTTTTAACTCCACCAGCACATTCAATCAGTATTCTATATTCTATATTCTACTCATTTGATACTGCCTGATTACCTTCAATATCATCTATATTCTCTCTTTCATCGAGAATCCGCTTGTGGCCTGCTAAATCCCTCCCCCGTGCATGACGCAATGGCACTGATTGGCTACGCGTCATTATCATACCACTCAAAACAGGTTCCCTGAATAAAGTATGCAGCTTGGATATCCAGCTTCCCTGGCCTACGTTGGTAGGCACTGTCTCCCTGTATCCCCGATGATCCTCATTGCCTCTCCAGACACTCTCTGAGGCAATTTATCCCTTTTCAACCCGTCTTCCCGTCTGCTGCATTCATCCCTTGACTTCAGAACACCCCGTCAGTATGCCGCGAGGGGATACGGAACCCCTCCTGCCTCGCTACGAGGATGAGACAAGTCGCAGACGCCAGCTGCATCCGAAATTACACACCTACCAGATGTTCCGTGCCCTGTCTGAAGGGTACATGCCGTCTACGGAACAGGCCATCGCCAATCTGCGAACCCTCCTCGCGCTGGACATTCTGAGCCCTCGCAACGAGGACCTCTCTGCCGCTGGTCGCCAGCTGGTCCGGGACTGCCGCCTGTCGATCCAGTTGCTGATCGAGCTGCTTAGAGAGAAAAACGGGCAGGACCAGATCCAGGAGTTTCTCTGGCATCTCGCCAGGTCGCGTGCGTCGTTGGATGCAGAGAGCGTATCGGCACGGGCATCTCAGGCTTCAGCCAAGAGAGATACAAAAGCAGGTATAGCTACTTCAAAATAAAACTCAATGGGATTCACTCAAATTCTTTTCTCTTTTTAAATTATTTTTGTTAATCGATTAGCTTACGATAGCTTCCGGATTGTGGGCAATCTACTCCTCACCAATGCTGACTTTCGCCTCTTCGTCGACGACCTGACCACGATCGGCCGTCAGATCTTCTCCGATACAGCTCTCTCGCTCTCCCAGGCCTCGAAGCAGGTCAGCCGTGAGATCAAACCGTCCGAGCAGGATCTGGAAGCAATCAGCGGGGCAGGAGCCGACAGCGACAAGGCGATTCCCTCGGACGAAGCCATCCGTCAGGGCGGGGAGGAGATCGCCAAGCTGGCCGGTGATGGTCTGGCTCGCACAGGACACGACGCGGTTCAAAGTGCTCGAGACAATCTGACTGGCGGGAACAAGGATGCGCTGTTTTACCGGCTGAAGCAGACTGTCTTGAACCTTCGAGAACGTACAGAGTATTCGGATTCGGTAGCCACGCTTGCGCGGCTCGTACAGCGATACGCTCAGATCTACTCCACCGTGGCCGAAGACACGATCAGTGCTGTGCACGAAGATGTCGATGTCAATGCAGATCTCAGGGAGGCGGTCCGGGGCTTCTGGGCCGTCTTGCGTCAGTTTGGCGATGCAGAAGAATGGTCAGCTCTGGAGAAACAGTTTCATACCGTGATCGAACATGCAAACCGGGACCCCGAGTTCGAGGCCCTGATGTCGGAGATGGGCACCGCCTTGCAGAGGGTGATGACCGACCCGGACTTTTTGGACTCGGAGGAGGCATCCGACAAGGTTGATGAGCTCAGGGGGAAGACCAAACAGCTCGGGTCTGAATCCACCCTCCGCCAGGACATGGATGCCTTTTTGGAGCAGACCAAGCGCACCCTGCGTACCGTTCCCGACGATCCATCGGTGTCCAAGCTAGTGGACGTGGCCCGCAAGATGGGCACGGATCTGTATGCTGCAACGCAGGATCAAAAAACCAGCCTGCTTTCCGACCTGAGCGACATCTTTCTACCTTTACTCATCCGATCCGTCCAGTTCATCCCCATCCCGCGCCTGGAGATTTCCTCGCCCGAGCTGGACCTGCTGGTGGAAAACCTGATCCTCGAGCCGGGCCACTCGATCAACTTCTCGTCCTTCCTGCCGTACCGCGTCCACATGACGACCCGGAACGACATCGATGTGACCAAGAAGCACTCGAAGCGCGTCGTGACGGACACCCAGACGACCTTCACCGTCACGGTGTGCGGGCTGAACGTCAGCGCAGAGGAGTTTGGGTACTGGCTGCGCGCCCACGCGGGACTCCTCCTGCACGTCAAGGACGAGGGCATCGCAAGCTTCCACCTCGACAGGCGCGGGATCGACATCTCGCTCGACGTGCAGATCGGGCGCGACCGGCTGGGCGAGATCTTTTCCCTGCGCGGGGTCCGCGTCCGCATCCACAAGCTCGACTACACCCTGCACCGCAGCCGGTGGAGCATCCTCCTCTGGCTGGCCAAACCGTTCCTCAAACAGCTGATCCGGCGCGTGCTCGAGAAGCAGATCGCCGAGCAGATCGTCGCCGCCGCCACCGCTCTCAACCGCGAACTGGTCTTTGCCCGCGAGCGCATCCGTGCCGCCCGCATCGCCAACCCGCACGACCTCGCCTCCTTCATCCGCGCCGTCCTCGCTCGCCTCAAACCCCGTCCTAACCCGGACATCTCCGCGCGCGTCGGCCTGTACCCGCCCCGCGAGGGGGTCTTTCACGGCGTCTACGCCCCTGGCAGCCTCGTCAAGATGTGGCACGACGAGGCGGAGCTTGCCCAGGACGCCATCGACGAGGGGGATCACGACGGTGGGCTGCGGCGGACATGGCGCAATGACGTTTTTGATGTAGCCAGATGACTACCAACTTCCCAGTATATTGCCAGTGAGAGTAATCAACACGATTGAGTTCAATAGTATGGATTCTATAGACTGTAGGACTCCGTATAATAGTCGCTACTCACCACAGTCACCCATCTGTCACGCTCACGTGACCAACCAGCCACCTAAATGTTATCTCAAGTCGATCTTCCTGCACCGACAGAACCACTTCAGCTCTTCCTCGGTGGCAGTGGGATTTACCGGTGCCATGCGCTAGATATCTTGTCGGCATTCCATTTCTTTTCTTTCTTACGCAGTCGAATCTTTCTTTTATTTCTGACTGGATCTGTTGGCTCAGCGGAGATGCGTCTCCTTCGCTGCTGCTTGCTCGGCGTGCTCGCCCTGTTCTGCCTGTTATCCGTGGCGTTTGCAGCGGAGGACTACTACAAGATTCTGGGGTTGGACAAGGCTGCTTCGGAGAAGGATATCAAGCGGGCGTACCGGACGTTAAGCAAGAAGTACCATCCTGACAAGAACCCGTATGTAGACATTACTCTGCATCTATTTTTTTTTGTTTACTTTTGTTTGCTTACTGCGAGTAGGGGCGATGAAACAGCACGTGAGAAATTCGGCGAGATAGCGGAAGCGTACGAGGTTCTCTCGGTAGCGAGCACACGCAAGATCTACGACCAGTACGGACGAGAAGGGCTCGAGCAGCATCGACAAGGGGGTCAGGCCGGGCGGGCCGCACACGATCCGTTTGATCTGTTCTCGCGGTTCTTCGGGGGCGGGGGCCATTTCGGCCATGCGCCAGGCCACCGTCGCGGGCCGGACATGGAGATGCGGGTTGCGTTACCGCTGGCGAACTTCTATACGGGGCGGGAGATCCGGTTTGTGATTGAGAAGCAGCAGATCTGCGAGGCGTGCGAGGGGACAGGGTCTGCGGACCGGGAGGTGGTGACGTGCGACCGGTGCAAGGGCCACGGGATGGTGATTCAGAAACACATGCTTGCCCCGGGGATGTACCAGCAGGTTCAGATGCAATGTGACCAGTGCGGGGGACGGGGAAAAACCATCAAGAAGCCGTGTGCGGTGTGTCATGGGCATCGGGTGGTGCGGAATGAGGTGGAGATCTCTGCAACCATCGAACCGGGTATGGACAAGGGCACGCGGCTTGTCTTTGAGAACGAGGCGGACGAGAGCCCGGACTGGGTCGCGGGCGACTTGGTGTTGATTCTGGATGAGCAGCCCGCGGAGCTGGGTGCCAGCGTCGAGGAGCGCACCGACGGCACCTTCTTCCGCCGCAAGGGCCGCGATCTCTTCTGGAAGGAAGCCCTCTCCCTGCGTGAGGCCTGGATGGGCGGCTGGTCGCGCAACCTCACCCATCTCGACGGCCATGTCGTCCGTCTGGGTCGCCCGCGCGGACATGTCGTCCAGCCGCTCTCCGTCGAGACCGTCCGCGGCGAGGGCATGCCCATCTACACGGAAGACCATCTACATAACAGCAACAATGACGACGACGAAGATGATGTAGAGGCTGGCAATCTCTATGTCGAGTATACCGTCATCCTGCCGGACCAGATGGAGAGCGGGATGGAGAAGGACTTTTGGGCGCTGTGGGAGAAATGGCGCAAGCAGAACGGCGTCGATCTGGGCCAGGACTCTGGCCGACCTATGCCTCCTCCCTTGTCAGGGAAGGATGAGTTATGATTGTACACCAGATGTGATAGAGTATACTTATGCTGTACAAGATGGTATTCTGTAGTCACTCCGTACAGAGTACCTACTCTGTACTCTATTAATACAGTAGTGTATGTTGATCAACTGTACTGCCAATCAATACTGAAAAGGCCTATCCAGAATGACGATCTCTGAGAGCTCACACGTCTTCATATATTATAGTTTCTACAGAGTATACAGATACCTCATTACAAGTAACTATTCAGTTGATATAATAATTACTCTTATTTAACAGCCCTACAGCTCTTCTCTATTACTTAGTTCATCATTATTTACCTATTTTAACTAGAGTACTGAGTCAGCTGGACCCTGTCCCTGCAGTAACTGGTCTATTGACTCATGTACCTGTAGTATGCATATGCAGTCCGGATTCTTATCCATTCCCATACATGGTACTATTACTCGACCTACGTTGTAGTATTAGTTACGAAGTAATTAAGTATGGAGGTACATAGTATATAATGTAGGCTAATTTGAACCAGACGATTCGACCGAGGAAGCCGTCTGTATTGTGGAGGTATTTACGGAGTAGGACGTACGGATTTAGTACCATCTAGTACTATTTAGTACTATTTGGTAAGTATCTGTACGTATCTGTATGGTACTAGGCACGGTTCGGGCCGACTGACCCGACAGCTCGGGGATAAGAATAACAGTATATAGTTACAACAAAATACTCCGTACTACTTAGTTTTAAGTGCAGTTAGAATAGAGTGATCAATAGGTACTCATCATTTGGTTAGTAGAATATTACTCCAGAGTAAATGTTGAAAAAGTTATATACTACGAAGTACTTCTTCTACTATACTCCGTAGCGGTGAGGCTGTCTTGGCAGTGGCTGCGACACGGGTGGGAATGGGTGGATGCCACTGGAGGAATTATATACTTCCAATAGTTAGTAGGTACCTACTAAGTACTCTGTATGGACTAATAGATACAGAGTACATACTAATAGTCATACAGAGTACTTACTACCAGTACTACGGCACATCATTGGCAAGTCAAGCCGACATGTGGAATTAACCGCCGTGGGTTGGACAGCGTCACGCCGGCAGATGTTTCATCTGATTCTAGAGTCGTAAATACCGTCTATGGTTGGTGTCTATATTAAGAGAATATACTATAATATGTATGTAGTAGTGTAGTAGAGAATCTATTGTATAGGTAGTTGTTACTATAGTCTAGACTGCGGGGCATGGCGCTATCACAACAAGTCGAACTTAGTCTCAAACAATGCGCAAGACAAGCAGGGTCCACACCAAATTTTCCTCAGTCGGTGAGGGAGTACAGAGAGAGTACTTATCTACGGAGTACTTCCTAGACAACTTGGAATGTATACTGTCAAGTTGTTGTCACCAGACTCCTCCCATGGCTCCCCCCCTCCATTCTGCTGCCCAAACCAGGCGTTGATCGCCCTGTCATTCTCTGCTTTTCCATCGTGCCAATAGAACGAGCATCTGCTGTGCAGTGTACTCGTCACCTAGTTGATCGTGGCAATCCTTGATACTACTGTTAGCCAGGAATAACCTGGAGAAATGAATAAGAGGCACTAGAAAAAAGACTCCTTCGTTTATGGCGCCCTGGCGCCCTTCACATGCCCCCCCCCAGACGATCACTTCACATGGGCCCAGTGATCACCACCCTTGCATCACCACCACAGCCTTCCTCGCCTTCTTCTCCTTTCTCACTTTGTTGTCCTCCCTCGCCAGGTCATGACGTTGTGGTCGTGGAGACTGGAATGTTGGACAGCTTGTCGAATACAAAGACCATCTACAACACCCTCACCGTGACTGAGCTTGCGCTGCGCAGCACTACCGATCCCACAGCCAAACCGTCGTCCGCTATCATGACTCCCCCCTCCCCTTCGATTCCTAGTGATGGCTCGCCGAGGCAGCTACGCAGTCGGCCGGCGTCCAGACGCAAACATGTCCCGTCTCGCGAGTCGTCCAGCTCGACCACCCGAAGCCGCCAGACCCCTCAGCAGACGCACCACCACCGCCGCGTGGCGACTGCCTCGTCGATTGTTTCGCCCGCACATGCACACTCCCATCGTCGAAGCGAGGGAGCTGTATCGCAGAAGCAGCGGCGGGAGGATTTGCTTGCCCTTCATCGGGAATCTTGCCGTCTGTTTCAAGAAGATTCTCATAAGATCACACCTACTACGATGAGCTCGCCTACGGGTGCCAAATTCCCCCGTGCTCCAAGTACTATCACCCACGACGAGGGCAGCCGCACTCCGTCCGAACTGGGGTCTCCGTCGTCGTCTCCTCTGCTGCGTGCTCAGCGGCTCCCGCCGCCCCCGTCTATAACTGAACAGTCGCCCGCCCTCGAGTATGACCATGCCTTCCTCCACCAGAATGATTCGGACTTGGATTCCATTCGCAGACGGCCCGATCCCCGCCAACAGTCCGTGGGGGAGACCCAGATCCCCTCCAAACAACAACCAACAGCCACCGTGATCGACTGGACTTCCCCATCCACCCGCAAGAGAGAGTATGAGAAGATCGACCGTGCCAGCCGCGGCGTGCGAGGGTTCTGGCGCCGTGTCGCTCCCAACTGGTGCCAGACCCAAGATGCCCGAACCCCCTTCTTCGAGCAAGACAAGGACGGCAGGGGCAATCACGAGGGCAGCGTGCGACGCTTCCGCATGGATATCCCCGACGAACCGGAGACAGAAAAGTCTCCCGTCAAGCTGGAAGTCAAGGTTGCCGCCACACCACGTTCAGCAGATCGAACAGACGACCGCAGAAAACGACGGTGGTTCTGCTTATAATTTCTTCCTAGCTGTGTCGACTACTAACTATCGACTCATCATTATCTACTAAAAAGTTTTGTCACGACGTCACGACTTCGACTCAATACATCCTTGTATGGAAGGACACTCAGCACAACTGGCGCATTGCTGCATATAACGATACCACCACCGTTTATTCCTACTTTCCTGTGTCTATTCTTCGACAGCTCAGATACCCTTGAGTTAGATTCCTAATATCAAACGAATATCATTAAAAAACATTGAACCATTGAACCATTGTTCTATTTTAAACTCCAACGCCGTAGCATAAAACAAAGGGTATCTACATCAAATCGAAATCGTCCATCTTATCCCGGTACCGCATGATCGTGCGCTTGATCTTGCTGGAATCCACCCAGGTCACAAAGTCCTCCATGTTGCGCGTCACCAAGAACGCAGGGTCGGTAACCACCTCTGTCCCGACGCGGACGTGTCCTTGCTCGATGAACGTGACGGCCTATAAATTAGCAAAAAAAAGACACACACACACACACACAAAAAGGCTAAAACCATAGTACTAAGGAAAGAAAGAGAGTAGTACCGCTTTGATGGTTTCCACCATCCCACTTCGAACCATCAACACGGCAAGTCTCCGTCTACAAAACGCCGAGACGGTGACTTCCCGCTCGACACGACTCAGACCAGCCCCCTGCTCGCGGTTCTGTTTCAGGATCCCCATCCGCCATAGTTTCTCAAGCACCTCGGCCTCGACTTTCTTGCGGAGCGGGTCCGAGTCCGGATCGAGAGCGGACAGCTTGTGAGCTAGCTGGCGGAGCGATCCCGCCAAAGCATTGTATTTCTTGTAGTCGACGTCGTTTTGTAGGTGGTACCGTTGTCGGATGGTGTGTTCGCGGTGCGAGCTGTCGGATTTGTACGAGTAGAAGTCTACTTTGCGGAGAAGTCTGGAAATGAGTATATACATACATATATATATATATCTTTTATAGGATACTGTACTTACTTCTTCTCGTGATGCTTCAGTTGACGGACCATTTTGGCAAATGTGATATATATTGATTGTCTTGGACAAACGCCGTTGATATAAAATTTAAGGAATGTGGCGGTGTGTTCTGCCGGCAGATAGTCACCGCGTCACGTGAAAGTTACAATTATGTAATCATTCGAATGCTATCCTTATACTTCACTATGCCACTATGGTTCAACTTCAACTTCAATACATCACAAAGTATACACGAACTCGTGGTTCTCCCGGTCCGTCAGATCCAACCATCTGAATGGTCAGCCGTGTTTGTTTAGACTCGGTTAAAGCACTTACTCTTGGTTCTCCAGCTTGACGTATTCTGGTCCTGCTCTAATGAGAGCCTTTCTGGCGTTCTCGCGTCTGTACCACCAAAAGACGAAAACCAGTATCATCAAGCATAAGCCCTGGCAGACGATGATGGTGATTTCGGCCGGGACGTACCGCGGGGCATCCTTTGGTCGGAAGGTTTGCGGACCTGCTCGTCAGAAGAAGAAGTCATGAGAAGAGAAAGGAAAAGAAAAGAAGAGAAAAGAAATACCGATGATGTTCCCAATACAATATCCGATCAGATAAAGCGCGGCAAAGGTCGTTTTCTTGGTGTACCCGGCGACATTGGATGAGATCAGCGACAGGAGGGCGACAAAGGCGGTTGCTGCTGCCTGGGTAAGATAGTATCCGAAGAGTCTGCCGATGTTGTTGGACAGCGGCAGGGCAACGATGAGGATCATGCCGAGCATGGCGCAGACCAGGCCGAAGGAGGCGAAGAGGATACGGTTCCCGAAGCGGTCGCCCAGGTAGCCGCTGGCCACGAGGGAGATGACCTCGACAGCACCGCCGGGGGCTGCGTAGAGCAGGCTCTGCTCGGAGGTGTAGCCGAAGCTGACGACGAGCTGGCTGAAGAAATTGGTGATCCCGCCGTTGGGGATGTCGCCGATCAACGCGAACAGGAAAAACGCCCAGGTCATCGGGTCCGTCAGCGCCTCGCGCACCTGGTACAGCTTGAAGTGCTTGTTGCCGATCCCCTGCTGGTTGACCTGCACGCGGGCAATGGCCAACAGGCGGTCCTCCTTCTTCAGCCAGCGCGCGTTCAGCTGGTTGTCCGGCACGATCCACAAGAAGATCACCCCGAGGCAGACCGTCAACAGGCCCGTGAACAGGAAGATAATCTTCCACGGCTCGACCAGGGAGCCGTGCTTCTGTGTCCCGACCGCGATCCCGTACGCGACAAGGCCGCCTAGTATCTGGCCCCATCCGTTGAAGCTGAACCAGATGCCGACGCGGCTGCCTTGTTCTTTCTTCGTGTACCACTTAATCATTAACAGAGTCAGCGATGTTCTATTTTCTATTTTCTATTTTTCTTTTCTTCTTTTTTCAAGCGTACCTGAGAAGTCAAAAGGGCAAACCCCGGCGTCACCGCCGCTTCAAATACTCCCAGCATGAATCGGATGGCAACCGCGCCGGAGAAGTTGTGCACTGCCGCGAAGCAGCTGAGAATGGTCCCCCAGATGATAATGCATGCCCCGGAATATTTCCCCAAGGGAAGTCGTTGCAGCAGGCGACTCGTGGGATACTCCCACGCCAGATAACCTTGCTCGTCAATTTCTCTCTCTCTTTCTCTCTCTCTCTCTCTTTGAGGTATCTTACCGAAGTAGAACAAACTGCTTAGCCACTGGTACTCGCTACCTTTGAGCTTGAGATCGGTTTCCAAGCCCATTATACTTGCATAGGACAAGGTTGTCTCTGTAGTATGTACATATCAGCTAGATGTCCATCGCTATAAATAATGAAGTGCCTACTATCCAAAAAGTTCATGCCATATACAAAACACATAATGGGCATCATATGTCTATCGATGATACGCAGCAAGCGCTTGTTAGTCTCCTCGTCGATCTCGATGAATTCCCCCTGCAGTGCGTTGAGGGCCTCATCGGCATCGTGGGCATGCTGTTCAAGTATAGGATCGACATGCTTGCTGGGGGGCGCTTCAGCGCTAGACAGGTTATTGTTCTTTTCATCTGCCATCTTTCTGTCACTGAGTTATCAATTCAAGGGATGAGGAGGTAGGAGGGGAAGAGAGGAAGAGAAGAAGGGGGGGGGGGATTATTTAATCCCTGGAGAGCCGGTTTATAGATAACTTCTAATTATCTTATCATACAACTTGGTATTCTATTATCTACTCATTATTCTATATCCTTGCTCTAAAGCGGAGAAGTGGTTACTAGGGAGGTTGTGATATCAACCAGCCCACCCATATAAAATGCATACCATACTATGTATATTGGAGTACCTAGATAAAATAGTATCTATAGTATTTATACAATCTGACTAGATAGTTTAATGATAACATTGTATGTCTATCTTGTATCTTGGAGGCTTTAGGTACTTGAAGAAAGCAGGGGAAGATTGATACCTATCTTCACAAGTTAGCCGATCACTAGCCCTGCTAAAAATGATAAGTTCTGGTATCTATCTGGGGTGATGTATACATGGATAGTTACTCTATCTATGTTCTTGGCTGCTGGTTTGGGTGATACAATGACAGGGATTCTATGAGACAATGAGGGGTAGAGGTGGAGTACTTTTATCAGATAGGACGGTACTAGATACTTACTAGATACTAGATACTAAGTACTAGGTATAGGTACTAGGTGGATACTCGATAGACAATCATAATCATAATTCATTGTTTTGAGGGAATCACTGGACACGAGCAAGGTACGCCTCCCACCCTTCACGCTGGTAGCGCTGGACGGCGTCCAGAGGGTCCGGGGCGGTGTAGATACCGCGACCGGCGATGATGAAGTCTGCACCGCGTGCAATGGCAGACTGCGGGGTCTGGTACTGCTGGCCCAGCTTGTCGCCCTTGGAGGAGAGATTGACGCCCGTGGTGAAGACGACAAAGTCCTCTTCGGGAGACGGGGAGGAGGCGCTGGAGTCGATCTCGGATAAGGCGCGCGTCGAGACAAACCCCACCACGAACTCCTTGTATTTGCGCGCGTAGTCGACCGAGGAGACCGTGTAGGGTCCCGTGGCGAGCGAGCCCTTGGAGGTCATCTCGGCGAGGATCAAGAGGCCACGGTCAGGCCCGTAGGTGAAGTCGCGGGCGGCAGCCGTCTGGGCCAGCGCCTCGACGATCCCTTCGCCGGGGAGCACGCTGCAGTTGATGATGTGTGCCCATTCGGAAATCCGCAGCGCACCCCCGTGGTACTGCTTCTGCACCGTGTTGCCGATGTCGATGAACTTGCGGTCCTCGAAGATGAGGAAGTTGTGCTTCACCGCCAGCGCTTGCAGGCCGGCGATGGTCTTTTCGCTAAAGTCCGACAGGATATCAATGTGTGTCTTGACCACAGCAACGTGAGGACCGAGTTCTTGATCAATTAGCCTCACTACTACGTCTACCCTCTCTATCCGTACCAGGGACTTACTTACGGTCACACAAGTCCAGCAGCTCCTGTGTGGTGGTCACGTCGGCCGAGATAGTCACATTGCTTTTCTTTGCCTCTGCCACCTGGAACAGCTTTCTGGCTAGAGCATTGGGGTGGTTGCTGGCACGGGCGCCGTATGTGAGGTGCGATTTGGAAGACATTTTTTTTTATGGAGGGGTAAATGGAGGGGCGAGGGGCACCCTGAGAATCTGTGACAATAGGAAGTCTGACTGGATTGACTCCCTCTAACAATTCAAAAATCAAATCCTGATGGAAATGAAAGAGAGCTCTAGATGATCTCTCGATAGAATACAATTGCGAACCCAATCTCACTGCAAAAGCTCAACTGTTGACGGTCGAGACATTTTGCGGGACACCATCAGCCTCGGACACCGCCACACCCCCCACCACAGTGGCGCGAGCTTATGGTTTATCTTAATAGGAAGCTCCCTAATAGCTATCTATATCTGACTCGTAGTTATGCAGTGGATTGGACTGGTTAATCGTGGAATAATACAAATACATTAGGTAGTCAGTACTTGGCACCTATCACAGCCAAGAAATCATGGGCTTCGCAACGCCAAAGAGAGTCAACCCCCAGAGTCCAGCTTGTGCGAACCAGAAGAAGCCACCAAGGTATCTCCCCCTGCCCTGCGGCTTGCCCGAGTACACGTATCCGTACAGGAAGAGCGATCTCAAGACGAGCCAGGCAAAACCCAGTCCAGCCGCCAGATTGGGGTACTTGAGGCCCGCGACGAGGGTGAAGAGCATCGTCTGGGGTGCGTTCTCGAGGAAGTTGGCGTGGGCGCGCTGGGCGCAGTTAAATTGCTCTGCTTTAGCCTGGGGGATTGGTTAGACCGAGACAATATAACATCCTGTTTTAAATACTCAAGCGAATATCTCACATTGCTGTTGCATTGCTCCACGGTCGCATACGAGTGCGGGTACGGGACCTTGGCGGGTTTGCGCAGGCTTCCAGTGATGCTGCCGTGGATGAATCCAAGGACAGGAATCGCTCCTAGAGCAACTGCAATGACGGATCTTCATGCAGTTCATTAGCTTGTTGTTGGGGGGAAACGGAGAAGTGTGCCTGAAGGTGTAAGAGCATTCATTACCCGTAGTTTTCCGGGAAGACGACGTTGCCAATCATTTTGATAACTGAACTAGCCTATCCAAATGGTCTGCTATTGCGTGTTTAGAGGGATGGGATGGCGAGCTTTGGAGCCTTTTGTACTGATAGCAGTGGTTTAGGCAACGTATAGGGGAACAATTCCACGTCAAATGCTGGCCAAAAGGGGTTTAGCGAGAATGACGGCGTGATTAGAAGCCGATTCCGAAGAAAGACAGAAACGGAGGGAATACGGAATACTTTCATTCCGAGGAGCGATTGCTCATCAGGGAGCAAGGGTATGCCGATCCGGAATAAATTGAGATATTTAATAATGTCTACGGTAAGGGAGTGGTGGATACAAGTTATTTGTATTAGCAAGAGATGCGAATATAGAGGTTAAACACCGTATATGCCAGATGTCTAGAGATCTAAACGGAGATGAGGTGTAGGTATAGAAGAGGTTCGGGATTAGACGCCAGCCTTGCTAACGCTGCCGTACTTGGCTTGCCATGCGAAAAAGTACAGCAATGCCCCGAGAGGCTGGCCGACAAGGCAGAAGCTCACCCAGAAGATGGAGTTTCCCAGGACCTTGCCCAGCGGGTCGTTCATCTTCTCCAACGGTGCGGTCACCATAATCAAGGGAAGTTGAAGCAACATTCCGGCAAATGCGACGCCTAACAAAAGTTAGATTGTGACAGCAATGAATGGTGGAGAGAGAGAGAGATACCGATGAGATTGTGAGTCGGAATCCCCACGAGCATTTCGTGCAGGATGGCAGAGAGGAGAAAGACCATCGTGCTCGCAGCAAAGGGACTCCACCCCCGGCCTACCAGCGGCGAGAAGACATGTCGCTTCATAAAGGTGTATACTGGTTTGTTCCAAGTGCGCCAGTATACGCCGACGCTGGAGCTGTTCCACCAATCCGTGTAAAATTCCCGATCGCCGAAACGCATGATCTCGGCGAGGGCGTTGAGGAAGGACTGGAACAGAGCGAAGAAGCCCGCGAGCCAGATGACAAGGGAGATGGTCGACAACTTCATCACACGCTCCAGAATGGAGGGGACGTCCATGATGGCGATCTTCTCGATGGAGTTTTTGAGCACGGGTGCAGCATACTGTGCCGAGAGCAGCCAGATGAAGACCGAGATGCCGACCACTTCTGCCACCCGTTTCGCCACAAAGGACCAGCGGATGCGATTGCTGCGCGGATAGACCGGCTGGTAGACCAGCGTGGGCGCGAACCAAAAGTAGATCAGGTTATCCAGGGTGATGTTTCGGGGATACGGACAGGATGAGTAGATCTCCGGCAGCGCCGAATCTTCGGACGGGTTGAGCATCGCATGGCGCAGGTCGCGGTTCGTGAATGCGTACGAGCAGTTCTTGAGCCAGACGATGATCGCATGCAGCTCGCAGACCGTCCCGATGCCCGGATGGTGGATGTAAAAGTACACGACAAAACTGGTGACTGCTAGACACAGCGTCACGTTGATCGTATGCGAAATGGCCGTGTACCGCCAGGTGGACTCGTACACACGGTGCTTGCGTTCGTTGTGCTCCTCCTCGGTCTTTTTCTTCTTCTCCCACCCCACCACTCGTTTCGCACTCTCCGCAGCTGCTACCTCGATCAGGAAGGCGACAAACAGGTGGCAGGGCACGAGGGCAAATAAGATCAGGCTGCGGATGATATCCTGCTTCCGGTAGTCGTGGCATTTGATGCAGATGAGCACGCCGTACTGTTTGAACCATCGGTCAGCACTGCAGTAATACAACACAACCGTTCGGATCTTTGAACCTCCCCCCCTTACCTTCATGAAGTTTTCAATTATCAACCGAAGGTTCATCACCACTGTCATCTCTGTTAGTAGGTACTTCTACAGTCAGTATACCCCCCCGGTGGCGATTCCTACCCACCCAGGACTATCACCATGAGGTTGCGGAACCCCAGGAAGCTCGGTGTGGCCTCCGAATCCCTACTCAGACTCGAATGACGCACTTGGGCGTGGTACGCAGCAACATGCCGATACTTGCTCCTGCGCATCGGCCGTGACGCTGTCCGAGCTGTTCCATTTGGACGCCTCGAGGGTAGCGGGGGAATCTCCTCGCCTGTACTCACTGCCGATTGGCAGGTAGACGCCATTATTCTGAGCCTCGTTCACGAGAAAAACAACCGTGTTTTGTGTGATCTAGCAGTAAATTCCAGGAGCCTAGGTACTTTGGGTATATAGGGAGGGATATCACAACGTGTTAGTGTGGCATGTGACGAAAACGTCACCTCAGCTTCTTCACGGCGAGCAGGACCAGACAATTATCATCGGCTCAGACGGGGTTGACTCGCCATTCCACGCCAGCATGGCAGCAGTAGCTTCTCGAGATAAGCCGGCCAGGGGAGGAGAGAAGCGCAGGCATGGCGGGGGTCAGACAATCGCCCTTGGGTCCTCCCATTCCTAGTGTTTTGGCAGCCCTGGCAGATTGCAAGGACAAACCTGAAAGTTTTGGCTGGAGCTGCCCACGGGCCAATGACCGCCGGGCCGTCACGGGCCCCGACCGCGGCCACAGAGAGAGAGAGAGAGCCAGGCAGGGCCCACGACCAGGACGCTGTGCCTGACACGCCAGAATAATAGCAATCCAGGTTCTGCTGTTGAGCTTCGGACGATTCCGTGATCTGGAGCTGCTCCCCCTGGCAAGCTCGCTGGCAACGAGAGAGCGGGCGCGCGATGGCGCTCTACGACGAGGCCGGTGGTGACGCCCAGTACCTGGGACGGGCGAACAAGTCCTACGAGGGAGGAGGCACGGCGGGACCGCGACGGGCTAGTATGTATACTCTATTTGCAGATGGACGGTAATGGGACACGGCTTACGAGGTTGTAGGGCTGGTGACTGATTATGGCTCGTCGCTGGTGCAGTGGATGCGCACCCGTCGACCGCGGTACCAGGGAGGACATCGGATGGAGGCTGAGCGGCCGAGTGCAAGCTATGTGGTTGATGTGAGTGTTTTTTCTTTTTTCTTTGGGTGAGCAATATGGGAAAAACTGACGCTGTTTTCTTGGTTAGATGGTTCCTCCCCTGGCGAGGGTGCACTCGCCGGCAGACACGATTCCTGTCCGCCATCTTCACCAGTCGATCGGAAAGAGCAAAAAGCCCATTACGGTGGTGCGATGGACGCCAGAAGGCAGACGGCTCCTGACGGGGGGGCACACGGGTGAATTCATGCTGTGGAACGGAACGGCGTTCAATTTTGAAACCGTGATGGATGTGGGTGTTCCTTGGAGAGAGAATCTCCGTGAAGCAGAACCGGAGCTGATACGTTTCCACCTGGATTAGGCACACTACGATCAATTGCAGGCGGGCGTCACGTCGCTGGAATGGTCTCACAGCCACGACTGGTTGATCTCGGGCGGACAAAAGGGCGACATCAAGTACTGGCGGCCGAACTTCAACAACGTCGAAACGATCGATGATGCACACCATGATGCGGTCCGAGACCTCGCCTGGTCACCAAGTGACACCAAGTTTCTCTCTGCGTCAGACGACACGACGCTAAAGATCTTCGATTTCACCTCTCGAACCTGCGACACTACCTTGGCGGGCCACAACTGGGACGTCAAATCCTGCGACTGGCACCCGACCAAGGGGCTTCTGGTTTCCGGGTCGAAAGACCATCAGGTCAAGTTTTGGGACCCCCGCACATCCCGTTGCTTAACGACGCTACACAGTCACAAGAACACTGTGACCACGACCAAGTTTTCGCGAGTGAACAACAATCTCCTGGCAACCTCATCGCGCGACCAGACGGCGCGGGTCTTTGACCTTCGCATGATGCGCGATATCTGCATTCTGCGCGGCCACGAGAAACCCGTCTCTTCTCTGACCTGGCATCCCATCCACTCGTCTCTCATCTCAACCGGGAGCGAGGACGGCTCGCTCTACCACTATCTGCTGGACGAGCCCAATCTACCTGCCGGCCAGAATCCCACCATCGCCCCCTACGACAGCCCAGATCCCGCCAATACCCCCGCGCAGGTGATCTATCCGGCCCACCGCATCCAGTACGCCCACGGCGCAACCATTTGGTCCCTGGACTGGCACCCGCTCGGCCACATCCTTGCCTCGGGCTCCAAGGACAATTTCACCCGGTTCTGGTCCCGCGCGAGGCCCGGAGAGTCTACATACTTGAAGGACAGGTTCCATATCGGAGAAGAGGCTGCAGAGGCGCAGGGGACATGGAATCGCGGCTTTGGCAGACGTCAAATGAAGGAAGAGGAGGAACAGGAATTACAGGACGAAGCAGAAGGCCTCGTGGATCAAAGACGCCCAGACGCTATTTCTTCATTACCAGGCATCCAGATCGCTCCTCCGGGCAGAGCCCTCCAGCCGGACGGCCTGGGAGCCCCAGGGCTGCTGCCAGGAATCGGGGGTGCGCAACCCCCTCCACCCCCTCCACCCTCTGGGATCTCGGCATCTACGCCACATATGGACCCTGGCCGTCTGGCCGCGATCATGTCTAGCCAAGGTCCACCTCCCCCACTCCCGCCTTCGTCGACGAACAGCTTCCCAGGACCTAGTCTGCCTGGGTTCCCTCTCCTTCCTGGCATGACAGGAGGCGCACCGCTCAACCTGGATCTGGCAGAACTGCAGAAACACCTAGCTTCCCAGGGGATATCGCTACCGCAACATTTTCCTCCCCCGAACTTCGCGCCCAACGGAGGCGTCCCGCAACAACAGCCCGTGATGGGTGGAATCCCTGGTTTGCAAGGCAACATTCCCTTTAGCAATGGCAGCGTTGAAGCCGACTATCGGAGAATAGATGACAGTGCAAGAGAAGACCCGCGCAGGGGAAATTGGCGTAATGGGAGATAATCACAGTGTTAGGCTCATCATCAGGTAACGGCCATGTTGACGGCTATGATCAAGTGTTTAGGGCATATGTTTGCGTGTATCATAATGCGGTGTTGATAGACTGTTTTGCGGTTTGATCGGGCCATCTAAAAAAAAAATGACAATGAGATACCGATGGTGAGATATCGGATAGAACTTCCCACCTTCAGCCGGTTCGTCAAATTTTTGGTATTATCGAGGCAGTGCTTTCTATAAGAGAATGGAAGACTCGATTCGTGTATTTTCATAGCCCGCCTTGCATCGGAAAGGTCGACACAACCAGCACCATGACATTGACACCCGCCCAGACCATGGGCAGCCAGGTGGACATGCGGAAGTTGCCAGCTTCATAAACCGACCCGAGCCTAGGCCGATTAGTTGGATGCGTGTATAGATAGAGTGCAATTTCCGTGAACTCACAGCAGACCGACAATACTCCCAGCGAACAGTGCTTCCAGCGCTCCGATAGCCAGGTATATGAGCGGTAGAGCCCAGACCAGCCGCCAGCTCCGAGCCTGCATCACCAGCGCACACACTGCCACTAGGGCATGCGCTGCGCCATAGAAAATAAATGTCCAGTACAGCGTGAACCGCCATATGTCCTTTGTGTAGTAGAGATAGGATGCTTCCTCGATATTGGTGATATACAACGAAGGGAACGCTGGCACCGTGTAATCGATCGGCACGCGGTTTCCCGCCATCTGAGCTTCGCGTCTTTACCCAAGACAACCAATTCTCCTCGAGGATGGTTGGATCGGCTCGGACCTCAAATCATTTGGCTGGATAGTCAGTATTCTTTGACAGTAAGTGATAGTAATAGCAATAGTGCTGGGGTGGTTGTTGGGGGATTGATGGGAAGCTTGTTTGCACAGTTTGCACAGTTTGTACTGTACCTGCACGGCCCCGTGACTGGGCCTCGGCTGGGAGATCCGCGGACGACGCTTGAGTAATATACTCAGTAAACATAAACCACCACCATCTTTCAAACAAAGTGATCTGGGACGAGTTGGGTGGATTATGGCAACTGAGCGCTCCCTGGCAGCTCTTCTGCGGTCGCTGCATGCGACGGCTGAGCCCTATGATGCCTTTGCGTGAGATGAGCCCCGATCATTCCATGTGATAAGCTCTCTGGAGACACTGACGCCTGCTTGCCTAGTCTCCTACCCACGGCCACCAGCCTCCTGTCCGCGCTTACGAATCCGTTGAATATCACCTTACTGGCGTCGCAATTGCTTTTTGCGCCTGCGATCTGGGATCATGATGTGGATCTACAGACGTGTCGGCGGATAATCAGCGTGTTCAACACGGCTGCCTACGCTGTGATGCAGAACGACGGGGTGGAAGAGCCGTTCATACTACACGGAAGACAGAAGAAGATCGAGCGAGAAGGGTGGGTAAAGGCCGTGGTCAACGGGGCGGATGGGAAGTCGCCGCGCTGGAGACATCTGCTGCTCATTGGCGGGATCCTGATCGGATTTGAAGGACAGAACAGACAAGGCCTTCCATCCAATATCCAGAGCAAGCTGGAGTCGGCTCTGGTGACGGCCGCCCAGATGGCGCTCGATGAAATTGACCCTGCTAGCCCTGGGATCGAAGGATACTGCGTCACTATGGTTCTGAACTACACATTTGGCCTCCTATCGGACTTGGAGAGGACGAGGCTGGACTACGACCGGCTCCTTCCGATATTGGTGCAGGCAGCCTTCTCTTCGTCCGAGGGTCTGGAAGGGGGATATTTTCTGGGTGCGATTGATAACGATATCGTCGAAGCGCCGGGGAAGAAGTTCCAGTGGCCTGCTGAGTCGCCCACGTATGCTCGCGTCACTGCAATGTCTTCGAGTCCCCTCGTTTCCTCGCTGGGACCATTGTCACGACTCATCGCTCACGCGCTGGAAAGTGTCCATAATTCCCGACTGATCTCGCAGACAGTGGACTCGGTTGCTGACTTTGTTCGCACGTTGATGGTTCAATGGCGCCTGAACAAACTGTCTGAGGTGGATGTTTCTGAGGAGATCGAGTTCCTGGACGTGGAGTCAATCCAGACCACCTTGCCGGTATTGTGGAAAATGCTTCGTAACAGCCTTTATTCGATTGTTATTCTCCTTCGGGCCGTACTGGGGAGGGTGATCAATGATCACATGTTGGCTTCTGACGCAGGTGAGTTATCACAAGCTACTTGCTCCGTGCTGCGACTGACTCTTATTCTCACAAGTTGCTCCCTATCTTTGCATGCAGACCCTACACATTCTTCGGGGTGTCCATTTTATCTCATCGCGCGTTGCACAAAACGCATCGTCTCAGCACCTGTTTGTGACTCTTGCTGCGGTGGATATCCTCTCCCAGTACCCAGACCTTGCGGAGAACCTGCTCCGGAGCATCAAACCGAGCGAAATGGGCCAGATTCCGGGACATCCACTGGAGAGGTGTCTCGATTCCTTCTTCCTCAATACTGCAGAGCACTTTACACCTGTGCTCTCCGAGGTAGCGAATGAGGAGCTGTTGATATCTGCTGCGACCCCTTATCTCGCCGCGGGGGGGCACCCTCACCTGCTGGAGATCTTCGAAGCTGCGCATAGCGTCGTCCTCTCTGTATTCGCCACTCCCCAGAACGCCGATATTACCGCGAAACATCTTCCATTCTACGTGGAAACTCTTTTCACAGTATGTTTCGTTTATTCTGGTTTACTCGTATTCGATGGATGTGTTGTCTAACACCATCTGCAGGTCTTCCCCCACAATCTCTCTGCGCGGCAGTTTCGCCTGGCCTTCAAAACCGTCATGCAAGTCACGGCCCCTCCCTCCCCTCTGGCCAACAACCAGCCTCTCCTCCCCTCCATCCTGCTCGAGACGCTGCACGAGCGCGCCCGCAGTGCTTCGACCTCCCTCCTGCCACCATCGCCCAACGCAGCCGCACAGACCCAGGTGCAGGCCTCCTCCTCCCCCTCCTCCTCTTTATCTTCAGACCCAACGACGATAGCTGCCTTAACCGAGCAGGCCGTCCTTGTGCTCGCCCTGATCGACTCTCTGTGCTTCCTTCGTGTCCCCGATCTACAAGAGTGGCTTCCTCTCGCCGCCCAATTGATCCATCTCATCCCCACAGCTGCTGACTCCGGGACCGTCCCAGACATGCGAGCCCTCTGTATCGATCGCTTCTGGGAGGGCCTTAGCGGCGGCGAGATGGACGTCGAACGCGCCCACTTCTGCGTGACCTGGTGGTGCACGGGCGGCGGGCGGGAGCTCCTCCTCTACGGTCCGTCAGATCCGGATCATCTACAGCCTGGACTGGGCCATGCTGATCCTGACCCTGATGGTTTGTATATGACTGGTGCGGTGGACCCCGCTCCCGAAACTAAACTGTGATGATAATCATCCCACTTATGATACCAGTATAACCGGCATACTACATAATTATGTATATATTACCAAGCTTTCTAGTTGAAATTTACTTTACAGTGGAAAAGTAATGATTATTGGTAGATTTTCTGATTTTTATATTTGATCTATATTATGGTTGGTATGAATCGAACACCTCACAATGCCGACCGCCGTAGAAATGCCCCGTGCGCCGTCTTTGAATGATGGATGTGCCTTGGTGAAGGAGTAATTGTTGAATGTACAGAGAAGAAGCGAAGAGGTATCTCCAGAGAAATAAGAAACCATGAAATGCCGAGAGGGTATCAAAACGTTGAGGTGCGCGAATGCGAATGCGCTCGTAACTCCTGTTCCGGGAGCTCGGAGGCGCCGCCAAACCCGCCGACGAGCCTCCAGAGCCACGACTTGGCCTTGTATGTCGGGCTGCTAGGCCGGGAGTTGTGGTGCTGTGCGTCTCCGTCGTGGCTTGATATGGAGGAGGGTTGAGAGCCCAGGGAGGACGGGGAGAAGTCGGTATCACTGTCGCCATCGACACTAGACAGCTCGCGCCGGAGGATGAATTGAGCGCGGGCGATGTAGGCAGACGGCGAGTCCAACTCGCCTTTTCCCTGGATGAGCAGGTGCTGCTGTCCACAGTCGTCTTCGCTGTCTTGTCGGTACTGGTTGAAGAGCGGGAAGGATTCGTATCCCTCGCTGAGGGATCGATGGGTCCGAGGGATCTGCAGGAGCGATTCTTGCTTCTCCTCGAACGAGCCAAACGAGAAGTAGAGGTTGTCGTCCATCTCTAGTCCTCGGGAGGATGTAGATGCATGCCGTGAAGATTGTCGCTTCTTGCGTTTGTTGTTATTATTATTGTTGTTGTTGCTGCTGCTGGTACTGCTGCTTCTGCTGAGGCTTTTATCGTTGTCTGAATCGGCATCCCAGATGGATAGCGTTCTCTCCGCCGGGTGGCCGCCAAGGCCCTGTGAGGCTGGCTTGATGAGTCTCTGGGAACCGGCCTCCCATCGTGAGCCGCTATTATTCAGAGCCCTCAGGTGGACGGGGCATGGGTACGGATCCAAGAAATCTGGAAAGGCCGTGTACGAGTGTGGACAGCGACCAAGGGCCTCGGGTGTGAAGTGAGGTGCCGTATAGGTGGTATAGCGGCTGCACCCGCCGGGGGCCTCCCGTGGAGGTCGAACAGGGAAGTGCCGACAGATGTAGACGTGGTCCGTCACGCAGCCACAGGGCTTGTGGACGTGAGTTCGACTGCGACACATAGCGACGTTGATGGCGTAAGCAGTCAATTGTGGAGTCGCGGTGTAGGCCACCAGTAGTGGATTGGGAGGGAGGGGGTGAAGGTGAGTTTAGGTGCCAACACCAGCCAAAATTCCTGTTAGGTGCCAGTGGTCTCAACGATAAATAAGTATCGACGACGAGAAGTTAGATCATATGTCGCTGACAATGCGTTGGCTAGGCTCATCTCCAAATTGATTGGAGGGAAATCGGTCAAGATGACAAGCGGAGGGAGCCGGGACTGAAGGGCGAGGAAGGGCGAGCGGAAGGGTTGATGGAGAGAGAGGAAGAGACGGCAAGCAGGATACATAACATAAACATTACCCAGGAGCCAGGAACCAGCAGGAGGGGGCTTATTTGGCCGCGACTGGCAGCAACACGCACACAAAACGGTGCCCAACAGTGAATCATCAACAAAATGAGGCTGGCGGTGTGGCTCTGGGCGTCTGGCCGGTCGGCCCACCACGCATTATTGCAGGCGCGGGGAAAGACCAGTGAAGCAGGGCCCAGACCGCAAGTATTACAGCAGCAGAAGAGTGTGCGGTGGCAGGGAATAAACGGTCAAACGGAGCCAAACCTGTTGTTGCTTGCTCGCCAATGCCCTGGTCTATCCCTGGCTCACCCGTGACACCATGATGACGGGGGACCACAGGAGGCCTTGTCTAACCAAAGAGAATACACGAAAATAAGGCACGGGAATAGGGAGCGAAAATAAAAATAAGATGCATGGTATTTGTCTCTGACAAGGCCGAATCGCCCCGAGGCGAAGATATGTAGTACACCGCCGCTGAGTAACTAGTTGTCTAGTTTCGTTCGTCAGATAATCCCAGGGATACCCACCCAGGTGTGTTGTTTGTAATTGCGGTATTCGTCTCCGAAGAAAAGAACCAGGAATCTTTCTTCCCCTAGATAATACGAGCGAATTTTCAGAATAAGGGGGGGTTTTTTTAATAGGCTGGTAGGACCGACAGAGAAAAAAAAAACTTACGTTCGATTCGACTGTGGAAGAACCTCCACAGAACGACGGCATACACCGCAAAACAGACGACGTTCCCCAAGACCAGTTGCGTTCCTAGCCCCCACCAGAAAAACCCGAAGTAACTGGGATGGCGGAACAGACGGTAGACCCCGCTGGTCACCAATCTATGCCCTTCCTTATGCTCGACCTGGACCGTGTGGTTGAAGTTACTGCCGGCCTGTGCCATCGCTACTGTTCTAACCATTTGGCCGAGCACCATGAGGACCACCCCGACCACAACATGCACCTTGACGCCATAGACGGGTGCGGTCCACGTGGTGTAGCTATCCGGAAACAGACAAGAAGCCACGATACATTCCACCACGGCCGAGGTGTGCGCGGCGTTGTAGGCCCAGCCGTTCGAGGTAAGCAGGAAGGCAGACACCGAGGCATATCTCGTGTTGTATCGAGCTGTCACGTAGTATTCGAGAAAATGGAAGAGACTCAGCGAGGCGAGGAAGAATGGCACTCGCCACAGCGATGTGAAGGGGCACACCACGATTGTAAGACACACAGACACCCCGAGGGTGACACCAATGACGAACGCTCTCAATGAGATGCCTGCAAGGGATTTCTCCCCCCCAGGGTACGTTGACATATCCATCACGGGGGGTTGTGGGCTCATCGCCGGCCGTGCTGGACGCCAACCAGGCTGCCCATCGGAGCCGTCCTCGATCGGCCACAGGGTATCGGCTGTGCTCGAATCATGAAGAGCGGCGAATGCCGCTGCGTCGGTAGCCATTTTTTTTCTTGTTTCTTCTTGTTCTAGACTTTCCACAGTATGGGACGACGAGAAACTGCTGCCGCTGGTGGGAGGGTACTCTGTATCGAGGAAAGGGATGACGGCCGATGACGCTGCTGGGACGGCGAGAGAGCGTGGACGATCAAGCAAATAAAACGAACGAACGGAGCAGAAAAGCTCTCATGACGGCTTTCTATTCTCTTTTCTTCCCTCTGCTATCCAGACGCAGAGGAACAATAGTGGGCGGAGTCCAAGAATAGAAAGAATAATATGATGTCTCCTCCTATTGTTTTGGCGCTAGCTGCGGAACAGAACCAGACAAAGAACAGAGAACATCCGACCATCCAACCATCCAACCACCCATCATATCACATATCAAAGACTGGAGTCACCGAGAGTTTCTTTGATTAACTGCTAGGCAACTTCTTAACCATGGCAGCGCCGACCGAAAAGGAGAAAATGCTTCGAGGGGAGCTGTACCGCGCCTTTACCCCTGAGCTGACCGCAGCCCGACGCCGGTGCCAACGCGCGACCCATCGGTACAACAACGCAGGCGAGGAAGTCTCGCGTCGACGCCTGGTGGAGCTGTGGAGAGAGTGAGTCTTCAAAAGAACCAGATTGTACCCGCAAAAAAAAAAGAAAAAGAAAAAGAGAACAGCAATACAGTGGTTTACTGGATAAGCATCGTTGAGGACCCGACCCCGCTGCCGCCCCAGCTCGATGACCCCGCGCAGGACGAGGCCCTATTCGAGCGAGAGCCGTGGATCGAACCGCCCATTCGGATGGACTACGGGTTCAATGTGAAGGTGGGCGAGGGCTCGTTCATCAACTACAACTGTTCTATCGTCGATACGTGTCTGGTGACGATCGGCGCGCGGACGATAATGGGCCCCAACGTCAGTATGTATAGCGGCAGGCACCCGCTGGATCCGGCAGTGCGGAACGGTCTGGAAGGGCCAGAGACAGGCCAGGAGATCCATATCGGCGAGGACTGCTGGATTGCTGGCAATGTCACAATCCTACAGGGCGTCACTATCGGCAGGGGTGCGACAATTGGCGCTGGTAGTGTTGTGACAAAGGTGCGTGTAGAGCTTTGGTTTTTCTATCCGTGGCTATGGCTTGCTGATTGTGCATTTCTGCAGGATGTTCCTGCTTTCCATTTGGCTTTTGGCAATCCAGCCCGAGTCATCCGCAAGATCGAAACGACCATGACAGAGTGATAGGGGTAGTTACAGTAATAATGGTTCTTCCTCTGCCACTGACAGTATACAGCTATTCACCGATAGACTCTAACAGCGATGTCAGCCACTATCAATATAAAATATAGAGAAACAGACTTACAATGTTTTCAACATGAGATGAGCATAAACGGTATTCTATTATCCCTTGCGTTTTCAAGGAGAGAATTGACGTTGTACATCCAAAGAAGTCTCTCCCTAACTGGCTGGTCTATTGGAAAGTAAAACGAGGACTTGATAGAGACTTAGAAATCATTGTTATTCATCATGCTACTGCTCAGGCTTCTCTGTTCACTCCTCCAACAACCCCTGCCGATGATCGACGTACATGTCGCTCGCAGCGCCACTCACCAACCCTTGCAGCCAGAACAAGTTCTTATAACCAGGAGGCGGTATGGGGGACTTCAACTCCACTATCTGCGTACCTGAAGACCTTGACAGCTTTCAAACCGCATAGTCGGTTCTATTGATAGACCCAACGGCTCAGCCCTGTGAAGGTTCCTGCTTATTCTGCATCTAAATAAACATGCAGAGTCGGTGCGAAGCAATCAAAGACCAGATGTCGTACCTGTTGGTAAGTGCCCAGTTCAAATAAATATACGCATGATACCATCTAGGCCTGCTAGTTGTTAAATAAACAGAGCCCGCCATATCAAGTGCGATGAGAGCCCCCTTAGCGGTCCGGTCCCTTGCGCTGCCCAACAAGCGCAGTGCCTCGCACAGAACCCGCGGTTGAAAGAAGTCCCTCTCATCTGCTGTCTGCATTTCGTGATCCTGGATTTGTCCACCTGCAGAGCGGGGGTGCGGATTTTGCAGGCAGCTTGTGGCAGACACAGCGTCCTCGTGTCTGTCGTCCGCGCAGATCGAGCAGTCCTTCCAGAGCGTTTTGGAAGCCCAGAAGCTTTTTGATTGGTTGCTCTCTTGCTTTCTCTCGACGAAGGTTATGAAGACTGACTGATCTGGTCGCGAAGATGACTATGACCCTGTTCTATCAATTTCCCTGAAATAAAAAAGTAAAGAAAAAGAATAAGAATAAGAATAAGTTAGAAAAATCCCAAAAATAAATCCCTTGCATCTTGAGCATTGCTGTAGAATGTGACATGCCAGCTTCATCATTATATTCATACTATCAAGAGTCTAGACTTAGCCAAGGTTTAACCATATGATTCCTTTAGTATAGAATTATCCAGTATATAGTAAGCTTAAATAAAAGCATCATAGTATACAGTCATAGCTACATAGAGCCTTACCAGTAGTTAAGACCTAGGTACCCTATAGGTATCTATCTACCTTATACTCTAAACTAGATCAAATAACTATATTTCATACTATTTTCTACAAATAATAGCATCCAAGTAATTGATAATCCTCATCGATTGGTGGTCCTCGCTGTCTGGTTAGGGGGAGCTACCCTCATTATTGTCCCAGTCTCTCTCACCAACCCCGATCCAAGGTACGGAGTAAGTAACTGGGTAGGTAACTTAAACCGCCTCGTTCAGCAGAGCAGCTCGTAGAAGTCTCTCATCGAGATCTCTCTATCCCTCTGTCTATTCCTCTGTCTATTTTCGTTTCTCTATTTCTCTACTACACACACTGCGCGAGCTTCCCATTCGCCTGTGTGTTCTCCGCAGCAACGTCAGAGTCCCCTGCACCTCTCAGTTTGTCGACAAAAGCTTTACCGCTCAACTCTCCGCTGAGAGCTCCCCAGGCAGCCTCGCTCTCTCTCCCCCCAGTCCCTTTGCCTAACCTCCTGCTTCTTCTTTTTTTTTACTTCTTCTTATCTTAATTTATTCCATTCCTATTCTCTTGCTCCGCCTGCTTTCCTTATTATTTTGATCTTCTTTCTTTCACTTGTCAGTGGGGTGGAAAATGTCATGGCAGCTGCCCCGCTAGAGAGCTCCAACAGCACTCCCCTCCCTCCTCCTCTGCCTGCTGCGCTTTCGTCTCCAGAGTCCTCGCGCGAGCAGCAGAACAGCGGGCTGATGGAAGGAGAGCCCGACGACATCCCTCCCACGACGCGCAAACGGCCTCGTCTGGACAGCGGCAGCGCCGTCTGCGAGTCCCTGTCCGCCCACGAGGCCGCCTCCGCCTCCTCCGCCGCGGCGGAACACAAGAAGCACGAACACGTGCAGGAACAGGAGAAGGAACACGAGCCAGAACAAGAGCCGGTCGAGGAGGCCGCCTCCAAGCTGAACCGTCCTGCCAGTCGTGTCGCCATCATCAGCATGAAGAAGTCGCCAGAGCCCCCCTCCTCCCCGATGGCCACTGAGCCCACCGAGCCTGCCGAGTTCGAACCCCTCCCAGAACAGGAAGGACCCATACCCATGTCTACGCCGGCCTCCTCGGAGGGCCATCAAGAAGCGTGCATCGAAGAATCTTTTGCAGATCCCTCCGCCGCAGCTGCTACTGCGGCCGCTTCCGCCAATGCCATCTCCATCTCCTCCTCGCCCTCCCAGAGCCCCGAGATAGAAGTCGCAGAGGTGGAGGATATGGACCAAGACCCCGCCGAGTCGAACTGGAGGATACTTGGTGCTGCCGATACTGACCCGGACGCTATGGGGGACCGTCCCACGCCGCAGGAGGTCGTTCAGATCCATGACCCCGTCCCTCTGGCGGAGAACTTTCCCCGGCTGCATGGGAATCGCGATATGCGCGAGAATATGGAGGAGATTGGCGCATTGATTGAAAAGGGTTAGTAGGCCTGACGTCCGCTTTCTCCTGTGTTTGGTGGTCAGAAGCTAACAAAACACACTTAGGACATGCACATGACGCCGCGGTGTTTATGGCAGTCAAGAACTGGCTCGACGACGTCATCAACATCCTCGATCAATTGACATATGACACTTTTATTGAGGATAGAGACTTTTGGGAGGATCTACCTGGAATCATTGAATGCTTGCTGCGCAGAACGTAAGAGAAGAACCCCCCTTCAGTCTGTCGAATTCATTACAGTCAAGACTTGCAATTCAGCGATGGTCGCAGCTCAATCCCGGTGCTGGAAGAGTTCTTTGTCGCGTTCGCTCGCCTTGCCATGTATTTGGTTCATTTGGATACGGTTCTCTTCACCCACCTGGCCGAGGAACCCGACTTACCGGCTCCCGATTTCATGTCAAAGACCTACCTCTCGGCGTTGGGTTGGATCCTACAGATCGGCAACATCCCGTTTACCCGTAGCCTTGAGCGGCTGTACGGCGCTGAAATCGCCAACATGGTTGCCCGGGTCAACGACCTGATTTCTGATGGACCCATTGATGCCCTCCACCATCTCGCCGCATTTGCCGCTAGCATCGTCTCTCTCTTGCCGCGCTGGCCGCAGCTGTCGTCAGCCCTCATCTCCGTCCTGACCATTGCCCACAACCTCGTCGAATCCGGCAGCGAACGCAGGAAGTTTGGAGCGGACCAGGAGCTGCTTGACTCCCCGACGCATGCACACATGCTGAAGGAAGCCTACACTCTCTTTCGGGCCGCCGACGAAAAATACCAGATGCACATCAACAAGAAGTCGCCCTGGATCACGAGCGAGGCCACCGAGTCCATCTTCCGCTTCATCTCCTTTGCCTACCTGTCCATCGCTCATCAGGATGCCGATCTCTGCCGCCAACTAGCGCTCGATCTAGACATCCGCTTCCCGGACGATACCCCTTTCGATGAGATGCCTCAGGTCATGTTCTCTGCTTGGAAATTCAATGTCCTGAAGAAACACTTCATGGAAGGTCGCATGGAGTTGAGGGTCTATGGCGTCGAGACCATGCAGTCCGAACTCGTGGGTGTCTGGCGGCAGTACATCCATACAAGCCCCACGGGCGTCGACCACCCGATCGTACGCTACCTGGTAAACTTCCTCAAGGAGAACAAAATCGTCGAGTACATTGTCGGGGTAGACTCTCATCCACAGCTCATCAGTCGCAGCGGCAACATTGTCGGCTTTCTCGTCGTCACCTCCACCTACACCGACCTCGACACTGATATCATCTGGCAGACCGTCACCGACAGCCAGGATCCACGCACCGTCTCCGAAGTCCTGAGCATGCTCACCAAAACCTTCCCCATGCATCTCCCATCCTCTCCGGCCTTGCTATATCTCTGCTCGAAGCTCCTCGCCCTGCCTCTAAATCGGTTTGATGCCCGCGTGATTGAGTTCTGCGAGCAGCTGATGCACCAGGTTCGCGAGAAGCACACCGAACGGCTGCGTCTCGAACCCTACGACGCCCTGCACGGCACTTCCCTGCATGTCGACGCCATTCCGCTGCGCCTGTGTGTCCGACTGATCCGCGAGAGCACTGCCGACCCTCAGTTCCCCGTCGAGCAAAAGACCCTCGTGCAACAGTTCGCCAGCGCGCAACTGACCCAATTCATTCGGGCCGGCCTGAGTGAAGAAGACAAGCTGGAAATGTACGAACGATGCATCCAAGACATTGCGGAAATGAACAGTTTCACCGTCGGCAGTATCCAGGCTCTGAATGCCATGCTGCCGGTCAACGACCCGCAAGAAATCCAAAAGCTGGCGGTGGACTTTGACCTGACCCGCTTGATCGTCCTGGAAATCACGCACACCCTGAACACCCAGCAGATCGATTTCACTGACCCCTTTTCTCGCACCGGATTTCTGTCGAGAGTGCAGATGCTGAGTCGGATCATCGACAAGGCCCCCGACACCATCACACCCGAACTCAGTGACATGATCTGGTCCCAAATCTTCATGTCCAAAGCGTTGGTTACCCAGGGAAGAACCGCTCTTTGGGACATGCTCTGCAGCGTAACAAATCGCTCGATGAAGCGCAACCCGTTCCTGGAGCGGTGTATTCATGAGTACCTGGGCCAGGTTGCACCGGTAGACTACTCCTTTGAGGTCCTGGCCTTTGCGAAGCAGACCATCACCTACGAGGTTCGCTTTGACCCGCCGCCGTTTGCTGTGGATGATGAGGTCGTGTCGATACCGGGCATGGACCGCATCTGGAATCTTATCCTTACCGCCCCTCCCGGTTCCATTGAAACGGAAGCAACCTCCTTTGCGATCGATATCTATCTCGATCACCAGCTCATCCGCCGGTCATCGCGCGCTTCCGTGGAAGTAACACACATTGCCTTGGTGGATCGCTGTGTCGATCAGCTCAAGTCGGCCGCCACCAAATTAAAGGCTTTCAATGACACCTCGGCTGACAGTGACGACACCTCCATGACCGTTGTACCGCTCGATGGCGGGGAAGTGGGCGCAGAGGAGCTCCGGTTCAGTCGAGCGTTACTATTTCTGCGTCAGTTGCTACAAGGACTTCGGGCTCGACCGCAATACAGCCCTCCGCAGGGTCCCCCCCCGCAGCTGCCGACTCGACCCGAAAAGGGCAATTTGATTGATATCCCCTACCAGGCTTTTAGCGGCGGGACACAATCGAAAGTCCGCACGCTTAGCATCGGGGACCTGTCCACGGCGATGGAGTTGGTCGATCGTCTCAAGCAGCTCACAGGCTTTTCCAAGTTTGACACTATCTATGGCGGGCAAAAGATTGATCTACAGGAAACACCCCAGGCCACGCTTCGTGACATGAAAATTCGATCAGGCCTACTGATTCTCCGCAAGACCGCAGATGCCCACGAAACTCCAGTCGCCGGGAGGCGTCAATCATTGAACCCCGTTGACTCGGAGGTGCTGAAGCATTTCGATGACCTGTATGACCTTCTCAACCTCGAAGACCACTTGGCGCGTGAGGTTCGTTCCCACACACTAACAACCCCCCCCTCCTCATGAACTAGAAATTATCTGACTCTTCCATCTTTTTAGATATACGACTTTCTCGTCGTATTTCCTCCTCAAGATCGGGTCCGTGATCTAGTCAAGTCCAATGACAAAACCGAGAAAGACATCTTCCCATTGGAACATCCATATAACCTGCTCTACTCTGTTCATGCACTTTCGATATGCCTTCGAGAAGCAGCACCCGAGGTTCGTTACGTCGTTTTATTTTATTTTACCTTTTTCTGTCATAGAAGATTTCCAATGCGCTAACTTGTTTTCTTGTTTTTTTTCCTCCCTCATTATTAGACTATGCCAAATGAGGGATTTGTTTCCCACAGCATTCAGGTGCTTGTCTCCTGCTTGACACATCCTCAGATATCGGAATCGCTTGAGGAAAGCCACATCAAGCTTCTGGTTGCCTGCAATCTCGTGGAGTGTCTGCTTTTAGCTTTCCTGGTGCGACCACCAGTCAGCGTCGATCAGGGCATCGTTTCCGACCCAACCCCTCTGGTTCAGCGATTGCTCACATTCATCGAGACTGGCCGGCGACTGTCCGTAACTAGCCCCTCCGCTACTGGGACGCAAAAGCTCATCTGCAACTCATTCGCCATCTTGGTTGAAGGCTCGGTTCGCGACAACACCTTCTGGAGGACCGTGAAACAGAACACGCAACTTGATGATCTCATTTTCATGTTGCTGTTGGACGAGCCGAATTGGGCCATCCGCAAGGAGATTGCCGAGAACATCGCCATGATCTGTGGTCCGTCGAACCTGGGCAAAAAATCTGGCAAAGTCCAAGACGAGGATGTTCAAAATTCTGCGGTTGTCGACAATCCCACACGGATCGATATTCTGGCAGCCATCTGGGAGGCCTTCGTAGGTACCTTCCCTAAAACTAGTGGCTACGCGCCGCAGTCTCGAGAATTCTTCGAGGTTGCTCTGTCCGTGTTTCGCTCCGTGGCGGAAAAGTCGCCTGGCGACATCATTTTCGGCGAATACCTCAAGACATGGAGTGGGATCATGCTCAGTCACCGAACCGAGGAATTTGTTGGCCGTGAGCCTGTGGACTACTTGGTTCTTGGCTTCGCGCGTCTGCTGAGATTGTGCATGGATCTGGCCGATTCGACCACCATGCCAGTCGATACTTTAGATCTTGTCGAAAATCTATTCAACTACTATCTCTTTCCGGACCTTTCCCTTGCCACCTCCGAACCTATCAGTCCGCAAATCCCGGTGATGCATACCCAGACTCGTCAAGAGCTGTACAATATATTGATCTTGCTCTGTAAGCGAGATGAGAATTTCTCGAAAATCATCGAGCTCTTGGAAGACATTATTCCTCAAGGTTTGTCTCTCTCTATCTCTCTCTATGTGTCTGTGTGTGTGTGTGTGTGTGTTTCGGAGAGGAGAATTTCAAATGAATTCTGACTTGTCCACTACCAGACTACACGTATTCTCTCACATGGTGCTTTGATCGCTACAAAATGATCAGATCCCCAGAAGGCTACGCAGGGCTCAAGAACCTATCAAATACATGCTACTTGAACTCTCTGCTTGCTCAGCTGTTCATGAATGTTCGATTCCGAGAATTCATGCTCTCGCTCCAGGCAGAGTGCCCGACATCATCCCAACTGCTCCTCGAGGAGACGAAGAAGGTCTTTGGGAATATGCAGGAGACATGGCTGAAAAGCGTGGATCCCCAGGGCCTTGTCGATACAATTAGAACATATGACAACGAACCTATCGATGTCACCGTCCAGATGGACGTGGATGAGTTTTACAATCTCTTATTCGATAGATGGGAAGCGCAAATCTCCGACGCAGAGATGAAAAAGAAGTTCCGGTCATTTTATGGCGGGCAGCTAGTCCAGCAGATCAAGTCCAAGGAATGTCCGCACATCTCGGAGCGCCTGGAGCCCTTCTCCGCCATCCAGTGCGAAATCAAGGGTAAAGCCAGTTTGGAAGAAAGTCTTCAAGCATATGTCGAGGGCGAAATCATGCAAGGAGGTGAGCACGATCCAGAGCATTCTACCCAAGTCCGGAAATACCTACTCACCATGTATACTAGACAATAAGTATTCCTGCACCTCATGTGGACGCCACGTCGATGCGGTCAAGAGAGCTTGTCTGAAAGATATTCCTGACAACTTGATCTTCCATCTAAAACGGTTTGACTTTGATATGGTCACGATGATGCGCAGTAAGATCAACGATGAGTTCCAATTCCCGGACCGAATCGACATGCGTCCTTTTACCGTTGAGTATCTTTCCGATCCGACTTCCGACCTGCCACAGGATGTGTTCGAACTCGTCGGTGTACTGGTTCACAGTGGCACTGCCGAATCGGGCCACTACTACTCGTACATTCGAGAGCGTCCGACTGCCGATGGAAGAGGGTCATGGGTTGAGTTCAATGACTCGGACGTCAGCCGATTCGATCCTTCCAAAATCGCTGATCAGTGTTTTGGTGGTTCCAATGACCCTTTGCAATCTGCGGCCATGGGCCAGATGCGGTACCACAAGGTCTGGAGCGCCTACATGTTGTTTTACCAGCGAGTCTCCAGCATGGAGACGGCCAAGGAACCCAACGGCCCGATTCCCAATAGTATCCCCGTGCGGGTGCCATTGCCGGTAGAGCTGAGAAACCACATCGCGATGGAGAATGAGGTCTTTATTCGGGCGTACTGTCTTTTGGATCCACATCATGCTTTCTTTGTGAGATACCTGCTTTCGCGAGCAAGGGACGTGATCAAATCCGGCGACCTCAGCACAGGCAAGTCAGCTGTTTTCGTCGCGTTAGATACATTGGAACAGCTCATCTCGCGGACGCGGGAGCCCATGGAACTGGATAACTTGGCTACGGAGCTGCTCCGGACCGTCAACGAAAGCCCACAAGGAGCCTGCAGGGTTCTTGAATGGGTGACGGATAAACCAGACGGAATCCGCAACCTGGCACTCAAAAGTCCTCATGCCGCCGTGAAAACTAGCTTTTCCAGGATTGTCGTCTCGGCACTCGCGCGTTTACAGAAGGCAGAGCAATCAAGCGTTATTGGAGAGGCCGAGCAGGAGGAATGGCGTGTCCGATTTATGAATGCGTTTGAGAGCATTGTTGTGAAGCTTGAGAGCTTGTGGCCTATTCTTCACACAGTGAGCCGGTCGTGGGACGACTATTTCGACCTCCTACTGTTGCTTTGCGATTTTGGAATCCAAGAAGCTGGAGTCATCCTTGACAGCGGCTTCCTAGTCAAGGTCTTGGAGATCATCTGGCTTGATCGAGAAGATGCGAAGAAGCTGAAACGACACTACCTAGCATACTACAAGTTGGTGGAACGGGGCCGCAGATTCTCGTATCGCAAGATGATGGATTTCCTGATATCTCTGCTTGGGAACATTGATCTGACGCTCCCCGTCACAGCAAGATATGGGACGCCGCGTACCCTTCAAGATGGAAAATACTCCCTGAATGAGGCCGAAGACGCTCTCATTCGACCGCTCGGCCGTAATCGCGAGCTGGTCTTCTTGAAGAAAGTCGTTCAGCAGCAGAGCAATCCGCCGGCCTGCAGAGCCATTGTAAGCTGGCTTTTGAATTGGGAGCCAGACAGTGATCTGACCGATCCGATATGCAAAGCCCTAGAAGAAGGGCTGCGAGTAGCCCCGGCTTCTCTCTGCACCCCCTTCCTCGAAGGGACGCTGGTCTTTTGCCGGCGAAGCCCTGACGAGCTGCGCATTGTGGAAATGATTGACTTCGTTGCCAAGGGCGTGGAATCGATCAACAACAGTGGAGGCAAGGAGCATCTCACGTTTTTCACCAGTCTTATGGCCAGTCACAACGAGAGAATCGGGCGCGATGAACGATGGTTCTCGACACAGGCCATGGAAAAGGTCCCGGACTGGGCACCCACGTTACTCATCTATCCCGAGAAGACCCTCCGGGCCACCACCTTTGAGATCCTCCGGGATGTCTTGTTTGGTAGAGAGTACCAGGACTCGACGGAAGACTGGCCTGCCAAGCAGGCAAGTATCGCAAGGGAGCTTGCCCGAACCTGCGTCGATCGACTGCAGAAAACGTACCTGGTCAATCCTGGCCAGAATATCGAGGCCAGAGTGGTTGAGACAATCAACATAGTTCTGACGCACTGTCTGGATACATACTTTGATAAGGAAAGTGAGGAAGATCAAGACTTTGTTCGACAAGCTCAAGGTATGCTATTCCTCCCCCTCCCTCTTTTCCCCATGTATACTTCTAGGTAATATGACTGACCGCACAAGCCATCACCGCAGCTATCGACGAGTTGTCGGTCGATTTGCCCGAGGATCTAGTTTCCGGTAAGACTCCCTTTCCTATGTCCATGTTGTCTTCTAATACATGGGGTTCAGAGTCTGATTTCCCCTCACCAGAAGAATGGGAAGACAACTCGCTCATGGCGAGTGATTCAGAGATTGGACTAGCTGGATCTCCATGAAAAGAAAAAGGAAAAGCAAAGATAGATGTGTAGATCCCCTCTATACTCTCTATCTCTTTACTTTTATGATGTGATTATGATCAATCACATATGAGCGATGAATTTATGACCACTCAATCCCTTGTCTTGTTTGCATAGATTGGCGTTCAAATATCCCTTCCCCAGGTGTACATCTCTGTAATCAGGGCTTGATGAATTGGTTCTTTTTTTTTTCTCTTCTTTTTTTTCCCTTTGTCTCAGACCTTGTTCCTTTAGTGTCTTGTCTGGATTTATTATGGAACCCTTTGGCTTGCTTTTTTTTCTTCTATTGTCGGAGGACATATTTACTAAAATAGTAAGTATGAAATAAAGGATTCTACAATCTGTCCTATGGGTTAATCATCAAGGATGAGGTGATTAATGCTAAGAATATAGCAAGAACTCTCATTTAATCTTATGGTTATCCATGATTCCCTCCCCTTTTCCTGTTGCCGTAGACTAAAGCGCCAGCGCTAATAACTGAAAACGTGTGGTATAATGACATGATACATTTGTGTTTTACAAGGGTAGTAGGTAGATGGTAGATGTGTTGGGGGTAGATCATCATACATCTTCGAACTCTTCGTCATCTTCGTCCGAGGATTCCTCCTTCTTGACCTTGACCTCTGCCGGTTCGAATCCGGGCTCGGTTTTGATCTTCTTCAACGCCGGGCCATCCTCGGTAGTGGTCGAGGGCGTATTCGTTGCTGTCCGGGGGAGACTACTGCTACCGGACTCGGTATCGAGCTCACGCTTGATTCCGGTCATGGATGATGATGGAATCCCACCGGCCGGGGCGCTTGTGGGACCGCCGCCTCCTCCTCCTCCCATGACGGCTGAGGGTGTGGCAGAGCCGCTGGCAGATACACCGCCGACGTCTTCGAACTCGTCCTCGTCATCGTCGAAGTCGTCCGAGTCGTCCTCGGCGCTACTGGCATCTGCCTGTGCCTGCAGAGCTTGCTCGCGAGCCATCTCGGCATAGTAGGCCGCGACTTTGTCGTCGAGGGCGTCAATATTTGGCTTCAGATCTTCATCCTCTGCTTTGATCTCGGATTTGATCATCCTGCCCATCTCCGTCTTGAGGGGGAGGTTGCCCGCCCCTGCGGTGACCGTCGAGTGCGTGTGCCAGATGGGGAGTGCGTTTTGTTTCTCCAGAGCTGCCTTGCGGGCGACTTCGTCAGCCTGTTCGGCGGCACTCTTCTCCTCTGTGGATGTGAGGGAGATTTCGAGGGCGGTAGCGTCGGTCTTTGTGTTGCCGCGGACGAGCTCTGGATGTTTCTGTGGCGCTGCAACGGCGGTCCTGGTCGGATGTGTTTGTTGGTTGCGGATGACATCGACCTTGTGATCCCAGGCAGTGTCGAAGTCATTGGGTGGTATCTCGACGGAGTCGATCTGCTTGAGAAGCTTAAGCATCTTGTCCAGTTGGTTCATGAGCTTGCTGTTCTTTTCGTGACCGGTGCGATCGATGCCTTCTGTCCCTTTTACATCCTCCGTTCTCTCCAGAATAGCGCCGCAGTTCTGACATTCGAATCCTTCATCCGAGAACAAGCTGAGCACATCCAGTTCTGTCCATTCCGATCCACATCGTAGACAGATATATTCCTTGCGCTCCTCGCTCGGTGTATACTGTGCTTTGATTGTCGAAGTCAATTTGGAGACCTTGTACTTGATCGCATCAATGACGGGATGCAAGGGAATGTAGTAGTATTCGCGGTTGACCGGCCGGGTGGACCCATCTCGAAGCTCAGCGCGTTGATGTCTGTACAGCGGACAAGAAGGGAAACGCGTAACAATGTCAGTTCACTGGATCGAGACTTGGGAAAAGAAGGGGAGATCATACACTGCGATAAGGCGTTCCTCGCGCAGTTTTCCGCAAAGTTTCCGTAGATCCTTCTGTTGCATGCCCAGTAGAAACGCCAAATCTTCCGCATGGAGGCTGCAGCAGCGACACAGTAAGCTTCTTGGACTTCTTGAATCGAATCCCCATAAACATGATCTCCTCTTACACTGAATGGATAAAGAGTGCGTCCACGACCAGGATGTGGCGGGTTTCATGAAAGGCTCGGACGACGCTCCGAATAAGGGTGTTCGCGAGATCCATGATTATTGGAAGTCTTTTAGCGCAAGTCTCACGTTGTGTAATACGCCAATGCTTTGCAGCGGCACGGGCTTTCCTGTCAAGTCCGGCTCTTTATGTCTTTGGATTTTGAACGGTTCATGAGAAATTTAGAGGCATCTTTCCTGGGCTAGAACGTCGAAGATGGCCAGGTTAGCTCAGCCAAAGACAGCGCAATGCAGAGAGATGACGCCGTAGGCAGTGCGCTTCTCGATGACTTGGCGAGAAGATGAAAGACGCTGAGATCCTCACCGAGTGTCGAAGAGATCAAAGGCGGAACCGAATAATGCCTGAGGCTTAAAATTATCGCTATCTTTGGACTAGTGCGATAAGCCTTTGAACTAAGCTTAATTAGGTCTAGTTAATGCGGAGACTGGGCTAAAAAAGAAAAACCGATTAAATCATCCCCCCAAGACGACGAACCCGGCGTACTTGGAAGTTCTTGATGAAGGCACGCAATTTACTTCGTCTGAGCTCTCCTGGTAGACCTGCGACACCTGGGACCACAATTGCGCGTTCAATACCTGGTTTGATATCTGTCAATACCCCTCTTTTCCACACCCACTCCCCGAAGTCCGAGTCGTTTCAGAGAGCCTGGAACACTTATAAATCGAGTCTTCTTGGACCACAATGGACGCTTCCGGAGAACAAGGAGGAGCTGGTGATAAGCGTAAGAGACGCGATATGGGTAGGTCCGAATGGAGGTATGTTCACTAGAACCCGAGGTGAAGAGGGGAAGAGAGGAGGGGGGAAAGCGCGTTGATCCTCCAACCATCAGCTAACTAAGCAAGTCGGCAACAAACAGATAAGCGAGGCCAAAATGAACAGTTAGAGAATACCAAGCGACAGAAGCGCGAAAAGGGCGAATTCGTGACGCCCATTTATGCCACACACTTTCCGCAAGAGGATATTGACAGCGAGAAACGCCGGCCAAAGAAGAAGGTCGCCGTATTGCTTGGATACTCGGGAACAGGCTACCATGGCATGCAAATGTTCGATTGACCGTTGAATTGTTCTTGCTAGGTTTTGTGAGTCTAACCATTCTACAGGAGTACCACAGAGAAGACCATCGAGGGAGAATTATTCGCAGCCTTCGTCGCAGCCGATGCTATCTCGAAGGCAAACGCAGCCGATCCTAAGAAGTCTTCCTTTGTGCGATGCGCACGTACCGACAAGGGGGTTCATGCGGCAGGGAATATCGTGTCCCTGAAAATGATTGTGGAGGATCCGGACCTTGTGCAGAAGATCAATGAGAAGCTCAGCCCCCAGATCCGAGTCTGGGGTATCGAGCTTGCCAATAAGAGTTTCAGCTGCTACCAGATGTGTGACTCTCGCATCTATGAGTATTTGATTCCAACGCATTGCTTTATCCCACCGCATCCGAGCACACACCTGGGGCGGGCGCTAGTAAAGATGGCTGAGAAGGAAGGCGATCTTGATGCATACAAGGCCAGGCAGGAGGAAGTTGCCAGCTTCTGGGATGAAACTGATGAGAACTATGTCAAGCCGATCCTCGAGCAGCTTCCCGAAGACATCCGCGATTTGGTTGAAAAGGCACTTCATATCGGGACCGACGACACAAGGGCGTCTTCTGAAGAAAGGGAAGAAAAGCGTGCGCCGGCTGATCAGGAAGAAACCCAAGAGAGCCCTGCTGCTTCTCTGCAGGCTACCGAGGCCGGCCCGGACGCGAGTGGTGAAGAGGCAATCGACCCCAAAAGGCTTCAGGTGATTCAAACCGTGAAGCAAATCAAAGCCGCCTACCTCAAGGCTAAAAAGGCCTATCGGATCCCCCCCGCTCGTCTACAGCGAGTCCAGGCGGCTCTGGATAAGTACCTTGGCACCAAGAGGTTTTGGAACTATACCATCCAGAAGACATATACCGATCCTTCGGCAAAACGCCTGATTAAATCCTTCAATGCCAATCCGACGCCAATCATCATCAACGGCACCGAATGGCTAAGCATGAAGGTCCACGGCCAGAGTTTCATGATGCATCAAATCCGTAAGATGGTCGCCATGGTCGCCTTGGTTGTCCGTTGCGGATGCGATCCCGAGCGAATTGACGAGACATACGGCCCTACTCGGATTGCGATCCCCAAGGCCCCGGGACTGGGCCTTTTGCTCGAACGCCCCGTGTTCACCAACTACAGCCGGAAGGCCGTCGAATCAGGCAAAAATCCCATCGACTTTGACAAATATGACAAGGAGATCTCCGAATTCAAGCAGCGAGAAATCTACGATCGCATCTTCCGCGAAGAGGAAGAGTCGAACGCGTACGTGACCCCTTACCCTACCCCGGCTTCCCTTGTGCCTTGAGTCTAACCTAACCCCCCTCAGCTTCAATCTGTTCTTCAATCACATTGATCACTTCCCTGGAGAAGAGTTCCTCTACATCACTTCTGGCGGCGTGAAAGCAGCAAAGCCCGTGGGCGAGCCGTCAACGGCTCCCGTCCCTGCTGGGGAGACAGCGAAGCAGGACGAAGGCTCCGCCACTCTCAAGAAGACGGAGCAACAGGAAGAAAGCAATGTTTTGGCCTCGGTGGAGGTGGATGGCGAGGAAGATACTGATCTTCCCAAGACTGGTGAGGAAGAGGGCTAACTAAGTAAATTTGCGATTTACTGCAGATAGATCTTTTATTATATTGCGTCTTGAAAGATGGTGTACTTTTTATTTAAATATTCATGAACAGCATGCTTCAAAGAGTACTGAGGTATTGATGTAGAACAGAATCAGTGTTAAATTTAAACGTAGGAAATGAAAATCCCCAATATCTACATACATCCAGAACAGGCTCAGTGAAGATTTGAACTGTGTCTGATAGATAACCAGGTTATTTAGCCACTGTCCGCAGAGGATACAGAAGCAGCAAGAAACAAGACATAAGTTCCGCATTCCAACGCCAGGCAGAAATGGCTTTGCTTTACCAAGAAGAAGAAGAAAAGGGGGAAAGGAAACCCTGACGGAAGAGCAGGACTTGAGAGGCACAAAAGAAACACAGGAGCAGGCTAATCGAGGAATAAATAAACAAAAGACAAGCATGGGACATCGTGGATCAAGTGTATTAGACGAAACGATAACAATTCGGTATGTAATCAATCTGGCATCAATCGAAGAAGGGGAAAGAGTAAAAGAAGAAAGAGAGTCAGAAGAATGTGAGGTGGTATGGTATGTAAACGAAGTTGAATCATAGTGGATGAAAGGAATTAGAAGATGAGAGAGCGAGCCTTCTGTCGTCGAACTTCGGGACTGCGAATTTCGGGCTGAGAATAGGTATGCTTATGTCTCGCCCGAGGGGACTGGGGCGCCTGCGCCGTTGTAGTCGTGGAGGAGGTAGGGGGAGCAGCCTCTTTTCTTGCAGGAGGCGCAGAGGATGCGCTGTTATTGCCTCCCATGAGTCGATCAGCAGCTTCGCGTTGAGACTTGAGGGCACGCTCATGCTTAAGGACCAACTCAGTCCACGGCTTGATCTGACCGTTGCCAACGGAAGATTTGCCCACTGCATCACCCAGCACTTTCATCCAGCCCTCCTTATCGGCAGCGTTGTCAGCGTAGAAATCAATCACCTCTCCATTTCCGAAGCGGATACGGAAACCCTCCTCGACGAACATGTAGCCCTCTTCTTCTTCGGCGAACGCAGACTTTCTTCTGCCTCCGCCCCGTGTCGTCGTTTCTTTCTGAGTGAGGGTGGACTTGTCATCAATCAGTTTAGCCGCCTTTGCCAAATTGATTGTTGCACGTGGCTGACGCGTCGTTTCATGATAGGCAGTCAATTTCGAGCCTTGGAGCTTGAAGAATCGGCGGCGCCAGAACTGCACGATCATTCGTTAGTGCGCGTGTTGTACGTCAAAGGAGTAACGATCAAATAACTTACAGGACAATCACCACCTTGTTGGGACAAGAAGCCCTCCCAGCTGCGAGTCGCAACGTTCTCTGCCTCACGCATCTCACGGATGCAGGCGTTCATACTCTTGGGCATATCGTCTTCCTTGGCACCCTTGGGCTTGGGAACGAACAACAACTGCAGCTCCAATTTACCGATCTTGTAGGGAGGTCTTCTCTGGGAAGCCATGCTAGAGGTGCTCTTCTTGCTCTTAACACTGCTTGGTTGGTCTTCCACGGCCCACTCATTGAAACATGAGATATCAACCGTGTACGGCCGACCAAGCGCATGTTTCTCATGGTCGCTGAGGGAGATGTAAGCACGGGCAAAGCTACCGTCACGCGCGACCAGGTTCCTCAATCTATCCCAGACGTCGCTGTTGACGTCTTTAGGTTTGTTTTGGGAGACTTGGTTTTTGAGGTCAAGTTCTTTGCGTCGCTTAGGGGAAGCGAAGACGCGACTGAAGGGGGACGCCTTCTGACGGGTCGGTGAAGATGTCACAGTTTCTGGAGTTCGGAACTTGGATTCATCAATCTTCATTTGCAAAGTCAACTGGAATTCAAGATCATTTTGCACGATAAGCTCGAATTCCTGTCCGATCGGGGCTGACTTCCCGAGCTCCAACCAGGACGTGGTGACGCAGTGAAGACCATTGTCCAAGGTCAGAGCAAAGTAGGATCGCTCACCTGTGATGAAGGGTTAGCCGACTGAATTCCTGAGCGAGGGTAATAGGTCACTTACCCTTGGGCATGGGTAGATCGAGGTACTTGAGACCGACAACCTTGACAAAGAGGCGGCCTCTCTCCTCCCCATCTTCGAATGTCTCGGTAAGGGGAGGCTCAGGCTCCTCTAGAGGCGCGGCAGGCTCCTGCACATTACTGGGTAGACCGGGGACGGGCGGTACTGCGCCGGAAACTGGCTTCTTCTTGGGCATACCGGGACCCATTTTGATGCTGGACCGACGTCTCTGACCATTCCACGGCACTGTGGTCCAGGTCTGCTGGCTTACCTTACGGGACGGGGAACCTGCTGACCTGCCACCGCGAGCATCGCCCGAATTCTCGCCAGAAGGAGCGGGTTCGTCATCGGTATGGCTGCTAGCGATGATGACCTTGGTGTTGTGTCTCATCAGATAGCCTCTCTGTCTCCGGAGTAAAACGTTAGCATATGCATCAGTGTTAGATTGTCCAGTGCTGGGAAAAGCACTATCCCTGACACCAATCTGGGAGTCCTGGGAATGGGGAATGGCTGGGATAGAAAGCCGATTTCGATATTGGGAAAGGGAAAGTTCAAACGCCACCTTTTGGGCCTCAATGACACGGTCAAATTCCTTATCCAGGCCAAAGCCGAGGCTTTCCTCCTGGATGCTGAATGGGATATCCAATTTGACCAAGCTGCTTTGGCGCTGGGTAGTATCACGTGCCGGGGCGGCGAGGGTTGGGAGCGGCTGCGCGCTGTCTTCCGATTCCTTGGCTGATTCATCGTCGTCCACGGAAGCATCCGATGATTCATTTGACAAATGCTTGTTTAGAAGGGGCATCGGCGGCAGCTGGCCGCTGACCTTGCGGCGATTGGCTGCCATTGTCTCGATGTCAGCAGGGGTCAACGAGGGGCGTGTTTTCAATGCTCCACCGGGAGCCTTGACAGTAGCAACCGGATCAGGAACGCATTCCGCCTTCTCCTCCTCTTCTCCCTCCTCCTCAGAATAGTCACTTTTGTCAAGGGAATGACGGATGACCGATTCGGGAGTCGACGGCTCGTCCTGACAGACGTTCCCACCCTTATCTTCGGGGGTGACTGGACGTTGGAGGGATTCGCGGATGGCATTCATGTTCAGCGGGGCAATCTTCAAGGCACCTTCATCATCGTGAGATTCAACGCCGGATGGAGCCTCGTTGTCCGTTGTGGGATGTTCTTCAGGGACAGGAGTGGCCTGGCTATCACTGGAACCATTGGAGTCCCTGCTAAGGGCATGCAAGTCCTGCTTCGAGTCGCGAGAGTATTCGCTTTCATAATCATCAATAGTTTTGGAATCGTTCTCCTGGATGGAGCCTTTTTCAGAATGGTCATCATAATAATCGGGAATACCATAGAGATTTTCATCGTGCTCCTCTTCTTTAATAATAACACTGTTTTCCATATCGTAGTCATCATCTAGTTCCAGCGATGGGATTGGAACATCAGGGTCATAATGCATGTCATGGTGCGGGCTTGATTCGAGTTGGGAATAATCATAAAGGTCGTCCATGTAGCTGTCGTTTTTACGGAGATCCCGCAAAATTGAGTCTCTGGAGATTCGCGGAGGGGAAAGAATGTCTTCCAGCTTGTCGTCGTCAATCGTAGGCTTAGATTGTTCTTCTTCATTTTCCTGCTCCGGGTTTTGGGCCACATCTGGTTCGTTGGCAATTTGATCGGTGCGCTGCTCTCCACTTTCTGAGATCTGATCCAGGTCCTGGCGCTCCTGGAGCATCATCAGACGCAGGCGTTCTTCCAGAGACATGGATGCTTGGGTCAATTCGCTGATATCGGCCTTGCTAAACGCGGATGGGGCTGGAGCAGTGGGCAGATTCCGCTGGCTGTTATTGCTGCCCAGCTCAAATGCTGCGGAGAGTTTTCCTGGCGAGCTTGAACGACCGGTGAACAGAGGACGATTGTTGGATGATGGAAGTGGCGGCAGAGGGCGACGCTCACCGTTCGAATCGAGAGACTCTACACGAGAGTGCTGCATGATAGGGCCAGGAGGAGAGCAGGATCGGCCATCAGGAGTATGAACGTCGTCCTCCTCCTCATCCTCCTCCTCCTCCTCCTCCTCTTCCGTGAAGGGGTCTTCCTCTCCGTGGACCAGTTCATCATTGGCATGGCTAGGGTTCATGAAGCGCCAATCCTCTGGCAACACAACAGGGGTCTTCTCGATGTCTTCCAGGGAGGCATCAAAACTGTCATCACGATCGATCAAGGAGTCCCGATCAAAGCTGATGTCACCTTCATCCTCTTCGGAATCATAGCTACCTTCACGGGATTCCGAGGCAATCGAAGACGGATCCGGAGTGGTCATTTCATACTCGTTCACCTGAGGAGGGGCCGCATCGAAGGTGACACTCTTGGCGTGGCGATAGCGGCCGTCCATGTCAGACCAGATCTCGCACTCCGGGTCGAATCCAGCACCCTTCGGGCCGAATCGGCTAGCCTTGGACAACGAAGATTTTGCAGGAGACACCTGATCCTTACTAGGCGATGGGGGTCTTGGCATGGCACTGCCCGCGGAAGCAGCATTGGTTGGTTCCTGGGCAGTTTTCTCTTGCTCAACAACTGTTTCCCTGGATTCTGTAGCATTGTGGAAGGGCCGGCCTGTTGCCAATGGCCTGTGGAGAACGTTGATGTGTGCCGGGTCGTATTCCTGACTTTGTTCGCGAGCGAAGATATGGCTATTTTTCACACGGGAAACGCGTTTGAGGTTCTCCAGCGACGCACGCTTAGTGGGGGAATAAGCAGCCTCTGGGTCATAAGGAGTCTTGGTTTCGGAGCTCTTCTGGAAAGGCGAGCCGGAATCACGTCCCTGCCAGAAAAGACGCGGGGAAGATGAGGCAGTGTAGGGGGAAGCATCAAACGGTGACGATTCGCCAGCCATCTTCTACCACGCCCAGGTCAGCGACAGATTCTGAATCGTAATTATCACAAAAAACAAACACTTAGTCATACTTTTGTACTCTGATTCCAGCTCGGTGAGTTGCGTCTTTGGGCCATGGGGCTCACTTCGGACAAGGGCCGCTGGCCAGTTCCATTACCCATAATCGAAGGGGCAACAGGTAAAAGGCTAAAAGTCGACGAATGTCTTAAGATCCAGTCAGTAGGCCACTTCCTTTGTCTCAACCGGGAAACCCTTGCCCCAGGCCTCCACGATAGGTGTCTACTGACAAAGAACAATACTAGGTGCCCGCGTCCTCAGTTCGAGTCTTGCGGGAGAGGGCAGAAGGTTCGTGTTGCTTAGCAGCTATTGGTCATGAAAGTCGTAGCAAGAATGCAAAATCGTCACCAGGCAAGACAAACAAAGAATAAATAAACCCGTTTACCAGAAAAGAGAACCGAGCGCAGGGATGCTGAAGGGATAAATGATGCTGCACACACACGGCAGGGCACCCGGGGGAAAATAACAAATACACGCCAACCCACCGGCGGAGTCAGACGTCAAGGGAAAGCACCGAAAGAGACGCAGATCGGAGAAAGGAGAAGCACAAGCGGAGGAGGGCACCTGTTCCAAGATGTAGTCTCTGGCCAGACGGTGCAGCGCGATGGTTTCCCTCCCAGGCTGTTGACACTGGCGGCGGGAGTCGCCATAGCAACGTCTTGCACCCACGGGTCTGTCGCCCGTCACGGGTTTAGTCACGGGTCCAGTCACGGGTCTGTCACGGGTCTGTCCCAGCGCTAGTCTCTGTCTGGACTAGCGCCGATCTCGATCTTTTTTCTTTCCAGCTTATCGTCAGGGAGGCTTAAGCCTAAGGCTTGAAAGAGGATCAATTTGTGCTGAGAAAAGAGGCAGGATGCCGCTGCCTGTGTATCGTCCGGCATGTGTGCTGTGTCACACATGCACTCCTCTTCGCCTGCCGCTGCCTGCGACGCTCGCCTCGCCATGGCAGATGACAACCCGCTGGGTGGCTACTACCCGGCAGCGTCGTCGAGTGGCCCGGATGGCTCTGTCGCCCAACGTCGCCAAAGATACACTGAAGTCCAAACGGAACGACCGAGAGCGATTCGGGCCCTTTAGTGGCATGAACCAGACCGAAGCACGGATTCGTGGTGAGCCCAGGGGGCGTTCGCAGGCGGCGCTGCGGCGGTCAGGGGAGCCGGTGAAGGAGCAGAAGAAGGAGAGCCCGTTGTATAAAGCGCTCAAGATGCAGACTACGCTGGCCCCGGTTACCTACGGCCGTCGGACGGCGATCAAGGAGAAAATCGCGGACATTACGAGCTTCGATCAGATGCCCCTGCTGCCCGTGGTGCGGGAGTCGGTATTTTCGCAGGCTCTGCCGGGCCTCTTCGACGTTACCCCAACGCCCATCCAGCGTCTTGCCATTCCAGCGCTACTCAAAGAACAAGGATCTACACAGAAGCCCAAGCAAAAGAGGACGAAGAAGAACGATGAAGAGAAGTTGGAGTCAGACTATGAACAGTTCCTCCTGGCAGCAGAGACAGGTTCGGGGAAGACATTGGCCTATCTACTGCCAGTCATCGACTCGATCAAGCGGGTCGAGGCGGTCGAACAGAAGGAAGAGAAGCTCTTGGAGATACAAAAGGCGAAGGAGAGGGAAGAAAAGTTGAAGGACCAGGTGTTCGATATCGAGCCTGAGGAGCCCGCTTTTTCAAACGCTGGTCGGCCAAGAGCTATCATCTTGGTTCCGACGGCAGAGTTGGTGACCCAGGTCAGCTCCAAGGTCAAGGCCTTGTCTCACACGGTCAAGTTCCGGTCAGGGATGATCTCGTCCGCCCTGACGCCTCGTCGCATCAAAAGCACCGTTTTCAACCCGGCCGGCATCGACGTCCTGGTGTCGACACCCCATCTGCTCTCATCGATTGCCAAGACCAGCCCGTATATTCTCAGTCGCGTCTCGCATCTGGTTCTCGACGAAGCGGACTCGTTGCTGGATCGGTCCTTTGCCCCTACCACGACAGAGATCATCGACAAGGTGGCTCCATCGCTCCAGAAGCTCATCCTGTGTTCTGCTACGATTCCCCGTAGCTTAGATACGGTTCTACGGAAGCGCTACCCGGACATTCGGCGCCTGACGACTCCCAACCTGCACGCAATCCCCCGTCGGGTCCAGCTCGGAGTCGTGGACGTCGAAAAACACCCGTACCGCGGCAACCGCGATCTCGCCTGCGCCGACGTGATCTGGTCGATCGGCAAAGCTGGTGATAGCGAGTCATATGGACCTTTCGCTACGTACATGGCGCCGAAAACCAAGAAGATCATTGTGTTTGTGAACGAGCGCGAGGAGGCGGATGAAGTGGCCAAGTTCCTGCAGTCCAAGGGCATCGACGCCGTGTCTCTGTCCCGCGACTCAAGCGGCCGGAACCAAGAGGAGATCCTAGAGGAGTATACCGAGTCCCCTCCGCCGCCCAGCCCGGAAGAGATCATGTTGGCACAGAAGAAGCGCCGGCTGGAAGAGGCCATCCCCTTTGAACTGCCGGAACAGCCACGCGACAGCACCGAGTCTCGCCGTCTGCCCAACACAAAAGTCCTGGTCACTACGGACATCGCCTCGCGCGGCATCGACACCGTTGCCGTCAAGACGGTCATCCTCTACCACGTCCCGCACACCACCATCGATTTCATCCACCGACTCGGCCGGCTGGGCCGCATGGGCAAGCGAGGCCGCGGCGTCGTCCTCGTCGGCAAGAAAGACCGCAAAGATGTCGTCCGGGAGGTCCGGGAGGCCATGTTCCGCGGCCAGGCTTTGATTTAGTCTTCCCTTCCTACATGCATAGAACGGCGTTGGATGGAGGACAAAGGTTCAATGTATACTACTACATCATTGGCATTGTATATTGCAATTCACCTCTACGCCTACTGTACTATATTTTAATCTGGCTTATCCAAATATGTTCTCTTTCGGCTGTTGCTATTCTATTCCAATTTGGTGCAGCGCACTCTCCACTTCCAATAACAACAACACAGTGAAAACAGGGAATAATATAGTTTCTGTACGGAGTACTCCATAGTAACTACGTAGTCATTCGCCACGATTTCCCTGTTTTGTTTCAAGATGGAGTACATATGTATTATTTTTAGATACACCCCTCTTTGCTTTGTTTTTTTGTTTTTTTTTTCAGCTGAACTCTGATGACTGCTCTCCTTGCTTTGAAACACTTCTCGAAGTGGAGAAAAATAAACAAATCTATTCCATAGCAAAGGAACGATACAAAGTACATACTCTAGTACAGGAGAATATACACCGGTTATAGCTGGGAGTGGTAGTATCTTTTTGCCATTCACTTTGGTATTTAATATAGCTATGATGGAAGTATTCAGCCTAACCTCAAATCTTGTCTACTATATATATAATCGAGTAGCTAGATGATAATGGAAACAGAATGGCTTACAATGAATCAGCGAATGTGTCTTGAAGTCGACAGTATTAGAATATATAAGGTGTAAAGCAAATAGCCATAGCTATAGACTATCCATATATTAAAAACCTATCCTAGATCCCAATCATGTGCCTCTTAGGACTCATGGAGATCCAACTTGGCACTTGCGAATATACTTTACTTTTAGAAATGAAGGCTACAGGTACTAGAGTGGTTCAATGGTTGGGATCTATTCCAGATATCAAGATTATTGTTAGCTGGCTAACACTGATATGTTGAAATAGATGCGAATACAGGTTTAGTAGCCCTGATCTCCAAGTAAAATACATAAGTGGTAAGGATTTAAATCTCCCTGGAATAGAAAAAGAGAAGCATGGACAATGAAACATCGTGATCGCACATTAGATGGCATCGGATGCTCCAAATGATTGCATGGTATGTCGCCCAATTAAGCCGCAAGTCTGATAGTTCTTTGAACTCGAATCAAAACATAACCCAACTCCGCGCTGTTCAAAGATAATATCATTATAGTACATGTCACTTCCAGGAATATGGTAAGCGTTAGATGAAAGGAGGGTGTAGTGAGACATAGGGAGCACGAGGCCATTACATCGTCTTGCGGATCTCTCGCGTGCGCCGCCTGCTGGCTCTGGTGTCGCGACGATTTGTGCCATTCTCGCTGACGTCCGTTTCTGTGAGGGGGGCATCAGAGAGCTCCGGGGTCGGCGTGACGCCAAAGCCGATGCCGCGGTGTCGGCGGGAGATTTTGGCCTCTTCCTCCGGGTACAGGAAGCGGTGGACTTCACGGTGGTCCATGATCCGCTCCTCGTCGTCGTACAGACCGTCCCGGTCGGTCTTGGGCCAGCGGTAGCCGTACAGCTTCGAGTGGCGTTCGCAGCGAGGACATTCGCGGCGCGTCAGATAAGAGTCTTGCTGAACAAACCAGACGTTGCAGGTGTGGCACTCAACCCAGCGATCGTATCGATGAGCAAGCAACCGCGAGGTCTTGGTGTAGTCGCCAGGCATGCGGGCTCGCGGCAAGTCTTCCTCAACAGAGAGAATAAGCGCTTTAGAGCGCGACGAGCGGCGGCCTTTCTTCGGCCGTCCCACCCCATTACCGAACTTTTCGTCCGGCTCACACGAGCCAGACAGGTCTGACAGACCATCGATATTGCTTGGGAGTGGAAGCTCCGGATGGAGGGGGATTCCACTGCCTGTACCCACAGAAGGTTCTGTGGTCTGTTCGGTTTTAATCTCTGAGACTCGGCTGTCACTTTCTGATGTCGGTGTTGTAGAGCCAGAGCGTCTCTGCGATTCCTCGGTAGTAAGCAAAGTAGTTGACTCGAAGTCGACGGTGGCAAGGAGTTGGCCGGTCGTCTCGTTACCAGGAGCTATACTCGCCAGGGGACAATCTCCCATCATAACCGGAAGCCGAATATTTGTCTTTGCTTCCACAATGAGTGTCGAGGCGGCTGCGGCCGTCACGGTCGATACTTCAATCGAAGCAGCAATATCGGGCAGCGCGATTTCCTCTCTGAGTTTAGAATTCTGACGCTCAAACTTCCCCCGCTTGCGAGGGGTTAGAGAGACTATAACCTCGGAATCCCCATCGGATCCACGTTTTCGTTTGTTCGATGGTCTCGGGCCCAAGGCTGATTCAGGCACTGGGGTTTCTTCGTTTGAGGTGGGCATGTCATTCGGAGCCGGCGTCGAGGCGTCACTCCTGGGCGATGTGACCTCCCCATCTGGAGCCCAGCCGTTGCGAACCGCCCGCTCGCAGGTTAGACAGAGACATTCGCAATTGTCAACGCCAAAATAGTCATCGCCGTAAGACACGGTGATCTCCTCGCCGATGTAGATGTCACGCGTAGCTACGACCTGCATGCCTTCCGAGCCACGAGTGACCAGGCGGCCGTTCGCGTGGCAGTCATGATTCGCAAACCGGGCCGGACCCAAGAAGAATGACGGGGCCTTTTTCCGGCTCGACATGACAATGCTGAAGTCTTTGCGCGTTAGACCCAAATCCAGTTCCTCCTCACGAGTCATCGCGACTAGAGTCCCGCTCAGGTACTTGATCTCCTGGCCCTGCCTGATAAACTTCCTGGCGCAGATGGCGGCTTCATGGACGGTGATGGTGTAGCGATTGGTCGTGGTGACTTCAAACGGACAGTCGGGTAAGTACATCTGGACGTACTTGCGCAAGTGACGACGGAACCACTCCTTCTCTCGATCGCCGGACAGCCTTGCCATGTATTTTCGCAGCCCCGACATAGCTAGCAACCTGTTTTCTGCTTTACTCGCATCCTTGCCGACAATCACGTCGTGGAGGAGAATCTGCGCAACATCGTCATCGTGGATGCCCCGGGCGGGGTTATATTTGGTGCGGTTCTTGCGGATACTTGTCCAGAAATAAGCCTGATGCCAGAGAGACAAGAGTCAGATAAACAGGGAGAGCCATAAAGTCCGCTAGAGAGAGGTAAAAAAAAAACCATACTCGGTCCACCAGCGCATCTGTCGCGACATCATCATAGCTGGCCAGTTTCGCGAGTGTCAAGCGATCGCGCCGCTCGACAGCAGGGCTTGCCGACGACTTTGACCGAGGCATATCGGGGACAAAAAGAAAACCGGAGGTTTAAAGTAATATAAGAAAGAAAACTGGCATTGGTGAGCACCCCAATCGCTAGCCTCGTGTTGAGGGTAGTCCCCGTGGGAGAGGTTGGATGGAGCGGCGCCGGTAAGGAGCGTATAGGTGCAATGGAAAGAAGGTATTGCTAGAGCCAGACCATAGGAAAATTCAGCACAAGCATAATGAAGCCGTAGCCAAACATAGACGAAAGGAAAATCGAGTCAGGAGGTGAGGAACAAAGGCTCCAGAGCCAAGTTAGTCCCTCAAGCCCTGGTCGTCCGGGACTGACTTACGGCAGCGACGCGGCGGCTGTCTGGGGGGTTCGGGCGGCTCGGCGAAACTTCGTCGTCCGGTGGACTTACAGGGAAATCTTCTGTGCAAGCCGGCAGCGACACTCTGAGCGTGAACCAGCTGCACTAGGGTCACGATGATTCAATTAAAGGTGACGAGAGAGTTTGGAGATTGATATTGATCAGATTTGACAGGGGATTTGCTGACGGATTGCGCTAGACGATGCTGAATTGCATCGACAACTCCGGAGCCGCACTTGTCGAGTGCGTCAACGTGTTGAAGAAGAAGCGCCCTGCCACTATCGGTACGCTTGACTAGGCGGTTTTTATTGTTCTCATCAAGGGTGGCCCGCTGATTGTCGACTCTAGGTGACCGTATTGTCGTCGTGGTACAGAAACAGCGCAGCTTTGGACCTTCCGACTCGTCGGGCAGCGGGATTGCGAACAAAGTCCGTCGCGGCGATATCCGGCACGCTGTTGTCGTTCGGGTCAAGAAAGAGATGCAGCGGGCAGATGGGAGCTTGGTGAAGTTCGAAGATAATGCCTGCGTGTTGGTGCACAAGTCCGGGGACCCGATCGGGACACGATTGAACGGTGAGTTTTTTACCCTCGAGTTGTGCTTGGACAAACGGTGAACAACGCACTGACAGATATACAGGAGTCGTTGGTGCAGAGCTACGGGGGAAGCGATGGTCGAAAATCTTGTCTTTGGCGCCTATGCATGTATAATACCAGTTTTAAAGCGAATTCATCTGTACTCTAGATCTTCGATATCGCGCTATGATATGAAACGGAAACATAAAATAAGTAAAACAAAGGAAAAATCAAATCCGCTAGACAGAGCTAGACATATCCTCAAACTCCAGAACTATACGCCGGGAAAACAATAGAAAAATGCAGTTGAAATGGGGTATCGGAGGTCCATGCCGAAACATAAGAGGGTATCACGTAAAGACATTACCGCAGGCGCAGCAGACAAAGTAGAGTTTCTAATCGCCAGAAAAGCAGTCAGTCACGCGTTTTAACTTGCAAATGTAGCAACGGCAGGAGTCGTCTTACCATTCCGGTTTCGGCAGATCGTTGCTGGGACTGGAAAAACACCGCCTCGCTTTCACCGCAGCTGGGGCAGAGCTTGTTGGATCGAGGAAGCTATCCAGAAGAAAGAGAAAACACGTTAGCCAAGGAGGTCTCAAGGATATGTCTTGAAAGAATCTTCGGCCAGAACCAGACAACGTGTCGGGGGATCATCAGGGAACCCTCTAGCCGAGTGTCCCACAGACAAAACAGGTAATGTCTTCTCCGCAAAGGATACAGAAATTCAGGAGACCAACCGTCGGATCGGATCCCACGTCCTGAGTCACGCCCGCCGTGTCTCCCACTTGGCTGTGCAGTTTGTTCTTGTACACGCAGTACGAGGTCGCAGGCTCGCCGACATGGCATGTGCGACACGTAAACATCAGACGGTTGTTGGCTCGGTCTTCCTTGGGGTACAGCAAGTTGGAACTAAAGACAGCCAGTTAGTAACTTCCAGAACTCATATCGGGGGGGAGGGGGGGGGTAAAGACTAACCATTCGCGACAGAAGCGGAAGTGAACCTGCTCGCTTTGCTTGGTATCACTACCAGCCGAGGGAGACGGACTAGCAGACATTTCGAAAAGTTGTTCTTGTTCTCCCAGATCTATACACACAGCAGGAGCGTTGAGGAGTGTTTGGAAACTGGAAGATGGATGCTGGAGCGCGGGGGAGTTGATTCTTCTTATCTGGCCATGCCAACAAAGAAGGCAGAAGAAAGAAAGGCGATTTTGCCGCAGAGCAGCGCTAGTCCCGATTGGGCAGAGAGCAAGCAATGAGTGGCCCGGGCGCTTCAGCCCTACCGCACGGTCTGATTGGTGCGTTGCTTCCCCCGCAAGGAACGACAAAGCCGAGACGACGACAGAATCGCCTTGGACAATATCCCTTGACAGAAGCATTAATCTTTCATTATCAAAGGGTTTGTCAAAGGAATCCGAGACTGATTGTTTGGCCATATCTATTGTTTTGGCTTAGGATCTACCAATCATATATAAATTCACCATGGTATGGCATCGCTGCCCCTCATTTGCTGCCGTGTAGAGAGATGGGGGGGTTCAGAGCAGGAATTACTAACAAGTGGTCATAAAAAGTCTGAAACAGGTCTTCCAACTGGCTGGGAAGTCAGGCACTCAAACACGAAGAGCCTTCCCTACTACTTCAACCCCGCTACGAAAGAGTCGCGCTGGGAGCCCCCCGCAGAGACCGACACGGAAAAGCTCAAGGTCTACATGGCAACCCACCACAGCACACCGGCGGCGCGTGGTGACCTGGCCGGCCAGAGTGATGGGAAAATCCGCTGCAGCCATCTGCTCGTCAAGCATAGAGATAGCAGACGGCCCAGCAGCTGGAGGGAGGCCGAGATCACACGGTCAAAAGAGGAGGCCATTGAGATCCTTCGCGGCCATGAGCAGCGTATCCAGTCTGGCGAAGTCAGTCTGGGAGATGTCGCTGTGTCGGAGTCTGACTGCAGCAGTGCTCGGAAGAAGGGCGATCTGTATGTGCCTCTCTTGCCCTATTGATTACCTACATAGAACGGTAGCTCACTAAATGCTCTAAAAGGGGGTTCTTCGGACGCGGTGAGATGCAAAAGGAGTTCGAAGACGCTGCGTTTGCTCTCCAGCCCGGTCAAGTAAGCGGAATTGTTGACACAGCGTCGGGGGTCCACCTTATTGAGCGGTACGTCTCCTCCCTCCACTGGGAGTAAATATAAGCTAATCGAGGTATTTTTGGTACAGTGTGCAGTAGCCAAAATGGAGGAATACCCTTTCTTTCGACGGAGATTAGTGTCTTGACAAGATCAGAATTGCATGCTATATGTCTGCGTTCTCAATCAATTATCCCGCCATGAGTATATAGCTATTTGCTATTATGGAAATGTTTACATCAGGATTAATATAGTCAACAGACACAAAATCGAACTCTTGTTTGAAAATAAAGCCTTCCCCTGCCTTCTTGTTCACTTTCCTGTCCCTCCATCCTTCTGTGGCCTTGGAGAGTGAGAGTTCCCCTTAGGGGTGACTTCTAATTGGTTTTTTAGAGAAAACAGCTACTCTCACTGATGAGACCTATCTCCTATTCACTGATTACTTTTCTAATCAGAGCATGTTTGCACCGGTCAGGTTACCCCCTTCTATTTTTTTTATTTTGCCTTCTTCTCTTGCTTTTTCTCTTTCTCTTCTATCATGTCGATTAAAATTTTCACATAAGGAGACTCCTTATATCCTTATTGAAACCAGCAACTTACCCTTTCCCTTTCACAGTAAGTGCACCCTTTGGTATAGTATGACTGTCTTGATCTAAACAATGACAGGTCCTGCAGCCCTTTTAGCTCGCGATGGCGATCTGGGGCAGACGCCCTGGAGAGGTCGAGATCCCTCGGGCCTTTGCCCTCCCCAGTCATCTTCGCAGCGTCCTCCCCATGCAGATGCAGATGGACTTCATGATCATCCAGCAGAACGCGGGCGTTGTGTACTGCGATATCAAGACTCTCCGGTTCAAGTGGCGCAACCGCTTTCGCTACATGTGCTCCAAGAAAGACATGGACAAGTGGGACGAGCACCTCTGCACCGTCGACCGTCTCGTTCTTTGGGCCAAGACCCATAACATCCACGATCCCACGATGACTCCCGTCCCCAAGATCCCTGCCGAGACTGTGAAACTTTACCCCGACTGGGCCACCTACGACCAATTTGCCGCCGACTATGTCGAGTTCCTTGAAAAGTTCATCAAGGGCTCCTACAAGATCTGGCGCGACTCTAAGGAGTACGTCGAAATGGTCGTCGCAACCTGCGGTATGAACCGGATGGACCATGCTGAATGGGAAGATTGGTGGACCAACACCTTCCTGCACGAGATGAGCAAGTTTGAGGACTCTCTCAAAGGACTGGTCCTTCCTTGCTGGGAAGACCTTATCAAGGAGCTCATCGAGGTTGTCTCTGCAACTGTCGATCAGCCCAAGCTGGTTCTGGATCAGATTATCAAGTGAGTATCTTTACTTTTTCTATTAATAGAGACAACAGAGAGAAGAAGAAGAAGAAGAAGAAGAAGAAGAAGGTTAACCTATTGTAGGGACTAGATTTGGGGACCTCTCACTTGTCCATATTGACAATTACCCTCGATATGGCTTCTCTTGATGGCGCCAGGTCGACTTCCTTTGTATCTATCTGACTGATAAACCGCTTCGTTGGTTGAATTGGATGGTTTGCAACCAAGGTCTCGGGTCGTCTGGCTGTTTTTAATGACTTATGGGCCACGATCATGTCAATAATGACTTATGCCAAACACTTGCTTTTGAAATCATAGACAATAGGATTCTCAATCTGTAACCTAGCATCTAGACGTGTTAATTATTAGGCCGAAAGTTCAACATCAGCCACAAATTATCAATTCACGGTCCCGAAGGACTGGTATAGTTCTGCCTAAGAAGGATAATCCTTACACTGTAGCTCTCTTCACCATCTGTGCTTCTAGCCTAGTTTCTCTTAACAATAAAAGAGATTAATATTCATTCACTAGATCTCTTTGTTCATTTTCTTTGCTGAGATGGATAATCCTATTATATTCTCTATGGCTTTGTCCTCTATGTTCAGCATAACAAAGATAATACTTGGAGAATAATATATCATTGTTCACTTTTACTGCCCTTTCTGACGTTGATGTCTTATTTTGATCAAAATCCCTTGTGACTATCTAAGAGTTTTCTATTTAGCTAAATCTATGGAGGAAAGAGGATCTCACAGGGATATACTCTTACCATCACCTCTATATTGACTATCTTGTCCCCATTACATCAAGTCAACCATGTGTATTTACTGGGTCTGCAAATACCTTCTCTGCGGTTGCATCTGGGACGATTCAGCTATAACATGTTCCAAGGAATTAGGATGTACGGACCTGCGCATGGTCCAGGTCCAGATTCCGGACCACAAATGCGAAGAATGTCATGCTAGAGATAGGACACTCATCGATGATACAGCGGGTGGTCTTGTCAACGCAGATGGCGAGCACAGCAAAGTTGATTTTAGGGCTATCGAGTTCGTCGAGATGGATCTCTCGCGGGTCTGTGATGCTGTGCACAAGCGGGATAAGATACGACGGGGCCGGACTTATGAAGATGAGGATGAGATGGAGGGAGAGGGATATGAAGCTGGGACAGGAAGTGATTATAGTAAAGAGTAAACAGCTAGAGAAATTTTGGCGAGATAGTTGATTTCAGACTGCCTTCGGTGATAAAAATTTGTAAAAATCATCGAAATAATTGGATTTAAAAGTTCTTTGATGCTGTGATTGAATTTTGTATGGAAATATTAAAATCGCCTTGTGAACATCACCACTGGATTCGCTTCTATCCATAGCCATGATTATAAGCATGTATTGAGTCGTTCTAAACGTGAGGTGATGGCGTCAATGACCGCGGATCTATTGTGGGCGTGAAATTAGCACCTCAGCTTCCATACCATAGAAGCAGATAGATAGACATACTCTCGTTCAACCATTTTCATGGCATCGGCAATTTTAGCTCGCTGCAGCCTCTGGGGAACCTTTGGTTGAGCCCCTGAAGCGGCTGGACTGCTGGGTTCAGGCGACACAGAAGCTCTCGATGCGATAGTCTTGGCTTCGGCAAGCATCTCCTCTGCAATGGATTTGACCTACAATGGCCGTGAGCAAATTGGTGCTGAACAATCGTGGAGAAAAACATAAACTAACCATTTCCAATCGATATGAGAGGTCTGGCCCCCTCTCTCGTCCTTCCTCTTTCTCTTTACCTTCTGCGAACGATACAGAAAGCGTATCCACTTCGGCAACCCAGGCCTTTTCCTTTTCGCTGAGCGGGCGGCCACCGGACTTGTACAGCTTGGAACGGAGTCGCTCATATCTCTGCACAAGTTGTTCTTGTCTGTCCTTGGCAGCTTGCAGTCGCTTGTCCAACGCCTCACCGCTCCGAGAGCCCTCCTTCCTCTGTCCATCTTCGCCGATCTCACTAGATACACCTCGGATCCGTTCGGCCACATCGGTGAGTTGTTTCAATTGGTCCCGCATCTCGCCTTGTAACCGCTCGCAACGCCGGAATAGATCCGACGCCGCGCGTTCGAGAACATTTGTGTGAGCGGACAGCATCCGATGGGCGGCGGCAACCAAGTCTAAAGTTGCTGGAGAGAGGCGGACTTGTTCTTTGAGCGTGTGCCGCTGACGATGAGGAACCTGCTTGTCTACAAACAATTCCAGGGGGGAAGCGGAGTAGAAGATAGCAGGGACCTGATACGGTAGCCGGCGCGGGGGTAAGATGGGTGATCCAGGAACCTGGCTAGTCGCATCCAGGCGTCGTAATTCAGCAACAGACGGGAAAGAAGTCTCAGGAGCATCGAGAATAGCTGCATATGGCTGGGAAGAGCGGAAAGTCAACAACAGATAGCCGAGGTCGTAGTCGTAAAATACCAGAGGAGACGCTAGATGGGTAGATCCATTGGCTCCGGTGGTAGGGCCATCCTCATCACTGACTTGAAGAACCCGTTCGCTTGAAGATGTGGAGCCTTCACACAAGACTTGCAAGCGGAAAGCAGATCCAGAGGTATCCTCGGATTGTAATTCTGCCTCCAACCGCTGCACCCACGACGAAAGCGAGATGAACGAAACACCACTTGTGGATGTAACGAAGAAGCCGTATTGGGAGTGGACATCTCTCGAGAACATGGGCCAAGAGCTCGGCTGTTGGAAGCCTTGCTTGACGGTATCCAACGACTCAACCAAAACTAGGTCTGAGGGTTCGGAGAGCGGAGTCCTGAAAGCGTTTATTTTAGCCTTGGGCAGCCACTGGCCTTCAACTCCATCGAGCTCCAGGCAAATGTGGACTCTGCCGGTCCCGGTTGACAGACAGATGAGGGTAGCGGACAACTTGTCCTCTGAGCTCTGGTCCAAGGCTAGCTCCTCTTCTTCTCCCAACATAAGATCGTCGAGGTCGGCTTTGGCAGGGACGACTAATAAATCGCAGAGATCCAGGTCATCGATTTCATCACCTGTATCGAAGCGGAACGGGCCTTGCATTCTAGGGATTGCACTCGGAATGGCGGGCCGAACAAAAATGTCTGCTCCAGAGAGCGTTTCGTGATTCGCGGGAGCGAACAGCGGCTCCTGGCTATCGATTTCCTTCAGCCATTCATACTGTTGACGACACGCAGTTAATTCCTCTTCCAGCTCTTCAGGATCCTGCTCCAAGGCAGAAAGCTTCGGAACAATCGCCGAAGAGAGCGCAGGGACCGTAGTCGAGGGTGCCTGCCATTTGGATGGCAGTAGCGGACAAAGAGCATACAAGTCGCCGGGCTTCATGGCAACCCAGAGCGTCATCGGTGCCCAGGCGTTCTCTCCGTCACTGCCAGTACCCCCGAAACAAGCCGAAGCGACCTCCATATCGATCATATCGGCAGAGAAACCCTTGTTCTTTCCGAATCCAGACGGGGCAAAGTCCTGGTCGGAAGACGTCCCATCCACGAGCTTCTTCAGATCAATAGCAAGCGTCGGCCGGTCAAAAGACCATTGATTGTTCCTGTCAAGCTCCCACACACGTACAGCGGCATCTGTAGTGATAGTCACAATGCAAGCACTAAGGTTACTGTAGAGCCCCAGCGGATGCCATACTGCGGACACCACAGGTGCTTCAGGGATAACGTGCGTCGTAGGGCCCAGCTGGTACGTCTTGACTCGGATAGGTGAGTTGTCTGTGCCCGAGAGATGTGAAGAGTCGGGAATGACCGAGATATGAACTGTGTGATCTGTGATAATCGCCAGGAATGAACCATTCGGGGAAGGGAGTATCTGTCTAATCTGGCTATAAACTGGCACGTTTAACACCTGCAAAAACCCCCACCGCATTAGCTGGAGATCCACGACCCAAAAAGGCTGCATAGGAGTCAGCAGAGACGTACCCGATAATGGACCTTCCCTTCGCTAGCTGCCTGAGAAGCCTGGGGGTTCTTCTCAGATGCCTTTCCCTGTTTCCATTCGTCTTTGAGTCTTGTCAGGTTCGACCACCGAATCTGATTGTCCACCACCACAAACACTTCATTGCCCCGTCTGGCCAGCGTCTTCACGGGGCCTACGTAGTCGCCTTCTCTTCCGCCATTCTGCTGCTCCCGATTCGCCCCCTTGGCAGCAGAGCTAGAGAAGAGAGCAGCGCCGGGAGAAGGGCGGCAGAGCCAGGGTGGAGTGTAGCTGAGCACCTTGGGCATCGTTGAGGCAAACGAGGAATAAAAACACGCAGTGCTGAGTCGACAGCCGTAATACAGTCAAATTTATTGGAAAGCGCCCATAACAACGCCCTTCTCAAAGAACTGGAACGTGCTGAACTTGAGCAAAGAGAGATCCGTAGATGCGCACTGGGAAATTTGAATGTCGCGCGGCGGAAGCTATCCGCCGAAAGCGCGCCAAGCATGGGAGCTCTCTACCTTCACCTCCAGACTTCACTCGACGTTCACACCGTATATACGGACAGACGTCGACATTCGAGGCACAATGGTTTTGCAACGAGAGGCGACTATTGATCGGCTGGATAGACCTAGCGCCTACTATGTAGGAAAGGTGTGTAATTTTTCTTCTGCCGATGTCGAGTGATGACGAGAAGGACGGTGGGCTGACGGTCGACCGCCAGAACAAGAAGCGAAGATATAATTCAGACCGGGATGATGCCGACCGACAAGACGACCCAACGTCGTCGTTGAAGAACGCCACTACTCTCTATGTTGGCAATCTGTAGGAAGACGAGACGGTTGGATCATTTATCGGGGTGCCTGTGCTGACAGGTGTCTAGCTCCTTCTACACCACTGAGGAACAGATCCATGAGCTGTTTGCGAAGTAAGTTGAATCGATTCTTCTTGATTTTTGATGGGTAATTTACATATCTTTCCTTTTATTGTAGGTGTGGTGAAATCAAACGCCTCGTTATGGGCCTCGATCGGTTTCATAAGACCCCCTGTGGCTTCTGCTTCGTCGAGTACTACAACCACCAAGACGCGCTGGACTGCCTAAAATACATTGGAGGGACAAAGCTGGATGAGAGAATTATCCGAACAGACCTTGATCCGGGGTTTGAGGAGGGTCGGCAATACGGGTACGCTTGAGCACTGCTGAGAGATGACTGTCAGGCTGCTAACCGTCGTGCTTGCGATTAGTCGTGGAAAATCCGGTGGTCAAGTCCGTGACGAATACAGAGAAGAATACGACCCTGGGCGTGGAGGCTATGGTCGGGCATACGAGGAACAACGCAAACGAGAGGAAGAGGACTACGGTAAAGGTAGGTGAAGTTGAAGTGAAGAATTATTTTGGTCTATAGGCGCAAAGACGGCGTGTATACTACGGTCATCTCTTATCGAACGGTACATCTATCACCAAAAGAAGGGGAGGAAAGATCTACCTGATACCCAATCAAAAAACATCATTCATATCCTTCCAAAAATTTCCTGTTCATGTTCTCTTCCCCACAGCGTCTTTCACCTGACGGAGCCACCAAGAATGGATGCGAGCGTCGTCAGTCAACTCGGGGTGGAAGCTTGTCCCGAAAACATTCCCCTGTCTAACCGCGACAATGTCGCCGGTTTCCTTCTCGGCATTGATATTCTTGCCCTCGCTGGCTAGCCTGGCAGCCCTTCCAGAGAGTGTCGCCAGAACTTGCACATGATCCTCCATCATGGCTCTGGCCGACTGGTCCTTTGCCTGGCGTGACGGCGCTACCACCGTCTCGTCTCGCTCGTTTTCCTCGACTTGAATGCCTTGGTGGTGTGGAAGGATCTTCTCAACAACCGGGGCCCGAATGAAGACTGCCGGGTAGGAGGGCTCTTCCCCTCGCTGGCCATCCGAGTTCAGGAACGGCAATTCTAGCGGTACTTGGAAACTTTCTGTCTGTCGGCCGAAGTGGTTTCGATTGACACGAACATCCAGACCCCCAATGAGCTCCTGCCCTCCTTTCTTGGTCCGATTCGCAGACTCTGATAATAAGATAAGACCAGCACAAGTTCCCCAAGTTGGTTTGCGATGGACCCTGCGATAAGGACAGCCGCCGTCAGCCTTGAAACACGCAACGCTACCACCAAGGGGCTGCTACTTACTTCACAAAGTCCCTCAAGGGCTCCAGCATGTTGGACCGCGCCGCGACCAAGGACATTGTCGTGCTCTCGCCCCCCGGCAAGATGAGGGCGTCACATCTCTCCAACTCGGGCGGGGTCCGCACCTCGATGAACTCCCAGTGATCATCAAACGACGGGTTTTCTTCCGCCAAGCGGGCTGCAGCCTTCTTGAGCAACTGAATATGCTCTATAAAGGCGCCTTGCAGGGCCAGAACACCCACCGTGATCCCGGTCATCATGCTGCTTGTGAGTCAAAACACCCTTTCCATCGCCGCCTTCATTATCATCTTCCCGGATCTACCGGATTATCGACGGCCCGCTCTTATCGGCACGTGCTGCCCCTCCTTGTACTCCGGAGACTCCGTATTCTGTAGGTATTTAGAAGCACTTTCTGTACATGATTTCTCTTTTTAATGATATGATTATGGCGTTATGAGCTACGAAACGATTTAGCATTTCCTATCCAGCGTTGATTTATATACGACTTGATTACAACTACGAACAGCCCTTGTTTATAGCTGTTGACATCCAGAATGGCTGACGAGCACGCTCTACCCATTCTGCAGCGGTGGTACATTGACACTCGGTCGTTGACGTCGGAGACGTCGTTGTTGCCTCTGCTGGAGACTCTCCAACCGACGGATCAGGAGAAAGTGAAGAAATACTATCACCTGGCAGACCGGCACATGTCACTCGCATCGAATCTGCTTAAATACCTCTTCATCCACAGGGCGTGCCGGATACCATGGCATGCGGTCAGCATCAGTCAGACCCCGGCACCACACCACCGCCCGTGTTTCATCCCACCGGCGGATGGGAAGAGTCTTCCCAGCATTGAATTCAACGTCAGCCATCAGGCGTCCATGGTTGCCCTCGCGGGGACCATTATCTCGCCATCTCCTGACAAAGAAACTCTCCAATCGACACCACAGGTTGGGATTGACATCACCTGTGTGGACGAGCCTTCTCGACGCGGCCGACGAGATCAAATCACCACGTCGAAAGGACTGGAAGAGTTTGTGGATATCTTCTCCGAGGTGTTTTCCCCGCTCGAGCTCGGAACGATCAAGAAGACCCCGGCGCATGCCAATCCCGCCAACAACCTACAAGACACGATCGACGCCCAGATCCGCCTGTTCTACACCTACTGGGCGCTGAAAGAAGCCTACATCAAGATGACGGGCGAAGCGCTGCTCGCACCCTGGCTCCGCGAATTGGAGTTCACCGACGTGGTGGCTCCAGACCCGGTCGACAGCTTGACGGGAGAGGACGGCGACGACGAGAGCTTATCCTGGGGGCGCGCCTATACGGGGGTTCAGACCTGGCTACACAAGGAAAAAGTGACGGATGTCCGGGTGGAAGTGGTGGCGTTCGAGCAGGATTACCTTGTCGCCACTGCTGCTAGGGGCGGAACCATCGGGGCCTTGCCATCATCTGATAATCACCCCGAGACGTGGGGAAGGCTTCGACGGATCGATATTGAGCGAGATGTCGCTCCTTGTGCGACGGGGACATGCAACTGTTTACGGACCACTTGACTTGGGTTGGTTGACTGAAGAAAATGGTAATATTATTCTAGGCTTCATAATAACCATAGTCCTCTGAGAACAGGGTATAAACCCCCTATGTACAGTATATGATCATTGCATCAGCTCGTCTATTCTATCATCCACTCGTCACGACCCAAAATAGCTGGGGGAGAAGAAAAACAAAGGGGGGTGGGAGAGAGAATAGGATGTAAATTAAAGGGTTCAAGGTTTAAATTTCGATTGCCGACGAGACTGCATTGGGAGCCGTGGTGATCTCCGATTTCTCTGCATGGGACATCTCAACGAGAGTGCTAAGCATCATCTCCTGGGTTGACTTGGTCAACTCGTTGACGTCGGCGGCTGTGAGACCTTTAGTACTGATAGGGGGGAGAACTATAAAGTAATCAGAAACACGTATATATATATATATATATAAATGTGAAGGACATTCTCACCCTTGATCTTGATGACCCCCGCATTGAAGCGCAGCGCCCGCGGCGACATGACATGCGAATAGTTCTCGACAACCACAGGGACGATGGGAACCTCGGCCTTGACGGCGAGATGGAAGGCGCCCTTCTTGAAGGGGAGCAGTTCCGGCTTGTCCGAGTAGCTACGGGTGCCCTCGGGAAAGATGAAGACGCTCTGGCGGTGGTTGCGGATCTCGTCGGCAGCGCCATCGACAGCCTTGACGGCCGTCTCGCGGTTGCCCCGGTCGATGAAGACGGTGCGCGACAGGGTCATAAACCAGCCAAGGAAGGGGATATTGCGCAGCGACTTCTTGGCCGTCACACTGCAGTACGGAGGAAAGATGGTGCCGAGCATGAGCACGTCCAGCTCCGTCTGGTGGTTACCGATGAACACCGCCGGCCTGGTGGTCAAATGCTCGACCCCCTCGACGATGTCGAAGCGCACGCCCGTCGTGTACCGCATCACCCACTTGAAGCTGCGCGCCGTCGCCCACTGCGACACCCGGCCGTACCCGACCAGCCGCAGCACGATCGAGGCCACCACACCGTATGTCGCACACAGGATCAATGAGCCGTACGCCGCCATACACCGCGCAACGAACGCGGCACGCGGGACCTTGCTGCCGAGCGCGAACAGCGACAGCGTCACGACAACGAACGAGCTGACGCCCGAGGCCAGGTAGGAGAAGATCGACATGGCGGGCAGCAGCAGCAGCAGCAGCACCGGCGGCGGCGACAGTTGCTGTGGTAGGTTCGGAGGAAACTATGGTCGTGCTATTATCTTCAACGTCCACTGGCCATGACCGGAGCGAGTCAGGGAATAGAGTCCTTGTGCTGTTGAACGTCTCGAGGAACAGCGGGCGGCCCAACGTCGAGATGATCTTGACGGTTCTGCTGGGCAGTTTCTCACCGCCTCAGTAGGTAGGTATACACTATGACTACATAGTACAGGTAACTCTTTTATATTTCATTTCATGTCTTTTAACACCAGAGCAGGATTAAGAATATTGATTGTGCAAGTCTGTCGACAGTCCTATGTTCATGAAACCATCGTCCAGCGCTATCGTCTCTCATATGCAGCCCAAGTACCGCTGGGGAGAAAAAAAAAAAAGAACCAACCCTCGCTAATGTACAAGCTCGTCACCGTCGTCGCTGAGAACGTGATGCCGGTAGACATGCTTCCATCTCATCTTTCTAACCAACCGGCCAGTAAAACGCCTCCGTAATGCTGATGCTCCGTGCGGGAAAATCGAGGAAAACAAAAACACAAGATAGAGAGAGAGAGAGAGAAAGAGAGAGAGACCCTATGTGAAGGCCAGGCCGTGAATGGAGGAGACCCAGGATGAATTTGGTAGAGGGGGGAAAAAAAAGAACGAGGCAAAAGGATAGATCGGGGTGTCATCCAAGAGAAAGAGTTTAGGCCATATCGTCATCGTCATCGTCCTCGTCGTCGAGAGCTTCCATTGCATCTTTGATGTACTGCGCCGCCTGCAAAGAGTGAGCATAAACAGAAAGAAAATAATGACCAATCTAAGAGAGAGAAGGGGAAGAGGGGGGAGACTACCTTAGGATCCAAGTTGAGGGCCGTGGTAAAATGTTTGATCGCGTTGGCTTTGTCCTGTAGCATCTTGTAAAGCTTACCCAAGAGGTAGTGGACGTTGGCTTCGTCCGGCGCCATGTCTTTCAGGATCTTCAGCTCTGCCAAGGCGAGCTTCAGTTCCTGCAGCTTCATCAAAGCCCGGGCCTTCCGGAAGCGAGCCAAGACCGAGTGAGGAGCGATTGAGCAGGCACGTCCGTATTGGATCAGGGCTGCCTTCGGGTTGTTCATCTTTTCGAGGACGAGGCCGATGCAGCAGATGAGGACGGCGTTTGTCGGGTTGATGCTCGCGGCGTTGCGGAAATGCTGTTCGGCAAAGTCCAGTTTGCCCATCTTGTCGTAGACGGTGCCCAGTCCGTACCAGGCATTGTAATGTCGGTTGTCGGCGCCGATGCCCTGGCGGTACGCATCCATGGCCTTGTCGTACTCCTCGTTGGCGACGTATTCATGGCCCTGTAAAGTGAAAGCATACGCAAAACGAGGGTCCAGCTGTGTCGCTCTCTTGAAGCACTTGAGGGCTTGGTCGTGGTCGCGTTGGTGGGAGAAGGAATTACCAATTGCACACCAGGCCTGGGGGGAGAGGCGGTCGACCTCCATCAGCTCATGCGCCAGATAGGCAAGTTCCACGTCGTTTTTCAAATGCCAGAGGACAGTCGAGTAAATCTCCATATCGTCCATGAGCGATGGCGCGAGCGCCCTAACCCGGAAGTAGTGTTTTTCCGCCTCTGCGTACATGGCCTGCTCGTAATATGCACGGCCGATCTGTGCCAGCACCCAAGGCGTCTCTCTCTGGGCCTGCGAGAGCGAACTGAAGATCTGGATGGACTCGGGGCACCTGTAGCGGCTGAGCGCAAAGGTTCCTGCTGCGAGCTTGGAAAACAGCTCTAGTATCCAGCCCAGAGCGTCAACACTTTTGGCTTGTTCGTTGGCTGCAGTCTTGAGGGAGGTGGTGGGGAGAGTGGCATGCACAGGAGGTATAGGACGATGCTCCTTGCTATCCGCCTCTGAGCTCTCGCTGAGATGCTTGCGATTCCCACTCACGACTCGACCCGCGTGGGAAGCCGCAGTGCGTCCCTTGACGCCCGTTGCCTTGACCTTTTTGAGCTCTCGCCCGTCTTTACCACCCAGGGTGCTGCTCGCCAGTTTGCTGGTGGTCGGCTTGATCTGATTGAAAAGGCGGACACTGCGTCGCTGCGGAGCTCCTGGTTCGGACGGCTGGGCCGGGTGAGCAACCTGGCCAGAGACGGTTCGTTTACGATCCCCTATCCGAGGAGCGGCATGTGCCTCTTTCTCTGCCTGGGCCAACAAGTGTTCCTCTGGTTCAACCCTGGCCCTTGTGCGTGATCTGATGCCTGTCGACTTCATCCTAGGCGGGGGTTCCATGGCGTACTCCACTCCCATCGGCTGGATAGTCCGATTCTTACGTGCCGGTGCCAGAGGGGGTTCCCAGGGACCCTCGTTGCTTTCCATGCCATTTGCAATGCGGAACTCATCCGACTCGCTGCTTTGAGCGCCGGGGGTCTCGGCACCTTCATTAATACCGGAAGCTCCCACCGACGCCACACTGACGGTGCTTCCATTCAACTTCTCCCACAATGCAGAGCTTCCATAGGTGGCCCCGACATCGTGCCGGGCAGAAGATGCCATGAACGGATCTGACGTGGGATTTGTGTGAGACTGCGCCTGCAAGGGCCCAGCAGACGCTTTGTCGATCGGCGAGTCAATGTCAAACTGAAAGTTTGCTGCTGCCATTGCAGCCAGCTCAGGGGTCAATTTGTAAATGTTTGGGACCCGGACGTTGACTCCTACAGCCAAAAGAACTTTAGATTCGATCCATAAAATGGACAACGGACAGACTTACCAGTCTCGCAAAGCCCGAGGAAAGCATCCCACATGAACGGATTCAGTTTCAAAGCCTCGACATAGCATTCCACCGCCTTGTTCAAATCCTTCTGCGCCTGCCACAGCTTTCCCTGCAGAGACAGAACCGCCGCTGCATCTGGTAGATGCTGTCTGCGTGTTTCATTGTGTTTGTCTAGAAAATTTCCAGATATTAGCAATCTGACTTGATGAAGATAGAGACCTTAGAACAGAAGATCTGCCGCGTATGCTTACTCCAGTGGTTTCTGGAAACCCAGAGGGGGCGGCTTCGCTCAAGCGCAGTAATCCCCTCGATATGTTTCCCCATATCCAAACACGCCTGGGCAAAAACATATGAGCAGCCCAAATGAGTGCCCCTGGACCCGGCGGTTCGACTGTAATCACAGGCAGCCTTCAGCTGCCCGTTCTGGAGGTAGCATAGCGCTAGGAGGTACGCCGCCTCCGAGGATCGCGGCTCGTGAGCGTAGAGGCGACCGGCGATGAAGAGCGCGTTGCGGACCATATTGTTGTCAAGATGGTAGTAGATGAGCTGCCTCATCTGGCTGGAAACGTGGGAGGTTGATGGCGACATGGTGTGCTGAGCTGGGCTTCGCGAAAGGAAAACCCGCTTTTCGAGGTAGAACAACGCAGGATTCGGAAATGAGCTTTAAAACCGATCAAAGAATATGTAATGTCAGGGTTCGTTTCGTAGGCGCATTAGGAGGATTCGCTCGTCTTGTCTCGTCGTGGTTGAAGGGGGGGAGGTGGTCTGGGAAGCAACGACACGATTTTGCAACGGCGAGAAGAACAGAAGAGAGAGAAGAAAGCGAACGTCTCTGAGAGGAACCAGCGCGCCTCTCTGCAGCTCCTTCAGGCTGTTTTTTTCACGCCTTCACCACCAGCGTCGAAGGTGAATACAGGTGCCTATTGAGGCCCGGTGAAAATGAATGACGTCCGGGAAAGCAGCAGCGCCCTTGAGTGAATAGCAGCTAGGAACGACCGCTCAGCGTGTCGATGCATATGGTATCAGGGGTCGAAGGGCGCCCAAATAGTCTCCTCTGCTCAATAAACGCGCCGGAGGGAGGGGGGTTGCGACCGCTGCGTGCCAGCTCTCGATCTCTTTGCTGATGCTGAGGGCGTTGTCGCTATCGTGATGTTTTGGGGGGAGCGTGGCTGGTGGAGGCGCGGCGAATGGGGCGTCGTCGTGGTGGGCAACGCCATTCCCTATCCGATTCTCTCTCTCCAACGTTCACTTCACCACGAGGGGCCACCGCGTGTCTTTGTCTCGCCTGTAGCCATCGTGGTTGGTATTGAAGGTTTATTTATTTGGAACTTGTCTATTGTCGTTCAGATTGGGTCCAGGTGGGGGTTTGACAGGCCTAGTTGTGTGGTGGTCCATTGTTCCCTGTCTAATTCAACGTGAATCAACCACAAAGAGGAAAATCATCGAAACAATGGCTCAGGTGAGTGGACGTGGATTAATTCCACATTCAGGCGATGTTTCTTCTATCTTTGTTCTTTGCTGACCGTCCACAGAAAGCAGCCAAAACCCTTGCGGCCCGCAATGCCTCTGTCCTGCTACGCACCCATATTACGACCCTCTGCCTGCATGTGGTCTTCCTCCTGTTACACTGGCTCTTCAACCGCCCACGGTCCATGTGGCAGTACTTTGTCTTCGTCTGTCCCACACTCCTCATCGAGTTCTACCTGGAGCGTCTGGGTCGACCGCGTTTCAACCCGGCTGACGGCTCGCTCCGGTCTGCCGGTGAGGATCTCGGTGCATCGGGGCTGACGGAATACATGTGGGATGTCCTCTACTGGACTTGGGGCTGCATGGGGGCTGTCTGTGTGTTCGGAGACCGGGCCTGGTGGCTGTGGGCGGTCATCCCGCTGTACTCGGGCTGGTTGGCCTACACCACCGTTATGGGCATGAAGAGCGGGCTGGCCGGGATGGGAGGAGCTGGAGCGGGTGAGCCTGCTGCGGATAGCAAGAGACAGAAGAAGATGGAGAAGCGGGGTGCTCGCGTGCAGTATCGCTGAGGTCTAAAAGTATATCATCAAATCAAATGTGTCATCGAAGACAACAACAGCATATATATTCTTGTCATTATAGAGAAAGCCGTCCATAAGTCGCAATTCGTATCATTCATAAATAAGTAGGCATACATTTCAATAGACCGAAAGAGAAAAAAAAAAGCCACCCTTGGCGTACTGGCCACATCTGCGGCGGCCGTGCAGCACTAAATATACCATATCGAGTACTGTAGCCAGCTGACAAAACAAAGAGGGAAAGAAACGACGAAGGGAAAAGCGAGAAAAAGAAAGAGAAGGGCGATAGCTATCAGTGGAACGTAGAACAAATACTAAGAACAGAGCGGAAAGGGAACATCACGGAAGGAAAATGTCGTAAGCGTTCCTAGGTCAAAGCAAACTGTATGGGGAATAGAGCGTCGTGAGCAGAGGGGACCGGAGAGTAGAGATTTCGATCAACATGACATGCGTAGTAGACAGGCTCTTGATGACGAAGAGGAAGAGAAGACAGATGAAAAAGAAGGGGATAAAACTAGTAGGACAGCAATGGTCCATCGGAATAGACCAATCTTTTTTCTTTTTTTTTTCCTGTAATTTTACAGCTCATCCTTGACAGACTGAGCAGCGCTCTGCACTGTACTCGCAAAGTCCTGGGCCTGTGAGGTTACAGCAGCAAACGCTTCGGATGCCAGGCTACTGCCACTGGAGGCGAGATCTGTAAGCTGGGACTCAGCACCCTGTGCGGCCTCGAATATCTCGTCAACCGAGGGAACATTCGTGGCAAATGCTGATACTCCGGAGGAGGCGGACTCGTAGACCTCACTGGCGATGCTGCTTGCTGATGACAGGACGGATGTTGGGTGGCGTGTCTCATATACAGCCTGCAGTTTGCTCATCACACTGTCAGTGAAGGCAGTGTCTTCACCGGCGAGCACCTCAGACACCAAGTTGTACATTTCCTCATAATAATAATTTGCGCCAGAGAGAACTTGGTGCGAATAGGGAGTGCTAGTCCCATACACTTGCTCGCTAACCTTCGAAACAATGTGCTCCCACTGGACCGATGCCTCGCTAGCAAGAGATTCCAGCGGCTTGGTGGAAGTTCCATATATAGCTGAGCTTGCTGCATCCGAGGCCTTGGAAAAGGACGCTGACGCAACAGAGAGAGCGGCGCTATACTGGGATGAAGCTACCTCGAGAATATTTGGCCCATCGTGCTGCTCTTCATCCGGGTGCACCATGGAGCTTGCAGATGCCACCACGGCCGATAAGCTTGCAGATGCAAGGGATGCAGCTTGACTATAATGGACCTTTGCTTGCTCGACCAGATCCTCAAACATGGTCGGAGGAGGCGTGGGAGTGGGAGAAGCGTAGACGGCTTGGGAGGCCGAAGAGACAAAGGCGGAATATTGATCGTGGGCGTACCCAAGGGCCTCGTAGTAACGACGGCGCGCATCAAGTAAAACGTGGTTTTCTGTAGGGGTTGGCTCTGGAAGCACTATAGCTCGAGCCTGAGCGAGTCCCTCAGAAGCGAGAGCAATGCTTTCCAGCAATCTTGACGAGGCTACGGACGTGATGTAAGCGAGAGCTTGTGTCTTCGATGGAGTGCCGTAGATGACAGCGGATGCACTGCATGACAGAAACGTTAGACCTAGACTTATTGAAGAAGAGCGAGATAAAGAAGACCCGGATGGGAGGCCACCGAGGAAGTACTTACGCGGCAACAGCATGGGCGTATTTCTCAGATGCTGCAATGGAGATCTTCTCGTCCGCTCTCAATGGAGTGCCATAGAGTACACTCGACGCGGCAGACAAAGCACGAGAGTATTGGTCGTGGACCACATCTGTTGCTTTTTCGGCAAATCCCGTTGTCGAAGAGGACCCGAGTAAGGCTTCACTCACAGCCTTTGTTGCGTCTGCATACCTGTCACCTGCTTCACTAACCAAGCTCTGGAGCTGCTCGGAAAATCCCGCCTGGCCATCATCTTCGACAATGTCACCGTCGGTAGGTAAAAGGGTTGGAACTGCTTGAGCGGCAGCTCCGCCCCAAACTTTCTTCGCAGTATGTAGTTCCGAATTACTTTCCCTATCCAAGGCGGACGAATCTTCGGGGTTAATACCGGCAGAGGTCTCGATGTCCGAAGTTCCGGCTTGTAAGTCCTCTGTGTTTGAAGAGGACTCGCTATGTCCTGACTCCAAGATAGGATCATCCGTGAATGACAACACTGCTGTTACTGCCTCGTCCTCCACATAACCTGTCTGCGAAGTGTCCTCTGAATCCACAATAGATGTTTCAGGACTCGAATGTCCAGCAGGCTCGTTGATTTCAGCAAAGGACTCGCCGGAGTCCTCTTCCGCACCGCTCTCGACTGGCAACTCGGGCTTTGGTAGCTCGGGGATTGGGTCGGATCTGCTGTCGAAGTTGTCATTGACTTCACGAGCCAGGATCTTCCATCGCCCAACCTCTTTAAGCCGGCCTAACTCCTTCGCTGCGCCCTCGGCGACGTCCATTGCTTGATCCATGATATTGCCAACAAGGGCTCTGGCCTCTTCGATACTGTCATGGGTCGAACCGACGTCGCTGACTACAATACGCCAGTCCTCAAAATCGGATTTGAGCGCATAATACCTGGCCCAGTCCTTGTAGGTCACACCATCCATCCACGCCCACCGCATGCCTATCTCCTGCAGGCCTAGATCGCGGATGCTGTCGAGGACCTGAAGTGTAGACTCCACAGCGGCCAGGACACGACGATCTAGTTCCTCGTCGAAATCATTTGACCACTCTCTCAGCTCATGGGCACGTTCCCTGATGGCAACAGCCGCATCCCTGATACTCTTGACAAGCTCCTCCTGCGCGGCAGCTTCCTCTGATTCAGCTTGGTGGGCCGGTAGCGGTTCTGTCAATGTGATAATCCGTTTCTTCAGATTCGATATTTCACGATCCACAACAAGCTCCAAAGCTGCAGCAAGGCTTTGCCCATGGCTCTTCGCACCGCCCACGTGGCTTGCGACAATGCTCTTTATACGGTCATTTAGATCCTTTACACCCTTATCTGCCGCCATGGCAAATTTCGTCTGCCAGATCTCAAGATCAGAGTCAATCTTTTCCCGCGAGAGATCTACCGACGTTGTCGGCGACGCAGTGGCGGTAGGTTTATGGGTCTTGGCCGTAGGCGGGGCGATTGTCGTCTGAACAACCACTTTGGTTTCTGAAGCCGTCGAAGAGGAGACCGATGTCGACGATTCGAAGACACTTGATATGCAAGTCAGTATGAGATTCGTCATCGTTGTGGAACCGAAACTCACCTATCCACATCACCCAACACAGTACGTAATCTCTTCCCCTCTCTGTAGCTTGCCAGCCGCTGTCCGATCTTGACAAGTTGTGGCTCAACATTCTCCGAGTAGAGACCAGTGATCCTGGGCCATAACTCAGTGTTTACCAAATATACCGCCGATGACCAGGTCCGTTGGGTGAACGGGATGACATTTGTAACAAGCATTTCTTGGCCGGATGCATAAGTCTTGCCAATAAAGGGACTGGAACGAGCATAGTACGGCTCGATGTATGTCCAATAGGTGTTGCTGAGCGTTGATTTGGTTCGTTCATAGTATGGCAGAACTGTTCCCCTCACATACTGGACATGTGGATCGATACGAGCTGTATATATATCATTCAGACCTTCTTGGACAGCACGGATCTGAGGAACCACCTGCGCTTCCCACTGCTTCTGGCCATATAGACCGGCTTGTTCCAACGCAGGGGCACCGTAGGAGTCATACCCTTGGCTCATCACATTGGCCATGGGCGTGTACACACGTTCATTGACAACCTGCACGTACGGACGCGCGACGTCCACGTACGGAGCGCCGTATTTCTCGTAGTATGGAGTGACATAGGGCTCGACATGGGATCGTGCTATTAGATAGGGTTTGCAGACCGTTGGCGAGGAGGAATCGAGATCGGCGACACGGGACGGGCAACGCAGAAAAGGCATAAGCAGGGTATACCATATAACCAGACTGCAAACCGAGCGAGACATGGGTATCAGCACAAATCTGCTCTCGGTACGAGCTATAGTTTGTTATCAGCCAACATACCGCACAATCAGCCCCAACGTCCACCGGACGGAGCTCTTTCGCGTTCTCGCCTGGGTCCTGGCATCTGCGCGATCACTGCCCTTGGCAACGTCGTCGGCGACCTCGCCGTTCTGTAGAGCAGTCATATCCACTGTCGTTCAGAGCTCGATGGGCAGAGATTTGCGGTGAACAGTCGGTCGCACGCGTACTAAGCGAGCTGGTACGCGGTCTCTCCCCAAGACCTACAGCACAGCGGTGGAATCTCGCCTTGAACGTCAACAAAGAGCAGCAGCAGTAGCTCCCAACGTCAATATTGGCGAGGTCCGTCGGCGGGCTTGGAGACTCGGGAAGGCAGGTCTGGAATGTGTCCCTAGGCTTGGCACCGGAAAGCTTTGACTAGTGCCTCCTGCTTGCTGCATATCAACACAGTCAGAGTGGTGCATGGGGGCTCGTTAGGGATCGGGGGAAACGCACATTGAGCAGGCAACAAGATAGTACACCGCTGGGTTGCTCCAGCGCCCTCATACACAGGTGTTGTGCAGCTCCACGGTCGTCATCCCCCCCCGTCAAGGCGACTGTTATTTATTCTGGCGCTGCCGAGTGAGGTCATAGCTGGCTTGAGGCCCAGTGGCGCTGTATGCAATTGTTTTACCGGTTTTCTGCCGCGCCAGGTGTCGATCCTCTGCTCGGCGCGTAATAATACGGTAACGGCGCTGACGGGCAGTGACGGACTTGGTCCGTATGATCACGTGCAGGATTGCGGGCGGGTTTGCCTGGGCTGCTGAGTCATCGGGTTTTCTGGGCCGAGCGATCTTGCCTTGCCTTGCCTTGCCTTGCCTTTCCTCTGGCCTCTATTCCACCGCTGATAAGTGCGTGAGCCTAGCTACAGACCTAGACCACCATCACGCTGCCGGCCGAGTGTGCTTTTAAGGGCGTGGGTTCCATGGTTTCCACGGCTGGGCCTTGAAAAGCGAAACCGAGACGCTCTGCCACCGGCGGAGACCAGTGTTGGCCGTTGCAGTCCCTGCCACCGGGCTGTATTATTACGAAAACAGGATCGTCTCGAGGGATCCAAGGAGTTGTGAGCTGTGAGCTGTGAGACGATGCTACCGACTTTACACTAGTGCAGAAAGAGTTGGTTGGGAAAAGATTAACCGTGTTGAAAGGATGGATTTCGACGACAGTCAACCCCACCAGTGGGCGAAAGCCACGCCGTTCTCGGAGTTCTTGAGCGATACTGCGGCCGGGAGCAACGGGGATAAGGGGAAAGGGAGGGAGATGGAAGATCCCGATACGTGTCGAATATGTCGAGGGGAGGGGACGGAGGAGGAACCGCTATTCTTCCCCTGCAAGTGCAGTGGGAGCATCAAGTTTGTCCACCAGTCCTGCCTGGTGGAATGGCTATCACACTCACAGAAAAAATACTGTGAGTTGTGCAAGACGCCCTTTCGGTTTACCAAGCTGTACGACCCGGAAATGCCGCAGGATCTACCAATGTCTCTGTTTCTCAGACAGGTCGTCATTTACAGCCTCCACACAGTGCTGACATGGCTGCGTTTTGTCCTGGTTGCATTTGTCTGGCTTGGGTGGCTGCCTTGGTCGATGAGGGCGATCTGGAGGGCGCTCTTCTGGCTGGCAGATGGACGTTGGTCCGACGCTGAAAATGCTCAGGGGCAGATGAACTCGGCACAGGCTTTGAAGAATGAGACGGCTTCCCTGGCCCTTACATTAGCTTCGACAAGTACTACTCCAACCCCGGTTTCGGCTCCGACGGAGCCTGCTGCCTCGTCCGTGTTTAGTTTCGTGAATGGCGAGCCTTTTATGCTCACGTTGTTCAAGCAAGCCTTCTCCGCCGTGTTCGTGCCTGCCGCTTCCTTGACTAATGGTTCCACCGACTCGAACTCGTCCAACAATACCGCTGGGTACTATCGCCTGCAGCGCAGCTCGTGGCTGTCTGATGTCAAATTTCTAAACTCCTTGACACCGTCTCCAACAATCAACAACATTCTTATCGATACTCTAGAAGGCCAATTGATTACTCTTCTGGTTGTCATCTCATTTATTCTTGTATTCCTCATTCGGGAGTGGGTAGTGCAACAACAACCCCTGGCGAATATTCCGGATGGAGAACGCGATGCTGCTGTGCAGTTGATCGCGAACAATGAAAACAACCGTCCTCGTGACCAAGAAGATGCACCCGACAATGTCCAACCCCATGTCGACGAACCGGTGTTTGAAGAAGACCAGGAGGCGAGATTCAATGATATGGTTGACAATGACATCCTAGCCGACTCTGCGCGTCGATTTGACGTTTATGAACCTCCATTCTCATTCCGAAACGAAACCTCCGATCATGAAGACGGGGCATGGAACTCATCAAGCCCGCATGAAGAGGATGCTATGGCAGATCTGGAATTGCTCCAGAAAGCCTTTGCCAGGAACGGTGGTTTCCCTGGCCCTCAAACTCAACCGGATTGGCCCGGCTTCCAGATATTCCGTGATCTTTGGGCTCGCGGGAACGAAAATCCAAGCGAGGTTATACGAATCATTCACGAAGAGGGGCGTCAAGAAGAGTTAGAGTGGATCATCATCTTTATGAACAGGTTCCGAAGAGGCCAGTCTTTCCGGAGTATGAGAGACGACCTGGAAAGGATCGCCGAGGTTAACGATGGTGCCTTTGGCCCTAGCCGCCGTCAAGATGATGACATGACGCAAAACTTCGACGCGGACGAGGAAGATTCTCGCGCAGAGAATTCCTTGAATCCGACAATGCAGGATGTGACACATAATACTGAACAATCCAACTTTCTAACAAGCGATACCTCATCCTCAAGGCCCTCAGGACAGGATTTCACATTCACTTTCCCAATCTCACAGCATGACAACCGGATAGGAAGTGCCCACGGAATAGAGAACATTGGGAATCCGAGAGAAGATGTTCCTCCTCGTGAAAACGAGTCGGAGCCGACTGGATTTCTTGAGAATAATGCAGCCGCAGAAGACATTCTACATGGAGGCTCTGAGCCTCTTCGGCCTTCTGGGGCAGAATCGCCTACTCTTGGTCCGCCCAAGAATTTTGTCACCAAAGTTTTTGATTGGTTCTGGGGTGACTTCGAGCCTACCGTCCTGGCAGAAGATCCATTCGATGAAAATGGAGTGCATCAACTCGAGAATGATGCAATGGAGGCTCCATTTTTACCTTTGCAAAATCATCAGAGGCCCGCAGTCGATGACATCCTTCAGGATATCCAAGTCATAGAGCCCGATGAAGGAGATGCAAATGATCCGGATGTCATTGATGACGGCGATGACCTAGAGGGAATTTTTGAACTCATTGGTATGCAGGGTCCGGTTTTCGGTCTCTTGCAAAATGGAGTTTTCAGTGCTCTTCTGGTTTCTTTCACCGTTGCTGTAGGCATTTGGCTCCCTTACTTGTGGGGAAAGATAGCCCTGGTTCTCCTCGCAAACCCGATCCAGCTCTTCTTTGGTGTTCCCTTCACAGCCGTGTCTGTCGTGGCTGACATCGTGCTCGACACACTGATCGGCAGTGTTGGATACATTATGTATCTGATCAGCTTTATCTGCAGCCCGTTCATCGGCCCGTTGTCAGCGGTGATTCCTCTTGAGAAATGGTTTCTGTCGACGAGATCGGTCACCAGTACGTCTATCTCGCTCATCGACGGCAGTAGCCATCGCCTGGGGAAACTTCTCAGTACGTTTTTTGTCTTCCACGAATCCGATCTACCTCTATTTTCAGTCATTTCCCACCGGGCCCTCAAAATCCACGAAGCTCGAATTTCCAGTCTGCTGCAGTGGATTATCGCATCAGTCAAATTCATTCTTCAAGACCTTCCCGCCCGCATTGTCACACTCGGGCCGCGGGAGGCCCTATCGTTGGATATCAGTGCCATCGATATCCGGGGTCTGAGTAGTCAGCTGCTTGAGGAATTCCGAAGTCTCGGCAGTTCGGGTTTGTTCACAATATCTAGCACCAAGTGGGAGAATCTCGAGGCGACTAGAGAGCTTTCTGCACAACTGCTAGCCGACCAAGATCTTGCTATCTGGGATACCAAGGACCGTATCATCGCCATCATCATGGGGTATATGCTTGCATCAGTTGCTGGCGTTCTATACCTACGAATCACCAATTTCCTGTACGGCGCAAGCCGAGACCAGCGCATTGAGGGCCTTGTTGCCGAAGTACTTCACCAAGCCGGCGGGGTGATGAAGGTGATTCTGATCATCGGCATTGAGATGATCGTATTCCCCCTCTACTGCGGCTCCCTGCTTGATGCCGCACTTTTGCCACTTTTCGAGAATGCCACCATCACCTCTCGGATTGAGTTTACGACCAACTCTCCCCTAACCTCCCTGTTTGTGCACTGGTTTATCGGTACTTGCTACATGTTCCACTTCGCGTTATTTGTGTCCATGTGCCGGAAGATCATGAGGACTGGCGTTCTGTGTAGGTTCCCAATCATGATTTTCTTTTTCTCATCGTATTCTTACTAACTTGCTTACAGACTTCATCCGTGACCCTGATGACCCGACCTTCCACCCTGTCCGTGACGTCTTGGAACGGAACATCACCACCCAGTTACGCAAGATCGCTTTCAGTGCCCTGGTGTATGGTGCGTTGGTCACTGTATGCCTGGGAGGCGTCGTCTGGGGCTTGTACTTTGCATTCGATGATGTACTCCCCATTCGCTGGTCGGCCACCCTGCCAGTTCTCGAATTTCCAGTAGACTTGCTCTTTTACAATTTTGTCATGCCGCTGGCCTTGCGATCCCTCAAGCCTTCCGACGGATTGCAAAACATCTACGCCTGGTGGTTCCGGCATTGTGCTCACTGGCTGAGACTATCCGACTTTTTCTTCAGTGAAAGACGACCGGATGAAGAGGGGCATCACGTGCGTCGTACCTGGCAGGACGTGCTTCACGGGAAGAAGGGAGATATCAACCATCCCGTGGTCAATGAGGAGCAACGGGCCCTGGCTGAGGCACAGGGCCTTGATGCGTACTTTGTTCGGGATGGCAGGTTTGTCCGGGCCCCAGCGTCGGATCAGGTTCGTATCCCCAAGGGCAATCTCGTATTCTTGGAGGTCACAGAAGCGAATGAACGAGTCGACGGTGCAGCGGACCCTGACGATGGACTCCACGGGCGAGCCAGTGATATGTTCGCCAAAGTCTACATCCCGCCCTTTTTCCGAGTGCGAGTTGCGGCATTCATCTTCCTAATCTGGGTCTTTGCCGCCACCACAGGGGTAGGCATCACCATTTTGCCCTTGGTCATTGGCCGGAAGTTCATTGCGGCCTGGTTCCCCGAATCCGCCCCGATCAACGACCTGTATGCCTTCTCCACCGGCCTCTACATCGCCGGCGCGGTTGCCTACGTTGCATTCTATTGCAAGGTTGGTTTCGCATTGGCGAAGGAGCGCGTTGGTCCTTACCTCGCCTCCCCGAGGCAGACTCTCGTCGGGGTCTACAGCGGCACGCTCCATGCCCTGCGGCTGATCTATCTTTTCCTCGCGCTATCCTTTTTGCTTCCCTCGATCTTCGCCTTGATTACCGAGCTCTACATCCTGGTCCCGATCCACACGTATCTCGGCGGCGGAGAGGCTCACGTCATCCACTTTGTGCAAGACTGGACTCTCGGTGTGCTGTACGTGCAGATGGGTCTGAAATTCCTGTCGTGGCACTCCACCTCGCGCCCGGCAGCGGTACTGAACGCCGTCTTCCGCGACGGGTGGTTCAACCCCAACGTCCGCCTGGCGAGTCGCGCCTTCATCGTTCCCAGCTGCCTGTTCGCCACGATCGCCATGGTGCTCCCGCTCTCTCTCGGCTTTGCCCTCAACCACACCGTCTTCCGTTCCTCATCGAGCGAGGTGCAGGCGCAGGTGTACCGCTACGCGTTCCCCGCCACGTTTGCCGTCGGCCTGCTGACCTGGTTCGTCCACTTCCTGCAGCGCAAGGTGGAGCGTTGGAGGGTGAACATCCGCGACGATGTCTACCTCATCGGAGAGCGACTCCACAACTTCAGCGAGAAGCGAGCAAAGGATGTGGGCATGTCGAGACGGGTCATCACCGGCTGACTCTTCTGTAATATAGTTACTGTCTTTCTCTCATATGAATACCATGAAACTAGTCTTGCTGGCCTTCTCTCCTCTCTTCTTCTTCGTAAACTCTTCAGCCTGGACTCGACTCGTGCCTTCCGAAGTCGAGAGTCGAGTCCGATAGCGTCACGTGACGATAACCCCTCCTCGGGCTGACTAAGCGTGCTTTATTGCGGCTGCCTGCACGGCCGCCACCGCTGATTGGTTAGGCAACAGAATTACCGTCCCTCCGACCCTGTTCGGCCTGCACGACAGACGATTTGCGTCTGCGCTCCTCCTCTGGAACTACTATTTCAGTTGCGAGAAAGCATCGCTGCCATAGCCATTCTCCCCGCTGTCTGGATTGACTGCTAGATTCTTCCGTTGGACGCGATGAGCCTGTGATAGCTGTGTGAATGAACGACAACCCCGCGAGTCTCCCCGTCTAGCGAAGTACTAGGCCATCCGCGCTGAATCCTCGAAAAACCGCCCGCCAAGATGTCCGTTCTGCGCCATGGGGGTTCCTACCTCCAGCGGCGGCTGACCAAGATGTACACAGACACCAAGACCTCGTGCGAGAGCGTGACGACGGCGTCGAAAGTGGTCGACGATCCGGAGCTCGTGGCGCTCCACCGCAGCTTTCGCACCCAGCGAGACCGACTGCTGGCCTGGGGTCTCGACTGGAGCGATGCCAGCGCCGCCCAACCCAACGATATCGACGAGTCGCTTACGGAAGCTGGCTTCAGCGACGTCGTGGCCAGCGTCATGTCGTCCATCCAGGAACTCCTCAACGAAGCCGAACGGTTGCAGCATGTCGGGGCGTCGGAGTTGCCACCCAAGGCTGGCGCGGCGGACTCGGTCTCCAAGGATATCAAGGGCAGTCTGAGCAGCTTGCCGGTCAAGACGCATTGGACCGATGAAGAGATCAGCCGCTCCAAGACCTTGCTGAGTGAACTGTGTGCTTGTATCGACACCTTATATGATCTGTCCAGCTCGCGCCGGGACATGAGCGCCAATATGTCGTCCGCCGGCCACATGGGCATGAAGAGGCGGGCACGAACAGACCCGCTGATCAGATCGGCGAAGATGGCGGACGACTCGGTCTACGCTGGAGGATACTCGGACGCCAAAGTGCTTCACGGGAGCCCCGTCGAGTCGAAAAGTCACGCCTTCTTTCAACCACAGGACAATATCGGCCCGTCACCCGAACCGGTCTCCTCGTCCATGAAACATCTGCATATCGATCGATCGGCTCTGCAGCTGTCTGGCGTCTCGCACGACCAAAACTTACCCCAGTATGAAATGATGGCTGCCTCGGCGAACTCTCGAGCCATTGGCCGGATGAGATCTTCGGCGTCGCCGCTGCTCATGCTGACCAAAGAACCCTATGTCTCCATTCTGGTCGAGTTCATGCCGATCATGTTGGAAAACCGAGACACCGTTGCTCTCTCCGCCAGCCGCCGCATGGAGAAAGTCCAGCAGGCTCTGGATCAACTTGTCCAGAACGCGAGAGTATCCCATCTGGGGCTCTTGAGATTCCTGGGGTTTTATACGGACCTGCCGAATGCGCGGTACGGCTTTGTCTACCAGATGCCCGTCAATTACTTCCCCTTCTTGCGTAACCCCACAGACCACTTCCTTCGGGAATTGAAACCAAAGCCCTTGGTTGCACTGTTCCAACCCGGCGACAATAGCGATGATACCTCCCCTCCGAGCCTCGAAACTCGCTTCCATCTGGCCTACGACCTTCTGATGGCTGCATTGCACCTCCGGAGTCAGAACATCGTTCACGGAAACATCAACAGCAGTAACATCCTCCTTTTCCCCGGACTGGCGAATTCGAACCGTGACGAAGTCGGTCTGACCGAAGATCTCCGACACCCCTACCTCACGTCCTTTGCGCACTTCTCGGGTAACTCCCAATCGCCCGAGCCCCTCTCTTCAACAATGTACCGACACCCCGATGACAAGAGAAATGTGGACGATGAGGCCTCCTGGGCCTATGATCTCTATTCGCTCGGACTAGTCTTGCTGGAAATCGGACTCTGGACCCCAATCAGTCGCCTCTGGAAAATGAAATACACCAACGCCATGTTCAAGCAGCGAATCGAAAATGTCTATCTCCGCAAGCTTGCCCCTAAATGCGGCACGGCCTTCCTTCACATGGTCCAGCTCTGTCTTGACGCCCCCAACTTTCACCTCTCCACCCAACCGATGGCTGATCTCACTTTCCGCGTCCCTCAAACCTATCACTATCCTGTTCTCGACCTATCCGAACCCGATGGTACCTTTGCCTTCTCGATGAACTTTCTGTACACGATCTGCAAGATTTCCTGGTCGTGCACCAGGATCGATATCTTCGCCGCCCCCCCCGCGGAAGATCTGGATGACTGTCTGCCGCTCGCGCTTGTGCCCGTGGCAGACATCAGCGCCGCCAAAGCACCGGTCACGGATTTTAAAGAATTCATCGATCATGCAGACGTTCCGATCGAGAAAATTTCCTTGACGCACTTCGATGAACCTATGGTGCGCATGGGGAAAATCAAGGCCGAGGAGAAGCAAGCCAAGAAGAGAACTGTCAAGAAGCTCACCAATGTGGAGATACCTCAAGATCATCTGAATGACTGGAACTTCCAGTTGATGCCCAAACTGAGCAAGTTGCTGCAGAAGATCCTCAAAGAGTCTGCCGAGTCGTGCAGCGCTACTCTTATGATGACCGGGGAATCGGCCGATTGCCCGAAGACGACTATCTGTGTGACCTGCGGCAATGTCAAAAAGGTCCGGGCCGCTCTGAAGAAGTACTTCAGGCTGGACAAGGAGGGTTGGGACCTGATTGTCTTGCGTGGCGACATTCAGCGGTCCAAAGTCCCCCGCAAGAAGCGTCACAGGCCGGCCAAGACAGGACCCGAGGGCCCCAATCTAGGGGCGTTTTCGCAGCCGAATTTGAATCCTTGCTATCAACAACGACCCCTTTGCGGTGCGTCGATCGGTGCTTTCAAGAATGAAGAGCATCTGCCTCCTGTGTCTTACGGCGGAGCGATCCTAGTGGACGGTATGCCCTACGGAATGACAGTCCACCATATGCTTGAAGCACCAAGCGACGACGAAGAATCGGAAGACGAAGCCATCAGCCTTCCGCAGAGATCTTCTGGCAACGGTCCCCGAAATCCTACGTCCTCCGGTCACGAGTTCATGCATACTTGGTGTGAAGAAGATCCCGACGTGGATTGTGACTTTGAGGTATCGGACGTGGAGGAGGAGGACGATTCGTCGATCCTGCAAGATGATGATGAATTCTATCTATCTAACGAAGAAGATTCCTCTGATGACGACGAGCCCGGTGGCAGCTACAACGATGAAACCGCTTCCATTGGCGATACAGTCGGCATTGAACCAGGGGAAGAACCACGGCTACTCGTCACGCAGCCTGCGGTGGATGACGTCCACGAAGATTTCTTCCCTTCCCTAGAGGATAGAGACGACGAGCATCTGGCGTCCCATTCCCTGGGGTATGTTCATGCCTCTTCTGGCGTCAGGCGCTGGACGCGTAAAGGGATCAAGCACGAAATCGATTGGGCTTTGGTGAAAATCGACGATCACCGCCTAGACCCCCGCAACATCGTCATTGACCGATCCACAAGTCTCTCTAGACGTCCACACTGCAGGAATCCCGAAACCATCCATCTCACACGTGTGGCACGGATGGAGGAGCTGGGCGGGCTATTAGTCCACTGCTGCGGTAGGACCAGTGGCCTACAAAGCGGGTCGATCTCCAGGGCAATGACGATAGTCAAGTTGCATGGCCGACAGTCATTCTCCACCAGCTTCTGCGTCAATGGCAATTTTGGAGGTAAGCACCCAGGAGTTCCCGACTCAACGCCTTCTTCCTCCTCCTCCTCTTCTTCTTCTTCTTCCACGCCACGGAACCACACACGCATGTGGCGGTTGCACCCGATCCAATCAATCTTTGATTGGCAAGAGATCTCTTGCTAACCCGTTTCCTCCCTCCCTCCCTCCAGTCCCTGGCGATTCGGGTGCATGGGTCTTCGACAAGGCCACCGGCCGTGTCTGCGGCCACGTCCTGGCCTGGTCCGAGAAAAGCCGCACCACGTACATTGCTCCGATGGAAGTCATGCTTGAAGACATCGCCCGTACCCTGAATGCTACCCACGTTTCCCTCCCGGGCAGCCCGGACGAATCGATCGCATCGAGCTATGCCATGACCCAGTCCACCACCGCCATGGGCCGACCAGACGACCCGCACCACCAGCGCCGTCTTGCAGAGCAGCTCCCCGTCGACATCACCCGACTGAACCTCGGTCTGGACGAACCCCGACTCAGTCGGGTCGGCACTGGACGAGGCCTTCGAGCCCATTACCGTCGGCACGGGCCACCGTTGATGGCGCCGCCGTGTCCCCTCGAGAAACAGCTCGCCTAAACCTCTTTCCCTTCCACCTCGGTCTCAGTTTCTTCTTCTTCTTCTTCTTCTTCTTCTTCTTCTTCTTCTTCTTCTTCTTCTTCTTCTTCTTCTTCTTCATGTTCTTTTCATTGATGATATTGCTCGCCTATATATATACCCCATTTGATTTAGTTTATGGTACTACTACCCAGCGCCGATGATTCATGGTTACTGTCTAATGGGTGTTTGCCCCCCTTCTTGTCTTCCTTTTCTTGCAAGTTCCCACAGTGATACTAATAGCATCGAATGAAATGAATGTCCATTCATATACATACTTCTCTTGTATTTTGGAATCAAGTCCGCCGTAGATACTCTAAACAGCTTCTCACCGTCCACAACGGGATCATCACCAACAAGTCCATCCGACGCTAGATAGTGAATAAATGCCATCTAAAACAAGCAAGGGAAGTTCTCAATCATACTCGCCTACCACTCATCAAACTTCCTGTTCCCCTTCCAACCATAGGAAGGTCGGCATGCCACCAGTTCTACACCAGCACCGTCCACAGAAGGGAATACCAGCTTGATACCGGTTGCTCGACTGGCGGTCATGGTAGATCTTCTCATATCGAGGGTGGTCTGAACTGCAAGATTAACCGGCTCAGAGTGCGATTGATACTATATATTTCCATGAAGACCACAGGGAAGACTGATAATTCCCAGATTTATAGTTTATGTTCTTTATAGATAATAGTCTGGATATTACTATACTTGTTACTTCTACACACTACATACACACTACATAAATATAATAAAAAGAGGAAATTCATTCTATTAACGTGACCGGAACCCAATGAATCATCAGACCAACCCAACCAAACCAGATTACTTTCAGACCTCATCTAGACCCCCCAGTCTACCGAGATCATATCTGTAAAGGACATCAAACTAGAAAGAAAATCGTTCATAGAAAGGAAGATGAAGAAAAAGGAAAAGAAAAAGGAAAAAAAGATCACGAAGAGAGGAACTTGAGAACAGCCTCCTTCTCCTCGACGGGAAGCATGCTGAGCACCTGCTGCACACCCTTGAGGCCGCCCTCCTTGTTTCCGATGAGGAGCTGTGCGACGTCGAGGGCGACGTGTTCGGTCTTGAGGACCTCGATCCTGGCCTGGACCAATTTCTTGTTCTCCTCGTACCAGGTGGCCACCTTGCGGTCGTCATGCTCCAGCTCGGCATCCAGGAGACCGGTCCACGAGTGCAGAGCGCGCAGGTGGACGGCACGGGGCGATTCGTCGGTACTATTTGTGGCAGCAACAGCGGCAGTAGACGAGGTGGTGGTGGAGGAGGAAGAATCCACGGGGAGAGCGCCGCCCGTGGAGGCAACGGGCTTCGGGGCGACGGCCATCATGCGCTTGACGATGAGCTCCTCGCTAAGACGACGGCGCAGGCGCCAGTAGAAGAAGCGACGGGCGTTCACCCACTGCAGGGGCTGGCGAATCGTACCCTTGGCCTCCATGCGGCCCGCGCGGTCGTGCAGATCGGCAAACTGCAGAGCGATCTGCAGGTACACGGGCAGAAGCTGCTCCTCGCGCACCGCCATCTTGGCCTTGATGTCCGACAGCTGGTCCTTGCTCAGCGACGTGTCGGCCAGCTGGCGGCGCAGCTCGCCGTACGTCGGGTCCAGGCGTGCCATCGTCTCCAGCTGCTTATCGCGTCGGAACTTGATGTTGACGATACCTTCGGGCTCCAGCACACCACCGCGGGCCTCTTCGTCGGCGTACATTTCCATTTGGTCGGGGTTGATCGTAGGATCGATGACGACCTAATAAATTAGTAAGTTTTCAAAGAAAAAAAGAAAAAGGAGGAAAGAAAAATAGAAAAACATACCCAAGAACCACCACGCAGTTCACCAAAAGGAGGGATGTAGACGAAAATAGGCTGCTCGTACTTGACGAGGGCGTCGACGATGTAGGAACCGTATTTGAGGACCTCGTTGTACATATCGCGCTGACCACCCGAGAAGCCACGCCAGTTGGCGAGGATCATGACGGGCAGCTGTTCGCCGTTGCTGAAATCACGCAGGGCCTGGGCGGTCTTGAAGGCGGAGTTGGGATACCAGACGCCACCGGCCTCGGTGGTGATCATCTCCATCGAGTCCGGGTTGGCCGGGTCGGCCGGGGTGACATTTTCGACGGAGCGGGTCTCGACGGCGATGACACCCATGGGGATACCGCCGAGGCGGGCGCGGCCGACGACGACGGTGCGAGCCCAGCCACCGAGCGCCTCCTCGAAGGAGTCGCGGTCGAAGAGACCGGGCAGGAAGCCCTCGGTCTCATCGTCCTTACCGGCAATCAGCCAGCGGACATCGTAGGCCTGCTTGTTGGGTGGGTAGTAGGCGATATCACGGTCCCAGTTGTCGGACCAGGGGCGGATGGGGATGGGCGCCCCCTTCTTGTCGGGGACAAAGGACATCCATTCGACGATCTTCTGCACACCTTCAAAGTCATCGGTGGCGGTCATGTGCGAGACGCCGTTCTTGTACATGATCTGCGTGCCACCCAGCTGCAGGTTGGAGGTGTAGACCTCGCGGCCGAGCAGCTTGTTGATGGCGGGGGCACCGGTCAGGATGATGGGCTGGCCCTCGACCTGGATGGCTCGCTGGCCCAGGCGCACCAGGTAGGCGCCGATACCGACGGAACGGCAGGTGACGAGGGTGATGGTGAAGATGTCCTCGTAGGCGCGCGAGGTGGCGCCCGCGATGAGGCCGGAGCCCTTGAGACACTCGACGCCCAGGCCGTCCTTGGCGCCGATGACGGTGGTGATGCGGTGCCGTTCCTCGCCATCCTCGGTGATCAGCTCGGTGAGGACCTCCTTCTTCTTGCTGGCGTCGAAGCGCTTCTTGACCTCCGGGGTGAGGTAGAGGTACTTGAAGCCGGCCTCGGGCTTGGCCGGGTCGTTCCACGCGACGGAGAAGTAAGGGATCAGCTCCTCGGCCATCCCGATGCGGGCGCCCGAGTTGGCCGACAGGTAGATGCGCGGGATGCCCAGCTTACGCGCCAGCTCGGTGCACTTGTGGAAGAACTTGTCCTCCTGCGGACCGAACGAACCGATCTGGTAGGTGATGTCGTTGGCCACGATGATGAAGCGCCGGCCGCGCGGGTACTCGGGCGTGCGGGCGGTGACGATCCAGCCGACCATGCCGTGGGTGTTGGTGCCCGGTTCGCGGTTGACCTCGACCAGATTGTCGGTATCGTCCAGCACCAGCTCGCTGTATTCGATGCACTCGCCGACGGCGGGACGCTTCTCCGCCAGGGCGGGGATCTTGGCCGCGACCTTGACCCAGCTGTTCTGGAAGGCCTGGCGGAAGAGTTCCGGGAAATCGTAGACGTACTGCGTGCCCATCAGGTGGGCCTTGTACCGCTTGGGCTGCAGCCACTCCTTGGTCGGGTACGGGGTGCCGACGGGCCGCATGTGCATGGAACCCAGCTTGGTGGTGCCGCCGATGCTCTGGAAGAGCCACTCGCCCTTCTCCGACTTGCGCTCGATGTACAGCTCGACCTGGATGATGAAGCCGTAGGTGTTGGTGATGATGACGCGCAGCGGGTACGGGACGCCCGTGACCGGGTCGGTGCAGAGGATCCGGATCTCGGCGCCGGTGACACGCAGGCGCCACAGACGGCGGCCGAAGCGTTCCAGGAAGCCCGCCAGGGCCTCCTCGACATCCTTGGGCTGCAGGTTGAAGACGGGCGAGAAGTTGATGAAGATGTGGTTCAGATCCGAGTTGTTGTTGCCGATGATCTCCAGGGCGTCCAGGATGTCGTTCATCAGCCGGTCCGCCTCGGAGATGAGGTACTCGGCCGTGGGGATGTCGTCACGGAGACGGCCGGGGCTGACCACCGCACGGACAAAGTACCGCTTGTCGACGGCCTTTTCATTCTCGGGTCCTTTGCCAATCGCCTCGTAGACGTGAATGTTGCGGTTCTCGGTAAACACGGGCTTGACCTTGAACTTGGACAGGCGACCCAGCTCCAGCTGGAAGGCCAGGGCGGGTTCGATGTGACGGATACTCTCATCTTCCGCGTAGCTGGGGCCCCGGAAGGTGAAGTAACCCGGGTACAGACCGTTGCGGCCACAGACAAAGGTGACGCGACGCACCCGGCGGGCCAGCAGCTCATCCTTGAAGTCGGTGAGCAAGCGGTTGATCTGGGTTAACAGCTGGTTGTCATCGAGTTGCTCAATGTCGCGGATGGCGATGTTGAGCACACTCGTGAGCTCGGAGTCGGTCTCGATACGCGGGGCCGGGCGGCGCTTGCCCTCGAGGTTGGCCAGGAGGAGGTTGTTGTTGTTGTTGTTGTTGCTCTCACCAGCTCCCTTGCGGTTGCTGGTGCCGCTGCTCGCGCCAGCCTTGGAGCCGGCGCGCGGGAAGATCTCGAGCGCACGAGCCAAGTACTCCTCGGCATCCTCGACGTACTGGACAGGCAGGATGACACCCTTGCGCAGGGGCTCTCCGTTGGCATCACTCAGGAAGTAGGACATGTCGCTGATGGAGCTGATGCGCTTGAAACCCGAGGAGGAGGACTCGGTCGTCGGGGTGCTCGGGGTGGAGGGTTGGGTGGACGAAACGGGACCGAACTCGGGTTGACCCAGCTTGCCCATGACAAAGTCCCAGGACAGGATGGGCGGGTCGCCGGCGGCGCTGTACTGGATGCCCTTGAGGATATAGGCGCGGTAGGCGCGGCGGACGTAGACCTCGAGGGCGGCCAGGGTGACCCAGGGATCCTGATGACCGAAGAAGCGAGGCAGGACGTCAAAGACGGTGTATTTGGAGTCGACGACCTCCTTGAGGACGGAGAACTCGGGCTCCCGGTGGTCCCAACCGGTCTCACCGTAGCGGGTCTCGACCACCGAGGAGCGCAGGATGTGCTCCATCTGGGAGAGACGCTCTTCGAGCGAGGGCATGGCGCACTGGATGAGCACCTCACGCGCCTTGAGGGTGACCTTGGCGGCAGAGCGGGACTCGAGCTCGGTCAGCTTCTTGAGGATGGGCTTGAAGTGGGTGCCGACGTTGCCCACGTGGGGCTGGTTGGGGCGGTACATGTCCAGGATGGCGAGGATGAGGTTGTTCTTGGCGCCGATGCGGCTGTGGGAGAGGACGGTCTGGATGACGCTGGGGATGTCATCCTTGTGCTCGTCGCGCAGGCGCAGGATGACGTCCTCGTCGCGGCTGTTGCGGCCGGAGAAGAGCTGTTCGGTGGCATGGTACTGTTCCATGAGACCGATGAAGACGTTGAACTCGTGGGTCTTGAGGCCGTCGAGGTACTTGTTGATGACCTGGACCAAGGGGAGGAGGGTGGTCTTGAGGATGTCGGCGTCGGCCGGGTTGACGTTTTCCTCGATGAAGCGGATGATGGTCTTCTGGAGCTGCTTGGCGGGGAACTCGGCCTTGCGGGCCTTGGCCCGGTCGACGATCTGCTGCAGCTGGGCGTCGAGCTTCTGGGGCATGCGCGAGTGCAGGGCGGACGACTGGGCGTTCCACTCCCCGTAGGGCAGCTCCGGGTCGCGCAGGACGTCGACCAGCTCCTTGAGGGTGGAGTTCATGATGACCTGGTTGTCGAACCCCTTGAGGATGTTCTCCAGGATGCTGTTGAGCAGGAAGAACCGTTGCGGGGGTTTGTTGCCCACCACCTGCGGGGGACCCATCTCGGGCAGCTGGCCCGTGAAGGGTTGAGCGTGCTTGACGCGGGAGGGGTCATCCAGGGTGAGGATGCCGAGGATGTCACCGGCCTCGAGGGTGGCTCCGGGCTGCTTGATGAGCTGGACGATGCCATCCTCCTGGGCGATGAGGGGCATGTACATCTTCATGACCTCGACCTCGGCAAAGGGCTGACCGGCCTTGACGTGCTCCCCGTTCTCGACGGTGAATTTGACGAGCTTGCCGGGACTCGGGGTGCGCAGCTGGGTGGGGTCGTTCTCCTGCTCGAGCAGGCAGGTCTTGCCGTCGACGCTCATGCGGGTGGCGGCGGCCTCTTCCTTCCAGTAGACGTTGTGACTGCGGCCGTCGAGGAGGACGAGCAGGCCGCCGTCGGCCAGGGCGCGCACGCCGACGGAGCACTTGGTGCCGTTGATGAAGAGATGGTAGCTGTCGAGACTGGAGCGGGTGGCGGTGAACTTGTAGCGCGCGCCCTCGTAGATGAAGTCGACGGGGAAGACGGTCTTGAGGGTCTCCTTGGGGGGCACCTGACCCTTCTCGATGCCCTTGCGGTACTCGGCGATGCCATCCTCACTGGCCAGGTGGGCCTTGAGCACGGCGCCGCAGATGACGGCGACGATGGGATCCGGGCGCTCGGCGGTCAGCTTGTTGGAGATGAGCTGATCCAGCCAGCCGGTGGTGATGGTGTTGTCCTCAAAGGCCGGGGTCTCGAGCAGTTTGATGAGGTACTCGACGGTGGTCCGGAAGTCACCGCGGATGCTCAGTTCCTTGAGGGCGACGACCATGTGCTTGCGGGAGGCGGAACGGTTCTCGCCGTAGGCGAAGATGTGACCGAACTGGCTGTCGGAGAAGCTGTGGATCCCACCGGCGGTACCGACGGAGAAGTAACCCCAGACGTTGGAGGAGGAGCGGAAGTTGAGCTCGTGCATGGTGCCGCTGGAGGGCTTGAAGCCCTCGCCGGGGTCCTCGGAGGTGATACGGCAGGCGGTGGTGTGACCCTTGGGCTGGGGGCGGCGCTGGGTCTTGTAGCTCTCCTCGCTGGCAAAGTCAAAGTCGATGTCGGAGGAGGTGTTGGGGTCGACGCCGTAGAGCAGGCGGATGTCGCGGATGCGGTGGAGGGGGATGCCCATGGCGATCTGGAGCTGGGCGGCGGGCAGGTTGACACCCGAGACCATCTCGGTGGTGGGGTGCTCGACCTGCAGACGCGGGTTGAGCTCGAGGAAGTAGAAGCGGTCGTCGGCGTGGGAGTAGAGGTACTCGACGGTACCGGCGGAGACGTAGCCGACGAGCTTGCCGAGGCTGACGGCGGCGCGCTCCATGGCCTGGAAGGTGATGGGCTTGGCGATGGTGACGGGGGCCTCCTCGATGATCTTCTGGTGACGGCGCTGGACGGAGCAGTCACGGCCGAAGAGGGAGATGTTGTTGCCGTACTGATCGGCCAGGAGCTGGACCTCGAGGTGGCGGGCGTTGCCGGCCAGCTTCATGATGAAGATGGGGGAACCGGGGATCTCGTTGGCGGCGGCGTTGTACAGCGAGACAAACTCCTCCTCGCGCTCGACCTTACGGATACCCTTACCACCGCCACCCTCGGAGGCCTTGATCATGACGGGGAAGCCGATCTCCTTGGCCTTGACCAGACCCTCCTCGGGCGAGTGGGTGCAGCCCTTGTCGTAGATGTCGTCCTCGACGGTGACGATGCCGTTCTCGTCGACCTTGACGTCGTTGACGCCGGTACCGGACCAGGGGATACAGGGGACCCCGGCATGCTGGGCGACAATGGTGGAGGAGATCTTGTCACCGAGCGAGCGCATGGCCGACGCGGGGGGACCGATGAAGATGATTTTCTTGGGCGAGGCGGCGAGCGATTCCGGTAGACGGGGGTTTTCCGAAGCATGGCCCCTAAGATGGGGGGTTAGTTGGTACATAAATATTATCTGCTGGAAAGCTTTCACTTACCATCCAGCCCAGACGGCATGAACATCCATGCGCTCGGCAATATCGACGATCAGCTCGACGTTGGCGTAGTTGTTGTTATTCGTACCACCGGGGACCTAATCGTCAGACCTTTTTTTTTTTTCCATTCTTTTCTGACAAAAAAACGTACCTCGACATATTGATCCGCCATACGGATGTAGTCAGCATTTGCTTGCAGATCCTCCGGAGTGGCCATGACTGTGAACTGGACGGCGCGTTCATTGCCAAAAGTCTCGTAGGCCCATTTCCGTACCGAGCGGATTTCCTTGACGGCGGCGATACCGTTGTTTGCAATGAGGACCTGAAGATTAGCGAAGCTCTAGCATACGAATGAAGACCGTATACCGAAGTGATGACGGAGTGACCATCGTGTTTCTCGACAAAATCCTTGACGCTGCTCGGGGGAGCCAGCTCGAGATGGTTCCCCCCGATGAAATGTGAGGGGAGGTTGTGTTTGGCAGCACGCGAGCTGCCGTGGCCGTTGACGGAGCCGTTGGGGACACCCATTGTGATTAACAATTAAAAGGTCAAAATATAAGTAGAAAGGGGGGGTTGAAAGTATCGACAGTCGAGTCAGTCGAGTCAGTCGAGTCGAGTGAGGTTACACACGTTGTCGTCACCGGTGTTTGGGGGGAACACGGAGAGGCTTCGTGGTATCAACGACCGTAAGGGAAAGGGAAGGTGAAAAGAAGAATGAGAATGAGAATGAGAATGAGAATGAGAATGAGAATGAGAATGGAAGAGGAGAGAGAAGAGAGAGGAGAGAGGAGGGAGGAAGACTGTTGAAGCGACGATCAGTTAGCAGTGCCAGAAGTGGGCGGAGGAGCTCGAGGTTCCACTCGACGCAAACGGAACAGTAGGACAGGGAACAAGGAACAGGAACAGGAACAGAAACAGAAACAGGGAGCAGGGAATAGAATACTACATAGAACTGACCAGACAGGGACCCTTTTCCACCGAGGGGTGATGCAGCCGGATGGAGATGGAAGAGAAGGCGGAAGCAGAGGAAGCAGAGGAAGCAGAGGAGGGCGATAAGTTTGGGTTGAGGAGGAGGAGCTTTTTTTTTTTGGAGGATCCCAACTTCCGGCTGTTGGGGAGCCACCATTTTCTACAACACAACAACAACAACAACAACACACTACTATGACTACACTACAATCACTAGTAAAGTATATTATTTAATAGTTTTACAGATCTACATCTGGAATAGTTACGATACTCAACAATTTGACTGGATATGCAGAGTCATCTACACGTTCCATCGCTGATCACTGTGCATCGACTACGGAGTATTACAAGAACGAGTAGGTCCTGTTATTATGTAGTATGTAGTTACTAGGTAGTTACTAGGTAGTTACTAGGTAGTTACTAGGTAGTTATTAGGTAGTTATTAGGTAGTTATTAGGTAACTATCTACTCTACTCTACTCTACTCTACTCTACTCTAATAAACTATTACTCTCTATATTACTATTAAAGTGTCTACTAAGATCTACTGCGCTAGCCTGAAACAGAACGTTGACGGACAATCATGGACGATCAGCCAATTGCATTGTCTGTTTTCGGCTGTTGAGCCGGTATTCAGATGTTTGATTAATTCTTCATGGTACAGAGTTACAGAGTACAGAGTAAATAATAGTTATACTTGTAGACATACCTGGTACCTGGTGCCTATTAACTATACTACCTTTACAATACTATTACTATTTACTCAGTAACAAACCGGGTATTCCATCAGGATTCGACGTTCTATCGCAGTATCATCCAGGGTTGAGGTAGAAAAAAAAAAAAAAAAAAAAAAAAAGAACAAACAGACAAAAGGAAATAGTCAATGAAAGATAGAGTAAAAGAAAGATAATAAGAATAAAAAAAAAAATAAAAACGTTTCTCGTTAGTAGGTCTCCCCCAGATCCCCAAGTTTAGGCTTGCGGTCGGCGGCGGCTGTCACCGGAGGAGGTCCCATGTTGCCCTGGCCTGTACTGGTGCGCAGAGTCCGTGGTCCCGGGATGGCCGAGATGCCACTGATCGATCGTTTCTTCAGGCCGTGGGTGAACTGCGTCACGGATGGCCGTCGTACCTCTCCCCCTCCCCCTCCCCCTCCCCCTCCCCCCTTGCGTACCGACATGGGTGGTGTCGGCGTGCAGTCCTCGTCCTCCTCAATATTGTCCATTCCATTCGTCGTCGCGTGCTGTCCCGCGTGGTTGCTCAGTGACGACCGTGGACGTCGGCTCTCCGTCGTCGGGTTCGTCGAGTAGTGACCCAGCGGTGTCTTGGCCCCGCTGTTGGTGCTCTGTCGACTCTCCGGTCGTCCTGGCGTAGATATTGCTGCTCCTGCTGCTGCTCCTGCTGCTGCTGCGCCTCCGGCAGTACTCGCGTGAGTGCTCTGACTCACCGAACTGCGACTCGAGTAGCTCGTCCGGCTGCTGGGCCGGCTGTCGCCCTGCGTGCGTGTGCTAAACGACTGCCGGCTGTGTGGCGTGTACGAAGTGGTCGTCTCGCCTTCCCGCACCGAAACGGAAAAGTCAAAGCTGCTGCCGCTCAGCCGTTTGCGCGACGTTCGTCGCATCGACGACACCGAGTTCGACACCACACTCTCGCCCGTCGTCATCGTCGATCCCGCCCGCGACCGCGGGGAGGTCCGCGGCGGCGTGTCCGTCGGCCCCGGGAGTCGCGACCGCGCCGACTGCACCCGTTGCTCCAGTTTCTGCATCTTGCCGATCAGGCCCCGGATCTGATACAGCGAGCCCGACTTGGGCATTCCTGGTTCCGGCTTGATCGGATGTTTGCTCTTGTGCGGATGCTCATGATCCCGGTTGCCATTCCCCAGGCGCGTCGAGTTGTTGCGCGACGGCAGTTGGGGTGTCGTGCGCCCGTTGTTGCTGTACGACACCGACGTCGTCCGCGACTGGGTATATCGCTGCGCCGCCTTGGAGACATGCAAGGTCCGCGAGTTAAGGTGAGAATCCGCCATCGACGCCCGCTGCCGTGGGAATCCCGGCGTCGCGCCGATCGACTTGCGCATGCTGGCCGACGCCTCGGAGATGGGCGGCGACGGAGGCGTAGTGGTCCGCGTCATGACCGACCGGCTGAACTTGCTGGCCGGCGGGGTCGACAGCACCGGCGACGAGATGGACGACTTGGGCGAGTGGCGCGCAACATCCGGCGTCCGCGGCGTGGACGGCGTGCGGGTGAGCGGCGTGGGCTTCTTGCGCCGGCCGGCCACCGTCTCCGAGTGGCGCAGCTTCTCCTGCACAATCTCCGCCTCGATCTTCAGGTCGGCCAGCTCGTCCCGCAGCCGCTGGTTCACGATCCGCAGGCTTTCCCGCTCCTGTTCTCCGCTCCGGATCTCCTCCTCCAACAGCACCCCGCGCTCGATAGCCACATTGTACTTGGACTCCAGATCCTCCAGGGACGAAGTCGTGTTCCGAGCCTGTCGCTCATAATCGTCGTTGGCAACCTCAATATCCCGCAACTTCAGCTGCAGCGTCCGGTTCGCCTCGCGCAGCGTCGTGATCTCCTTCTGCAACGTGCTTTGCGCCGAGTTGGCCTCCGACTTGGCCTGCTTGTATTTGGTCTGCATCATCAGCATACCACACTTGGAAAAAAAAATTAAAAAAAAATTAAAAACCGTTGTTTCTCCTCTCATACCTTCCACTCCTCCACCTCGTAGCGAAGGCTATCGACCTTCTCCTTCAGCTTCCGTTCCCGAGCCTCAGATGCTTCAATGTCCTTCTCCAGCTCCGCCTCCAGTTCCCGACTCGAGGCCTGGAAATCCGCCAGCTCTGCCTCCAGCTGCTCATACTGTGCCTTGTAGTACGACAGTTCATCCCCCCCCGTCGCCGTAAACGGCGCGGACGGAGGCTCGTCGATGGCCGGCATCCTCCTTACTGCCTGACCCTGTCAACCTCCGCCTGGTCGTTCGTGGTGCTTCTCACACCGACCGAACCCCCTGGCTGGTGGAGGCTCCCGCCGAGGCGGTGTCGCAGATACCGACCGGGCTGGCGACCCAACACAAGCCCGAGACACACCCAGGAAACGCCCCCCCCCAACAACTTACCGTTCTCTCGTCTTCAATCCGATCCCCTCACAGAGGGGAGGTCTGTCGTCGTGGCCTGTTCGTGAGCTGCTCGTTTTTCGGGCGGCCGCTGGTCGATGGCGGAGGGGCGTGTTTGGCATCCCATGATCCGCCGTCTGTTGATTGTTTCGGTCGTCAGGGGGGCACGGGTCGGCGCTAGGCTGGGAGGGGGTTAGTGCATGCCAAGCCACGTGTCTGTAAGCAGTTAGTCCGCGCCAAGCCACTAGTCCTGTAGCAGCTGCTGAGTCAGAGCTGAGTCAGCGTGTCCCTTTCACCGCCTCAGTCCCGCCCGACGACGTCGCGATGTGCGTATCCCGACGAAGCAGTGGGCATCTGGGCTGTCCAGAGCTGCTGATACTCGAGTAAGTGCTTCGTGTCTGACCCCTTTCTCGGTTCCTCCAAGTTGCTTCAGACACCTGGTTTGGAGGCTCCAGCACTCTTATGCCCCGGGATGCCCGGGTTGGCAGAGGAGTGGTTGGCTGCCCAGGCTGTCTGCTGTTTTATGTCCACGCACGGGTGATTGTTGCTGCGAGGATTGCTTCCACGCACCCGTGGGGCACGAGACAAGAAGCTCGCGATATAGATCGATGGTGATGCTGGGGATGGACAGAAACGCTAACCGTCTGGCTCTAGATTCCAGGATCAATTCTGCAACACCGCGTCGCCATGGCCGACTCGGCGGACCTCAATCTCGACGCGCCTAGCGACCTCCAGGATATTCCGGAGATGGCGATGCAGTTGGTTCCGCCGCCGGAGGGGACGTTTGCTGACAAGTGAGTTTGTGTCTGTCCTCGTTGCTCTCTGCGTGAAGCAACCCAAAAAAAAATAAAAAAAAAATAAAAAAAATAAGTGATTCGTGGGATTTCACCCAGACTCATGCTGTGACATATGAACAAAAGAGCGTCGCTCCTGGCCGCTGTGCAAGCCCACGGCAAAGCCCACGGGTACAATGTTGTCGTCAAGTCGTCGAGCACCCCGACAGAGAAGAAGCCCGGCCGTACGGCCAAGGTCTGGCTGCGCTGCGACCGGGGTGGCCATTACCGCCCCCGGAACGGCCTGACGGAGGAGACGCGCAAGCGGAAACGCACCTCGCGCCTGATGGACTGTCCCTTTATGCTGGTTGCAGCTGGTACTCCTGGCATCTGGACTCTCACCGTCTTGAATCCCACGCACAACCATGGGCCCATCATCGAGCGGCCGCGCCAGGTGCCTCATCACAAGGTGAAGAAGGGTCAGATCTCCTCCGTACCCTATGACTGGCCGCACGATGCCACCTTTACGCCATTTACTACTGCTCTCGTCATCATCGATATGCAAAAGGACTGTATGTTGTTGTCTTCAACTCCCATGAGATCTGTTTGTTTGTTGTCAGGCAAGCACTCGACAGCTGACCATGTCTAGTTTGTTCGTCTGGCGGGTACATGGAGTATCAGGGATACAGCATTGCCGCAGCGCAGGCTCTGATTCCCAAGCTGCAGCGTGTCCTCCATGCATTCCGCTCTTCTGGCTTTCCAGTATACCACACCCGTGAAGGTATTCTCTCTGCAGTCTGCGATTTTTTTCTTTTCTTTTTTTTTTTTTTTTTTAACGTTGGAATCGTGAACTAACCTTCCTCCAGGCCACCGACCTGATCTGTCTACAGTTTCGACCCGGGAGACGTACCGGTCTCGGAACAATGCGTCTGGCCTCGGCATCGGTTCCCCTGGACCTCTCGGGCGTCTTCTTATCCGCGGGGAGATCGGCCATGACACCGTGGACGAACTGTACCCGATTCACGGGGAACCCGTCATTGACAAACCCGGCAAGGGAGCCTTCTCACACACGGACTTTGAGCTCCTGCTCCGGAACAAGGGCGTGAAGAATCTGGTTCTGGCGGGCGTCACGACGGACGTGTGTGTGTCGACGACTATGCGCGAAGCCAACGACCGGGGCTTTGACTGTCTTGTACTGGAAGACGGCACGGCCGCCAGCGAGCCCTCTCTGCACATCAGCACGCTCGAGTCCGTCAAGATGGAAGGAGGCATTTTCGGCGCAGTCGCCAAATCAGAGGATGTGATTCACGCGGTCGAGAACTTCAAAGCCATCACGGTGAAGAAACTTGCGCCTCAAATGACGGTTTAACCTGGCGAGCCTATCCCCACCTCGTTTTCTTGTCAACCCTCTACCATCTGGGCTTTATTGCGGAGTTCTCGGTTGGCGTTCCTGGGAATGGTAGTAATTTGGTTAACAGCGTCTGTTTTTCATTTTGCCTGGTTGCGATTCTGGTCTTGTCTTCTCCATCGTACTAGGTAGTGGATATCAACCTGTGACAAGCAAATCCATTGTATCATATATACAGATCTAGAACAGCACCAACGCCATGCATTAAACATATCGAACACGCCTAATATAACCGTAAAGAAAACCAGTTTTTTTTACAACCACTTCCTCCCCGCGGCAGCCACCTTGGAGTGAAAGACGGGACTCCTGATCTCCATCCCCTGACGATAGAACGGGTTCATGACCGTCTTGACGTAATTCTCATACACTTCATTCATGAACTGGCGGATCGCCTCCTCCGTCTGGGGGGCCGTAGGGTTCGCCGCGATGGAACTCGACGAGGCGCGCGACGAGACCCCCCCGCCCAGCGCGGAGGCCGAGAGCGACGAGCCCAGTAGCGATGAAGCAGAAGCCGTTCCCCCGGATGAAGCGGAGGGCATCTGTGGTGGTTGGTGGAGGAGAAGGAATCGTGTTCCTGAGGGGGTCAGGAAGGCGGAGACATATGCGGCGGAGGGGGGGTATGTGTCGACGTGTTTGAGGTACCTAGAAATACCACATTAGAATATTACATTAGAATATTACAATGAAGAAAGGAAAAGGAAAGAAGGAGTACATTGATCCATTCGTCCATTGCACTTCTTCGACGATATCCAGGCTGGAATGGATGATAAACTGGTTCATGTACTGTGCTGTTTCAGGGAAGCGGAAGCGTGCAATGCCATCGCCGCTGCCCTTGGAGGTGCCAAAGGAGATGTTGAAAAGAGGGACATCTGTCGGCGAGAGAATAGTAAAGTAGTACGACATTGCGGGCGTCTCGACGCGGGGGTTGCGTCGTGGATTGTGATTCTGTTGTCGTTGACCGATAGGAGATACGGCATATGGCGTATGCTGTCACGTGGATTGGACGGAGTTAATAATCAGAGCCCAGTACGTGAGGTTAAATTCACTACACAGAGACACAACATGCCACCGCCGACGCTCTCCTATGGGCTAAACCTGCCGAATAAGAAGCCCCTAGGGAGGCCAGCGCCCGGAGGGCAGAAACGGAAGAAGACGATCTTCGATTCGGACTCGGAAGATGAGCAGCGCGATGACGGGAACGGCGCAGAGCAGATCTCGACGCTGGGTGGTCTCGAGTCGTCACAGCCAGCTGCCAGACTGACAGGGCCACCTGCGAAGCGGAAGCCGATACTCGGTGGGAAGCCGACGCTGAAACCGCTCGGCAAGAACTCAGTGTTTGCGGATCCCGACGAGGAGGAAAACGGTCAAATGGAGGAGGCAAGGGCGTACGGCCTGGAGACAACAAAAAAGGAGTACACGAATCTGTCGGCTCTGCACAGTAGCAAGAAACACGCGCAAGAAGCACAAGACGTCGACCCGTCGATCTACTCGTACGATGCCGTGTACGACAGCCTCCACGCGAAGGCTGGCGGGACGGCCGCCTCGCAGCCCGGCAGCAAGACCGAGACACCCCGATATATGACCAACCTGCTGCGGAGCGCGGAGATCCGCAAGCGCGACCAGATGCGGGCGCGCGACCGGCTGCTCGCCAAGGAGCGCGAGGCGGAGGGCGACGAGTTCGCCGATAAAGAGAAGTTCGTGACGGCCGCGTACAAGAAGCAGCAGGAGGAAATCCGACGGCTCGAAGCTGAAGAGGAACAGCGCGAGAAGGAGGAAGAAGAACGAAGACGACGTAACGGCGGCGCAGGCATGGTCGGCTTCTACCGTGACATGTTGGCGCGTGGCGAGCAGCGACACGAGGAGGTCGTCAAGGCCGCCGAGGAAGCAAGTCGACGGGTGCAAGCGGGAGAAGTTCAAGAAGCAGAAAGAGAAGAAAGAGAAGAAGAAAAAGAAGCCAAAGCCAAGTCCCAGGCGCAGGTCGCCGCAGAGCTCAACGCCCGGGGCGCCAACATCGCCGTCAACGACGAAGGTCAGGTCGTCGACAAACGTCAACTCCTCACCGCGGGTCTCAACGTCGCTCCCAAACCCAAACAGGCCGTATCAAGCGCTACATCTGCTGCTGCTTCTGCATCTGCTGGTCGTGGAGTAGGCCGGACACCCCGTGGCGCCGAGGCATTCTCTTCCCGCGCGGCACAGCGTGCCCGCCAGACAGAGATGATCGCCTCGCAACTCGAGGCACAGGCTCAACAGACCGAACAGGCCGAGACTGCTGCCCGCAAGGAGCTCGCGGAGCGCAACCGTAGCCAGAAAACAGAGGGCGACGTTTCGAGCGCGCGCGAGCGATACCTGGCGAGAAAGCGCGAGCGCGAGGCTGCAAAGTAGAAATTTATTCTACTTTCTACTTTCTTCTTTCTACTTGATATGATGGCGTTGGTGGATGGGTTACTTGTATGATACTGAGCTCAGGCTTCTATTCAAACTAACACTATTTATTCCATTTTCTCTCTTACCACTGGACGACTAGGTAGACATGTAAAAACCCCTGTCACGCCGTCAAAGCAAAACTTAATCCCATTAAGCCCATCCCCACAATGGCACATGAGATGCAAAAGTTGCGGTTGTGAGCGAGCGCCAGCCCCTCGCTGAACAGCTGCAAGGCGACGCAGGTCATCACTCCAGCCGTGATGGCGAACATGCCGCCGTACACCCCCCACGAGGGACCCTCGGTGGCATTGTTCCGCGAGCCCCAGATCCATAGAGCGGCGATGCCCGCGCCGAGAGGTTGGCTGATGCCGCCCAGCAGGCTCGACCAGAACATGGCCTTCCAGCGGGAGTTGAGAGCCAGATACAGCGGGAGCGCCATGGCGAAGCCTTCGCTGATGTTGTGGATGAACAGCGCCAGGAACACGGTCATGCCCAGCGTCGGGCTGGCGTGGTTGGTGGCGTAGGTGATGAAACCCTCAGGAAGCTTGTGCAGAGCGATCGCCAGGGAGGTTTGGAGGCCAATGGAGAGGAAGGCGTTCTGTGGAACGTGATGGTGGTGTTGACTGGGGGAAAGATGTTTGTGTTGTTCGGACGGATGGTGGTGGTGATCATCATGGTGGTGATCGTGATTCTCGTCCTGCTCACTATCGGACGTTTTATGTGGATGACCGTTGAGCGATTCGTCGGCGTTCTCCGCATCAGAATAATCGTTTTCGGGATGCCCAGACAGGTTTCGTGGTCGATCGAGCCAGCCTTCGGACACATGTCGTACCGTTTGTGGCGTGGGTGTCTCCTCACCATCAAGTGAGTGACCGACATAAGAGGGAATGTACATGTCACCGCCGTTGACGACTTCCTCTGGCGGCGCCGCGTTCGCCTTGACGAAGATCTTGGTACACTCGCGGCCACAGGCCTCGGAGAATCCATAGCACGGCCCGTTCTCGTCACACAGCGCCTTTGTATCTCCCATGAGCAGACTGATCCGGCGACTCAGGCGAACTCTCAGCGACTCTCGTCGCTGGGGCGAGAGCACCGCCGGAACATGCTGCACGAGGGCCGGTGTGGACTTGGAGGAGGGCCCCCGTCCAACCCGGCCCAAGAGAGGCGTATTCTCCGTGCTTCCATTCGCGTCTCCCCCATCGGTAGTCTGATCCCGGTCCTCTGGATCACACTCCCGCATCTCACCGTGGCCGTTCTCCAGATCGGCGCCCGGTTCGTGGCTGTGGGCGCAGTCAACCACGTGCGATGGGATGTGGTGATGAATCAGGGCGGAGAAGACGCGGATGACAACCACGCCAGCGAGAAAGAGCGCAATAAGTATATAGGCTGACGCTCGAGCAGAGAGGCCTGACCGCGTGAGATACTGCTTCGAGGTGGGGAGCATGCTGTAGAGCGAGGTGAATAGCTAATCTCATCAGCACCCAAACCACGATCACGCCCTAACCACACCGGACCAAAGAAACGCCTACCATGACTCCAGCACTCAAACACAGCGACGCCGACAGAAAGCTACTGCTGCTGGTGATCTGGAAGCTCTTGCGGCGAGACAGCTTCCGTAGCACGACGTCTGCGCAGATGACAGACGAGCCCAGCACACACGCTTTTTCTCCGAGTCAGCAGGCAGGAATCACACGAATCAATCAATCGAACTCCCCGATTGTCACACGCACCGACACCCGAAATCCCGCTCATCACCCATCCTCGCACGTCGTTGCTCGCAGCCATGGTGGTGGTGGGTTGGAGTACTGTCGATCAAGAAGCCGCAGCGGGCGGAAAACCTGTGGGATATGGAATGATGTAAGAGACGAGAGGAGAGGCACCGCAGGAGCACGACGACGAGTACCACCACGTTCTACCACACTGGTTCAGATCTTTCTTTCTTTCTTTTTTTCCCCCCCCTCTCTCCTTGGAGTAAGAGAAACAGACAGGAAGATGGAATAAACAAGGAACAGCTGCCAGCGTAGATCAGCCAGCGGTGAGTTCAGCCACTCCCAGTTTCCCCTCCCCCTTCGCTGTTGCCCCCAAGGTACGCACAAGAGTTAATACCATTGTGGTTCTGATAGGCAGAAGGACCCATAGAGACGGCAAGCAAGGGCATCGGGGCGAGAAGAGAACTGCTGATGAGGCCATGAGACGGAGAGAGAGGGAAACAAAGCTGGCAGAGAAGAAGTACTGCTGGATGATGGGCTCCCCCATTTATTGCCTGCGATCTGGGAGTTATTGCGTTTTCTACGTGGATCAACCCTTTTTTCTATGGACAACAAGCTAGATACCGGCTCAGCTAGATCGTCTTGAACTAGTATCCAGCTAATTAATTTTTTCTCTCTTCAACTCGCAGCGTTAAACCGCGATTTCGTGCGTTTTCAGCGTCGAGTCGCGCTGTTTCTGCCTGAGGCTGCAACCACATGACCTCCTGCCTTTCATTGGCTGCCTCGTTTCGCGGGTTTTTCCTCCACGCGTTTCACCAAAAGTCGAGCTGCGAGACAACAGTCGACTCTGTCGCCTTTGCAAGGGCGTTCCATCTATCTAGACCGTGACGCGGTGCTCGATTTCGACATGTCCAAGGCCACCTTTGCGGTCATCGCCGCCGCGAGTGCAGCTACCGGCGCTGGGGTGACGGCGCTGTTCTACTCCAAGAACCGCCAGCAGTCGGTCCCTCCTCCTCCTTCGACGGCGACGACGACGACGAAGACTCCTATTGAAAGCCGGGCGGCTGTGCCCCCCGCCGCCATTCCGGAGCCGTCGCTGGCGCCGAAGCCGTCGACTGCTGCCCCCGTCGACCCGGCGGGCATCTTCCAGTACGGGTTTCCGGGCCCTGTGTCGGACTCGCTGAACGCGCTGCCCCTGACGGGGGCGTACGACCGACGGACACGGAACCCGGCGTGGGTGGCCGAACACATCACACCGCAGTCGCTGGCGATGAGCAATGCGGACCGCAAACAGAGCGTCTTCTTCGAGGATGCCAGCATCCCGGCGGCCTTCCGCGCCAAGCTGTCCGACTACTTCCGCTCGGGCTACGACCGGGGCCACCAGGTGCCTGCGGCCGACGCCAAGTGGTCGCAGGATGCGATGGACGGGACCTTTGCGTTGACCAACATGTGCCCGCAGGTCGGCCAGGGCTTCAATCGCGACTACTGGGCGCATTTCGAGAACTTCTGCCGCGACCTCACGCGCAAGTATCCCTCGGTGCGCATCGTGACGGGCCCGCTGTACCTGCCTCACCGCGACCCGGATGGCAAGTGGCGCGTCAGCTACGAGGTCATCGGCAACCCGCCCAACGTTGCCGTGCCCACCCACTTCTACAAGGTCATCTACGCCGAGGACGGGTCCGGCAAACCCTCGAGCGGCGTCGCCCTGGGGGCCTTTGTGCTTCCCAACGCCGTCATCCCCAACACAAAGTCCCTCGCTGAGTTCGAGGTGCCTCTCGAGGCTGTCGAGCGGGCCTCTGGGCTCGAGTTCGCCTCCAAGCTCGATGTCAGCCGTCGCCGCCGTCTCTGCCAGGAGGTGAAATGCGAGGTCACCATTCGGGAATTCAACGACGCCAGGCGGAAATAGTGTACATTTAAACCATCTTAGACATCTTTGCATTGGGCCGGACATAGTAATTCATCTTCATCTTTCCTTCTTTGTATATGCAATAGCTAGCACTGAAAAGCCACGCCCGCCTTGCTGGCTACGTTCCCTCCCCTCCCCGCAAACCCTGTCCCCTCGGAACTGATCTCGACCAACCCAGGCATCACGCCTTCTTTCTTCTTCTTCTTTTTCATCATCTTCTCGCTCTCCGTGACGTCCGTCTCACACACGTAGCAGAGCATCCGGCCATGCAGGGCTGCCGTGCGCTCCTGTTCTTCCTTCGAGGCATGCGGATCGGGGGTCTCATGTGGTGTCATGAACTTGGTGACGCAGGGAGAGCAAATGACATGACCGCAGGGTTTGGTTACTAGACTTGATCAGATTATCGCTACTTTTTTTTCCCCCCTCCTCGGGGGCAGATTATGGTGCTCACGCATCGCTCGTAACGCATTGCTCAGCGTCTTCTTGCAGCTCGGACAGACTCTCGCCGTCGACCCAGCCTCGCCCTTTTCCTCTGTGAAATGAACTTCCACTAGACTCTTAAGCGAGTATGTGTGTGCATTCGCCTCGGTCGAGCCAGGACACACGGGAGCCAGCTTGATTGTTTTCTGGGCCGTGACTTCGTTGGGATCCGTTCCTGGCGTTAACGAGGGGACCCAGAAGGAAGGAAGGGACTAGACATCAGAATATGAGTACAAAATAGCTTGAAAGAGGTTTCAGAAAGTAATACCTTTTCTGAAACCCTCCTCCTCTTGCCATCTTCGTCAGCGTTGACCGTCTCCTCTTCCGGCTCGGCTTTGCGTTTCGAGCCATTATTCCCATATTTATTCCCTTCAAGCCCCATACTCGTCATCTCAAAGTGGTGCAGTTCCTTCTGTTTCTTCTCCTCCAGGGCGCGCGCGTCTTCCTCCTCGATCTGTTTCCGCGCATTCTCCCTCTGCGTCTCCAACCGTTTGATCTCCTGTCTCTGCGCGAGAAGATCCGCAATCGCACACTCGCGGCAGAAGATGTCCCCGCTCGTCGCACAGGCGACCACGGGCGTCTTCGCCGGCTGCAGACACAACCGGCATGACGCGAAGGGGAGGAAGGAGTCGCGGCCGATCCGTGTGCGTTGCGTGCCCCAGGCGTTTCGGAGCAGTCCGCGCTCGTACGCCGTGAAGTGCGGCAGTGAGGTGTTGCGTTTCGAGTGTGCCATTCTTTTTTTTTTCTGATCCGTACAGCTGAGTTATACAGCTGGGAGTGGAGGCTGCTAGGTGGTCGAGGAGGTAAAACTTTTGAAGATATGGTGACGTCGCTACGGTAAATTTTGGTATTACAATTACGGTCGATAAAGGATTTGATATCAACAGATTATTATTAGACTACCGCAATAGAAACAGACAGACAAAAATAGACAGCCGTGATAAGAAGAAAACAGAAAAAAGGAATAGTCAGTGGCCAATGGACAGGGTTCAAGATAGCACCGCTTGTTCCTTGCCTCTTGTCCCTTCGACCTCCGCCACCTCCACGTTCTCTCTCTTTCCAGCCGTCCGTATCCATCCATCTGTCCTTCTCACCGTTATGTCCAGCCAGCCAGTGCTATTTTCGTGTTCGATATCCTTTTGAACGTATCATCGTTATTCAATTGCTTCGTGTCATCGTAGACATCGTGAAAAAAGGCTCCTTGATTCGTGTTGTCAAGTTGCCGTATTAACTGTATCGCCGTCTATTTCTTGAAAGGAGGCATCAGATCAGCGAGCATGGACAATGGAATCCCGATGGGTCCAGTATGACGCTCAATGCCCTCATAAGGATCCTCAGGCCATTCAGGCTCGTATCTGCTCTGATTTCTAGGGGTATAGCCCTGGGGACCGATGGTCTCAGAGGCGGAATTATTGGTCTGCACGCCCGCAGACTTGGGAACAGAACTGGCGGTATCCTTGTCGGTAGATTTCTTGACGGGTTTGTCAACAGGTTTGATGACAGGCTTGTCGGCAGGTTTGATGACAGGCTTGTCGACATTTCCAGACACAGACTTGGGGTTGGAGGGCTTGTCGAAGCTGCCGTTGGTCTCTTTCTTAATGCTCTCGGAAGCGGGCTTGGTCAAGGCTTCATCGGTCGCAGTTTCTTTTCCAGTTTCTTTGGTAGTATGCTTGAACACCGTGCCGTAAAGAGACTTCTCGACGTGCTTGACATTCTCCTTGACAGACTCTTCACCAGCATGAGAATTAGATGCTTCGGCTTTACTGACAGGGGAAAGGGCGGGGAAGTCTTCTTCTTTATAAGAAAAAGTCGGCTTGGGTTTTCCCAGGACGAGCATGTCAGCGTGAGGAAGCATGCCTGAAAACAGAGTAGAGCTGTCTGCCTTGGCGAGAGGGCGCATACGGGAAGCATCCTCAAGGGCTTGGTGGTAAGCTGCTTTGTGTTTGGCGAAGAACATCGTTTCAGCAGACTCTTCGACATCACGAGAGGAAGACTCTTCCGCTTTTTCCAGAGGGGGCACGTCGGGAGACTCTCCGACTGCACAAGAGTGAGACTTTTCAGCCTTGCCTAGTGGCAACATGCCGGGGGACTCCTCAAAACCAGAAGAACCAGACCTTTCAGCCTTGCCAAGTGTGATAGTTCCGGGGGACTCTTCGATAGCACAAGAGAAAGAGTCTTCCGCCTTGTCGAGAGGGAGCACGTCAGGAGACGCATCGACAGAAGGAGACTGAGACTTTTCAGCGTTGCCGAGAGGGGGCATTCCAAGAGACTCCTCAAAATCACAAGAATCAGATCTTTCAGTCTTGCCGAGTGTGAACACATCAGGGGACTCTTCGACAGCAAACGAGGGAGATTCTTCCGCCTTTTCGAGAGGGGAGGCTTCGACAGGAGGAGACTGGGACCTTTCAGCCTTTGGGAGCATGCCAACGGATTCTTCGACACAAGAAAAGAAAGACTGTTCTGCTTTGTCAATGTGAAGCACATCAGAAGATTCTTCGACAACAGGGGAAGAAGACTGCTCCGTCTTGTTGATTGGGGGAAGACCGGGAGAGTCTTCGATAGCACAATAGTGAGAGTTTTCAGCCTCCTCGTCACCATAAGAGTCAGACCGTTTGGCCTTTGCAAGTGGAAGCATGCCAAAAGACTCCTCAACATCACAAGAATCAGACCGTTCAACTTTGTCGATGGGAAGCAGACTAGGAAATTCTTCGGCAGCACAAGAAGACTGTTCTCCCTTGTCAATAGGGAGCAAAGCAGGAGATTTTTCGACAGCACAAGAGGAGTGTTCTGCCTTGTCGATAGGTAGCAGGCCAGGAGATTCCTTGAAAGCCGGAGATTGAGACTTTTCAGCATTACCGAGAAAATTATGAGACTCCTCAGTGTCATAAGAGTCAGACCGTTTGGCTTTACCCAGCGGAAGCATGCCAGAAGAATCGCCAACACCATAGGATTCGGATTCTTTGCCCTTGCCAAGCAGATTCATGCCGGTAGAATCCTCAGCACCAAAAGAATCAGACCGTTTGACCATGCCGAGAGGAAGCATGCCAGGGGAATTATCGATATCACAAGAGTTGGAGCGTCTGGTCTTGCTGAATGGGAACATGCTAGGGGAGTCCTCGGGGCCATAGGATTCAGACCGCTTGACCTTATTGAATGGAATAATGATAGGGAAGCCTCCGATGCCACACAGATAAGGCAGTTCAAGCTCGCCAAGTGCAAGCATGGCAGGGATATCATCGGTGTCTTGATTAGGGTTGAAGACACCGGACACCCTCTCCACTGGAGCCTCCTTCTTCTGCTTCTTTGTTTTCTTCTTATCCCTGCGTTTGATGTACATCTCCGGGCGCTCTGCGTCCTTGGGATTGTCGCGGATGCGGAAACGGTGCAAACGAATGTATCGCTCTGGGCTCTGGCCGAGCATCCAGACCATCTCGATGGCGTTATTTTTCAACTTGGCGAGCTTCTCGACCTCTTCCTTTCCGGACAGACCGCGCTCCCATCTGCCGAAGTCGGGGATCAACTGCATGTCGTTTTCCCACTTCTCTGCAAGAGCAGCATGGTGGCTGTGAGGGCCCTCGAGAGAGCGATAGACAGCTTTCACCTGCAGGAAGAAGAATGCGGCGCGGCCGGCATCCGAGTTCATGGCTGCTATGACGGCGCAGCGGAACCAGAACCAGGCGAGACGGACGTCTTCGACCTCGCTCTCGGCGAAGAGCATATACAGGTGATGGGCTTCCTGCAAGACCCCCGCGGGGCTACTCTCGAGCACTTTTTCGTCGTGCAGCGTTTTCCAAGTCTGCTCGAAGGCATGAGCAAAACGCTCGAAGCGCGGGTTAGGGTTGGTGCAACGGCGGCAGAGGCACTCGAAGCAGAACCGCTCGGAGATCTCGCGTCTTCTCTCCGCGATGCCACGGTGGACGAACATGTACGAGACTGTAATTTCTTCCCCGACGGCGATGTCGGTAATGGCCCGCACGACAGCAACGTACTGGAAGCCAGTCCCGTCTTCGGTCTTCTCCTTGACGACGGTGATATGAGCGTTAGGCTGGCATGCATGATTGATGTGCGCCAGCTCCAGGCCCACGACCTTGGAGATACCCGTCTCGCTCATCACAGGAATGGAAGACACTGCCCAGATCCGGAAGAAGGGACCAAGCTCCAGCCGCTCATCACGCGGCAGATGGCAAAAGGAGCGCACAAAGTCGACGCCCTTTTCGCGGATCCGGTCACCCACCATGCGGTTCATGTCCTCGTAACTGGCTGCAGAGGCTTCCTCGTCCCTGGTGAGGTGGACGATGGGATCCTTCATGATGATGTTACCGGGGTCGATCTCCTTGTTGGCAAGCAGACCAGCACCCTTGACGTCGCCCATCCAGGCCCGACGGTAACGAGGGGTAGGACCGAGGTCTTCTTCTTCGTCATCGTAAATGTCCCCGTACGCTGAGGGAAAGGGATCAGTGTTAGCCATGATGACTACACGAAGGATGAGGGAAAGGAGGAACAGAGAAAGAATAAGGAAATAAAGGACAGAGAAAGGATAAGGAAAAGAGACAGAATAGACTGTGCACACAAAGAGAAAACGCTGGCAAGCGAAGGGAAGAATTTCACAAAAGAAGGTGGTGGGAAAGAGGGTTGGAGCGAGAGAGAAAGAAGTGAGAGATGAGACAGGAATATCAAAGCAGAGAGACACTCACGTGATATCTCATCAAAGTCGTCATATTCCTTTTCACCCTCTTCTGGCAGGCCTGAATGATCATGGCATCTCTTTGTCAGTTCCTCTGATGTCTTGGTCTACCCCCCCCCCTCCTGGCAAGACATAAGACATACCTTTCACCTGCTGACAAGCAGGACACAGGCAAGTCTTCATCATAGATTCGACAGAGGAGGGTTATCAGGGTCTCAACGGTGGTTTCTAACTCTTGTCAGTACAGATTTCTATCCAAGGCAGACCGACATGGCCCTCAGTCTGATCCTGAGTTGAGCTGAGCTGAGCTGAGAGGACAGGAGGCTATCAACACTCACTTGAGCAAGAATATAACACAACACCAGATGTGAGCTGACAATCATGAGAGGATAGAGATAGGTAGGAGAGATAGGTAGGAGAGAAAGAAGAGTGAAAGAAGAGAGAGAGAAAGGAAAAGAGATTTATGGGGGAAGGAATCCTCACTAGTCCTAGTCTCTCGGCGTGCGCAGGAAATGAAGCTATTCAGCGATTAAGATGGGGTTTTGCATTTCAGAACACCAAAACAAGAAGAAAAGAATGGAAGAATGGAAGAAAGGAAGAAAGAAAGACAGAAAGAAAGAGAATGAATGGTAATCTATCTTGATTATTACTCTACAAAGCATCTAAGCATTACAGAGCTGGCTGATATGCGCATACAGCAGAAGGGAAAGTACCAAGACCTGAAAGATCAGTTCGGATTCAGGTTCGACGACGCCTATTAATGATTCCTAATCGAGTGTACATGATAGAGACAGATGGGAAAAGGTCAAGGAAGGAAGATTCGGAGAGCCAGGCGCGTATCAACAGGAAAGAAGGAACGAAAAGAAAGGAAAAAGACAGGCTAACGTGAAGAACAACTGCAGAATTAAAGGTACAAGGCCTGCGATTTTAGAAAAAAGGGTCTATAACTCATTCATTGCCATGCTACCCAACCGAATACCGATATGTCCAACTGGAACAAACGATCGAATGATGAGAAAAGTGAAAAGAAAATACCCAGACACGGTTAGGAGTACAGAACGGAACGGAGGAAAGAAAAGGGGGTATAATGGTCATAAAGGGAGAAAGAGAAAAAGAAAAAAAAAAAAAGAAGAAGAGAAGAAAAAGGAAATAGGGAGAAAGAGTGTAAAATGAGTAGATAGAGATGTAGAAATCGAGGAGCCGAACTAAGCCCCAACCGCCTGGCCGAGAGGGCTCTGGGGCATGCTGTTTTAACCCGGCATGTGGTCCATGTCAACAGCGTCCTGGTGGTCACCAGTGTTTCCCAGATCCTCGTTCCCCTCGCCGGTGACGACGGGGGGACTCGGCGGTTCCTCGATCGTATCTTCCTGGTGACGGAAGCTCCGCGCCACAGTGCTCGCACTGCGGAGAGACGGTGGCCGGCCACCATGGATGGAACTCGAGGCAAATGATTCGGTACCATCTGCTGTGGTAGCAGCAGCAGCAGCAGCAGGAGCAGGAGCAGGAGCAGTGGTTCCGTCAGAAGTGGCTGCTTCCGAAGGTGTCGGCTTGCGCTGCTTGAGACGTTCTTCCGGCGACATCGTGTTCCACTCGGATCCGAATGTCACAATGGAGGCCTTCTTGCCGTGCACGGTGAAGCTGGGCGTCTTCCGCGAGAGCCCCTCCCCGGTTTCCGTGGTGGTCGGCTCCTCGTCCCCAGGTTGTCCGATGGTCGCCGTGATACTCGACATGGAGTCGCGGGCTTTGCGGCCGCTTCGACTGCTCGCACTGTGATACGAGTCCCGAAGGGTCCGGTGGAGACTCCGGCGGACGCGTGAGGAGCCCTGCTCCCCGGATGTAGTCTCGTGCAAGGCGTCCCCCTCGGGCAGGAAGGTCTGCCTTTGCATCGAGGGGCTCTCCGGCCCCAAGAGACCGGCGTCCCGCAGGACCAGTTCTTCCCCTTCCTCGAAGCTGGTGCGAGATATCGAAGCAGCAGCAGGAGCAGTCGGTCTTGACGCGCGGGAGGCTAAACTGGTCGAGCTGAGCACTGAGGGCTGGCGGTCCGGAGAGCACGATTTGGCCCGTTCCTTGGCCAGATCCGCGGACAGCCTCCAACTGGCCCTGTTGGCGTCAGATGAAGTGATCGAAGATGGAATACTAAGTCGCCGTGTGTCTCGGATAGGCACTGAGATGCTATCGATCGTGGTGGAGATGTCGGGGATCATAATCCTCAGCGGGGTTTCCGCTGTAGTGGCAGAAGTCGAAACGCGGTCGCGGGTGTCTCCGCTAGATGAAACTGGTTCCGAGATCGAGGATGTGCTGGTAGTCGGGGGCGCCGACTGTGTCGTTGTCGCCGTCGTCATCGCCACCGTCGCGGCGGCTACCGCCATTGGCGATTTAACCGGTTCATTATTATTACCACCACTACCACCACCACCACCACCACTGCTGCTAGCCGACGACGACGAAGACTGGTCTTCACCTAGGTCTCGCTGTAGGATATCTCGGTAGCAAGTAGTGCGCCAGATGTCCTGACGAACCCATTTGAGTTTGGCGGACATGCGGCCGGCCGCCATGATGACCTGTTCACGGGCTCGGGAATGCACGGGGGTGAGGATCTGCAGATGCCGCGCGTTTCGCAGCAGGTCGTCCAGCTGAGTCTGACACGCAGCGAGTTTCTCGTTCGCCTCTTGAACTCGCTGATACATCTGTTGCTTCCGCGCCTCGACGAACTCTTCGGGGACTTCGGAGTCATCGATGTTGGGGGAGGGAGGTTCCTTCTCCGCGGGCGACTGGAGCGAGTCCTCCTCCGACATGACCGAGCTCATGCGATCCATACGATTCCGGCCGACGTCGTAGTTGGCGGTGTTGATCATGCCTTGGGTACGGACGCCAGTGGTCCGGAACGCGGCGGCATAGTTCAGCTTTGCAAGCCAATCGTTCATGTCGGCGTCGGAGTTGGCCAGGAAGACCTCCTCCAGGGCGTTATGGCGGACGAAGACGAAGGCGTGCTTGTGTTTGCGGTAGCTGGAGTCAAGCAGGGCCACCGCATCGTCCGTGGACATGATGGCATCGGGTTTGAAGTCAGTAAGCGGGGGTTTGAAGACGACCCCACGCTTCCGACCAGACTTCTGGTGGACCTCGGCTTGGGAGATCAGGGTGCGGACCCAGTTGACGTCCTTGAAGAAGTAGAGTTGTGAAAAGGTCAGGAGGGCGCCCCATTCCTGCCACGGCGATCGGGTCCGCTTCTTCTTCGGGTCCTTGCGCCAGAGGAGCCCGACCTTGGCAACTTTGATGTCGACCAGGCCCGGATGCGACCCGGCCGGGTTATCGATGCTGGAGGGGGTCAGGAAGGCGTCCGGCCGCGAGCGAGCGGACACGATCTGCAGGATGCTGGACCGGCTGAAGGCGCGGTGCAGCGTGTGCATGTTCGGGGGTCCAAAGGTGCCGTGGCAGCTGTACGTGTCCTCCAGATTCACAACCTCCTTCAGACTGGGTCGGAGACTGTCGAGCTTGCCGTCCAGGATCAGCGTGTACGGATCCACGGGCTCCTTGGACGAGCCGTATAGGTGTTCTGAGCTGGTGGACTTGAACAGGGTGCGGCGCGGTCGGCTGAGGTGGCGAGCGTTGAAGTTGGCGTCTTCGATGTGGATGAAGGGCGTGTAGGAGATGTTCTCGTAGAAACATTCCAAGATCTCATCGGCGATGCCCTCTCCGCGGGTGTTCTTGACGTAGTCATGGCGCTGCATCTTGCGCTTGTTGTTCTTGTTGAAGACGTCAGTGTGGAGGATGAGGATGGAAAACGCGATGAAATACGCCTGGTCGGTGGACGCGAAGATGCCCGGGTTGCATTCGTGATATCGGTCAGCAAATCCCTGCAGGACGCGGTCGATCTGTTGGGTCTCCTTGGGCAGTTCGACCTCCATGAGGAGTTTGCGGATGGCCATATCGACCGGGTCACCAAAGTACAGGAAGCCGCGCATGTATTTCCGCAAGGCGGTCTTGTAGAACTCTTCATCGGAGTGAGCGAGAATGCTGGCGATGGTGGCCTTGGGCACCGTCTCCTGCAGGCGCGTGAGGTAGGTCGCGGGGGTATCGGTCTCCTCGCGAGGCGGGTACGAGGGGGCCTCGCGAGAGATGGATAGGGATCCCCGTTTGGAAACAGGGGTGGCCGAACCACCGCCGACGCCCGGAGACCCGTTGCGGGGGAAAGGGGGTTCTGAATTCTGTCGGAGACGCTGCGAGATGCTGAAGAGGTCGCCGATACTCTTCCGCGCGTTGGTGGAGCTCGAGGTACGCGTGGAGATCAGACGCGGAGACGGATTATGGTCGGCCAGCGAGCCCATGGTGGACGATCGCTCGCGGCCGGGGCGGAGGACGAGCGAATCTCGCTGGGACGAGACAGAATGCGCGGAGCGGGCTGATCGGGACGAACTGTGCCGCAGCAAGGCGGGCTGTGACGACGGCCCAGCGCCGACGAGGGCCACCGCGGAGCGGGAGGGAGATGGAAGCGGCGAGACATGGTCGACATCGACAGTGTCACCGATGGCGACGGACCTGGGAGTTGCAGTTGCCGTGGCGGCGGTCGAGGGCACTGCGGATGCCGATGCCGAGACCGAATCCTTGGTGGCGCGGAGAATGGATGACGACGAAGGCGGGGGGGTGTTTCCGTCCTCCAGAATGGTAGATTTGGGGGGTAAGGGGAAGAGGGGACCTCGGTTGCGCTTCAATCGAGGCATGCGGAATCGCTTCGCCAAGGAGGAGGCGACTCCGTCCTCATGCGACGGGGCGGGAGAGATGGTCTGGTCCGCCAGACTCTGATCAGACCGGGAGGACTCTGAGAAGCGGGTATCGGTTGCGGATGACTGATGAGAGGAGTCGGTCATGCCGAGATTGTTGTTCTGACCGGCGCCGCCACTACGGATCGAGGTGGTGGAGAGTCTCCCTGGCTCTTCATAGCTTGGCCGGGTGACTGGCATGCTGAGATCACTGCCTTGGGTGTCGGTGGACCCCTGGGCCAAGTGTCTGCTCTTGAGCGATTTTTGACTTGACCCCCGGCCATTGAAGTTCGACGACAGGTTTTCCATTGACTTCTTGGGTCGTGGGAGGAAATTGATCTTGCTCTTTCGTTTAAGGGGCTGATCGAGATCAATACTGGTAGGGGCTGTAGTGATGATGGTGGGAGCTACAAGGTTGATTTGTCAGTCATAGAGCAGATGTAGAAGAAACAGAGAAAAAGAGAGAGAAAATGAGGATAGAAAAGGGAATCTTACGCGGTAAAGCAGGGACTGGAGGAGGCGCGGCCTGTTCCGCCCTGGCGTATGAGGCGGAGAGCTGGGGGTCAGAAGCATGGCGCAGTTTCATGAAGCTGAAGCGGTTCCGACGCAACGACGGGGTGTCAGCCACGGCATTTCTCGGTCTCCTCTGCTGCGCCGAGGTGACAGTCTCCAAAACTGACCCGTCCCGGCTTCCTGGTACGGCGAGTCGAACCGTGGCCTTGTTCTCGCCGCCGCTGCCGCCACCACCACCATTGTAGTCACCGTCGTCACCATCGTCACCCAGAATCGGCGAGCGAGGGGCCGATTCGGAGTGTCGAAGAGCCAGCTGGGAGGAAGAAGAAGGGGCGGGACGCGGCAGGTGCTCGCTGTGGCGGGCGTGCGGCTGGGCCTCGACGAGGCGGGGGTGTCTCTTGGACTCACTGCCGTCAAACGCGCCCAGGCGGAGTTTCCAATGCATGGTGATGAAAAGGGAGGGAGGGTTCCCGGCGGAGGATTATGTCGACAGGCCCATCCGTGAGGTTCACAATGCAGTATATATCCTCCTCCACACAGTGCTTTTTCTCTGCCTTTCCTGGTAGCTATCAACCCCTTTTTTTCTCTTCTTTTTCCTTTCTTGTCTTTCTTTTTGACCCCCTTCCCTGTCCGTCTCTCTCTCTCTTTCTTTCTCTTTTTCTATCTCTTTCTTGATAAAACGGCGACTCAATGCTGTGCTATCGCAACCATCGTTCAGGCGGGCAGACGGTGACAGGAGGCCAAGGGGCTCTTCGACGGACGAGCGAGGCAGAGACCAGAGATAGACGAGTTCGCGGAGGACTGGGGACAGGCTGAACCGACAGCCTCTGTCCACATTTCCCAGGCGGTTTGGGGGGGGGGGGGTGAGTGTTTGGTGCTGACGAGGCCGACCCGGTCAAAACGCGGCAGGGGGTTTAGTTGGTCAGGGAGACACGGGTGGAAATGGAACCAACAGTCAAAATAGCAGGTAAAATGAAGGGCAAAATAAAGGGCAGATAGAAAAGCAAATAACGGGCAAAAGGACAGAGTAGACGACAAGCAAGCAGCCTGAGATAGTCGGCGGCTCTTCCTGGGGGGTTCAGGGAGGTTTCGATGCGGGCGGAGAGGGGAGCAGGAAAGGCGAGTGGTTGGCAATTAGTGCTGCACACGTGTGTCTCTCGGCCAAAACAGTCTGGTTTTGGTTCTGTGGGAGCTCTAGAACACGTCTCCACAGATGGAACTACGTAGTTTATTAGTAGTAGTAGTAGTAGTAGTAGTAGTGGTAGATATAATAATAGTTCTAGTTATGCTCTATGTATTTGCTATATAGAGATAGTGTAGTTATTAAGAAAAGACTGGTATTAACAGGTATGTAGTAGACCTATCCTGCTTAGTTGAGGTATTTATGACGAATATTCCAGGAAAAGATGATAAATAGAATAAATCTAATAAATCTTCTAGAATAAATGGATCCTATATAAATAGTAACGAGAGCATATTATTATTCTCACGGAGTCTTGAATAATAATGATGATAGTAATAATAAGTAATAATAATAATAATAATAATAATAATAATAATCCGGCTCGGGTCGGCTTAACTACGCATCCGAGTTCTTTCCTCCACGCACTTCTACACCGTCAAGAACTCGACTACTTTTGTCTTTACAAGAGTGAAGATAACTATCTTGGAGGACTAATCATACAGATCCTGATATCATTCCTATATACAACTACCTAATAGGCGATATCTAGACATCTATTTCTAAGTTATAACTAGGCAGACCCTCCTCATAGTATTGTCGCTGTTGGTCTTAAGATATACTTACACCAAATACAGGGACGTCAAGACGCGAACCACTTGAACGGTGAAGGATCCTAGACCACCAGATTCCCACTCACGCCGTCACAAAGGCTTGAGACACGATGGAACCATCTCGCAGGCGTACGCAGTAGTATGATGGGAAACAATCGACATTTAGTGTTCGAGCAGTAGTAGTAGAGAGAGTAGGTCCAACGGCATCAATGTTATCTCATCAGATAATGACCATGGAAATGAATATATATCTAAAACCATTGTCTCCCCACGGGACCCCTATCTCCAGAGTCCAGTCCGTTGCAAAGTCCAGAGTACAAGCGAAACCGAGTTCAACAGCGTGTATCTCGTGTTTATGGGTAGTACTTGGCTACTTGGTGATCCATCTCCCCAGTGCTTATACTACATATATAATACAATTATGCCATAAATCAATAAAGAAGTCTGAATGGAGAGTTGAAAGAGATATTAAAATATAACATAATTTGTTATTCTAGCCCTTTGAGGTATCTATACAAAGTCCCTTTATACTGACCTACATCAATTGTAGAATACTCTAGCAACTAATGGATCTCTAGCTTATATATATACCTTCTCTACTATTTCACTCATATCATATTCTAATCGGAACGTCTATTTGTCCTTGAACGATACGCTTACAGGTCAAACTAATGGAATGACAGAATCGCTAGAAGACTATATTCGACGGATTCAAGGCTACAGCCCGGTTTTCGAACCTGGCAGACAAACGCAGATCGAAGCACCCCAACTCCAGGCCGGACGAGTCAACCGCATCCTCTTCTATCCCGGCAGTTTCAACCCTCCGCATGTGGGCCATAGCGCCCTGCTCCAGCATGTATTCAAGACGAGTGCAAGCCACATGAATTTCATTGCCGCCGTGGTGTTCCCTCTGGATGATGAGGCACTCGTGGAGAGACTAGAATCGGACAGGAACCCCTTGGTATTGAAGAAACACGAGCGGATCAGGCTTTGGCGTGGTCATGGACCGGCAGCTGGTCATGTTTGGGTGTACGATCACCCAGTCAGCAGCTGGTGGCAGTTGCACGACAGACTCATCCAAGATGTCGCCCGCGATGGGTTCAAATTGGAGATCTCTGTTCTTTTTGGTCCGGATAATCTGTCCCAGTTGGAAGAATTTCCTGCTCAGCCATGGGGCTGTAACGAGTGTCTCTTCAGTGATATCGGCAGAGACGCCGTGATCACCTCCGGGCATAAGGACAGCAGTCCTGGTCTGACGCCATTGAAACAGCTCGATCTCTATGGCCCCTGGGAACGAACTGTCGTCGGTTCTCTCTGTCGTCGGGACGATGACCCTCCCTCAACAATACACTTCATACCGAAGCCTGACGATCAAGTTGTACCGCAAACCAGCTCCTCAGAGATTCGACGGGCAATTCGGAATTCCCTGCCAGGTCGGTTGGAGATTGATCTGCATGGTCTGGTTCTGAATCCTGATGTTTTGGCTGAAATCCTCGCACGAAGGAGATGAGGTAGTTGAAAAAAACAGACTATTCTGCAACTTTTCAGGGTCTTCTAAAAATAACCAGTAGCAGGGCCCCGACCTATCAAACTACTGGTATTACCATTACAACACTGGTCCTTACAAAACCAGGCTCCAGCATTCCTGCTTGCACTGCACTACTATGTAGTATTACTGCTTATTATTGTTATTATTATTATTTATCAGTTAACCTCGCTATTCAACAGGCCATTAGTTACAATCATTATTATTATTATTATTATTATTATAATTATTATGCTATCTTGATGACAGCTGCCACTATTCCCGCGGCGGCCCTCCTCCAATCATCTGCCGACTATTCAAACCTCATCTTCTTCCCAGACGTCAAGTCTTCCCTCTCCCTCCCTTTCTCTCCCTCTCGCAGTCGTTCTGGTGTCTCCTTTCGAGTTCTTCCGTCCTTGTCGGACTCACAGTCCAAGTATGCGTCTGTTCGGTCCCTCTTTCGCCTCTGTGCCCCCCTTCCTCTTGCTGGTGCTGCTGGTGCTGCTGGTCAGCTCACTGCCCTCCGTCGTCGCCATCCCCGCCGGGTCCAGCATTGCTCCTCCTCCTCCGCCCGTCGAGCCCATCCAACTGCTATCCCAGAAGTCGGATCCGCGACGGCCATGGATCCGCCTGCGTGACTGGGCCATTGAGCGGCTCTGGGGGGTTCCGACGCGGTCTCCCGCCGACCGCAAGGATGCTTTCTCGCGCTCCCCTTTGCCGCCATCCAACGTGCTCGCCCGCTACGGTAGCGACGTCGTGCTGCGCTTTCGCTTGAGTACTGTGGAAGAGGCTGCGGCGTTGGCCGAGGCCGTTGATATTCTGTTTCTAGACATGTGGGCCTCGACCCCGCAGTTTGTCGACATTCGGCTTGCGGAAGAAGTGGTGAGTAGAAATACTCTGCAACTACTAACAACAAACACTAGAAACAAACCAACTAATGTCGGTTAGATTCCTTCTTTGGTCGGTCTCCTTCCGGACTCCCTTCGCTCCGCCCATACACGTATCATTGATAATCTCGCCGAGAGGATCTACGCCTCGTATCCGACCCGACGAACCCCCGGGCTAGAGGACCACCAGGGCGAGTTCGTCCGCTCCGCCCGCCCGCCCTCCTCCTCCTCCTCCTCCTCCTCGTCCGAGATGAGCGATCCCTTCTTCCGTGAATACCAGCCGCTGTCCGTGATTGTGTCGTGGATGCGTCTGATGGCCTCGATGTTTCCTTCGCACGTCCAAATGACCCGCGTGGGCGTCTCGTACGAGGGCCGCGACATCCCTGCCCTGAGGATCGGCGCGGCGTCGAATATGGAAGAAGAAGCGCAGGAGGGGGGCAAGGGGAAACAAGGGCGCGCCCCCCCGCGCAAGACGATCGTCATCACCGGCGGCTCCCACGCGCGTGAATGGATCAGCACGTCGACGGTGACGTTCATTGCGTCGAAGCTGATCTCCCGCTACGGCACCTCCAAGTCCATCACGCGCCTGCTAGACGAGTTCGACTGGGTGCTGGTGCCCACCATCAACCCGGACGGCTACGTCTACACGTGGGAGTCGGACCGCCTGTGGCGCAAGAACCGCCAGCCGACCAGCCTGCCCTTCTGCCCGGGGGTCGACCTCGACCGCTCCTTCGGCTACGAGTGGGACGGCGAGGCCGTACGCTCCAATCCTTGCTCCGAGAGCTACGCGGGCACCGAGCCCTTCGAGGCCGTCGAGGCCCAGCAGCTCGCCCAGTGGGCCCTCAACCAGACCCATCTGAGCGGCTCCGCAGACATCGTCGGCCTCCTCGACCTCCACTCCTACTCCCAGCAGATCCTCTACCCTTACTCCTTCTCTTGCTCCTCCGTCCCCCCCACCCTCGAGAGTCTCGAGGAGCTGGCCCTAGGCCTCGCCAAGGCCATCCGCCACGCCACCCACGAGATCTACGACGTCACCTCCGCCTGCGAGGGCACCGTCACCACCACCACCACCACCTCGCAGGATACCAACAGTAATCGAGACAAACCTCCTTTCCCCCTCGGCGACTCCTCCGGCGGCAGCGCCCTGGACTGGTTCTACCATCACCTTCACGCCAAATACGCTTACCAGGTCAAGCTCCGCGACCGCGGCAGCTACGGCTTCCTCCTGCCGGCAGAGTACATCATCCCCACGGGCAAGGAGATGGTCAACGCCGTGATCATGTTCGGCGAGTTCCTCCTGGGCACCTCTTCCAGCGCGGCGGACCTTGAAGCAGAGTTCTACACCCAATCTACCGAGCACGTCGACCCTCTCCAAGACCAGGACCTGGATATCGGAGTCGACGACTTGTTCGCAGAGACGGAGCACATGTTTGAGCTTAGGCGAAGAAGGAGGTGAAGGAGGGGGAAAAAGGTCCATTTTGAATTACCAATTGATGTGATATGAGGCGTTGGTTTAGATTTGGATTAGATTTGGATTTTGGGGTTGGTGTATAGAAATTGTATATATTGGCGAAGCGTATTTGTTGGATGACTGGAATCTAATCTTTCTTCATACTATCCTGCTATTGATGATCTTGTAAAAGGATAAGCTAGTGAGAAGTAGCAGACTAAACAATATGATAAGGCGCACGCTTCTGGTTGAAGCCCAACCGCCACATTCCCTCTCCACCAGACTTCTTCTCTAGGACCTCAGGAGGCTGGGAATAAGATACCACAGAGCCGTGTGCTTTCTGTGCAAGACTAGTCGTGCTGGTTGTATGACTGACAACAGGGCCGCCGCCATCGCCTCCCTTGACAAAGTGGTTCCAAGTCTTCCTGGCGTAGTCGAAGTAGAAGGCGAAGAAGATGATGACCAGGCCTAGTCCAATGGAGGTGCAGACTAATAAATCAATAGAGGGTTAGCCTTCAGTAGACTCCCTCAAGGCAGTGGAATCTTACAGATAATTGGGAAGATCCAACCGGGCTCATAGATCAGATTATTCTGGGGGTCGTGTTGGAAGGACGACACATTCAATGCAAAGAGGGATGTCAAGAACGACATGGGGACCTATCTGTCATTAGAGGAGAGACGATCAATCTGGTTCCTTTGGAAAGTACTGACGAAGAAGATGGTGATAACGGTGAAGACCATGAGGGTTTTTCCTTGCTGGATGGATTCTTTTGCCTGGCCGCGGGAAAGAAAGGCCTCGATGATATTGATTCCGTTCTGTTCAAGGCCGAGAATATCCTTGACCTGCAACCGGGTAAACAAGTGGTAGGAAAAGAGACATCAAACCAATAACTTACAGATAACTGGATGGCCTCCGTGATTTTGGTCATTTCATCAATCTGTTGGATAGTATACGTGGGAGCTCTCTCGCTTTTCAACTCGGCTCCGCCTTTGAACAGTTCGTTCCAAACAGACTGTTGTTGCATCAATGCTGCCCTCAGGATGTTGAGCTCGTCCAGGACGTCTTTCACCTCGTTGAGCACCGTGGCTGCCTTGCTGATTGACTGCCAATTCTGGGTCTCCTCTTGCTGGTTGAGGATTGTCCTGTGTGTTTGGTCCTGGGCTTCACTCTCGTCTTTCTTCAACCGCATCTTTTCCTTGAAGCCTCGGAACATTTCCTTCTCGTCATCGGCCTGGCTCCCTGTTAGATACCAATATATCCCTGGTGCCGCAGTCCGAACTGGAAACATACCTTCTTGTTGATTGTTTCTGCAAAGATTTCACGCGGTGATTTCCGGCTGCTCTGTGTCTCTACCACCGAGCATGTCCCCTGCGGTCTTCCCGAGATAGACGCCTCCCAGCTTGTTTCGTTCACAAAACTGGTGCAAAAGTTGACAATGAATCTGCTCATCTCATCCACAGACGAGGGTGGCGGCTGTCCTTTGCCCTTGCCTTTCTTTTCCCGAAGATAATTCCATATCCTTTCCACCACAGGGTCGGCCAGGCCATCTCGTCGGTGCGTAGAGCAGGTGACGATGGTCTCTGTAATAGATGTCAACTGATCGGGACACAAGCTTGGAATTTGAACCGATATTCATCAACATGCTCTCACCTTCGTCAATCACCCAGAGCCAAAGCTGATCAACGGCGAGGATTGGCCACCAGGGCTCGGTCTCGATTCCATCCCCGCTATGGTGGTTCGTGAGAGCCCGCGTCACAACTTGACTGGCATCGCGACCTTTCATGTCCGACATGGAATCGTAGTAGAATTGATCGAAAGTCCGCGACCCGTGAATTATCTTCTCCTTATAAGCGTCCAGCAGCTGTTGATACTTGTCTCGGCAATTCTTGTCCGCCTCACCATCCTTCGCATCGTCTCGATAGCATTTGCCGAACGTAAGGTAGGGCATCTATAGGCTCAGTACCTAAACTTCTGATAGCAAATAAATTTGAGTAAAACTTACATAAAGTGCCACCCTTTCGTACGTTCGGTCAGTAGAAGCGGTCTCCTTAGAGACGCCGTCTGTGGAATCGTTCTGCTCCATGTCGTGCTTGTCATTATAGTTTTGACTTATCTGATGAGTGGCTCCCCCCTTCTCGCTGCTCTCATTACCGTCTTTGTTATCACAGGCATCCGGGCTATTGCTTCCCCGTTGAGGCGCCTGGGCTCTGTCGGGTTGTTTCGTCTTCTTCATCTTCGCTTTCTATAAAGGGAAGTTCTAGTCTTGCTTCCAATCCTAGAAAAATCTAATCACATACCAAACATGCAGGCTTCATAAACGCTCCAGAGGCGCCGGCGGAGATTTCGTGCCAACTTCGCCGTAAAAAGTCGCTCAAGGATCGATATTCCTCCTCGGGTTTCCTTTCGTCGAGACATATCCTTTTCACAAGGTGCTGCCGGTGGTATCAATTTCCATTCGCAAGAGATCTGAGGGAAGATTAAAGATAGAGTACCTCCATCCATTCCAACTGACCCAAACTGTTAGCTTCGTCGTGAGCAATGAGTCAAGTCAGTCAGTACTACTTACATTGTTGGCTGGAAGATGAATCCATCTCATTTTGAGATGCTCAGCAGAATAAGGCTTTCCTTTTGCAGCCTCGGAACTGATTTGCCTGAGCGTTTCCTGTGCCTTGTCCATAATCTTTTTGGCACCCCCGTCTTTGTCCTGCTCATAGATCACATCCTGAACGGTGCGGGAGCGACGGAGGAAATCCACTCGTCCATCTTGTTGATAGAAGTCCACGATGGTTGCATAGTACTCGTCAGTCATTCTAATGTCATCATTCAAAGACGGTAGCTCATAGGGATCGTCCGACTCCGACATGCCTGTCACGGGGGGAGGGTCACGGAGCATATCATAGGTGAGAGAGAATTTATCTCGTTCATCTCGCCCTGGTTTGTCTTTCCCGTTGTTGGCTTCGTCAGCCCTGAGACCGAGTCTCCTATCCACGTCTTTGTTTTTGGGGCCAACCGCTTCACTTGGTTTGAGATTACTAGTCTTTGATTCTTCTTGTTTTCTTTCATCCCGCCTCCGTTTTGCTATTTCCTCTGCTTGCTCGCGGTCCTTATCGGCCGGTTCGCTGGGAAGGGTGCTCTTCAGAATCCACCAGACAAGAACGTAGTTCCCATGGTACGCAGCCAACTGCAAGGGAGTTTCTGCTCGATAATCTGATCTCGAGGGCGGGTGTTGCAAGATGCTGCAGATTTCATCCCTCTTGTCGACACTCTTCGCATACCAGATGAGCTGGATGTCTTGGATATCGGCCTCGCTCACTTGGCTCCGAAGCATGATCTGCGAGACCAAGATTAAATCGTTCTGCGTAGCTGCTTGACTGAGAGCATGTTTCTTTCCAGCAAGATCGGTCTTCTTTGCGAGTATTTCAATCGCAGATATGCGGTTTTTCTTCGCCTCCTGGTCCTCTTCGTCGACAGATGAAAGAACAGCCAGAGTCAACGCTGTCTGAGGATCCTTGTCCTGAGTCTTGATGTCCCATTCCGCATTGTTTTCCAGTAGTAGCCCGACTATGTCTCCCCGAGCCTTCGAGCTTGCCAGATGGAGTGCAGTCCAGCCATTTCTATCCACGGCATTGATATCCGCTTTAACACCCCTCTCTTCATACTGGAGCAGCAGTTTCACAACCTCGGTTGACCCATCTTCGCAGGCCTTGTGGAGAGGAGTTTGTTTGTCGTTATTGACAGCATTTATCTGAGGGTTCCATTTTAGAAGAGTCTCCACGATTGGTGCTCTTTGATCTCTATTGTCGTTTAGTAGGGCGTCGTGCAATGCTGTATCTCCATCAACGTCCTTGACATCCACCAAGGCGTCCTTTTCAAGAAGCATCTGTACGACTTGTTGTGTAGAGGCATAGGCTGCACCATGTAAGGGTGTATTCTGATGATTGTCCATTTGATTAACATCGGGGTCATATTTGAGGAGAGTCTGAATGACCTCCGGAGCGGAGTACTGGGCCGCTGTTCTCAAAGCCGTCCATCCCAAGTGATCGGGAAGGTTCACATCGGCGCCACCCTCCAAGAGGATCTGGACCATCTCGGCAGATGAGGATTGTGCTGCGGCCACCAGTGGAGTACAATGTTTTAGGTCGAGGGAGTTGACCTCCGCACCATATTTCAGGAGTATGCGAGCAATATCAGTGCGGGAGTACTGCGCAGCCAATCTCAGGGGCGTCCATCCATCTTCGTCCTTGAATTCGATATTAGCTTTATGGTCGATGAGAAGCTTCACTATGTTTTCATTGTCGATCCAGATCGCAGCCATTAGCGGCGTCCATGCGTAATCCGTCTGTTTATCGACCTCGGCCCCGTGATCAAGTAGAAGGGCAACTATGTCGGTGTTTCCTTCAATGGCAGCCTCATAGAGAGGCGTCCATCCCTGTTCTTTCTCGGCTTCGATGTCCGCCTTTGCTTTGAGGAGTACCTCTGCGACTTCCTTGTGACCATATCCGGCAGCCAAATGGAGCGCCGTTTCGTTGTCGATCGTCTTCGCATTCACATCGGCTCTTTTTTTCAGCGCCTCTATGACCTTCTCGCATTCACCGCTTCTACTTGCATTGAGTAACAGCTCGTCGAATTCCTGTGCTGCGGGTTTCTGCAAATCAGTCGTACTACCGTCATTTGTAGCGATAGGACCCTGTTCATTCGGATTGGTCTGGAGTGTCTGATCTTGATGATTTGAGGACTGGGTGTCTGGCTCGCTCGTACCAATTTGTCCTCCATCTTTTCGGATGAGGGGAGTATCGGACTCGGCTGCTGCTGCATCAGAGAGCACGGAACTGGTTCCATGATCGGTCGATTCTTCTTCAGACATGGTAAAAGGATTGACTGCCTATAATATTCAGCACAGCTGGCTGATACAATAATGTGGTGCGAGCTCCATTTCAAATCAATTTGGACAGACGCGGGGGCATCGGTCCTTTTGAGCGCTCTTGATGCCTGCAGAGTACTCGAGGCTGAGGCTGAGATGACAGGGATAGACACCGGGGCCAATAACCACGAGCCATGAGGCTGATCATGCGGTATGTTCTCCAAATTATAGGTTGATGATATGTCCAGCAGATGCCAGCGAGCTGCGAACTAGCGTTGTCGCCTTGACAATTGGCACTGCCCCTAATGCATGTTCTACGGAGTTTGTCTCCATATTGCTCGACCTGCATAAACCAGCAGGATTTAGATCCACTCTTTACCACTTATAAATTCAATACCTAGGGTCTAATTAATTTAATTAAATATAGAGGGAAGAAAAAAAGAGTATCAGTGCATACACATAAAAAATGATGAGCGCGAAAGCTCTGAATTCTAATGGCAGAGGTGCGACGGAGACTGACATTCTCCTTGCCCAGGCCGGGAATAGAGGTAGGAATGGATGGCAGCAGAATGTCCGGGGGGTCTTCGTTGTTATAGAAGTCATATTCCTCGCTGGTGAAAGGCCCAGATACCCAGAATCTCAAAAGGTCGAAGACGTCGTGTTCATCCTGCCGTCCAAGGTTGTAGATCTTGGAGACTCGGATAACCAGAAGACCAGAGGGATGAAACCGAGCCTAGAGGGTACGATGAAGGAGAGCATCTGGATTTACTCCCACCCTAAAGCGACCTTCGATCCCCTTGAGATTCGGACCCTCGCCTGCCTTGGCAATAGCATCGTTTGCGATCAAAGTTGAAAATGGGCTAGGAGTTCGTCATTGGTATAGTATGAGTACTGCATACAATTCAGGTATGAGCACAAGTGCAGGGATCGTGGTCTTGTGTAGCACTAATCCACATTCTGTCAATCATCGTCGCATCTAGAGAAGGAATAAGTCAGCACTTATACTAAGCAGTAGTTGTAGAGGAAGAAGAGAGGGCTCATTGTCCTACCACTGCGTTGTATCTATCATGTAGTCCAGTCTATTGATGCTCTGATCTCATGAGTTCTATCAGCCGTAGAGAAGAATAGAGAGGGACAGTGACAGCAGAAGGGGAATTGAATAGGCAGAGATGACGAGGAGAGGTAGAAGAAGTGGGAGAGGAAGAAGAAGAGGGAGAGGGAAAGGGAGAAGAAGAGGAAGGGAAAGAGTTGTCACGCTGTTGTTGCTGTTTACCTAGATCAGAATAGCACCCAATTATATAGTATTTAGTAGTGGTTCTCTCATAGATTATTATCAGGTATTAAAGTAAAGATATTAATCTAACACTATATAAATTTAATAAATAATCCCCTCCTATCAAAGCCCAGCTAAATGTGATTTCGTCGGCGTTCTCCGCCTGAAGAGCATTAGTATGTAGTAGAGGAAAGCCTGAAGGTATCTTCCTGGCATTTTCACAGTAGTAATTGGTTGATATTTAAGAATAATAGAAAGAGCACGCTCTAGAAAGCTCCTTATATCCTATTCTCAAAAATAGTGATCAGTTACAGTAAATATGTATCCCATGCCAAGTATTTGTGGAGGACTCTCAAGGCCTTTTGATAAGGGTTTGGATATTTATCATTCAGTGACAAAGTATCTGAAAACTTTTCTTCTTTTCTAGATTCATATTTTGGTCTTTCAAGTACAACCACCTTCAATAAAGGTTCTTTCTGTGAAGATAGACAGCCAGTTCTTGGTACTCGAGAGTGCCCCTCCCTGCCTCAGGCACCGAGTCAGCAGTCACTTCTATCTACAATGCAAAATGCCCCTCCTCAGCCAGAAAATCAGTCCTGGACTGCTCGATCTCTGCTCAGACATGCTCAGCACTCTCACCGGCGGATCCCTGGTCTCAAACACATTCCACTGCGCGCTCTGGGTATCATCCTGCTGGTTGCGCTGGTGAATATCCTCGTCTGGATCGCAGCTGCGGTTGTCTTGGTGAGCCGACTTCCCCCAGTGTTCGACTTTCCAATGCCTAGTACTAATCCACGCTGGCTGTGATAGCATTTCCATCCGTCAGTATGATGTCTTCATCCTAGATCTTCAATATAATTGACTTCTGTAGCTCTCTCGTCTCGAATGCGGTGCTCGCGTATACGCTCGGCCTCCGCCATGCCTTTGACGCAGACCACATCTCGGTGAGACTTGGATACGCGAACGACAAAGAACTATCCAGCTGATTCATTTCCAGGCCATCGACTTGATGACTCGAAGGCTAATGGCTACCGGTCAGCAACCAGTTACCGTGGGAACCTTTTTCTCCCTGGGTCATTCCACGTAAGCTCTGAGGAACTAACTCCCTGCCAACAACAACCAGCTGACAGAACTACCAGTATCGTCATCATCACATCTATTGTCGTCGCAGCTACAGCGGCGGCAGTGTCTTCCCGCTTCGGCAGCTTCAGTACCATCGGGGGAATTATCGGCAGCTCAGTGAGCGCCGTGTTCCTCATCCTGCTCGGCTGTATGAACGCGTACATCCTGTACAAGCTCGTCAAACAAATGAAAAAGGTCCTGGATTTGCCAGAAGAAAATGCAGATGAGGCGTGGAAGATCGAAGGCGGTGGCCTTCTCTTCTCCATCCTGAAGAGAATGTTCAAACTGATTGATCGGTACGTCTGGGCGCCTCTTGAGTATGTGAAATAGGATTGATCCCCAACTGACGATTCAGACCGTGGAAGATGTACCCGCTCGGGGTTCTTTTTGGTCTGGGTTTCGATACCTCTTCTGAAATTGCCTTGTTGGGAATCTCTTCAATCGAAGCTGCCAAGGGAACCAGCTTCTGGGCGATTCTGATCTTCCCGATCCTGTTCACGGGTAAGTCAGACAATCCTACCCTTCACGTGTCAAAAGAGTGACCGCTAACGAAATGACGCAGCTGGAATGTGTCTTCTCGATACGACAGACGGGGCTCTGATGTTCTCCCTGTACATCCAACCCGGAGCAAACTTCCTTCCCCTCGAGAAACTCGACAGCGTTGTATCTACGCCGGCAACAAATCAAGATAATCATATCGCCACCATAGATCAAGATAATGGTGCTGCTGCTACATCTCGCAACCATCGAGACCCGATTGCATTCCTTTACTACTCCATCGTCCTGACAACACTGACCGTCATCGTGGCCATCATTATCGGGACGATACAGCTCCTCACGATGATCGACAGCGTAGCCCAGCCAACAGGGAAGTTCTGGGACGGGGTTGAGACGGCAGGAGACTACTACGACGTGATCGGCGGCGGCATCTGCGGGTGCTTCGTTGTCTTCGGTACCGCGAGTGTGGTCGTGTATAAGCCGTGGAGAAGATGGATTGCCAGGCGATACGGCCAAAAACAGACTGCAGATGAAGAACATCCCCCAGATGACTCTCTACAGGGCCAGGCAGGGGGTAGTACCATGATCTTATCTTCTTTGGAGACTGGCAAAGATGGCGAGAACATTACTACTACGGCGGAATCGGTCCAACCGGTACAGCCCGGTGGTTCCCTAGTCGAATTTGAGTAGAATGCCTCCTAGGAATGATCCAAACTGTCCACAATATGATATAAAACAAGGAGTAAAACCATCGTAGTCGTGATAGTGATGCCTGAGGCATATGACGTCAGCGTCTTCTCATCCACGTGACACTTCAATCCAAAGCACTTCGCAGTCGCACAAGCCGAGATAACGTTGCACGTCTCTCTATCCTACTCCTAGTATAGGTCTATATCGAGGAACCTAGAGCAGGGAGTTCGCAACGTCCTCTGGATATCAGAGCTCAAATGCGTGACTTCGATATGACTCGACAGAATACGACACAAGATAGGCCCGAACGATGCATTGATCTGACCAGAGATACAGGTGACACTGCTCTGCTCTAGGTGAGATTCACGCCATGATAGCATGAGTACAGCCTTGGAAGAATGGAATTATATGAGTATATATATTTGTCAGTATATATATATATATACAGCGTTTGAATAGTCATCAGCACTATATATAATGCCGGACCCTCCAACCCAACCACTCAGTCTGAAAACCTTGCCTCCAATATTCATTCTCTCGACACATTTAACGCTAGAGGAGCTGCATGGGTGGGAAGAGAAGCTGGTGGAACACGGCGCTCGGCTGACCTACGACATCACCGAGGCGAGGCTCATCCTTGGAAGCGTCAGTCAGAAGAAGAGAGCAGCGCTGGAACTGCGTTCGCGGGGAATATGGACCCAGGAGATCGTCATTCCCTTGGAACAGGCTGGTGCAGAGCCGCCCGTGAAACGCAGACGCGTTCAACAGACTCCCATCGCGGAGTCGGAAGTGATCGACCTTAGCACCGATTCGGAAGGGGCTGACGATGGGCTGAAGAGACGTCCAGCAGAGCCAAGGGTACAGTCTAGGTCTTCAGTGGGTATACCAGGCTCAATACTGCTAGTGGCTACAGAGATGAAGGATACAGTCATTGTTGCTAGACTCGAGTGGCTGGAGAGATGTCTGCAATCCGAGACGCTTCTCGCGCTAGATCCGTTTGTGGTCTATCAAGCTCGCATCACGACCCGTCCTGCAGAGAGAAATCCGCCAAAGCTCCCTGGCAAGGATGCTGATGCTCACAAGGTCATGCAGCGTGCCAAACAAGATATGGCAATGAATCCTCCGGTCTCGCGGCCACGTCACGGCCCTGGTGGTGACGCCAGCCGACGTGTTCCCCCGAAACTCCACCGAGAGACCACCTCCGAGCACGAGGAGACGATCCCCATCCCCCCAGCGCCGGACTGGGTCAAGAACCACGTCTTGTATGCATGCATGCGCTCTGCACCCTTGCACCCTCCGAACGAGAAGTTCATTGACCAGCTGATCCGGATCCGCACCGCAAGAGCCCTGGCCCTCGACGAGATCGGCGTGCGCGCTTACAGCACCTCCATCGCCAGCATCGCGGCGTACCCGTACGAGGTCCGCACGCCCGCCGAGATTCTCGCCCTGCCCGGCTGTGACGTCAAGATCGCACATCTTTTCTCCGAGTTCAAGCACAGTCCCACGGGCACGCTGGCCGCAGCCCAGGCGCTCGACACCGACCCGACCCTCCGCATCCTACACACCTTCTACCAGATCTGGGGCGTCGGCGCCAAAACAGCCCGCGACTTCTACTACGCGCGCCACTGGCGGGACCTAGACGACGTCGTCGCGCACGGCTGGGCCAGTCTGTCGCGCGTACAGCAGATCGGAGTGAAATACTACGACGAGTTCCAGGCGGGGATCCCCCGCGTAGAAGTCGAGCGTATCGCGCAGATCATCTTGCGCCACGCGCAAGCCGTCCGTCCTGAATCCCGCTACGATGGCCGCGGCATCGACGCCGTCCTCGTGGGCGGGTACCGGCGCGGCAAGGAGCTCTGCGGTGACGTCGATCTCGTCCTCTCCCATCGCGACGAAGCCGTCACAAGAGACCTCGTCGTGGACGTCGTGGCTAGTCTCGAGGCAGAGGGGTGGATCACCCACACGCTCGCCCTGCATTTGACCACCTCGCATCGCGACCAGCAGACGCTCCCCTTCCGCGGTGACGATGGCGGTAAACCCCATTTCGATACCCTTGACAAAGCCCTAGTTGTCTGGCAAGATCCACATTATAATCAGGGAGAAGAAGAAGAACAGCAACAAGAACAACGAAGAAAAAACCCAAACCCCCACCGCCGCGTCGACATCATCATCTCCCCCTGGCGGACAGTAGGGTGTGCCGTGCTCGGCTGGTCCGGCGACACGACCTTTGAGCGCGATCTACGCCGGTACGCGAAGAAAAGACACGGCTGGAAATTCGACTCGAGCGGGGTGCGCGAGCGCACGAGCGGCGGCCGGGTGCTGGATCTCGAGCGTGCTGGACGAACCTGGGAGGAGAGGGAACGTCTCGTCATGGAGGGATTAGGTGTTGGATGGCGCCCGGCCACGGAGAGATGTACTCGATGACTACTACTACTACTAAACATTTGTACGTCTTATCATACAAAAATAGAGCTTGATTTACTATCTCATTCACTATCTGTACATGCCTGTCCATTCGCACGCTCTGGTGCGGAAGGAGGGTCATAAAGCAAAATCATCACCAGGAACGGTGGGAAGGGAGAGAGAGGGTCATCACGCAAGTTGAAAAAAAAAACACAAGATATAAGAACAACCCGGGTGTCCAAAAGAGAAGCGTAAGAGGGTGAAGGGATAACGAGACGGAATAAAAACAGAAAGGGGAGAAAAATATCACACTAGCACCCTCGAGCTGGTCATTTCGCCATATCTTCCGCGGCTCCTCGTGGTATCGTAAGCGTTGACAACGCGCATCTGGTCGCCCTCGTCCGCCTGGCTGAAGGCGTACCCGCGCTGCTTGCGCATACGCTGGACCTGGCGGACCTTGCGGATCGCCTTTTGGAACTGCTCCATGCGCGGCCGGTAGTCCTGCACGTTGTACTTCTGGATCTCCTGCACGTGGTGGTACGGCTGCGGGTAGTACATGCGTTTGGCGTATTTCCAGGCAAAGTCACGCAGTAAGCAAAAGCACGGCAGGACCACAGCCATGAGGTAAAACACAGGCGACTTGAACACGTGCGGAATCGTGCCATAGTACTCGAAGGAGAACCCGATGGCCGGCGCCGCGTATCCGTAGGCAGGCAAGAAAATCAACCAGAAGATCATCGACCCGGGGATGGCGATAAAGGTCCATTTGGTCCAGATGTTGGTGATCAGCGCCGCCTTGCCGAGCACAGTAGCCAGCACGGCGGTGTAGAGCACCTCGCCCCAGACCCAGTGTCCAGAAACCATGCCGCTCGCCTCAGGACCATCCCACAGGAAAAACAGTTCGGAGGCGACATAAAGCACCAGTGAATGGAAGAAGCCATTGGCGATCCAAGACCAGAAGCTATGTCTTCTGAAGAAGAGTCCTTTCTGTCCAAGTTGGTATAGTTGAGGATACCGATCTAATAGCCGAGCGGAAACGAATTGATCGCAGATTCCCATCGCCAGAGGTGGAAGCACAGTAAAGAAGACGTTATAGAAGGATAATGTCCATGATTCATAGATGACTTGACCAGAGAAGGCATTTTGAAAGGAATACTAGAACCGATATCAGCAAGCTTTCAGGAGCGCAGGAAAGAGTTGGTTTTAACTTACCCAGAATTGAGTCATATAGAGAGCAATGTTCTTATAGAAAGAATACAGAATCACACGACTGATGCGATGATAGCTCCAGGAGCCATGAACGAGAAGCAGCTTGCGCAAGTAACGGAACTGAGCAATGGACACGTCGGCAGACCTGGCTGCCTGGAGACCCTCGACACCACTGATACCGACACCCACATGAGCTGCCTGAATCATGGAAACGTCGTTGGCGCCATCGCCGATAGCCAGAAGGAGGGATTTTAAGTGGCGCTTCACAAGCTTCACGACCAAGGCCTTCTGGAGGGGAGAGACACGGCAGCAGACAACAGCCTTGCACTGGACGGCCAGATCCAAAAAGAGTTTCTCCATGTCCTTTTCGAGTGCAAACGTCAGAGACTTGCCGTCGATTATCAGCGCCAGAGGTTCCGTCTCTTCAGAGGAATGGGCCTGGTTCTGGACAGCCTGGAGCTTCTTCGTCAAGTTATCGCGAGTGGCCTGGGCATTCTCCTCGTTGATAATCAGTAGAGTCATATCTTCCGAGATAAGTTTGCAAGACATTCCAATGTTGATGGCTGTCTCCTGTCGATCACCCGTCAGGACCCAAATCTTGATACCTGCGCTCTGGAGCGTATGGATTGTGTCGGGGACGCCATCTTGCAACCTGTCCTCAATCGCAGTCGCCCCAAGCATATAGAAGTCCTTTTCAATCAATTCAGCTGCCTTGTCCAATTCCTCGGCGCGGTTCCCGCTGACAGTGGTGGCCGCCTTATCGTAGATCTGATACCATTGCTGGAACTCCTCTTCTGGGACTTCTCTCATTGCTAGGCAAAGTGTTCGGAGACCCTCCGACGCATAGTCCTCCAAGTGCTGGAGAGTGGCCTCCACGGTGGGATTATCAGCGTGTAGGCGCTCCAAGATGACTGTATCGGCGCCCTTGCAGTAGATACGGATTTTGCCATCAGGACACCTGAAGATGGTTGACATCCGCTTTCGGGTCGAGTTGAATTCACAGACCGCTAGCAATTCATATTCGATTTCCTGTCCGCCGGCATTGAAGATGACAGATCTGGGTTTACGGTTTGTGAAACGATAACCCAAGTCTGCGGCTCCCTCAACCAGGGCCCCTTCGTCCGGAGACGCAGCCTGGTACTTGATCTGATCGGAGGAGCTATCTGACCGTTCAGGGATGACAGTATGACAGGTTGCAAGCAGAGTCAAAAACTGGTGGATAACATCCCTCGATGGGTGAGACGCCAAATTCTGCTTGAGCTGCTTGAAATCAAAGATTCCACCATCAACTGGATCATCGCCAGCTGCCCGACGTTCTTCCGGGACATCATCGCCATACTGAATGCCAGAGATAGAGCATTGTTTGAATTCCATCATGTTGCAGGTGAGTGTTCCGGTTTTGTCTGAAAAGATATACTCGATCTGCCCAAGTTCTTCAACGAGAGAAGAAGTTCTGCAAGTTGCTGGAGTATCAGTTTTGTCATAATAGATGTCGAGGTCGGAGTTGATAAGGAACGCTTGGCAGTATTTGACGATTTCAATGGTGACAAATAGAGAGATGGGGACAAGGTTCGAATACAGCACCCAGTACGTGAAAATGTCGAGGACAAACTGTTTGACCGCGTTGGAAGAACCGTAGTCAAGGTAAGAGAGCTTTTTGGCTTGGGTTTGCCGGATAATCAAGTCGCCAACGGAACTGACCACGCTCAGGGCGATGAGGATGGTGACCAGCATCAAGATCTGCACATTGACCATCCGTTCAACTGCCGTTCTCTTGATCGGCGTCGCCGTCGCGTTTCTCATCAGCTTCGTCTCATGGCCCGTAAAGACCACAATACCATGGATCCAAGGCGTGTTTCGCAGAGTAGCTCCACGAAGAAGCAGCTGGTCGGGTGCTAATGGGAGTTCTTTCTCGCCTCCGCCTGCATGCATGGTTAACGTTGCTTCGTAGGTGTAAAGACTGCTGTTCGGTTGTTCGGATCGGATGCGTCCACTCAGCCGACTAAGGTCGTTGGGATTAACCAGATGTGCGGTCTCGGGGATGGCTTGCTTGATCTTCAGGTTTGTCTCGCCATCCAAGTTGGCCGTTTCGATGTAGCATAAACCTTCAGGTTCCGAACTCGCCAGCAGCACCATGTCCGCGGGGAATGGCTGTTCCGACTCCACACGAACAATGTCTCCCACTGCCACATCAATCCATTTCGTGTCCCGAAAAGTCGATCCCTTGAGCACCTGGGTCTTGGAGTAGTTGAGACCCTTATCCGAGCTTCTCCGCTTGTAATCTTCCACCAGCTCTTTGATGGCTGAAACCATCAACACGATGCACAAAGGGCCAATGGTCGTGTACTTGTTGGTTGGGGAGACGTTGGGGACCTGCTGGAGTACGGCGGTGAACAGGAAGAACAGGTTGGCATATTTCGAGAACTGTTCGTAGAGAAACTTGGGGAGGAACGTGATGACATTGTACTTGGCCGTCGAAACATGGTTGTCCACGAACTTGTGCACCGCGTTGGCGGGCGGGTTGTTGAGCATGATGATACGCGGTCCCAGCGTCGAGGGGTCCACCTTGCGCCGCCCAAAGCCGAACTTGAAGTCTCCCGTACTGAGCTTCTTGCGCTCCTTGGGCGCCGCGCTGTCCTCCGCCTCGGCGCTGTCCTCCCTCATGTTGTGCACTCCCGCTTCGGTCAGCGGGAGGTCCATTTCCGAGTAGTCAGCGCCCATGCCCAGCATGTGCTTTGCCTTGCCCATCAGCCCGCCTCCCAGTCCCAGTATACTGTTCCTGTCGTTGGGTTTGATAACTCGATGCGAGGGTAGATCGTTATCGTCATCTCCCCCCATATTGTAGTAGCCGTGGCCATCCTCATAGTCGTCCAAAGAGTATCGGTGGTAGTTGCTCAGCCCGGAAGTTTGCGAGTAGTTCCCCGTCCCCGACATCCCCGCGTACGGACCATTCAAATTTGTTCCAGCTTGAGAGGAGAATTGTGCTCCTGCTGCTTCTGCTGCTGCTGCTGGCTGCGCCGCAGCGTGTGGAGCGTGTCCGCCGACGAAGTCATCGTAGGAAACCGAAGGCCGGGAAGGCGCCTGGTCCGAGGCATCGATATCGTACTGTTGCAACATGTGTTCATCGTCAACCGGAGGCCGCTGGCCGGTGCGGTATGGGCTTGTTGAGTCCTCCAGGTGTAGCAAATCTCCATCGCGACCAGCGGCTGAACGGCTCTCTCCGGGCCTACCGCTGGCCATGCTGCTTGGGGCGGACAAACACCCTCAGATCGTTGCAGTCGCAGTGTCCGTAGAGCCCCTGAGGCATTGAAATGCGAGATGCGATAACGGGCGGCCCAGTTTCGAGGCAGGAATGATGCTGTAAGACGGACAAACGTGTATGCCTGAGGGAGAGGATGAGCAGAACTTGGGTCGGTGGCTTAGCCGGTGACGATGGGGCAAAAACACGGCGTCCCAGAGGCTGAGACAGCAAGTTTCACACCGTCTGGCAGTTTAAAAATAAGGAGAATTTCTAGCAATTTTTAATTTCCAACGCAGCTGTCAGCTTCAGTCCCCTGCTGATCACTGGGGGGGCTTTGCTTTGGGCTGTGTTGGCTGGTAGCTTCGGTAACTACAAGTGGGCGATTCGCGCCTGAGGCCCACAGGCACCCGGATTTTCTACAGGAATGTAAGCCAGCCTCATACAGATAATAATGCTTCGAGAGCACAATGAGAAGGGTTTGTTGTATCGATAGGCCGTTGGAGTAATTACGAGAGTCACCTCGTGTCCGAATAGTAGCTTGTATTTGCACCTCCAGCCGCAAGAGACAGGCTGTGGCGGCGGCAGCAGCAGAGGAACGTGTGGGCTCTCGTCAGGTATCATCACGCGTCATTTATAGTATTCTACTTGCTATCATACATCGTGAGGAGCAGCTGTGGGATTACTTTCAGGCAATTATTCGGTCATTTTCCGCTCTAGACTCCTCTGCCAGGCCCTTCTTGGCCCGTTCTGCTAGATCTGATTGCAAGGCCTTGTCGATCATGCCATTGATCTCTTTGACCTTGTTGAGCGCAACCGAGGATCGAGTTATCAAGGTCATGGCATCGACAGGCGCCCCGGCGAACTTGGAGACAAAACACAAGTCGCCAGCATTGTTGATCCCCATGACCAGATCGCCCTCGGAAGCCTGCTCTTCCTTGCGGGTAGCATCGTAGACGACGCGCTTGCCGTCACAGAAAGTGTGGAAGGTGACAGAAAGGGGTTTGTGGGTGATGTTCAGCGGGACGGGAACCCTCTCCTCAACCCCATACACAATCACCTGGCCGTCTTTCACCACAGCGTCCGGTCGCCGGAAATGCTGCAGGCCAGCCATGATACCAATGCACGCCGCATCGATCAGGTTGCCATCGTAGTCGGTGACGTGGACGTCAGCGCGTATGCTCCAGCAGCTGACTCCTTTGAGAATACAGAGAGATTCGGTGTCTAGCGCATTCGAATGACGGATCACTCGGTCGAGGACATGTGTAACATACGGTTCGAGCTCTCCCTGACTAATAATTTGCACGAAATTGTAAGCACGATGACTCTCCATCAATCATGGGGTGGTAGTCAGTTTGTACCGGCCGTTTTCCCATGCGGGCGATCCCATCGCTGTCAGCTCCATCGCAATATTGAAGACGCCATCGAAGGGCCGGTCATCGCGAGGCTTCGTCACCTCGGCAGAGATTCGAGAAACGAGGCTGGAGCATAGATATGTGAGCAAAGGATCCAACATAGTAAGCTATCTAGGATTATCGAAGCCTACCTGGTTTTGCCCAGCTGCACTTTCACGTGCCCGTACTCGCGCCCGAAAGAGATTCGCAGGGGACGAAGCTGGTCGACCTCCCGGCCATCTAGGCGCACCCCTTCACGGACAGCATCAAGGATAAAGTCCCGCTCGGCAAGCGAGAGCGGCGCTTCTTTGGACATGGTTCACAGACGACACTGGCGGGCAGGCAGACTCGGCCCCGGCGGGGGACAAGCAAAGGCATCCAAAAGCGGTCCGTTTTGGAAATTTATGGACCGCTCAGAGCCTCATTGGACGGTTTGGGAGAAGGTTGACCGGAATATCTTTTCTCCTCTTTTTCACCGCTTTGGAAAGTCGGCTTTTTTCCAAAGGCGGTGAAAGACTCAGGCTTAGTCAGATAAGCTCTGTCGCCTGCACTTCGCAGGTTCACTTGCAGGCAGGCACGAAGCACGCTGAACTGACTGTACAACGAGATCTCAAGATGACTACCGGTAGGTTATGTGAATTTCCTCGCTGTTGGGAAACCCTGCTGACAAGTTCTGTAGCCCACAGACCCACGTTCGACCCTGTACGTCCGATTTCTATGATTCCCGGAGGATAACGAAAGTCTAACATCATCCAGGCGCGAGGCAAGGAAGCCCTGCGAGGACCAGCGTATCATCAGCGGCTCCTCCCTGCACACACTCTCTTAAAAGTCCGGTAAGTTGATGGTGACGGGTCCCAATGCGCTCCGCCCCCGCTGACAATCGGATAGCCAAGCAGGCCAGGAAGACCAGTCGCAAGTGCGCGACCTGCGCGCCGAGCTCCTTCAAGCCGAGGCGGCCCATTTTGCGAAGAAGAGAGGTGATGTCCCGGAACAAGCCGTCGGTGATCAGGCTCCCGCCGTAAAACGCCAGCTCGAGGGGCCAACATCCGGCGACGGCAGTCCCGCGGAGGACGAGGATCTTGAAGCCAAACGGCGACGCATATTAGAAGAGACACGTCATATAGACGCAGACTCAGATGCTTCAGAAGAGGAAGATAGCGACGAAGAGAGGTAATACTCCAGCTAGCCATACACTGCATGGGCTCTACTGATCCTGTTTCAGCGACAGCGACGAAGATGAAGCCGCCGAGCTCATGAGAGAGCTGGAAAAGATCAAAAGAGAACGACAGGAGCAGAAGGAAAAGGAGGTAAGGGGACCAGTATCAGATTGATAGGGAGAAATCTAATGGGTTATTAGGAACGCGAACGGGCTGCTGAAGAGGAAGAGAAGCGGGAGTATGATATCGCTCGAGGCAATCCTTTACTCAACCCCGAAGACTTCAACATGAAGCGGAGATGGGACGATGACGTCGTTTTCAAGAATCAAGCCCGAGGGACACAGGACAAGAATGGCAAAGAATTTGTTAACGTATGGCACCCATTTTGTTCTCAAATCTCCGCATGCCTGCTAACTGGTTTAGGACTTGCTTCGATCGGACTTTCATAAGCGGTTCATGGTATGCTCATCCTTTCTCTTATATCTTTACCATAGCTAATTTGATGACATAGTCCAAGTATGTTCGATAAAGCCTTGGCTTTGCAATATGATTTCTTCACGATGATTTTACCACAAACTTCTGCCTTGTCCAACGCCAGCCCTTCCTCACTGCAACCTTGCTCGGGAATTTCCATTTCTACAGGTCCCTACTCGGATCAAGTATCTGAGCCTTTGTTGACCGGGGGGCGTTGCAGAATCGCATAATACAGGCCTTTGTCTCAGCGACTTCCCAGCAATGACTTAAATGGTCATATGATAGAGGAGAGCAAGCGGTGAAAAGAGCCATCTCCTTCTATTAATATTTTTAATAGCAGACAGACTCTTGGCTCCATGTAGATATATCCACTCAGGCATGGAACATCAGGCATAGATCAATGCATATGTATTTTTTTATTTCTAAATCTATTTTTCATCAACCGACCGAGAAATTTGGCTTCTGCTATCATAATGACACAATCTGGTCTTGACAGAATACTATTATCTGTCTACTATATTATAATGACACACTAAAAAGAAGAACAGTATCCTGAGTGTCAATAAAATATGTCTTCGACTGTAACGGAGTATATCCGTTCTTCGAGTCACCGCCCTCAAGACCGCTATAAACTGCCATGATCAATGATGTCCATTGATTCGAGTCTATAAACTACTATTGAGCTCTCACCAAGTACATCGCTGCATGTCAAGATGGATTCCCAGCCGACTGCCAAAGCATTGCACAGTGAGTAGCTTCAGTAGCTTTTCTGGTCTGAGATTGTCTAATCCGAGCAGATCGCATCAATGCTAATGTCTCCCAACTTTTACAACGCTTCGAGAACATCATGGCCACCGCAACTGTACGTCCGAATCATCCTAACTTAATATTCCTAGCCTACTATGGAGAATTATTGTATTGTGAATAGATAGGGCTGACGATTAATCTTGAACCCTAGGTTGATAATTCAAGCCATGCATCGACGGCAGTCGAAACCTACCAGCTAGACGTTGAATCCACTGCTTTGGTGAGACAAGAATATCCCATTGGATTTTCACAAGGATAGAATTTCCTGACTTTGCTTTTCTTCATTCAGATCCGCGCTGCTGAGGATATCCTCGCTCTCACCCGCATGATGAAGGAAACGTGGCTGTTTGGTAAACTCGACACTCTCGGCGAAGACGAGCGGGACATCAAGCGCAGGGAGAAGCTGGAAGATAATGTTCTGGCAGTGCAAAAGGCTATCGAGGAAAGGGGCTTATTAAAGCCTGCTGAATAGCCTATATACTGTGTAAATTAAATTACAGAGTTGGAAGGAGTTGGTTGGAGTTGGAGGGAGGCTTTTACTTGGTTGTCATTGTGTTTTATTCGATTGATACCCTACTCTTCAATAGGTCAATCTCGATGATCTATAGACTTGAATTTCAGACTTTTTTTCAAAGATTCATGCGACTGAGTAGAGTACATCCGAAAGCACTGTGTCCATGTACTGATCCGATCTTATCTATCGCAAGTAACTATCGCGGGGCAAAACACAACTCCCGCAGAGCTTTCTTCAACTCTATCAGTCAACATAACCAGAGAGAACAGATCATAAATAGTCAAGACTCAACACAACCGAGAGGAAACAAAACACCTCCAATCTTAAGCTTCCAAATCAATAAAATGCCACCACACCCACACCCCCCACTAACCCTCGTCGTGGCGACAACGCCCATCCGCACCTCGGAATCCAGCACGCGGCTCGGGATCGGCCTGAACGGCACCCTCCCCTGGCCACGCATCAAGGCAGACATGAGCTTCTTCGCGCGCGTGACGACCCGCCCCCCCGTCCAGGGCACCTCCAACGCCATCATAATGGGCCGCAAGACATACGATTCGCTACCTGGTACTCTCCGGCCGCTCGCGAAGCGCATCAACGTCGTGGTGACTAGGGATACGGAGGGTGTCGTTCGCGAAAGAGTATCTAGAGAGTTGGAGGCTAAGAAGGCGAAGGCCGCTACAACAACAACAACAACAACAACAACAAAAGCTATACCGACTGCTGAACCCATCACAGACGCGGTGGTTAGCTCAAGTCTAGACGCGGCATTGGATACGCTCGAGACGCAGTACGGGTCGCAAGGGAAACTAGGCAAGGTTTTCGTGATTGGTGGGGGGGAACTGTACGAGTCCGCGATCCGGTTAGGTGATGTTGGCCGGCGGTTAAGGATCATCATGACAAACGTGAAGCTCAGGTCGGGCGAGGAGTTTCCTTGCGATACGTTTTTCCCCTTGGACGAATCTTTGGCGGAGCGCGGCTGGCGGGCGGCGAGTGCCCAGGAGGTGACGGATTGGGTAGGTGAGGAGGTCTCCTCGGAGTGGAGGGAGGAGGGCGACGTGGCCATTCAGATGGTGGGATATGAGAAGATATGATGCCTGCACGAATGGATGATCCTGTCTTGGTACTTATCGTACATACATGACCATAATTAAGAATAGAACTCGCTCACCATGCAATATGATGTTAGAAGTCAGACAAACCGAATCAACAAAGTCAAGCCAATAAGAAAGTAAGCAAATTGTAGTATCACAAGCAGGAAGAAGAGACGCTCCAAGAATCAAAAAGTGACATATCTAGGTACATCTAAATGTAAAGGGAGAGATGCCAAATGCAAATGTAGACCTGAAGAGTAACAATCCATGAATGGTCAAAAAAAGGGGATTCGACTGTATTTACAAGCAGCGACAGAGCGGTGCTGCTAGTTAGATATTAACAAAAAATTTAGAGGGGTTCGAAAGGCAGCCTTCTTCATTCGTTGTCTTTCATAAACTTGACGAATGCCTTCTTATGCACGAGGCCAAAGTATTGCCCCTCGTGAAGGACACAGAGATAGCGCAATCCAAGCTTGGTAAAGCACTGATAGACCAAGTCTATTGGGGAGTGGATATCCAAAGCAACAGGAGCCTGGCTAGTCAGCAATAGATACGACAAAAAGAAAAGAGGGAACCTACCGGGTCAATATAACGGGTAAAGTCTACATGCTCGGATCTTTCATCGCTGTCGTAAAGGACAGAAGATGCATCCATAGTCATCAGGCATTGCGTGTTATCCTCGTCCGCCAGGTTATCCAAGGCGTATTCCAGGTCCGGGGCAGGAATCAATCCGGCTAGTGCGTTGTGCCGCAGGATTGGGAGGCCGCTGTCAATTTCACCGGCCATAAGAAGATGTTCCAGCTTTGAACGCAGCTCCGTGGCAGGCACAAACGGCGAGTCCGATATATCGATGACACGGCTGGATCGAACGGGCCGAACAATATCGCCAAGCTCTGCATCTGACAGCGGTTTATGCTTGTTATCCAAAAACGGGTACGAATTCATATCAGTCAAAAGATCCTGCGGAGAAGAAAGTTAGCACTGCGGGTTTTGTGTCTGGTTTATCACCAGGGAGGAGATGACCTACATATATACTGCGAGGCTCGATCGCATCGGCAGTCCACTTGGAGCAGAGGATAGCCAGGGAAAACGGAAGCACGTGGTCGAGGCTGCCTGTCAGTTCAAATAGGATGACTACCAGGGTGACCGAGAGGCGAGTGACACCGCACATAGTTGCTCCGGCTGCGATCATTGCATACACTCCAGGTGTCACACAGGAACCTCCCGCTGCGGAGCAAGAACGGAAGAGGAAGGAAGAAGGATATTTCAAAGAGATGTACTGGACGGTATGGCCTACGGCGCGGCCCATCAAACCGCCCGCGACCATCGATGGAACGTAGATTCCAGACGGGAGTTTTATGCCAAAGGTGATCACCGTCAAGAGACTCTTGATCACAAATGCCACCAGGAGATAGCGGATGACTCCCCCAATATCGTCTTTGGCAGGGCACAGACCTGTTGCCGATTCGGTCTCGCTGTCGCAGGGGCTGGCGAGCTCAAGGAGCAGCTCCGAGACAGCTAGTTTCGTATACCTATTCCAGAAACTGACTAACCCCGTCACCAGGGCGACGAGAACGACTTCCAGCATCGGCTGGCGTTTGATGATGGGGATGCGACGAAAGGAACGGGCCCACAAATTCGACGCTTTGATGAACAGAGCGCCAGCTGCACCACCCAGGACCCCAAGCAGGATGAAGATGATCATTTCAAACATCTTCCAGTCACTCAGATACCGGACCTGAAACAGGACAATCTTGCCTGTCCCATAGGGATCGAGGAACTTCAAAGAGAGGGCAGCGGCAATACAGCAAAAGAAAGTGCGGAATAGCGTTTTGGGAGGGAAGTAGTAGCTCACTTCCTCCAGACTGAAGAGCACGCCGCCAATTGGGGCACCAAAGGCCACGGCCACACCACTGGCGGCACTCGCGCTCAGGACCTCGCGTCTTTTGCCGTCGTTGTAGTTGTATTTGGAGAACATACGACAGCAGATATTACCGACGCACGTGCCGATATGGACATAGGGGCCTTCCTTTCCGAGACTCAGTCCAGACGAGACACTGAATATCAAAGCAACTATTTTCACGACCAAAGTCTTCAACCCCAGATAGCCATGTAGCACAAAGCCGCTATTGATGACTTTCACCTCGGCAACGCCGCTCCCCGCCGCAGAATAGTAGACCATGGCCGGGCGAATGGGCAGGGCCGCATAACGACTGCTTGGGCTGGATACCGATTCGGGAGAGTTTCCGTCTGGGTCCCGGCGGGAACCGCGGGAGTCTGCTCCCAGGTTCTCATCCAAAGTGGATAGAGAGACAGAAGAAGGGACAACAGTCTTGGTGAGCAAGGTGAGGGCGCAAGAGATGACGGAGAGGATGAGCACCCATAGGACGAACATGCCAAAGTCGATCCAACTATCATCACCACTAGATGGCTGGATGATCCTCGACCAGGACCGCCAGGATGTACATTCATCGAGTCCCAGGCAGCATGTTTTTCGATTGGAGAGCCATTGCCGGGTGCAGAAGCCTTCTTTCAGATCAAAGACGAAGGTCTCGGTCACATCTACAAAATAAGCAATGGACGCCGTGATGCAGCCGATGATGGCGACCAGAATCCAGCCCTGGGCGCCGTCAAACGCGGCAAGCAAGCGACCCCGAACGTCTTTCCTGGCCTTAAGCTCCCGCAGACGGATGCCGTCGGCGATGCTATCGTGTACCCAATCGGTCGAGGTAAACTGATCGTACCAGGTCCGGTCATCCATAAATGAAGCAGCGAGGCTGTCCTTCACCTTGTGGGACAGGTTGTCCTGCCTGATGCCCTCCGCGCTGGGGTGACGACTGACCCGTACGCCCTGCGAGTTGGCGCGGCTGTGGTGCCGTGAACGACGCAGGCTCCCGCTTCCCAAAGCATGTCGAAAGTGAAGATCAGGCGAGTTCGAGGACATATTCGTGTAGGACCGCCGCGGGATCCCTCGCTGGGCCTTGTCCAACAAGGCCGTCGCCTCGCCGATCTCCATGTGCGCGTCGAGCGGCTCATAATTGGTATGCGGCTCGGACAGATGGCTGTGGCTTCTCCGGTATGCAGAGGGAGATGGAGGGGCCGTTCTTGAGGCGGGAGTCCGACTCGGGTCGCCTTCAGCCAGGCGTTCATTGTCGTCCTCCGGCCGAGGGTCTGTAAAGTAGGAGATGGAGCGAGGCATGGTAAAGAGCGGTGTAACAACCACGGTCAGGTATCCTAGTAACTGTACCACGATCAGCACTCTCTCGTAATCCTGGTATCTGCTAGGTACTAGTTGTTAAGAACCAACATACACAAACATTGCACTTGGTCTGTTGTCAACGAAATGGCAGCTCCCACCAGGGGTCAGCGGCACCACCTCCCGGGTCTTTTCTGCTGTCGTGGCTGACCTCCTCACGAGAACAGCCAAAGACAGGTCGGGATAATTCTCGTCGGACCCCAGAGAAGGAGATGGTCGACCGAGAGGAAATCCTAAGCAAAGAACGGAAAAAAGGCAGCGAGGAGAGGGGAAAGAGGGGGGAAAATAAAAAGAGGCCGCAACGGAAGCAAAGACCAGACAGAGACCGCTAAATCAACGCGACTCAACGCCAGTTGCAGATGACCTCCACAATAATAATCCTTTCCCGAGACAACAGCCAGTAACTGATAATAACAGCCCATCCTACTACATACACTATCAATCGATCGGTCGTCTGACAGCCATCATCACTCGTCTGATCTGCGAACAACGGGTACCCTTGGGGTCTTCTGTGCCTTTACATGACCATCAGACAAGGGTTTGTTAAGGATCCATCCATCCCTCCATGAGACAGCTAGTCATGTTTTCGCTCTGATCTAGGGATTAGCGTGCTCTAACCAACTGATGATAATGCGGCCTCCATGGAGCTTTACAGAGTACGAAGAGTTATTGAAACTACTCTGTTCTCGCTATCGTCCCTACACAAACCGAGCATATAATGTCCTTTTTGCCGACAGCAAAACAGACTTACTGATAAACAATGAGCCAGGGCGCAACACGGACGACGATCAATGAGACTATCGCTCTGAGATGGGGTGCTAGTAGCTTAGGGGTGGACAGATAGGCATCGTTGTTATCGAATCGCACGCTCGAGGCTCGCCCACCTAGCGGCAGACTGGTCGCTAGTTACGAAACCTTCCATCTGATAGTTAGTTATGGGTTAATTTGCCTGACGCTCGCAGTGTCATGGTTTTGATCTGTGCTGTCTGTGAGAGGACACATGATAAATAATATGCGGGGTAGAGAGAAATTGACGACATCTCACCTTCTCTCAGATCTCCTACGGAACGGTTATACGTTATACTGAGAAGGAAAGGGAGACGGATTAGCTGCTGCTTGCCTAGAGATGATGTTCCAGCACGGCGAATCACATCCTCTCTCTCGGTCTGTCTGACGTCAAGCAGCTACATGGATCAGCTAAATAAGTACGTACACCATTAAGGGCCCGCGATCGCTCGCATTTTACGGATTTATCTCGGGAAAACTGGCCTTTGGTTAGAAGCAGCCCAGGGGACTATACAAACAAGCATGAGGATGCCACCGCTACTACAAGGCTGCAGGCGCCTCGATTTATCTCTTGCAAAGACCCTCACTGCTGATTGCTGCAGCTGAAACATGATCGATCTGAGTAAGAGCGCAGAGGGATCGCTGTGATCTAAGTATGAGAGGAGGTTATAGTTCTACAGTCGCCGTCAATATCACCTCCGCCAACCACCCCCTCGTCCTACATCACTGCCGATCAGATAAGCATTACCATCGGCTCCGAGATCAGAGAAATGGCCCTCTGCACCATCATTATCGCCACCGAAATGAGACAGTCGAATCAGATAAACCAAAGCTAAACAGCCAGTCAAGGGAGAAGAGCAAAGAGTCTCAAAAATGGGCTCTTCAACCTATAATCTGGATAGTTATTGGAAACTTCATTAACACTGTTCAGAACGATTCTACTTCCAAGAATTAAAAATGCGACTCCCAAAAATACAGAGATCAATCTTGCGTAGAGTTCTATATCCCTCGGATTGATTGTCAAACGGAAGATCTTCGCCTTTTGTTTCCCCGCACGAGTTCTTCGCCCCCCCTCATTCTTGCACATTGTTCACCTTGTCGAGGGACACAACAAGAAGACGCTGACACTCTTGCCGTACTCACATCCAGTCTAGATGGCTACCATCTCAAGAGCGACCCGGATCCGTAAGGCCCATCCGTCAATACTATTGCTGCCCTTGGTATTCTTCTAGATCTCGCTGACCGAGGCAACAAATACAGGCAATCCGGCAGTGTTGTAAGAACAACCATAATACAATATCCGAACCAATACTGACAGGTACCTATGATAGTCTCTGTGATATCCAGGAGAGATTCAGAACAGGCATCTATGAGTTTTCCAAGCTGTCCGTTATTTGCTTTCGTAACGCCTCGCAGTCCTACCTAGGCAGTATGGATAGGCAGTACTGAATGTGATTGTGAAGGGTTTCAACCTCCGAGAAACTCCTCAAAGCAGCACAAACTCTCGACATACCCGTGTACGTGACGACCCAGAACCGGGCTCGACTAGGCGACACAGTCTCCGAGCTGCAGCCGTACCTATCTCATTCGAACGTACAGGCAAACATCGACAAAACCCTTTTCTCGATGATCACGCCCGAGATCGCCGCTTTGCTCCCTGCCTTCTCCTCCTCCTCTTTCCCGCTCGACGCAATAATCGTCGGAATAGAGACGCACATCTGTGTCACGCAGACAACCCTTGATCTCCTTGCGCGCGGGCATAGAGTCTACCTCCTCGTCGATGGAGTGAGCAGCATGAACCCGGAGGAGAGGGCGGTGGCCCTCTCCCGTCTGCGCGACGCGGGCGCCATCGTCACCTCGAGCGAGAGCATCATCTTCGAAATGCTGGGAGATGCCAAACGGAGCGAGTTCAAGGCCATTAGTAACTTGGTCAAGGAGTGCAAGGAGGAGACAACCGCCGCGCTAGAGGTTTTTGCAAAGATATAATAGCTTCACATTTATACTAGTTATAACAGTCATAAACTACAGCCATGAACTACAAGACGTGTCTGGCTGGGTAATAGGTTTTGATTCATAATTCGTACACTACAATGCTCCCAGTGCTCCCTTCATCGAGGATTCGTCACTGTCCGGTTACTCTGCTGCGAAGTGTTCAGCCAGCCGAACGCGGACGCACCCCCGATCGGATTTGAGGCCCACTGCTTCGTCGTCCGGAGATCCCCCGACGTGCTTGATCGGCGGACTAGCCCTTCAGGCGGATGATTGTTGGTGTTGTCGTTCTGGTGGTGGTGGTGGTGCAGAATTTGTGTGTCTGCGGAATCGGTGCTGCCCGTCGTGGATGACGGCGCGGTGGCGGCGGCAGCAGCAGCAGCTACGGTGGATATCCGGCTTGACGACTTTGATGGCCGGAGGACTTTCATGGGGCGGCCTCGTGATAATGAGGAGGTCCCCGTCGAACTGCCAGAAGAGTCAAGTTTGGAGTCACGGCGCCAAGAGCTCCAGACACTGGCGCCCTGGATCTTCGCGTGCGGCGCAGACACCCCGAAATCGATTGGGGAGGTGGACAGGTCCTCAGTCTGCTGTGGGCTGTAAGGGCTGTCACCCACGTCTCCGTGGCTTGATGACAGGGGGCCTGCCTTGCGGCGGTTCTCGTCATTTTCCTCCATCGACACTCGGTTCGATGATGGGGCTGATGTGGATCGTGACTGGTTCGGCGGCCGCCCTATTACCCCCGGACCGATATACCCAGAGTCATGAAGCTCGCTATCCTCTCGCTCTTGGCTGGTTTCTGGTTCCGTGCGAGGCAAGACCGGGGCAGTGTGAAGGCATTTGAAAACAGCCTCGTTCTCCGGGCGTACAAGAGGGATGGAGATCTTGTTCCGGTCATCGTCAACCATGATGATCTTATCTTGCGAGAATAGAACATCAGCGTTGTGCGAGCGAAGAACATCGCTTCCCAGAATGATTTGAACCGTCGTGTCACTGGGATCGAGATCGCGGACAATGAACCGCACAGTCACAGTGGGGACCTGGGGAGCTGGACTGCTGGCGCGAGAGGACGTTGTGTGGATGCTGGCTTCAGGGAGGTAGAGAGGTAGCTTGACGCATTGCACGCCATCTTCGTGGACGAGAAAGTCTTCCAAGCCGAACCTTTGGATCATCGAGTATCCCACAGAGGAACTGTACGAGCCGGAGCAGGCAGCAGCATACAGCAGCGACTCGTTCGAGAAGTTGGTGGTCAGCCAGCACCGGATAATGCACGGAACAGGCCCGAGTAAGAAAAGCCCAGGAGGAGGCATCAGCGGCGAACCCCCGACCGAGGAACCCATCATGCGGCTCGAGGTTTCAAGCCCCAGACTATTGGTTCGAGCGGAATGATGCGAGTGACCGGATGAGCTCCGCCTCCCATCCGATCGATGGGATAGCGAGCGCTCCGTCAGCGGGTGACTTCCCATCCCACTGCCTGTCCTGAGAGGCAGCTCGCTGCTCGATCGACTTGCCTGCCCATAGTAACCATGTATTGCGCTCTCATCAAACCGCACACTGTTTGCCCGGGAGGCACCGCGCCTTGGCTCCTCGTCTACATCGATCCCCACCGTGCTGACTGCCGAATGATGAGGCCCTTGATCGAACCCCCTAAAAGCGTCTGCCGAGTGATGAAAAACCGGCTCTGAGGCAACTGGGTATGTATATATATATATCAGTTATATATTTCAACCATGAAAATCTCACATATTGCGGTCAGAGCTCACCCGCATTGATAGTACTTCCCACTGAACTTGGGAACGGAGACACCGGGCCCCAGACGCTTTTCAGCCTTGCATCCTCATCGCGTCGGCGTTCCAGCCGCGCAATGCGCTCTCCCTGCTCGAATTGTGTTGCGTGAAGCTCCTTCAGTTCTTCAAATACACGCCAAATATCCTCGCGTGATGCAAAGGGATACTGAGCATCCATAGCAACAACCAGATCCAAGCGTAGCAACACCCGCAAACCAGGTAGACTGTTCCTCGCGAGACCACTCCACAGAGACGACTGACACAGGGGGGAAATCTAGTGGAGGTATACTGGTACGTTCTCCCTGCTCCCTTTCTGTGTTTTTTTTTTTTCTTTTTGCCCCGGTGGCGCAGACACTCTCCTCCCTCCTAGACGGCCTTACGGCCAGGCCGTCCACCCAACCTGAACGGAAACCAGACAAACGAAGTCCCGTGTTCAAGTTTTCAGTAGATATAAGAGCCTCTCAATACCGTCTTCTGATAATATACGGGGGGCGAACGGGCGTCGAGTCTTTGAAGAAGGTCGAGCGTTGAAGGTTTCCGAAGGGGGTATGTAGGTAGATAGGATAGGATAGGATACTGGATAGGCAGGCAGGCAGGCACGGGCCGGTTACAAGGAAGCTTCCGTGGCGAGATGGCAGCGAAAAGAATATTTATCTAGTTATTCGTGGATGCCAGAAAGATAGGCAAGCAGGCGTATAAGAGTCAGTAGCAGTTGACTGAAGGGGGGGAGAACCCTATTATTTATTGGAGTGTCGGACGCAATGTTTAGCGCAGTCTTGCTGGCAGGTTGAGGGGAAAAGCCGAGGAACGTCAAAAATTTGGCTGCGGAGGCGAATGGGAAGAGGGCTCTGGTTACTCTCTGAGTTATAAAGACTGGGGGTTTACTCTCAATCGAGTCGTGGACAGTAGGGACAAAGAAAATCAAGGAGAAGAAATTTGGAGTCCCCCGAGAGAGTTGGTTGACGGTGTCTTCTAGCTAAAAACAAATGCGGAGAAATTACTAGAAAGCACAGATCCAGACTCAGTCGCTCGACAGGAACTAAACTAGCACAATATTTCTCGAGTATTATTACTATTCCTTTTCTCTTGGATTATTGTTCTACTCTATTGAAAGTATGCCTATATACAGATCTAGCCAGAGTGTACCTACTATGTAGTACTAGTTCGTAGGATTTCGGCGACTTTTTTTTTCTCGTATGGCACTCTATTTTGGAGCCTCAGTCCATCCAGGGTAGATCATGGGAAGGCTCTCAGGAGTCTGCTCAGGCCAGTGGGCACGGATCGTCTTCATCACTTCATCGTATACGATTTGATATCCCGCGGGGGTGAAGTGCAAGCCTAGGTGGTAAGGGGCCCGTCAGCATCACTCCTAGTTGTTCTAAGGAAAAGAGGGCACAAACCGTCGGTTAGGAGACTGGCAAGCTTGTCATTGTTCGGCAGCTCCGTGGAACCAGTCAGGGGCTGGCCCTGCTGCCAGCCAGCAGCCGTCATGAAGGCAGTCCAGATGTCTGCCGTCGGGATCCCCAGCTCGGATGCCAGTTGGCGGGCCGCATCGGCGTACTCTTTCGTGTGGCTCGCTGTCCGGCTAGGATGAGGCTGTTCCTTGCTCGCGTCAAAGTCCTTCAGCTGGTACTCGTTCACGGGGGGAGGAGTGAGCATGATGATCTTGGGGTTCTGAGCCTTAGTAGCCGGGTGCTCGATGATGGTCCTCAGATTCCGCTTGTAATCCTCGAGAGGTACGTGTTGGACATTCCCCTGCAAGCACGCATCATTGGCACCGAAGAAGATGGTCTTGTTGTCGTAGTCCGTTAGTATAGCTCTGCTAGTTGATCCATGGTCAGGACAAATCTCTCCCGGCTACTTACCATGAAGCGGACTGTGGCTGTCTCTGGCCGCGGGAAAAACTTGGGAAAGACTTTGATCGCATGAGCCGTGGAATAGCCGCTGCCTTCATAAGATAAATTTTCTGATAAAATAGTCATGATATGTACTCACGAGAAACCCCGGTTGATGACATCTAGTCTGCGACGATACGCTACACGAATGAGGTGGTTAGCAATCGATATTTTGACAATTCTTGCACGTGGTTGGTTTCAAGATAGCCTTAGCCAGTGTATTAGAATAAGAAAAGAACCTCTTACCATCTTGTAATGCAGCGTGGAATGCAAACCCCAGTTCCTGGCTAGAAGACCCCTCGGTGATTGAATCTCCAAACAGTATAAACTGGTCATATGGCTGATACAAGCCTTCCTCTGTGACGCTCGACATTGTTGCTGGCAGGAGAAATATTCAAAATAAGACGGAAACCAAAGTTTTCTTCAATATCAGCGAAATATGGGTTCCTGCGACTATTATTCACTGAGGGGGGGGGGGGGGGGCATCTTCCCCGGGAATAAATACTGATTAAGAGGCCTATCCTATCTAAGAGAGGGGCGAGATTGTCCACCAACGAACGGCCTGCGAACAGCTCGTATTCCACCCTCCGCGGCAAAATGACTTAGGCTAAATTTTCTATAGATCATTGCTGAAGAATAAACAAGATCCGATGAGAAATTTCCACCGGAATTTTTTCCATGCTCTGTGTATCCCATATCTACGTCTACACAGGGTTTTTTGCGCATCGTAGGCTCAGAATTTACACCTGAACTTCTCGGATCTTCGCTCGGCCAGAGAGCCAGCTATCGTCATTCCGGACCGCGGCTTGGCGGATGGCGTACAGTTCGTCGAGGAAGGCGGGCACAAAGCTTCCAGGCCCTCGCACGTAGTCCTTGGCAGCAGCGTTTTCAGCGGCAATCTCGTACATCAATAAGCCGGAAAGGACAGCGGCCAGTTTGTCGGATCGGTGGGCTGTCAGGAAGCACCCGGAGATGGCGCCGATGGCACAGCCGGTCTATTTGGAACAGTTAGTAACAGGGGCCCGGAGCAAATGCTTGTTTGACATACACCAGTGACTTGGCCAAGATATTCATGTCCATTCTCTACAGCGATGACACGCTCTCCATCGCTGAGATAGTCGACAGCTCCTGTCAGGAGCACAATATTCCCTGAAATCAACGTCAGAGATCGGGAAGTCAGAAAAGGAGATCAAGTGATAGACGTACTCTCGCGTCTGGCTAGATCGCGCGCGAGCGTAGCCTTCTCGAGACTATTCAGTGTGCTTGGCCCACTATCCACCCCTCGCTGCCTCACAGCGCTGTTTCCAGAGACTTGTCTAATCTCCCCCTCGTTGCCTTTAATGAGGTCGAAATATCCCACCGACATGAGTTGCGTGACCGCCGAACGCCGGATCTGGGTAGCGGCTGCGCCGACAGGATCGTAGATCACAGGGTTTCCTCGTTCGTTGTACGCCTTGATTGCTTTGGTGTAGTGTGAGACACTATCGCTATTCAAAGTGCCCATGTTGATTACCAATGCGCCGTCGTTGAGGGCCAAGTCAGCAGCCTCGTCGCCATAAGGCGACATAATTGGCGATGCACCACTGATTTGTTGTCAGTATTGATTCCCAAATGCCATATTAGTAAGGAAAGATAGATATACATTGAAAGGACCACATTGGCAACAAAGTTGGCTACCACGTAGTTAATCATATTGTGCACCAATGGATGCCGCGTCGCAACCTTGCGGACAATGCCGGGCACTTCCTGGACCAGGAGCGCAGCTTCGTTGTCCCGTGGAACTTGCACCGTCGATGCAAATGAGGGAGGAGAGTTGATACGCTTCACAAACTTTGCCGCAGCCTCCCGGGGATCCTCTGCTGCAATAATGGCGCTGACGACTGCAACGCCGTCCAGCCCCTTTTTGGCCGACTGAGACTGGTAGAGCACTCGCTGAACGTTGGATAGATTGATCCCTCCAATGGATACAACGCCCACTGGACGACCTGCATCGGCAATTGCTTCAAGGATTATCTTGGTCCCAGCTGTTCCAATGATAGATTTTGTATCCTTCTTCCTAGACGACGTCAGTTCCACAGACACCTTCAGCCAATCGGGCAAAGCACATCTTGCCGATGGTCTATTAGGTTGTTAAAATCACTTACGTGGGCGTTGCAAACATTGTCCCGACACCGAGATAGTCAGCTCCCTCCGCCACAGCTCTCTGTGCCTCTTCAATCGAAGAAGCGGTGATGCCAATAACGGCATCCGTGGGGAGAAGCTTCTTGGCCTCAGTGATATCTACTAACGGTCAGCACTCCACGACAGTTCCGAGCACTGAAACAGTGAACCATACTCATGTCATCCTGGCCAAGGTGGACACCTTCCACTCCAGCTGCGAGAGCCACATCGACTCGATCATTAATGAGCAAGGGAACTCCATAGGCCTGGGTTATTTTGTGCAATTTCTTGGCGGTCTCAATCATAAGCCCGGTGTCACACTTCTTGTCTCTATACTGTACAATGGTCACACCTATTATTCTCATAGTCAGTTAGCTCAACATGGCGGGCAGACCATGAGCAAACTAGGTGGAACCACAGACCTCCTTTCAGAGCTTCTTCAACCACTGTACACAGATCCCGGCCCTTGAGAATGGCCGGTGTTGAGTCTGTGACAAGGTATAGTGATAGGTTGAGATGCATCTTGGCGTGTTCCTAAATATCTAGAAGTCAGTCCCACGGTCCAGACAGAGGGTGTACGAAGCCGAACCCACTTGAGACGGACAAGGGTAAAACTAACAGAGCGATTGAGTATCGCAAAGATCCCCTACGGAATATTCCCGAAATATCACGCCCTTTTTTCTTTGTAGACCAGCCGTATCAAATAAATTAGGTGAGCAAGCCGACGTTGACGGTTGTGGGCACTGGGCAGGTAGGTGGAGTCCCTGGTAGAAAACCTTCCACCAGTTCCAAGGTTCCGATGACAGCGGCCAATAATAAAGATTAGCCTTTTTCATTCATGATTCCCCAAATACAACATAAACTCCAACGGTGTAGTACTTACCCTGCACTCAACGAGTCAACCGACTGCTCCTCACACAGGAACTACTGGCAGCGAGCGAAAACCACCGACAGCAACCATGCGGGGCTGTCTCTACTACTGAAGGTGGGGAAGTCGCAGTATGTAGTGAACAGTGAACAGTAAACAGCCCTCCAGCAAGGCGCCATGTCGAGACTGAACAGCCCATTTCTCGTCAATTGACCAAGCTGCAGCAACCGGCAGTCCAATCGACACCCCTCAGCTAGCTGCATGCAAACAATATCATGACCGACAGACTGCCACAGAGTCACAGACTGTGACAGACACCACGAAAGCACGTGCCTTCGGGCCTACCACTAGCACCGTCCGAGCATCCGAGACTACGCGCAGGGAGGCTTAGTCAGCAGCCGGTGTTCCAATTCTGCCTCCTTCTTCCTTCTCTGCCTGCGTGAGAAATCTTTTTCTTCTCCTCCCCCACCCACACACAACAAGCCCACTGCCCTGCAACAGCTCTGTCTGCTGTATAACTTGTTCTTGACACTCTCGCCTCACAACGCGTCGTATCCTCTCGAATTTCTACCTGCCCCCGCTGCAGTGTTCAGCGTTCTCGAGAGCTCCCCTGGTCAGTTTTTCAAACGGCCGTCTGTCACCCACTCGCCACCCGGATCTGACAACTGTTGTCTTGTCCATCAGAAGAACCATCTGTTGGTTTCTCTCCTACCCCGCCAGAGAAAGCCACATCGAAGCCGAGGAGAACTTGTTCATGTATTCGTCCTGCGCCAGAGATTTCGAACACCACCTGCCGCTCAAGCTGCAAACGTTTCCGTTGAAACCTTGCAGTATACACTCGAAGTCCTGTGGTTGAGACCTCCCGAGTTGTTGCCTTCCTTGCCAGACCACCTTCTTTCTCACCATCCGTGACGAAAGTCCCCACGCATGTCTTTTCTTGACATACATAGATCTGTCCAGGATTCCTCCCTCGCCGCGCCCCTAAACCTCTTTTGCTAGTTCTCTAAAAAAGACCCGACTCTTCCACCGTCATCAATCATGGCTACCATCAACATTCGTCGCGATGTCACCGATCCCTTCTACCGCTACAAGATGGAGCGTCTGCTGTCCAAGATCGAAGGCAAGGGCAACGGTATCAAGACCGTTGTCGTCAACCTGAACTCCGTGGCCCAGTCGCTCAGCCGTCCCCCTGCGTACGTGATCAAGTACTTCGGGTTCGAGCTTGGTGCCCAGGCTAACGCCAAACCGACCGACGATCGCTGGATCATTAATGGAGCCCATGACGCTGCCAAGCTCCAGGACTACCTCGATGGCTTCATCTCCAAGTTCGTGCTTTGCAAGAAGTGCAAGAACCCCGAGACCGATGTCAATATCAAGGATGACAAGATTACCTTGGACTGCAAGGCCTGTGGCCAGCGCACCGACGTCGATTCCCGCCTGAAGCTCAGCACCTTCATTCTGCGCAATAACCCCAAGAACGGCAAGAAGGACAAGTCTTCCAAGAAGGCCCGCCGTGAGCAAAAGAAGACCAACGGTGACAAGGATGCCAGCCCTGGAGACAGCAACCAGTCCGACAACGGCGATGACGAAGTCGCTATGGAGGCGGGCAGTGATGATGAGCTCACCCGTCGGATCAAGGCCGACGCGCAGAAGATCGAGGCCGAAGATGAGATTGAAGATGACAACTGGGCCGTGGATGTTTCCGAGGAAGCTGTCAAGGCTCGTGCCAAGGATCTGCCCGATGACCTCAAGCGTTCCCTCGTCCTCGAAGACGCTGACGAAGATGGTGAGCCTGACGGCCCTTCATCCTACGACCAGCTGGGAAGCTGGATCATTAGCGCTGCCGCCGAGAAGGGCGGTGTCGCCAAGATCAGCGATGTCGACATCTACATGAAGGCCAAGGAATTCGGCATTGAGAGCAAGCACAAGACTCTGGCTGTCCTCGCTCAGACCATCTTTGACGAGAAGATCGTCAAGCAGATTGAAGCTCGCGCGCCTCTCCTCAAGAAGATGCTCACCTCCGAGCGTCACGAGAAGGCCTTCATGGGTGGTGTGGAGCGCTTCGCTGGCAAGGACCACCCCGAGCTGATTGCTCAGGTCCCGGCCATTCTTCTGAGCCTCTACCAGAACGACCTGATCTCCGAGGATGTCCTCAAGGCCTGGGGCTCCAAGGCGAGCAAGAAGTACGTCGATCTGGCTACGAGCAAGAAGGTCCGCAAGGCTGCCGAGCCCTTCCTTGAGTGGCTTGAAAACGCCGAGAGCGAGGACGAGAGCGAGAGCGAGGAAGATGATGAGTGAACGTTCATCGAACCTTCTTTCATCGAACCTGTTGTTCTTGAGTTTCAGTTTTGATCGTCTTTCCCCCCAGTATCCCTGGGACTTGCATCTAATCTATGCTGGACTAGTACTCTGGTATCAACACTCTTTATGTCAGTTGCGCTGTTGTGTTTTCTGTTCTAGCTACAGATTAGCCACCGCATTATAAATCTAAATCGCCACTCATTCTGATCATCTTTGCCATCCTTTTAAAGCCATGGCTATTTACGTAGGTTCTTCTAGTAGGCGATTCTTATTTCTGCTTCATGTACGATGCACACGCGTTTATGCCCTTCTCCGGCGCATACCCGAGCAACCTGTCTTGCCAGCATAATATCAAAATACCGGTACGAGACGCCATCTCCCAGCTCATTTGTCGTCAACCAGGGCGGTTTCCCTTGCACCCGGGCCCCCAGCGCCATCAACCACACAAGACCATAGGATGACCAGGACGGGAGCGTAGGTCTGGTTCTTCCCGCCGTCTAGACACCTCCATATCATCTGTATGAGCGGCCAGCAACCCTCTCCACCCGAGGTGAAACGAGTTGGTGCTTCTATAATAGTTTTGTAATATTGATTAGGAAATATCCATTTTTGATCTTGCCTCGTTCGTTTCTAAGATCTATCTTATAATCATGAAGCCTCATTAGCTACAAGATACCCAAGGACTCCAACCAGGTAGGTAAATAGGTTTGTTAAATGGGCTGTACAAAGATTCCCAAACTATAGGAAGGTCCAGAAAACAACAAGGAGTCTTCAATACTCAAAATCATCGTCAACTCCTCCCTTGCCCGCATTTTCTTTTGCCACCGCCTCTTGCTTGCGGTACATCTCCGCAACAGCACGGGTAGTGGTAGCCTCTTCTGGCTTCTTGTCGTCTCGTTTCTTGATGAACCGAGGGAATCGAAGCGATACGCCCTTGCCTTCACCCGTGATTCCGACAAATTCGTCTGCTGCAGCCTTGTACCTGGGACTGAGAGTCAAATCTGCGGTTTTTACCTCCCAAACAAAGCGCGGCTCGAACCACACATCCGGTTGATCTTTGGGGACCGTAGAGTGCGAGTAAAACGGCTTCGGCCTATCAATGGTGATGGGCGAGAGTTCTTTGTGGAGCTCCTCAAGCATTGCTTCAGAGAATCCCGTGCCGATGTTGCAGATTGTCTCGTAGTTCTGGGTGCTCGTGTTGTACGCAGCCAGGAGGAAGGCACCGTAGACAGAAGTACGTTTACCGCGGCCATAGTACGCACCCAGGACAACAAGGTCAAGAGAATCTCCAACTCCAGCGAGGTAATCTTTCTTCACCTGGATGCTAGTTAGCAGCGGGCCAATAGTAACACAAATCTCAACACAGCACATACCTTGAGCCAATTGCGACTCCTCTTACTCGGCTCGTAGCCACTCTCGTCCGTGTCGAGCATCTTCACCATCAATCCTTCACATGATGCTTTCACACTGTCATCTAACAAAGTCTGGATCTCGTCAATCGCATTTGTATTGCCATATTGGGCAAATTGGAATTCGCCCTCAACAGTCTGAAATGCTTGATGTAAAAGTTCCCGACGTTGGCGCAAGGATTTCTTGACAGTGGGCTAAAGAGACATGTGAGAAAAGTACAATTTCCCTGGTTTATCAAGCACGATCTTACCTCTCCGTTCAAAAACAAGAGATCGAATGCGAATACGCAGACCTTCACCTTGACATCTTCGGCTTTGACATCCTTGCGCTTTCGAGTCATCAGCTGCTGGAAGGGGAGAACCTTCTTGTTGACAGTATCCCAAGCCACTGTTTCGCAATCCAAAACAAAACTCTGCACATCCTTCTTAATCCATGTCGAAAGCTTCGCTAGGATGTCTGGATATTTCTTCGAAAGATCTTCTGAGTTGCGAGAAAAGATTGCGCATAAACCAGCACCATCCCTTTGCAATGTGCTCGCTGCGTTGGGATACTGGCTGATGGATTCAGGTGCCACATAATGGATCTGGGCCCTTTCGCCGTCGTACTTATATTCACAGGTAAACTCCTTATTCTCAAAGCGGTCGAGTACTTCCGTGATGGATTTGGTTGGCTTCGCAAGCATGGGTTTCAGAGGAATTCCAGGTTGCAATTTGCAAACATTGCGAAGATTGAATAGACCATGCTCGAGGATAGCTGGAATAATGACTTCGTATGAAGGAAGCTCGCTGTAGACAGTCTTCAAGATAGCTTCACCCTCTGCCAGCTTTTCTGCACTTGGTGCCTTGTCACCTTTGACTGCAGCCTCGTGGGCAACAACAGCCTGAGCAAGAGCCACGAGTACCGTTTTCTCAGCCAATCCCAGTCGCAATTTACCTTCCAGGAAACGCACGATAAACTTAGCCTCGCTGGGGCCGCCCTTGTTCTGGGTAATGTCGACACCCTTGCTCCCTTTTCCTGCCGTAGCGGAATCAGCGGCCGAAAGAAGCTTCTTGATACCGGAGACCTTCTTGTCCTGAGAACCATGACCTTGGACCTTGGCAATCGCAAGTAGGCCGTCGTGAACGCCTCGGACTGTCAATGGCTTTGGTTTAAACATAGTGGGCTGGTTCGATCGGCTCTTCGCTGCCACCAACCCCAGATCTCCGATCTCATGTTGGTCTGCTTTAATCACGGCAAGACTGCGTCCCGTACTTTCGCCAATTGACTTCATGATTAATGATTCACCGATACCCAGCTCGATGCCGGCGTAATCTGCGGCTAGTTTGTTGATCATGAGTTGAACCGTCGAGAGAAGGTCTCCGGGCGTTAGGCGAAGGACTTGTCGGAGGAAAAGAGAACAGTGAGCGAGGATGATCAAACGTTTCGTAGTCATTTCAATGAGAGAAAATGTGGTGCATAATGCAGCGTACGGAACAGGCTCGCCAGCCTTCCAGTCAGGATATGGATCCGCTCCAGTTCCTTTCAGAGTAGCCTGTACCTTTTCGATCTCCCTTTTCTTGACTTCTGGTTTTTCCTCTTCGTCTTCTTCGCTGGCAGAAAGGGCGTCATCTGGGCCATCGCTTGGGTTTCCTTCCTCCACAGGCGTCTCCTCTCCCGAGGCCTTCTTTGTCGTCACCGTTGATGATACCGCAGCTTTAGGGCTGGCTTCCGTATTTCGTGCTTTCTTTGGAGAAGGCGATGGTGCCTTTTGGCTCAGTGTCGTTAAATCTTCTTTAGACCCTCTGCGTCGCCTCTTTTGAGCCGGTTTGATGTCTTCTTCGCTCTCTGCATCGACACTGTTTTCCCGCTTTGCAGTTCTCGACTTTGTCTCGACATTGGGATGCACAGTTTCTAGTACAGTAGCATTGTCGTCTCTAGCTTTCTCCTTGGAAGTAGCTGGGGCCTCTTCTGTTTGTCGCTCTTCGGTAGCTCCGCCAGTGCTCTTTTTCACTTTCTTGCTCGAAAAGGCTAATGTCGTCTGTTTCTTAGGTGCTTCTTTAGCATCAGAACCGAAGAATCTCCTATCGTAAACGAGGGATTGTTGGTCAGCAGCTAAGCTACAATACTACCATCATTCAATTGGTACAATCCCAGCACTTCTGGCATTCGAGTATCACCAATGGAGAGCCTTGAACAACGCACCCGATAGTCAGCTGGGAATCGCGTACATACCCAAGAGTTGATTGCTTTCTCTCCTTCGAATCTGCCATCTTGTAATGCGGAGGGGGCGAATTCAAAACAGCGCCGAATCCCAGTGGTCTTCTCCGAACGGGACCGGTGGTTCTTTGTTGGTGCGAGTTGCAAAGCAGAGTTCCAAAAAGCCGATTCCCAGGGGTGTTGTAATAGTTAAATTTTGACTGGCCCCAGTTCGTCCGATATCTGCTGGACTGCCGACTATATAGTGACGGCGTGGTGGAACCCGAGATGCGGACAGCGGGCATAGATTTCACAGTAATAGAACAGAAATCTATCATATGTCTGAGAAAAGCCAAAGATCGATATAGCGTCGACCTTAAGACTTAAATATCAGCGAAAACCAGCCGCCAATTCCAACCATAACCTCCGATCGCGAAGGCAGCAGCCGCTCAATCTTAGGCAGCTCTCTCTGTTCGGTCGGCGCAACGCAGTTACGCGACGAGACGTGACGCGTACAAGCACCTGGCACGTGATAGCTATCTACCCTGAAGCGGCAGTCCGCCTAGCTGACCGCTTTATTGGTCTGGCAGAAAATGCGGGCAACGTGATTGCTTTTATGGAGCAAGTCGTGGATTCAAGTTTCTCTTCTACAGCATCGCACCCATTCTCTAGTCTTTCTAATATATATGTTACGGTCAGATGTAATTGCTTTTCTTTGACTGCCAAGTGGCAAATATAAACGAACTGTATCTGGGATCGATCTCAACCTTGGTGGACTTCAATCTGTAGGTTGGAAGCATGGAGAGCTTACGGGAACAGTCTTTTAAGAAGGTACGCTTCTGGCATATTGTACTGGCGAGCAAGGCTAATTCTGACAAGTTAAAACCGCCCTGTGTCGAGCTGAGTGCTGTTGGCTTAAGATTCCGAGGCCGTCAAGCTACGTCGAACGATGTCTTTCGATCCCTCGAACCTGTTCACCGCGTTCTGAAAGAGCTCTCCGAGTCCGGCTGTCTTGACGAGAAACTGGCTGAATACGCATTTTTTCCTCTGACAAGTATCTTCAATGAAACACAAAGGGTCTCTGCTAGGTGTCTGGAATTAGCTGTTGATTGTCTGACCATACTTGTGGCCAGAGGATGGCGACAACGCTTGTCACCTCCGATGGGAAAGCAACTTGTCATCCTTCTCACCCTCATTATCGGCGGTTCTCCGAGCGGTGATGAACAATCTCGGCCAGAAGAATTGGCTATAGCCGGGTTTAAATGTCTTGCTACAATTTTCAACGTCTTGGAGGGGCCTGTCGCGGAGCGGACGATATTTCACGAGATTGGCACTGCAACTGTCGTCGACCAAACTGTATACGTTTTGCTGGAAGGAATCCTTGATGATAAATCCGATGAATTGTGCATCTTCGCTGCAGATGCTCTTGAAGGGCTCTACATGCGCATCACTGATCGGGTTGTGTTGGCTAGTATTATGCCGCGAACAATATCGGCTTTGACAAAATCTCTCAAACCAACAACTCAAATAAGACGTTCATATCGTCTCATTGAGATATGCTTACGGGTACTTACTCGGGTTCTAAATCTGGTTCTCAACGATCAGGCTGCAGCCTCACCTCCAGAAAAGCTAGCGCAGCCCTCGGATCCAACCGAAAGACCAGTGCTTGATGAGTCTTGGTTGAAGGCGACCACTTCCCAGGTGAAGTTGGCTTTGGCCAACGTCTTTCAAACACGCCGCCACCAACGACCAGAGGTGAAGGCTGCACTTCTTGAGCTTTGCACTACAATTATTGAACAGTGTCCAACTACACTGCGAGACTCGCTACCAATGACGATCGAAACAGTAGTAGCTTTATCCGACATAAACGAGCACGGCACCCCTAATGAAGCTTACTCAACCCTGAAGCACCTCACCATTACATATCCAGTTGTGCTCGACTCCCTCAAAGAATCATTGCATACCTGGCTTGCTTCATTTCCAAGGACGATGCAGGGAAATGATGAAACCTCCAAGCAATGGGCCATCAAGCAAATCTCAACGACATTCCAGATACTCTCTCAGACTCAGTCTGGATCGGAAATTCTCACTGCTACTTTGGCTTCGGGATTGTGTGACAGTGTCGTCGCTGCTGTTGCTTCTCCTAGGCATTCTCTTCAACCTTTGAATTACGAGGGGGCACAGACACTCAAATTGGAAGTTCTCCATCAGCAAGCGCTATCCGATGCATTTCCACCCGTACTTCTTGAACACCGGAGTCAGCGAGACACACTCAAGGATCTTGGACTGATGATCACCAAGCTAAATATGTCTGACTGCGGCGATGAAATTACACGTTCTATAATTTCTCGCGTTCATCATTCTGCTGATAACACACTTCTTGGTACTTACTGGCTCGCATTGAACTTTCTCAAAAATAGATCGCAGTCGAGCAGTGGGTTCGACGATTTCATATGCTCGGACGTCGTTGACCTCTCACCTTTTGACCCTACTCGAGCAAATATGGCAGAGGAACTCTACTATATTTCTCTTCCCTTGTTGAATGAAGCTCCAAATGAATCACAGGATTGGCGGATTTCAGCGCTCGCTTTGGAAGCAGTGGCAATTCAGGCACAGCAGCTCGGTGAAGCATTTCGTCCAGAGCTTATGGACGCACTCTATCCAACTATCCAACTTCTTGCATCTAACAATTCCAGCTTGCAAAAACATGCAATGGCGTGCTTAAACGTCCTGACGAAGGCGTGCAATTATCCAGACACAAGCACCATGGTAATTGAGAATGTGGACTATCTTACGAACTCGGTAGCGCTCAAGCTGAATACTTTTGATGTGTCCCCTTACCCTCCTCAAGTTTTATTCATGATGGTCAAGCTGTGTGGTGCAAAGTTAATCCCCTACGTTGATGACTTGGTCGATTCCATCTTCGGTGTGCTCGACATGTATCATGGATATCCAAAGCTGGTGGAGACGATGTTCAAGACTCTGGCCGCTATAGTTGAGGAGGGTGCTAAAAGACCGGCTCTACTTTCTATCACCAATAATGATAAACTAGGTCCCATCGATCATCATAAAAAGCGATATCAAGGATTGTCAGTGTCTCAGCTCGCCGAAGACCTTGCGGCGCAAAAGTCGAAGCAACTCAAGTATGCCGAAGAGGACCTTGAAGAAGTCGACGGGAACATCTCGCACCCGAAGCGCCCCTGGTCTTCCCAGAAGGAAGAGGAGAAAAATCTCCCGCCCAGTTTCGAAGAAGATTCCCTTGAAAATCTGTTGAAGCAAGACGATTCCGATGAGCCATTACCGGCACCTCGTGAACCGGACGACACCGAGAAACCACTCACCAAAGCACACAACATCCTTCTCCATATTGTTAGAGCTATCCCGTCGCATCTCTCCTCGCCTTCTGCGTATCTCCGCCGCTCGCTCCTCTCTATTCTTCTGCAGGCTATTCCTGTTCTGTCACAAAACGAAAATAGCTTCCTCCCGTTTGTGAATGAAGTGTGGCCATCTGTTGCTTCCAGAATAAACTTCCCTTCGAGTTTGCAGGGAACGGAACCACCCTCCATGACAGCCATGGTCAAGGAATCGTCTACTACGCTTTCAAAACCAACTCCACAAAAGTCCGACGACAGCGGCTTCCAAGAGGAAGTCTTTGTGATTGTATCTGCATGCAACACAATAGAGGCCCTATGCAAGGGAGCCGGTGACTTCATGGCGACCCGCGTGGAAGCCGAATTTCCCCGTTGGGAACGGCTGTACCGTCGAGCCTGGGAGAAAGTCAGTCAAGATGCCGAGAAGGCGCTCGGACGACGAGCACAGCATCAGCACCGATCTCCTAGAAATGGGTCTGGAGAAGAAGAAGAAGGCATTGATTTCCTGCCTACATTGAATATTTTCTCATCTCAGGCCATAGCCCTTTCCGGCAGCGGCAGCGTCAGCGCCTGGTCTTCCTTCACCCCGCACCACAGTCTCTGGAAAGCCCTGACATCCCTCTTTATCACCCTGCTCACACACGTGCGTCTCCCCCTGTCGGCAGGCGACCAGATTTGTGTCTTTCTGGCGGGTTGGATCGCCCGCTTCGCCGGGTCGGAATACTACTTCCGACATAGTCATGGTGGCGGTACACATGCACACCTGCCGGAAAAGGAGGAGCTGAGCGACTCTCTCCGCGCCCAGATCCAAGCGGTTGACGACTCAATCCATGCCATGCAGGTCTGGAACGCGGATTTGACCTGGTTTCTCTTCCAGAAGGAGAGAGCGCGGGTCCGGGAGATCACTCAAGCACTTGTTCACAAGCAGACGGCTAGACCGGTGGCGGAGATACACTCGGCCCCTGTTTTGGGGATCCCTAACGTCAACTTTGCAGCGGTTGTATTCTGATGGTCTTATGCATATTAATATCAATGTCTACGAACTTGTTCCAATCTAACAAGACTCATCAGAGTCGTGCATTCCTATTTATACATCTGTTCGGTCATACTCTAAATTCATAAGTACATTTCTGCTGCTGGTCTTGACCAGTCAGTCCAAAGAAAAGAAACAAAATAAAACAAAACATGTAGGAGATGCATCAAGACGTAAACAATACATTGTAACAAAGAGAACGAAAAAAGGAAAAAAAAAATATCAAATTAGAGCTCATGACCACGACCCGTGGAGGGCAACCCACTGTGCTTCCCCCTGCCGAAGCCATCATCTGGAGCCATGAAGTTACCCTCGCGGAGACGTAGCGCGAAGTTGACCAAGATGACAAGCACCAGGCCGAGCCCGACGACGGTGGGCCCCCATTTCTCATAGTAGACGCGCTTCACGTCACGGCGGTTACGGATCTTATCCACGCGCCAGATGTACAGGACCAGGCTGTACACTAGCGACAGGGCGGCGAGGATGGTGAAGGCCCACGACGACGCGAACGTCACGTAGTCGTCGCCAAAGTTCAGCAGGGTGGCGGCGATGGAGCCGAGGATGATCGAGAACTCCAGCCAGGAAAGGAAGGTCCGCTCGGCAGCGAAATACACCTTCGGTTCAACGCGGACGGGAACAAAAATGCCTAAAACACGGGGGAAAAAAAAGGGTCAGTCGGTCGTGGTTTTGAAAAAGGAGCGAAAAATGCAATCACTCACGCTTCCCCTTGGGGGCATGGAATCTCTTCACGGTTCGTTGAGCGCCCATCACACTAATACCTCTCTCCTCTGGAGGCGGCAGGCTCGTCGGTCTCGGGCGAGGGATCAAGGCCTGGGCGAAGGTGATCAGGCCCGCGCCGATGCGATGGGCATACCACTCGACGAGCTTTTGGGCGTAGAGCGAGCCGCCAATTTGCCTGGCCTCCTCCAGCTCGTCCGAGTCGAAGGACTCCTCGTCCGAATCGTACAAGGGGTAATCTTCGTCGTGGTCCAAGGGCGCTGCGATACGTTCCTCGATATCCAGGGCATTCCCGTCCGAGTCATCCATGTCCCTGTACCGGGGTCCCTCAATGTCCGACTCCTCGTCCTCGTTCGTGTCGTCATTGGCAGACATCGAGGTGCTGGCCAGCGGTCGCATGATGCCGAATTTCCTGGTGGCCGGCTTGCGGATGTCGACGTCCATCTGAGGCATCCAGAAGGGCAACAGGTTGATGCGGTCGGGAAACATGACCGCAGTACCGTGGATGAACTTGCTGAATTTGGGGACGGCCTCCACGAGGTGGCTGGCGGTCAGATCTCTGATCCACTTGGGGGGTTCCTGGCCTGCCTGCGTTTGGAGCTTGACCTCCAGGACAGCGTATGGGAACCGTTCCACATCCCCAGCAGGTAACTGCGAGAAGGGATAATCAACACCGATATCCATACGACGCCAGTTATTTCCAGCGCGCTTGCGCCCATCCAGGTTATCTTCCCGGACCATAGTCAGCTCGGTGTCAAGAGAAATGCGGACTCGGGCATCTCCCGGCAGCTGGAAGGCGGTGCGGTGGTAGAAGGAGCGAGTGACGGGGACGAGCTTGCGGGTGATGACACGGTACTGGATTTCGCGGGCCAGTTGCTCCAGATCGGCGATTTCTGCTTCGCTCTTCTTGCCTTCACGGCGCATCTTCTCGAAGACACTCTCGACCGTCATACGGCCGGCGAGGAAGGCATTGACATTCTTCTCCTTGAGGGCAAAGCGAGCTTTCACCGACTTCTCGCCGGTCCAGTCTTCGCGGTGCGTCTTGCGCTCGACGAAGATCTGATCGCTCTTCATGCCACCGTACCAGCGCAGGCGGATGGCTTCAGCGCCTTCGGTCTTCTTCAGCCGGCCCTCGTAGAGCTCCCAGGTGTCGGTGTTATCGTAGTAGATAGACGAGATGGCACTGTCTTCCTCATCGAATTCCTTTTGAGAGTTGAAAACAAGCACGGGAAGATGCTACAAGTATGGTTAGTAAACAAGAGGAGGAGATGCCATTGCGTTTTCCCTCGCGATGAAAAGCATACCTTGAGAATGATCAACTTGAGCTCGGTGATATTATCGGGATGGACCCAGTATTTTGTGGTTTGGCGGACAAAGTTCTGCTGGGAACCTCCGGCGGCAGAATCACCCTTGACGGGGTTACCCTTGGTGCGAACGAGGTCATAGAGCTTGGAGAGCTTGACGACGAAAGCATCGTAGTTATCCTTGAAGAAAGGCTTTGCCTTGAGGCGAGCAGCAAAGACGGGCTTCAGATACCAACCAGTTTGTTTCTACAAGACAGATTACCCGAGTCAGCCATAGAATAGAGAGAGCATGTTGGGGAGGGAAGACTGGTGTTGTTTACGTACGTCGTGTTTCTTGATGATTTTCTGGAAGGCAGTATAATTCAGCTGGGTGAATTTGGCGAGATCATGGACGTCGGCGATGATGTCGCTCAGAACCTGTTCGAGGAGCAAGAAATCCTCGTCGGTGGGCGGCGGACGCACCGACCGCCGGCGGTTGTTGCCGTTCGGGGCAGCAGCACTGTCGAGGCGGGAGACGACATCATTGACCTCCTTCTCACTGACCTGGATGCGGCGGACAATCTCCTCACTCTTGAGTTTCTGGAAGATAAAGACCTTGTCGAGCTCGCTTTCGAGCAATGCAACAAAATGTGTTTCGTCGTCCTCCGTCCAGGGCTTGCGGTCTGGCTTGGCGTTGTCCGGGGTGGGCAGGGTGACAAAGTCAGTTTTGAGGGCTTTTTTCAGTTCATCGTACGCGATATAGTGCCAGAAGTAATCCTGAATCATAGACTGCTGCAGGTGTTCTCCGAACCTGGAGGGAAGTTCACTCTAGTCAGCGACGACGAATGTTGAGCAAATGTTGACGATGACGACGTACCTCATGGTGATCGACTTGAGCCGGCAATTGCTGAAACTAACTTTCAGCAATTTGCTCTAGATATATTTTGAGAAGATGGTTTGTAGAGACCTGGCCACCACTACTGTCTGTACGAGTTTCGCGGATGGAGGAAAGGGTCTGTCAGTCGAAAAGTGAGGGAAGGGATCCTCAGGTAGTCGAAAAGCTCTGGCGGGCGGAGTGCATTATGAGCTCACACATGACCGGTGGAGGCAATGAGAAGGAAGCACGGCGAAACGTGAGTCTAGCCTAGCCGTGAGGAGCAGGTCGAGAGGGACCCGTGTAGCTTAGGTTCGATTAGTGAGGAACGGAGTACTTTCCTACCTCTCTCTCTCTCTCTCTCTCTCTCTCTCTCTCTCTCTCTCTCTTTCTCTAAGCAAGGATGGGCCTGGCTTTAGGTAGGGAGACCCACCCACCACTGAATGCCCGGCGCGACCGAGACGGAACTCCACTGGGGCCCGCCGTTTACGGAGTGGATGACTACAAGTAGTTACGGACGATAGATTGTTTGATTTATATGGAGGCAGTAACTGTCAGAGCCTGTAGGTAAGGCTCCGATGGTGTAGAGTACATTCTATATAGTACATACTGTCTACTACATAGATACCTAGGTACCTAATAGTATTTATTCCCCGTCTGTAGGTAGTTGCAGATACCACTAGGTACATATTCTGGATTATCTTATCGCCAGAACCTTAGATAACAGAAATATTTCACTACATTTTCACATTCCAATACCTAAGGTACCAGAGGTTACCCCGAGCTGGTACAGTAAGATTCTTAATGGGTCATCGTATAATTGCCTACATAGTACTCCAGTCTCTAGGTACTAAAGTAGTATGTAGTACCTAATGGAAGTACCCTAGCAAGTCTCTATCCATAATAATAAACTCCATCGGCCCACTGCGCTACTCGGGCAGTCCCAGACTCTCAACCACTCATGGATGCACGTGCAGAACATGCCAGTCCTGTTCGCCTATTTTGGAATAAATGGCCAACTAGTCGCATAGCTTTGATTATGTAATCCCGGAGTCGGGTCCTGCTCCGCAGGTAGTAACTACTACCTATAACTACTAGTTAAGTACGGAGTACCTACCTAAGTACTAACTACATGGGTACTAACTAGGTATTTACTCTTATTGTGTCTCTATATAGATCTCTACCTAGGTAATACCTTGATGATTAGTACTCTAGTAGGTACATACGTGCAGTGGTTATACCCTTATTTTATGAGAATTCTTGTTTTATAAGAATTCAAGTCTATGGATATATATTCTTGACCAATTTATAACCATCTCTATATATAAGCATATGTCTGCTTGCAACCGATTGTCCCAGAAAAGAAAAGACACTCCTCCCTCAAGATATAGTGACTAACTCGGTCTGCTCCTGCTCACTAGACTCCTCGGAACTCAAAGGCCCGGCAAGCTTATACTTGTCCCGCTGGCCCCCCAAGCCAAACCACGCCGGATGGACCAGGTTGAACACACCAATGGCCAGAACCATCATGATCCCATCCAGCACAACAAAAAAGATCTCGTGCGTGATCAGAAACCCTGTCCAGCCCTGTGATAGCTCGATGGTCCGGTAAATGCTCCGCACATAGATCATCAGCGTTGAGGACGCCGTCGCGAGCAGCAGGTACTGGATCTTGCGTGGCAGGTTATCCCCGCGAGACCGCCACACGAACAGCACAAACAACACGGCGAACACCGTGGTCGCTGCCATCTGGAAGACAATCCCGCCCACCATGATGTTGGTGCCCGGGCTTGTATTCCCGGGGGGAACACTGTTCGACGCGATCGAGGCCATTGCTCCCCCAACCGCCTGGATGACCAGCGACATGAGATCGCATGTCATGAAGATGTACAGGTACGTCCGTGGTGCAATCGGTGATGTGTGAGGGCCTGCAAGATGGATCAGTCGGCCGAGAATGACGTAGATGCCGGCCGTGATGAACGTGGGGGCTACTGTCGTTAGATTCTCGCTCTTGACAAAGAAGAAATGATATGTTTTAGTGAATATTACCGATGATCAAGGTCGTGATCTGCATCAGGAACGCGTTGCCGTTGTATGGACATTGAGCCGCCCATATACGTCCAATCCATCCGATCAATTCAGCTGAACGAGAGTTAGACAGGACAATCTGCTAGGAGTCCTGCCAGGGGTCCTGCCAGGGGTCGACTCACTCATGGCACCAAGGCTGAAAAGCAACGTCCACCACATTCGCTTCCAGACGGTTTGCAACAAGTGTACGAGCAGGAAGACCCCGAAGATGGCGCAGAAAGCGATCCCCCCCGCCAGAGAGGGCACATAGCCAAAGTTGGTTGCGCCGTACAGGTCATAGTTGTACGCATAACATCCATCCGATAGCTGAGCTGCAGTGACGTTCATTCTTTTCCGGACTGGCCGATGCTAGACGGAAGAGAGAGAGAGAGAGAGAGAGAGAGAGAGAGAGAGAGAGAGAAAGGAAGAAATTGTCAATTGCTTGAGAGTTGTTGTGTCGTCAGAACAATCTTTTCGTTGGCACCTGCAAGCAACTTATATCCATATGCTGCCCAAAGCAGCTCTCCTCTATTCATACGAGCGAATAAGCCGAATAGTAAAATGAGTTCACTATGGTTGCATGTTATCCGACACAGCCTATCACTGCGTCGAATCCTTTCAGGCAGACACAAAACAACAACATTAACGATCGACATGAAGTGTCAGAAATGATGAGAAGTCAAAGATTATCCTCACAGCCACAGAAGATTAGATCTGCCTGGAAGGATGGCATGGGGATTACTCCATATATTCTGTCTGACAACTGGGCTTGCACGCGTCTTACTGGCCAGCTCGTACTTTCAATATCTTGGCAAGCAACGGCTTAATAGCTAGAATTTGGTATTTACTCGTCTAGTTACGAATACTAAATAATCAAATAGTCAATTATTAATAGCTAGTTACAGATTCCATGACTAATTTGAGGCTGTGGCAGGCTGACTATGCACCAGTCTGGTATCATACCAAAGTCGGCAATTACGTAGCATTGAAAGTAGAATCATATTCTAGGATAGGTATAGAGTATGTACTAACTGACGAGAAGCTAGGGCAGGGAACTTTGCTACTGACACCATATTTATAAGATGCTTATGCTATAACTCTAAACCCAGGATATCCCATTACTAAAACCACATCACGAACCTCGTTGCACCATGGTATCATCATTGGGGGAAGGAGAACAGTCCTTTGCTTCTGATTACATGCGATCAGATTCCACCAAAGTCAATCAAACAAGGGAAACCAAGAGAGAGAGAGAGAGAGAGAGAGAGAGAGAAGAAAGAAACCCAACATTCAATAGACAACTACAGAACAGCCCCTGGCACGCGGCGAATGCTCCTCCGCGGACCCTCACCGAGGATAGTGACAATACCCTCAGTATCGAGGGCCTTGACTGCATCGGCAAACTCGTTGGGTTGGACTTCCATGCTGCTGAGATCGCCCAGTTTCTGGAAGACGTCGCTCCAGCGAGCCGTCCCCGTGCTGGTGGTAAGCTCTTCGATGACTGACAACACCCCACGCTTGAGATCCTCACGACGCCGACGCTCGCTGGCACTGGTGCCCTCGGTCAACAAGCCCATGTCGATGAGGCCGGTACGTGAGTCAGTGGCAGACTGCTTGATGGCGGACCGAATTAGGCGCACAGCCTCCTCGACATCGTCCGCGGTCACTTCGGGGGAAAGACGCATACGAGCGTGCGCTTCGGACAGTCGGATCATCGATTCAAGCTGACGGGTCGTGGCGGTGATACGACGCTCTTGCGCGCGGATATCGTCGCCAAGTTGACGCATCGCGACGTATGCGTCTGTCAGGGCTTTTCCGGCAGCCGGGGTGAGAACAGGGTGGATCCTGGTTTTGGCGTAGGTGATGTAGGCTGTAAGGAACTCAATGTCCTACACACAATAAAGTTAGTGATCATACAAAACCGACCGCAGGCAAGACAATCAGACATACCAGGATCTCATCGCTGCTTGCATTCTCTGGCCTGTCTTCCAGGTACATGCCGACCAAGTGTTTGGCTAAACGGCGATCTTCTTGTTCATCGACACGGTCCAGAACCAGGTAGACTAGATCAAATCGAGATAACAGGGTAGGCGGGAGGTCAATGTTCTGGGGCACTGGCAAGTTGGGGTTATATTTACTGCCAATGGGATTGGCAGAAGCAAGAATGCTAGTTCTCGCGTTCAGCGTGGTGATGATACCAGCCTTGGCAATTGAAACCGTTTGCTGTTCCATGACTTCGTGCAAGACAGAGCGGGTAGATTCGTTCATCTTGTCAAACTCATCAATGCAACAGACGCCACCATCCGAAAGAACCAAGGCACCGGACTCCAGGACGAGCTGGCGGGTTTCAGGATCGCGAGTAACGTAAGCAGTCAAACCGACAGCAGATGAACCCTTGCCGCTAGTGTAAACACCTCGAGGAGCAATCTTGTGAACGTAACGAAGCAGCTGGGACTTGGCCGTGGACGGATCACCGCAGAGGAGGACGTTAATATCTCCACGGTACCGCGGGTTGCCGCCCTTCTGGAAGGTCTTATTGGTACCTCCGAACAATTGGAGCATAATGCCCTTCTTGACGTCGTCCATTTCGTAAATGCTCGGAGCGAGTGATCGAGCCAGGAGCTCATACACATCCGGCCTTGCTGCCGTCTGCCTGATTTTCTCTTCTTCCTCGGCTGTGATCTTCCGAACCTGTTCGCTGTCTCCTGCGGCTTGCTCGGAAAGTTCTTGTTCAATTGTGGATGCATCAATGCCAAGCTTCTTCCGGTCGATCTTCTGAACATGGAGGACATCGATATATGTTTTGAAAAGGGTCTTCTGGGTGCGCTGTCTCGGATTCACGCGAACAGGATTGCACCGGAAGATACCGGTCACTTCGACTCGATCACCAGCCTTACACACATCCACCAGCTCGTCATACACGCAAAGTGACACCGAGTGGGGTGTTTGGCCGTCGGGTACATGATCCGGAGTTTCCTGCAACTTGATGACCTGCTTATCCGCAAAGACACATCGGTTGTGGACGATTTGCATCGAGTTTCGCGCTTTACAGACTGTACGCGTACACTCTGTCGGTTCGGCAATCTTTCCACGATCAATATCCACTTGGACTCCATAGTCACAGACCTGGCAGCGGAAAAAGGCTGGAAGCACATCATATCAGTTCGCTGGACTTGATCATCACTCACATCGGGAACAAGTACTTACCTTCTTTCATGTCGGGAATGACAGAAGTGGCGCGGATGACGAGACCTTTGATGCTGACCAGCTTGTCCATATCTAGAGCCTGTTAGTCCGATTATCAGGGGCTCGTATTTTTTCAGGATGACACATACCAGCTGGGTCCAGGTCTCTCATGTTCACACTCTCATCGAGACCAAAGGGAAGAACCTTGAAAGGTTTTGCCTCGACTTCTGCCACCAGATCGGGGATCTCTGTCTGTGGAAGTCGGCCGGTCTCACTCATGGCGTCTGAGCTCGGAACAGGAGGTGCCGAACTGAGATCCCTTGTGTGGGGTTGGATGCGTTGCGACTGAGTTCGAAGCCGCTCCATCTCCTGGATTGCCAGATCGACCATAACATCCTTGACCGTCTGGTCCATGAGAGGGATAATTTCTTGGGGGTATGCATGTAGCTGGTGCCACAGCTTCAACGTAGACGGGTAGGCCTTGAGGTTCTTGGCATCGAGATTCAAGCTGGTCACACCCAATTGACGCATGGTATTAAGCATGGTAATGTATTCACGTTCTTCAGCATAAGGAATCGCACTGGTCTGTTCTGTGGTAGCCCCATCTGCCCATAGGCGATACTTGGTTGCAAAGTTATACAAGAAGTTTTTGAAAGCCGACATGGAATCTTGGATGGAAATGTTGGTACCCCAGATCACACGAGTCGAGTTACCCCCCAGAGCTTCAGCTTCAGAAGTATCGGGATGAGTATTAGAGAAGGTCGCATCTGACTGGGGCTCGCGATCGGGAGCAGGCATGCCATTGGCGTCCACAAACATCCGTCGTCGGCGACTCGGAGTCGATCCAAAACCACCCGAATGAAGATCGCTGCGTCGGGAGTTGGCACCCCGGTTATTTGGTCGCGCAGACACAAAAAGACCACTGCTATCACTCATAATATCGGAGCGGGGCTCTCGACGACCTTGAGCTCGCGTGGGACTAGAACTGGACATGTAACGGATAGGCGATGAGTCTGTACCTCCATTAGCAGGCCCCTTCAAACCAGCAAAAAAGCTAAACTCCTCCCCCGTTGCATGGGACAATACCTCTGATTGCATGGCCATTCCCACGAGGGGTCATCTCCCCGTCGTCCACGACCGACGATGCCATCACCGGCGAACTGGCCATTCTACCATCGGGTGTCTCTGCCGCATTGCCATTCGATTTCATAGGCGAGGACTGAAAAAACATCGGCGATGACGACGCCACAGGGGCATTGCCTCTGGAGCGTCTGGATGCACGAGGGGTCGACTGCAGCTGGTCCTCCGTAGCCCCAGGGGCCGGGCTGCTGGTCGCCGGTTGCTGTCGAGAACGGGTGGAGCGAGGAGAGTCTGTAGCCGAATCTCTGGCCGGTCGGCCTCGCCGGCGAGAAGGAGCTGGAGATGACATGATAGTTTGGTGTAGGGTGATGTGATGTGGTGTGTTCAAACAAGGGCCAAGATGGAGTGGGCGGGTTGCTTGGGAGAGGAGAAAAGCAAAATACTACGAATCGGCAGGCGGTGGAGCAGTTTCCTGTTCTTCTGCATGGACGCGTCTGGCGACACGACCCCACGCGTAAAGTGTTTCCTGTTCCAGACAGCGCGTCGCGAAAGCCACAAGCCCGTGTACAGTCTAGCCTTTTTGGGACCAAGTATGGCTGGTGCTGCCCAAGCGAGGCCTGCACTGCCACAACCACCTGTCCAGCCAATCCGGTCACCAATCGCAGGCTCTTGTCCGTTTTGGGTCAAGGGTCGGCTCGATGCGAGAGAACCAATAGTGGGGCAAGACCCTGGGATTCTTTGAGTACTCCGTATCCCAGCGCTGCCTATTAACTACAGGTAGGAATACAAAGAACTCACTGGACAGGGTCTATCTCTTGCTAAATATAAATAGAAAATGAATGAACTCTTAATCCACTGTGGTTCTATGGAGCGACTCAAGCGAGGTGTCTACTCCGTAGGGTCGTAGCGGCCTGTCCAAGCGCCGTTGCAGAGACCGCCCCGTTTCAGAAGGCGCCTGATGTCATCCACAACGACTGCTCCCGCTTGGATTGGAGATCTGCGCAGGCTGCCTCCCACCGTGAGTTGTGCGGTTGACTTGGCGTGGAGCTGACCCTGTTCTGCCAGAGCCACTGCTGTCATTTCCCTTTGACTTTCTTTCATGCTGATCAGGGTTCTTAAGTGGCGTCAGTACCGACTTCTTGGTCAGTCGCCGACGCTGTTGTTTACCAGCACCAGGAAGGTTTCCCAGATCATCCTGATTTTCCTCCCTTCTTTCGTCTCAACTTCATCGTTTTCCATAATGAAGGCTGGCCTTCATCTATAATTAATTTTCGTCAACTCGGCTAGGAAGATTGGCCGACCACGTGCGCTGCAGAAAGAAGCCTCTGTGTGACTACGGCTTGCGATAATGACTGGACTGGGGGCTGCGTTGGAGGATGCGGCGAGCACGGGGGATTCCAAAGAGGGGATCTCGATTAAGACCTTTTTGGCATCGCTGGCGACTGCTGTGATTGTCTTTGCTGTGGAATTTCTGCTCTTTATGCTCCTAAAGGGGAAGCTCACCCGTATATAGTGAGTTGCGCCGACAAGATCTGGCTGAGAGACATGATTATAATACATGATTATAATTACCCGTCGTTTGGATGGAAAACCAACTAACTGGACCCTTTTGTTTGCAGTCAACCACGAACATACCTTGTTCCCGATCGAGAACGCACGAAACCATCTCCTCCCGGTCTCTTTCGGTGGATCGGCCCGGTGTTTCGCACGTCCAACTCTGAGTTTATCCAAAAATGTGGCTTGGATGCCTACTTTTTCCTCCGATATCTGCGCATGCTCCTTAAGATTTTCCTTCCTTTGGCAGTTTTGATTTTACCCGTGCTGCTGCCCCTGAACAAGGTTGGAGGTAAAGGTACTAGCTATCAGAATGAGACATCTGATTCTGGTGCCCGGTGGAATGTTACTGGCCTTGACCAGTTGGCATGGGAAAATGTCAGACCTGAGAATACACACCGCTACTGGGGCCATTTGGCCCTTGCTCTCATTGTGATCATATACGTTTGTGCCATTTTCTTCGATGAGCTGAGAGGCTATATCCGGCTGAGGCAGGCTTATTTGACTTCCCCGCAACACCGACTGCGCGCATCTGCCACAACAGTTCTCGTCACCGCTATTCCTCGAAGCTGGCTTACAGTGGAAGCATTGGATGCTCTGTATGATGTCTTCCCCGGTGGCATTCGAAGTATATGGCTCAACCGCAACTTTGACGAGCTTAATGCAAAGGTTAAACTGCGAAATAAAATCGCCTTGGCTTTGGAGGCTGCTGAGACGGATCTGATTGCAAAATGCAAGAAGGCGCAGCTGAAAATGGCAAAAGCCGAGGCGAAGAAGGCCGGAAAGAATTCAATCAAGACAGAGAAGGCTGAAGAAATGGAGGCCAACTCCAGGGCTGCTCAGATAGCCATGAATTCCGGTATTAGTTCTGGAAACCCACACCAAATTGCTCACACACTTGACGAAGCCTTACATCCAAACAACTCACGAAGGCCATCTGATGACTCTAACAGCTCAGAGAAGCGTGGTCTCCATGTCTTCAATCCTGTTGGAACCATCGGACATGGTGTTGGCAAGTTGGGTAAGTCTGTGCTCGGTGGACTTCGAAGAGTGGAAGGTGAATTCGACGGGACCCTGGAGCGGACTGGCGGATTGGTGACTGCGGACGACATCTCCGGCCCTATGCAGAATGGACTAGACTCTCATCATCAGTATCACCAACCAGATTACAATCCTGAGAGTATGTCTCCTGACGACGAAAGGCACAGTTATGACCGAGGGATGATCTCGATACCGGCAAACGAACGCAGATACTCGGACCAGAAAAGGCCTTTTTGGAAAAGAGCAACGTCCAGCAATTCGAGACTTAGTGGCAAAGGAAAATCCGGTCCTCTTGAAGATGAGTACCCGTTGACAGGCCGTGATACACCGGCGGCTGAACCAAACGCTACCGTGCCGAGTCCGAGAGGAGATGGTTTGCAAGATAAAGAGAAAGCAAGGAATGCACAGACTGAAGACCAAGAATATCCAGTGGCATATAATGAAAAATTTGACGACGAGGACTATGGCGACCCAGCTTGGAAGAAATACATCAAGCCTAAAGACCGAGACACCATGCGTCTCCCAATCTTCGGTTGGGGCTGGATGCCATCGCTGCCCCTTATTGGAAAGAAGGTGGATACGATTGACCACTGTCGAAAGGAGTTGGCGCGTCTGAACTTGGAGATTGAAATCGATCAACAACACCCAGAGAGGTTCCCACTAATGAACTCTGCCTTTATTCAGTTCAACCATCAAGTCGCCGCGCATATGGCTTGTCAAACCGTGAGTCATCATTTACCAAAACAGATGGCTCCTCGGATTGTGGAGATTTCTCCAGACGATGTCATCTGGGATAACATGTCTATGAAATGGTGGGAACGCTATCTGCGGACTTTTGGAATTGTGACCGTTGTCTGTGCCATGGTCGTAGGATGGGCCTTTCCCGTCGCTTTCACAGGGCTACTCTCACAGCTTACATACTTGGAGGGGGCCTTCTCATGGCTGTCTTGGATTGGCGATCTTCCCGAATGGTTTATCTCCGCCGTGCAGGGTGTCCTTCCGGCGCTTTTCCTGGCTATCCTCATGGCAATCCTCCCCCTGATATTGCGCTTCCTCAGCAAAGCTCAGGGCGTTCATACTGGCATGGCTGTCGAACTCACTGTGCAGTCCTACTATTTCGCCTTTCTTTTCGTCCAGCTGTTCCTTGTTGTCTCCATTGCCTCGAGTTTCTCGACCATCGTCGACAACGTGACTGATGTTACAAACTGGCCGGAGATGCTTGCACAAAATGTCCCCAAGTCGAGCAACTACTTTTTCTCCTATATGGTCCTTCAAGCCATGTCAGTGAGTGCCGGTGCATTAGTGCAGGTTTTCAATCTGATCAGTTGGTTTATTCTTGCCCCAATCCTGGACAAGACTGCGAGGAAGAAGTGGGCGCGCACAACCAACCTGAACCAGATGCAGTGGGGGACCTTCTTTCCAGTTTATACCACCCTTGCATCCATTGGTGAGTGATCTATCCGTGTCGATACTATTTGCCAACATTATCTAACTGAGAATAGGGTTGATCTACAGTATCATCGCGCCTCTGATCCTTGTTTTCAATGTGCTCACATTTGGCCTGTTCTGGTTCGTCTACCGTTACAACACTCTCTATGTGACGAAGTTCAGATTCGATACGGGTGGACTACTCTTTCCGAAGGCCATTAATCAACTATTCACTGGCCTCTACGCAATGGAAATCGCCCTGATCGGTCTCTTTTTCCTCGTACGGGACGTGCAAGGCAATGTTTCATGTAAAGGACAGGCAATTTGCATGATTGTTGTCTTGGTACTTACTGTTGGGTACCAACTCATGTTGAACGAAGCATTTGGGCCCTTGATGAGATATCTTCCAATCACCCTAGAGGATGATGCGGTCGCACGAGACCAAGAGTTTGCCCGAGCTCAGCGAACCCGACTTGGCTTGGCAACGGCTGAGGATGAAGATATTGAACAACAGTTGGCTGCACAAGCGCAGAGAGAGAAGGAGGATGAGCGGAGAGCCCAGGACATTGAAATGAAAGATATAGATGCTCAACGACAGCATCGGAATTACCTTCCAGGACTTCCACTCCCTCCAAAGCTGGGAAAACTGAGACCTAGTATTGGCGGGAAACGACAATCTTGGGCTGACCGCGAAGCAAATCGACGATCAAGATTCTTCGAAAGTGACTCTAACCGATCATTACCGACAATGGACCGCCTGCGAGAACATGTTGTCCAGGATGCAGAGGCTCAGGGTCCTTCTCCCCGAACCGTTGGGCACGCACTATTTGCAGGAATCCATGATCAACTGGAAGATTTGACACCAGATGAGCGTGACCAACTTGTACAGCGGGCGTTCCAGCATGAAGCCATACGCGCCAAGCGACCTGTCATCTGGATCCCTCGTGACGACCTCGGTGTCAGCGACGACGAAGTCTATCGGACGCAACGGTTCAGTAAGCACATCTGGGTCAGTAACGAGTATCAGGCACTGGATGGCAAGTGTCGCACCATCTTTAGTCGCAGTCCGCCAGACTTCTCCGAAGTTGACCTCATCCAACTGTAGATGAGACATTTTTGATCCTACTCTTTCTATGCTCTATCCATCCTGGTGTCTATCCGGCGCATAATCCCTAACGCCACACTCACTCTCTTTTATTTTAGAAAGCAGTCTGCACTTATGACCTAGCATGACCTGAGATTTCATACTTGGCAATACCCCCGGGTGTATATCACACTCTTGACTCGTTTCTTTGCGTGTTTTTCGGCTGTTTTATATTTTTAGCGTACAGAATCTGATATATGTAAATCCTGTTCATTATATTCATCTATAGTCTCCATACATCTAGCGAACTAGGTCAAAAGGAAGAAAAAAAAGAAGGATCACTGGGTATGCACAACCAACACTACCTTAGTCCATATATTTGCAAAGGGGTAGACGGTAGCTGTCGACGACCCAGTACGGTCTGCGGACGCCATTCCATTCGCCGACCAACTTGGGGACCTTGATCTCCTCCCATTCGACGTCGAAACCGGCCTCGAAGATCTCCATCTCAGCAACCTTCTGGTAGACGTCGTAGCTGATCTGTCTGTCGGCTCCCATTCCGTTGAAGAACCCCCACTTGCCCTCCTGCTCGAGGAGGCCGATGACCTCCTCGCTGAAGAACTGGCGGAAATCCGCATACGACTCGGCAAAGGTGTCGTAGTATATGGCGTCGAAGGTGTGGCCCTCGACGACCAGAGCGGGCAGGATATCCTGCCACTTACCCTCGTGGATGGTAACGCCGGGCTTCTCGTGCCAGCCGCGCCGCTTCATCTCCGCGACCACCTCCGGGTGGGCCTCGACAATATGGTGCGCGGCGGGGGCCTGCTCCTGGAAAAACCCATCCACGATCCCCATACCGTGGCCGATATTCAGGACGCGCAGGCCGGGAGTCGGAAGAAGCTTCTTGGCGGATTTCGCCATGATCTCGGTCTCCCAGGCCATCATGACGCCGTTTTGGTCTTGGTCGAGAAGCCGGTCGTTCTGGAAGGTCAGGTTGGATTCTAAGTACCGATTATTCGTGACGTCTGGGCCTTCGACAAGCTCGGGAGCTTCATCTCCTTCCTCTTGTGCTGCGGTCTCGTCCTCTTCATTCTCCTCCTCACCCTCTTCTTCTTCTTCATCATCAGAGAGAGCCTCGTACTCGTCTAACCGGTTCAGTAGCATCTCAGCCCTCACACCGGCATCCACAAAAATCTCATATAGTTCTATCACTCCTATCCGTCTGGCCAGACAGCCGGGAGTCTCATTATTGTTGTCTAGGTCATTCCAAATAGCCCCCTCCAGAAGGAGGAACCTGACCGTCTCCACACCCGACTGGACGAGCTGTGCGTGCTCACTGCCCTGGCCACCATTGACCTCTGCGCCATTCGGAGCGGAGTCGTCCTTCTCTTCTTCATCTGGTTCGCAGGCTGCAACCGCCGCGTGCAACGGGGTATATCCTGTCTCCGGGTCCTTCACGTTGATGGGGTCGGCCACTTTCTCATTCGACCGGATCAGTGGACGGAGTTTGGCAATGTCGTGCTGGGACGCGGCAAGGAGGATTTCTTGGACGTCAAGGTCGACGTCGATTTCGATACTGGGCTCTGCCATTTTCTGGTAAAATTGAAACGCTCGGTCAGTTAAGATCCTCCATAGTATTCATTGGGAGCTAGGATTGTGAAGGTTCTGCCCCTCCCACCGAGCGATTTGGGCGCATGGGTCTTGAAGCCCTACCTTTTGTTTTGACCGATGGCCCAGACTCACACGGAAATGTACCTTCAAGAGTAGGATAAGTACTGCTGAGACTGGATTCACGGGATTGTAAAGGATCTGTGGAAGTGAAAAATTTCGCGATACCCAAACCCCCCCCCCCCCCCCCCGGAAGCAGTGGAGCCCCGCCTGTCGTTATCGATTATCAAAGGTTTGGAGATGCGATTCAAGGAGCACTTTCATTGACAATTAGACTGGCATAGCATTGAATTCTTTCGTATTTCAAGGCAGCACTCGATATTTTGGGTTGCTACGTTGTTCTTCCACTTTTTAAGACCGAGAAGAGTTGAGAGGGAAGAGAGAATTAATCAAGTTCTGGCGCTCCTGAAGTAACTATTTATACATGTATCCATAGTTCACACAACCTTTTGAGAGCGACGTGATCACATCGATGAAGAGAAATTTCGCCGGTTGGAAAACCCATTACAACAACAAAGCTCAAGTACCTTCGGCTGAACAGAGACAGGCAGAGATCCGATTGATTTAGTCGTCAGAATGCGCGTTGACGTTCAAGCCCAGGCCCTGGGTATCCAGGTACAACTTGTTCCTGCCGCCAGACTCCTGGAGAATAGTGGCAATCTGTCTGGCGTTCTCGATCTTTCGCAGCTCAACGTAACTCTTGCTCTTTTTGATCGCCTCGCCAATCAGTTCGGCGGAGCGGGCCTCACCCTGGGCGCGGACAATCGTGGCCTGCTTCTCTTGGCGAGCCTTGTCAACGAGGAAAGCAGCTTGCTGAGCCTCCTGCTGGGCGACCTGCTTGGCTTCGACAGCGGCAGTGAATTCGGGGGAGAAGGTCAGGTGCTAGAAGATAAACGAAAATGATTAGTGATGATGTCATGCCAGGAGATTCGGATCAAAGAAGAAGAGAAAAAAAACTCATACCGTCAGAGACACATCATCGAGAGTGATATTGAAACGAGCGGCACGGCGCGCCAAGTTATCCCGGACCAGCCTGGCGACGTTCTCACGCTGCGTGATGAGCTGACTGGCGTTGAACTGTGCGACGACGCTCTTCAGGACCTCGTTCACGATCGATGGAAGAACACGCTCATCGAAGTCCGAGCCGAGAGTGCGGTAGATCTGGGGGAGAGCATCGACTCGAGGTCTCGAAAGCACACGGCAAGTGATGTTGACCATCTGAAGGTCCTTGGTGCCGGTAAGCGAAGGAATGTTCCGGGGCTTCGCGCGGACATCGTAAATGATAGGAGTCTCCAGCCAGGGGAGCATAAAATGCGTTCCTAACAAAGAAGAATTAGAAATAAGTCAAAATCCGGTAGAACAAGGCGCCATTTGGCCTTCTTGCGTCAGCCTTGTAACTCCAACCTACCTTCGCTGTAGATCTCCTTCTTCACACCACTTAATCTGGAATACTTGATCGCGCGGTGACCACCGTCAACTGCAAGAATCGTCATTAGCCGGGAGCTGCATCCAGACAGATGGATCTCATTAGAAATCATCCTCTTACCGTTGAAAAGCGATTCGGAAATCGCCCATCCTCCCAGACCGAGCAGCAGGAAAGCTCCTCCCACGCCCAGACTGCCCCGGCCACCGGGGGGAAAACCCCCAAAACCGCCTCGAGCGCCCCGGTTTCTCAGGATGACCTGCAGTCTCTCCCAGTGATCTCCCTGGTTTCGCGACATGGTGCTGTGGTGCGTATCAGTTGTGTTGCGTCAGCGAAAGGGCTGGAATTGCTCGGAGGAGGTCAAAACTGTCTCCGGGCCGCCCTAGTGCCGAATCGGGACAGAAACACCGCCGCAACGGAAGAGCTTCACCTCATGGGCACGAGAGCAACAAAGTCGTCTGTTCTTGCTTCAATTATAACAGCTGAATACTAGAGGTACTCGGCACTTTTCTTGTGACCGGAGCTTGCTTTTTACTCTCGCGCGACAGCTGTTTCGTTTGATTCTGGCAGGCTACTGTTCCTGGCAAGATGGCGCCTTCAGATCGGCAGGGAAAGAGCGTTTTCCTGGGGAATATTCCGTACAGTATGGCTGAAAGACTTTTTCTTTTCTTCTTCTTTACTCTTTCTGAGCTGGGCTACAGGCTAACACCATCGAGACCTTACTGAGGAGCAGGTCAAGGACATTCTCAGTTCTGCCGGTACGGTCACGAAATTCCGCCTGATGATCAACCCCGAGACAGGAAAACCGAAAGGATATGGGTTTGCCGATTTTGCCGATGCAGACGCTGCTGCCTCCGCCGTGCGCAATCTGAACGACTACGAGATCATGGGGCGGAAAATCCGCGTGGATTGGCCTCACAACAACGAGAAGGACTCGGTGCCGCTGGACTACTCGCAGCAACCGCAGGTGGCCATGACCGGCCAGGATAGTGGGATACCAACCCAGCAGTCGAGCTCTTCTCTGCCCCCCCTGCCGCCTGGGGTTGAACTGCCACCACACCTCGACTGTCCGAACGCCATCTCGCAGACGCTCTCGAGCCTGCCCCCGAACCAGCTGCTGGATGTGCTGGCGCAGATGAAACAGTTGGCCGTGGCAGACCCTGCGCGGGCGACGGAGCTGCTGCGCCAGGCCCCGCAGCTCGCATATGCCATCTTCCAGGCCCTGCTCCTCATGAATCTCGTCGACTATAGCACTCTTGGATCGGTGGTGGAGCAAGCGTCGCAGCCAGCGCCCCCCCCGGCGGCCCAGGCATACCAGCCGTACCAAGGAGGAGCACCCGCTCAAATATCGACCCCGCCGGTGGCGAGCACGCCATTTGCGCCCCCTCCTGCCGTCCAAGCGCCGCCGCCTCAGCAAGTACCTGGCCAAGAGGAACTGCTGCAGCAGGTCCTCAGCATGCCTCAAGCAGCCATCGATGCCCTGCCTCCAGTAGAACGCGGCCAGATCATGCTTCTCAGACAGCAGCTTATGCAGGGAGGCATGAGGTAGTAAAAGTTGCAGGGAAAAAAAGGCCGCTTTTTGATAATTTCATTCCCATGGGTTTGTGGTGGTGCAGATGTTTCAATCTCAGGGTGGTATGGCGCACGAGGAACTTTACATAGCTACTACTTATTGTGTTTCGAGGGCCGCTCATTTCATGTACTTACGGAGCAGTCTTCATGCAGTTTAATGAACTTGACTTGATACTTTTGGTCCTTATTGCAACAGAAGACGATCACCAATATAGTTATATGAACACGCAATGTTATACTGGACTCGGCTCCCAATTCTTCTATCTGAAGTGACTCCCATACATACTGTTAGCTGAAACCGTCAAATAGTCATTTAGCACTGTAGCAGGTCAACTCTTCGTCCTCGGTGCGAGATAGCACCAGCCAAACTGCTCGCTGGTGAAAGAGCAGTCGAGTATAGAGAATATATAATGTACTTTTTCCCCTTTTTCTAGAGCATTCAACTCAATGAAAAGACTCATGATCTAAGGGCTTTATTATGAAAGAAATTTCTGTGTAGTGAGAGCAGTGAGATGGTGATGCCTCCTATCAAAACATCTTAGTTCTGTCGATGTCCTAGGACAGCACACCCATTTAGGAACCAAAACAAATTCTTTTCATCTTAGAAAAGAAAATTTTTATTTTATTTCTGGTGGAAGATAATTTTCACCTCCTCCTTCTTTCCTCTCTCTTATTCCACGTGACTGTACTGTACCCTATCTTCATGACTCCTCTCTCTTGACATTGGCAATAGCTCTAACCCCATAAACACGTGTTTTACACGTCTCCCATTGTCTCAAGACAAAATGCCGTCTCGAAAGAGGAAGAACCAGCCCTCGGCGTCGCCTCTACCAGCAGCAAAACGTCGTGGTACAGGACGCCTATCCCCTCAGTCCGATGAGAAAGCCGACGAGGGCACGTCAAGTGCTTCTCCCATTCCCACCTTTCAAGGTAAGCTCGGAAGAAAGCTTTACTTCTTCTCGTTCTCACTCGTCTAGTTACCCCATGGACAGATCGAAACATCCCAGAGATTGTTCGGTCGTTTCCCCCTTCCACAAAGAGACAGGCAAAGACTCAACTGGCGTACCACTTGCCACCCATACATAAGCTGGAAGACATCTTCAAGAGTATCACCCGCCAGGCAGTGGATCTGGGGTTCGGAAAAGTCTTGCATCATCTGGAGTCAAGACGTCTGCGTGTTGTGACTGTGTGCTCTGGCACAGAAAGTCCATTACTTGCTCTAGAGATGGTCCGAGATCGTAAGTGTCCGATGATCAGGTTGAAAAGAGCGTTGAAGATCTGTACTCACCTATCTCCAACTCGGAAAATAGATCTCAAGGCTTCTTTTGGACTCTCTTTTGAGTTTCACCATCTCTTCAGCGCCGAAATCGAACCATTCAAACAAGCGTACATCGAAAGAAATTTCCATCCCAAGTATATCTTTCGCGATGTGACGGATCTGAATAACAGAGTAGCGTAAGCTCATCCTTGATTTATCCTCGAGACTTGGCGGCGATAGAGATACTCATTTGTCTGCAGGTATACCGCATATGGCTCTCTTGCGAAGATCCCTAAGCAGCCTGATATCTTGATCGCTGGATTTTCTTGCGTTGACTTTTCCAATCTGAATAATAAGAGGAAGAAAGAGCTTGATGAGAGCGGGCAGTCCGGAAACACCTTTCTGGGGGTGTACCGCTATGTGCAGACCTACCGGCCTCCACTGGTCGTCTTGGAGAACGTCAAAGGCGCACCGTGGGCAAGTATCGCCGAGCACTTTGGCCGAATCGACTATCTGGCTATCCACGCGGACGTTGACACGAAGGCCTTCTACCTGCCCCAGACCCGCGAGAGAGGATACATGTTCTGTGTGGACACAAAGCGCCTGAAGGAACATGGAATCCCAGAGTCCGAGATGACAGGATGGTCCAAGATCCTCGAGTCTTTCAAAAGGCCCGCCAGCTCGCCCGTGGGCATGTTCATTCTCGATAACGATGACCAGAGACTTGAGCAGATCGAAAACGAAATGGCCGGCCGCGCTCTGTTCTCCACCCGGAAGGCTGCAAATTGGACCAAATACCAACTTCGTCATCAGAGTTATCGTGCGCAGGAGGCGCTTGGCTACAGACGTCCCATGAGCCGGTGGCAGGACAATGGCACCTGTCTGTTGCCCGACTTTGCTTGGAAATCATGGGCCCAGACCATGCCGGAACGCGTGTGGGATACCTTGGATGTGAACTTTTTACGCAAGCTCCAATCCGGATATGATATGAACTTCAAAGAGTAAGTTTTCCGTTATGGGCCTTGTAGAGAACATTGACTGACAGAATATTTCCAACAGACGTCACATTGAACTGTCACAGGGCCTGGATCGGGAAATGGACACCCGGGCCTCTGGTATTGTAGGTTGTATTACCCCTACGGGAATCCCCTACATAACCACAAGAGGGGGACCGCTCTGCGGACTTGAAGCGCTCTCCCTGCAGGGCCTTCCGCTCGACAGATTGCTTCTTTCAAAGGAAAGCCAGCGCGAACTACAAGATCTAGCTGGGAACGCGATGAGCTCGACTGTTGTCGGGTCCGCAACGCTGGCAGCTCTCATCATTGGACATAGGATCTTGGAAAAAGGAAAGCCGCAGTTGGGAATGAAGAATAGTCGCGCCTCGAAGCAGTTGGCGCTTCTGCAGAACCATTTCGAGATGACTGATTTCCCCCTGCAACCTGACAAGGTGGACCACTTTGGCCTCGAGACACTCCAAGCAGAGGCCGCCAAAAGCGCAAGGCGCTGCACCTGCGAGCGCCAGTCGACCATTCGCCATGGAGCCATCGTCCAGTGCAGACTATGTGGCCACACTGCCTGCGTGAGCTGCTGCGGTAACCCAACCCACTCGTTTGAACGTCTGCCCTTATTACCGCGGAGTGAGCCGTTGACTTTTGTCAAGAGCTTGAAAGAGATGCTGCCTATGCGTCTCGTGCTGTTGGATATCTTTCCCAGTGATTTTGCGCTGTTTCAGAGGTATACAACTTCTCACATCAGTTCTGGCAGTTGGACCAAATTCTTGGAGGCCATTTCTAGAGCAGTCGGTGACGAGCTCCGGTTTTCACACGTCAAAAGAAGCGAGTCTTGGATAGCAGTATACAAAGGAAGGTTCTCTGTTCTCCAGTTTGTGATCAGCACCGAACGAGCAGAATGGCTCTTTTTCGCAACGCCTTCCGAATCCGAACCCGCCGCCTCTCTGATGCGTGAGATATTGTCCAAACCTATCGCAAGAATGTCGCCCACAGGCTCATTACTCCACGGTCACTGGGAAATATGTGGTCCGATCAGCTTCAAAACAGGCGTGGCGATAACCGGGTGTGGGACTCAAGTGGCCTCGGTCGAATCCAAATGTGGTCTTCAGAAAGAACACCATGCAGAATCCAAGGTTTGGAGTCATCTGAGTATTGAAGGTGTCGACCAGCAGCTGGACGAGCTTGAGGTCGATATCCGAGGCACGTATGAGCTGCTCCCGGACTGTGGTACAGCCCAGTCCTGTTTGCATAAGAGAGTGGCGGCCATTGAAGAAACAAAGACAGCAGCAGCAGCAGCAGCAGCAGCAACATCCTCATCGCCATCACCTGATATTTATTTCTTTTTGGACCCAACCAAGCTTGGTGAACCTGGAAATGATTCCTTTGTGTTTTCCCTTGACCACGAACGCATTTCTGGATACGAATCTAGACCAGTCATTGCCGAACTGTCTCACGAATGGCGCTCTTCAAGCTTGACGGATGGTCAGACACGAAAGATCAATGTGTATTATCGCAAATGGGTCAAGTGTCCGCAGGCTGTCCTGAAACCAGACGACCTCTGCTCTCAACTACGTTGCTGTAGTCTCAAACCACAAAAACCAATCATCGTCGGCGATATGCCTTGCCGTGACTCTAACATCACACTCCTCTCATTTTCTGCTCCTGCTGCGATGTTTCAGCACTTATGGGAAGAAGGGAATTGGCAAGTCACTAATCTTTTGGACTCTTTGACCTTGCTGCGCGATCTTTCTTGGTTGGTACAGAAGGCGGCAGCATTGCCTGGATTCCAAGATTGGCAACAAGTCACTCTCTCGACTGAGATTGGAAGTTCTGATACCTGCACGATATGTGTACCTCAAACGCCCCGAATCTGGTGGGTGAGAGACAAGAAGAACCGTCTGAAGGCACATGAAGATCCTCGTGATGCGGCCGTTTATGAGCGACAGATGAAATCAAGACCTCCTGCCTTCTTGGTATTCCGTCGTGTTGGAGAAGATGGAATTGGAATGTTGAACATGACACTCAATGTGCAGACACTGCTGCATCAGGCTTACGGCCATCTGGTCAAACCGACTGACCATAGCAGCGCTTGTTTTTTCTGGCGGCTCGTTACCAATGCTCCAGACCTGAGAAATTTCGTTTTCCCTCCATTGGAACTTTCCAACAATCAGAAGAATGGCACATCGAACCAGCCTCAAGGCTTCAAGAAACATCGGTTGCGCCCAGAACAGCTGCGTTCATTGGAGTGGATGATCAAGCAAGAAATAGAGGACATCGCGCCGTTTCAAGAGGAAGAGACAGAAGAAGCGCTTTTCCCTCTCATGCTGTGGCGTGCTGAAGCAAAAGTCATTACACAGAAAATTGTTCGCGGAGGCGTACTTGCCGACGACGTTGGATACGGAAAGACGGCTTTGATCCTAGCATTGATTGACTCCCAAGACAAGAAGAATGGGATAATATCTTCACAGCGGCCAATGGACGACGGCCTTATTCCGACAAAAGCCACTCTAATTGTGGTTCCTCCGACGATTATCGAGCAATGGAACTCGGAAATCATAAAGTTCTTGGGTACCAAATACAAGGTTCTGGTTCTGAAAACCGTGCACAAGGTTGGCCAGACTCGAATTCATGATATCCTTGAGGCAGATATTATCTTGGCCAGCTGGCAGTTGTTCACCAGCAGTACCTATTATGAGAAGATGGAGCTGTTCACCGGAGTGCCGAATGCCCCGAGGAAGGAAGGCCGCAACTTCGACCATTGGTTTAATGATTCTCTCAGATCCCTGAGAACCCGAGTCAGGACACTGGTCAGCGGCGGCCCCGATACCCTGATCCAGTCCATCAACCTGAAAGCCCAACCGGCTGAAGAGGGTCAAACATATGATGACCAGTATCGGAAGGACAGGGAAGAGGAAGCATCAGCTGAAGCGATGGACATTGATGAAAATTCAGACTCTGACTCTAGCGACGAAGATGACGACCAGAGGATCAGGGCCAGTGTCGATCGGTATCTCTTGATTCGTCGAGCTGGGACAGCCTCGCGAGTAAAAGATAATGCTGGCCCCAGGGGTGGCATCGGGTTCACCAATGAGAAGAAATCTGAAGACTATAACGAAACACAGTCTGAGAAGAGATTGATCGAGCTGTTTTCTAGCCAGTTCGGTATCGAGGATGGGAGCGGCCTCCCTTGGAGTGCCGTCAAGACGCCGCTCTTCCATATGTTCTCCTACAGCCGTGTGGTTCTCGATGAATTCACCTATGTCGATTCACAGCAGCTCCTCCCAATCTGGTCACTCGAGGCACGGTGTAGATGGGTTCTATCTGGCACGCCACCATTGAACAACTTTGCTGATGTGAAGACCATCGCGCCCTTCCTGGGTGTTCATTTGGGAATCGATAACGACGAAGCTGGTTGTGCGCAGAACAGCCGGACCAGAAGCCTTCATAACGACCGTTCTGGTAAGTAACACTTTGGTTTGTATCTTGATCTTCTGTTCAGCAGGCTCATTGTTTCGATAGATGCGGAGCGATTCCAGTCCTTCCACATCCCTCGAAGCGAGGCATGGCACCGCCATCGACATGAAGTCGCGCAAACCTTCCTCAACCGCTTTGCTCGCAAGGTATGTATGGTTCTTAGTCCAGTGCTTGTAGCAGATAGACTAAAAGGGCCATAGAATGTGGCCGATATTGACGAAATTCCTTGCATCGAGCACTTCGCCCTAGTGCCAACCTCATCGGCGGAGAAGGCCGTCTACCTCGACTTGTATCAGGCGTTAATGGCAAGAAACCTTCAGATCCGACGGGGACACATTGGAATCTTCAGCAACAGCCAATCCAAGCGGCTGGACAGAATCATCTGCAACAGCGAAAGTGCAGAGGAAGTACTGTTGAAACGTTGCTCGTCCTTTGCGTACCAAGAAGGCAAGGATGCCGGTAAACTGGAAGGGTGCAGCTGCGAGTCTATCATCTTTGCACGGACGGCACACCTTGAAGAAATCAAGGAAGACCTGAAAGAAAAGCTCAAGGCTGCAGCATGGCTGTACCGGGAATGCGGGCAGACACACGCACATTTCGATAAATTGTGGCGGAGCGTAAGCAAAAATGACTTTGAAGACGAAGAGGCCACAGCAGAGATCTCCCCACTGTTTGATGACGCGGTTGAGAACACACTCGCAGATGACTGGATGATGTTTCTCCGGGAGCTGGATGAGGAAGGGGAGAAAGTGATGAAGGCCAAGCCGACGAAAAAGGCGACAAGGGGAGGTGAAGACGACAAAGAGGAAGAGGAACCTCAGGTGAGTCTGCCAGTGAGGCCCAAGGACGCGGACGGGCTTTCTCGCATGCTTCGCGAAATGACCACGAACCTTCGCACCCTCGTCGTCGAATGGATCCAGGGAACCCGAACGCTACGCCTCCTCTCCGGAATCCTCAGCCTTCAGACCAGTGTGGTCCTTCCTTACTGCGCCAGCTGCGGAGCACAGCCAATGTCTTTCGAAGAATTGAACATTCTCGGCTCCTGTGGCCACATCCTGTGTGCAGTCTGCACAGAACAGACGACTCAAAACGAAGAGTGTCAGTATCCCGGCTGCCGCGGCTCGGGACGGTACTTCAACGTCTTCAGGGCATCGACGCTGGGCCGGCAAGATACGGATCGAACCCACGTTTATGGCGGCAGCAAGCTGGACGCGCTGGTCGAGCTTCTCCGCGATATGCAGCGGATTCCATCCGACGAACGAGCCATTGTTTTCGTCCAGTTTCCGGCAATCCTGAGTATGGTTTCGACGGCCCTCGAGCTGGCGGGGATCAAGTACACGGCGATCTCGTCGACAGGGTCTAAGAGTAAAGATCCAGCGAAACAGCTGAAAGAATTTCAGACGACAAGCAAAGTGTTGGTTTTGAACGTGGGGACCGAGTCGTCTGCGGGCCTGTAAGTATATCATGCCCTGGAAGGAATGGAATTCTGGAAAGACACAGGAATAAAGAACAGACTGACATCGTGCTAGAAATCTCCAGATCGCCAACCATGTAATCTTCTTTTCCCCCTTGCTCGTCAAAACAGCGTACGACTACGAGTCCGTGATGACCCAGGCCATCGGCCGCGTCCGTCGCTATGGCCAGACTCGTACAGTCCACGTCTGGCACCTGCTGGCGAGCATGACGATCGACGTGAACATCTTGCAGGACCGGCGGGGAAAGCTCCTGGTCAAGCTCGACGGCCAGGTGTGCTTGGTGGATGAAGAGGAGGCGCGAGAACGCAGCTGCGAGACCTTTGCAAGTCCAGAGCTCGTTCTGGATAACTCCCTCTGATGAGAGCATGAAAAGGAGAATGACAAAAGGGAAGCATTAGGGAAAAAAAAGGGAGGGGGAGCAAAAGCAAAAGATGATAAGAGGTCTTTCTGTTAGACTTTTAATATTTTCAACTTTTTTTGTTCTTTTCTGTTTGTATGTGATGAGAGTGAGAGAGGGAAGAGAGGAGAGGAGAGAAAAAGAAAGCAGCTGCTGTTAACAGCCATGCGTCATATTCTGCCACCGCTTCTCATGTTTTGATCTTTGGCATGATTTGATTTTTCTATCTTTCACCTATTGCTTGCTCTTTGACTGTATGGATCAATAGACTTGTACCAGATTGCCTTTCTCCAGGCGGCCTTGAGGTATCTTGGTCAAGTACATGATTGTATGTCTTGTAGGTGGCTGGAAACAGACATGAGATGGTAGGTAAAAAAGGGCAGTGAGCTAATAAATCAATTGGTGTGGGCTTAAGCCCATTTGTTTCCTGGCAAAAGAAACCACTGAGGAACGATGTACTGTACATAATACCTGGCATTGATGGCCTGAGACCGGGTGTTGTCCGACCACCATTCAAGATCGAATCTAACCTCAGACCGCTTTCTCCGTCTTTGTCCTTTGAAAAAAAAAATTTGAAAAAAAATACTTCATTATTATCCTCCCCTGAGGGCATGTCTTGTCGACTTTTATGCGTCCAAGGCACCATCCTTGCGCATCATGGTCTCGGGATCCCAGACGGGGTTTTGCAGGTTTGTCAGGCCGGCACTGTTCTCGCAGCTCTCTCTGCCACTCAGGGGACCCGGAGCGGGTACCTTGGCGCCGGTGGCCAGGGCGGCGTCCTTGAGGGCCGTGAGCAGCGACTTGGTGGATTCAGGGGTCAGGTCCTCGTAGTAGTCGTCGTTGATCTGGACCATGGGGGCGTTGACACAGGCACCCAGACACTCGACCTCGATAAAGGTGAACAGGCCATCCTCGGTGGAGTGACCGGGGGTGATGCCCAGGTGTTCCGTGATGGCTTTGACGATCTTGTCGCTACCGCAGCCTCCAAGCTGGCAGGGTGTCTAAAAATGATAGTGATAAGCCTGTCGTTCATAGCCTCAAATACACAGATGACTTACCGTCGTGCAAACCTGAACAAAGTACTTGCCCACAGGCTCACGGTTGTACATGGTGTAGAAAGTGGCGACCTCGTAAACACGCATGGGCGGCATCTCGAGAATGCGCGCGACCTCGTTCATGACGCTGATGCTGGTGAAGCCGTGTTGACGCTGGCCCAGGTCCAACAGGGGCATGACGGCGCCCTTCTTGTACTGGGGTGGGTAACGCTTGAGGATCTCATCGATGAGCTTGAGGCTCTCCTCGTTGAACTTGAAGGGGATGGACGGGTTGTTCACAGGCGAGTTGCGGTGCTAGAAAGGAGAAACACACTCGTCAACATCAATACCAATTGAGCCAGCCCTTGCCTGCTTACTCTCCAGGGCTTTCGACCAGCAAAACGTGGGCAGTGCCCAACTTACCACCATGAGCGAGTCGCTGCGACGTTGGGGACCAGCCGAGAACTGTCTGCATTGGCGCCGGGCAAGCTGGTGAATGAACTGGCGGCCGACCCGCGGGACTGAAGGGATCAACTTGGAAGCCATTGCGCCGGGAGATCTGGGGCAGCGTCGTTGAGTAAAGGCGCAGGTTGATGCTCGACGTTGGACTTGGCCGAGTCGACGGGAGTTTTGCGGATGAGCGGCAGCCAATCAGAGCGGCACAATTATCAAGACAATTGATTACGTGTAATTACATATTCCCTTATGGTGATTGCTCAATACGCTGTATTACGAATACAACAGACAGTAAGTTCCGCTCTTTCTTTCACTCAATAGAGAATCAATTGTTCTCTTCACCTGCTTATTTCCTACACATCCTCCAGTCTATACACTTCATACGCCACCTCTTCGTACGGGTGAGCCTCCTTCAGTGCCTCAACAGCAGCGAGCATCACCCCCCTCCCTACACAAAGCACCTCGACCTTCATCTCCTCGACGTGTTCCAGCACTCCCACCGCTCCGATGGCCGGGTTCGCCTCTCCTGTTGGCAAGAACTGACCCCTCCCGGGGGTCTGGAAACATGTCTTGCTGTATTTGCCGCCAGGGAAGGTTCCTGCGCCCGTCGCGAAGATTGCTTCTTTGCATTTCTCTAGGTCTGGGTGCGGGACGAAGAAGATCAGCTTGTACCGGTCTGACAGGGACATGGCGGGGGTAGTCAACGTTCGAATCGTTGTTGATGGGTTTGGGGTTTGGATATACTGGCGATATGCCCTGGCGATAGGTCTTGAATAGGTGAGTCTTCCTGCGTAGGTGCGGAGTAAGCTGGAGGCATTCATCGTTGGAGAGAGCAAGTACGTCAAACAGTGATAGTGATATCTTCAGCCTTGGCATGATTATTAGTCATAAAGGGATTTGTACAGTCCTGCAGGGATTAAAATAAGTATTGGGTATTGACTCTATGACTTTAAACGCTGAGACACGGCGAATATACCAAACACAACACTGGGTATCTCCAAATCTATCCATCTATCATCGTAACCACACAATATATATAACACGACATCGTAGACAATCGACAGGGATCAAGACTAATTGGCGAGAGTACCGTGCTGGCGAATATGCTCGTCGATCCGCTGAAGGAGCTCCGTCTTGCGCGCCTCCTCGATCCAACTGCCCCGGACGCTGTTCTCGGCGATGAGCCTCCACTCGGCGACCGACAGGTTGAAAGCCTCCTGCACAGCGCAGTAGTTGTCGAGAATATAGCCGCCAAAGTACGCCGGGTCATCCGAGTTGAGTGAGAAGGGCACGCCGGCGTCGAGAAACGTGCGGATGGGCAGCTCCGACACGGCGGTGACGCAGCGCAGCTGGACATTCGAGATCGGACACACGGTGAGCATGACGCCCTCGCGCGCAACGCGGGCCATCAGCTCGACATCCTCCGCCAGCCGGATCCCGTGGTCGATGCGCTGCGCCCCCATCTCCAGCGCGGTATGGATGTAGCTCGGGTCCCCCTCCTCGCCTGCGTGCGCGGTGATCTGGATACCACGCTCCTTGGCCGCGCCAAACAGCGGCCGGAACAGATCCTTCGGCGGGCCAACCTCCGTCGACGACGATCCCAGCCCGTGAACCACTCGATCCTCAAAGTGGCCGTGCGCCAGGGCGGCCTCGTACACCTCCGCAGCCGAGTCGAGCGGCAGATGTCGCACAAAACACAGGATCAGACGTGTTGTGAGGCCCAGCTCGGTCTCGGCGCGCCGGCAGCCCGCCACGAAACCCTCGACCACCGTTGCGTAGGGGATCCCCCGTCCGATATGCACCTGCGGGTCGAAGAAGACCTCGGCGTGGTGCACGCCGTCGGCGTGTGCCTTGACGAAATACGCCCACGCAAGCTCCGCAAAGTCGTCGGCCGTCAGCAGCACCGCCATCCCTTCAAAGTAGAAGCTCAGGAAGTCGTCCAGCGAGGTGAACCGCCGGTACCGCTCCAGCAACGTCGACGCAGACGCATATGCCGGGTTGACCCCCGGGTCGGGCAGCTGCACGCCGTTCTTCGCGGCCAGCTCGAAGATCAGCTCGGGGGTCAGACAGCCCTCGAGATGGACGTGGTGCTCGCATTTGGGCAGTCCGTGGAGGAAGTGGTGCAGGGGGTCTTTGCACATTTTGATTTCTTCAGCGCCTTGTATTTAGTGTATATCCTGGACAACACTGGGAGAGTAGAGTAAGTTCTCACTTGGAAATAATTATTTAGATGAGAGATTAAAGTTCTGTTCCTGACTTTATAGCAACTCTTCAACTGTTGGTAATGGAAATGACAATCCTGGACTTTTTATGGAACCGGTTCAACCAGACAAGCTTATCGTTCTTTGTGTGGATCTCGGCGGTCTCCGATGGGTTTTATATGAGAGAGAAAGAAGATTAAGATCAAGAAGGTTTAGTAAACTAGGAGGGTATATATTATTTAGAGTCAATTAATAGATGTTGTGGTATAATGGTGTTGGTAGTGTGTAGTGTGATGTGAGGACTAATAATATACCAAGATATATTTAATTATCTAGCGCGACTCTATAACGCCTTGATTGCTGTGCCAGCAGCCTTTCGCAGCCGATTGATCACCGCGGCAGCCAACTCGCCGTCCTGCGCAGACACGCCCTCGACGTAGATGACATCGACGTCCTCGGCGTCCATGCCGCGAAGAGCAGAGAACAGATTGCGCGCGATGGTGTCCATCTCCGTGCCCAACGGACAGTCGTATATCACTTTCGTGGTGTTGGTTGGGTGGCACAACTCGTGCACAGAGAGTGCGAAACGGACCATACCATCGACGGCCGCGGAAGTGACGGGCGTGAGAGGCTGCGGCCCATCAGATGTGTTCTGCAGTCCCAGTCCCTGCGGCCAATGGCTCGTCCGGATGATTCCAATCTTATGCTCTCCCACGGCGGTATCCTGTAGGTCTCGTCGAATACGGCGCGCGACGGCACTGGGTGCCGAGTCCGGCTCGAACAGCACGACCCGCGCCTTGGGCGAGTAGTGTCGGTATTTCATCCCGGGCGCGCGGGGGACCTCCTTGACGTCGAGCGAGCCATCGCGGTACCCGGCCTGAACATTCTCCCACCCGGGGCAGAGCCGGATCTCCTCGATGCCGATGCCACCAGGCCGCAGGACGGCGGGAGGGTCAGACAGCCCGTCGACGACGGTGCTCTCCACGCCGACACCACACGGCCCCCCATCGAGAATGAGCTCGATACGCCCCTTTAGATCGTGGAGGACGTGTTGCGCCGTCGTCGGCGACGGCTTCGTCGATGCATTGGCCGAGGGGGCCGCCAGCGGCCGGTCCGCCGCGTGGATCAGCAGCCGCGCGAGCGGCGACGCCGGCATCCGCACCCCAAACGTCGTCAGGCTGGACGTCACCTCCGGCGCCAGCATCGACCCCGTCGGGTTCGGCAGGAGGATCGTCAGCGGACCAGGCCAGAACCGCGCAATCAGAGGCTCGTAGATCGCAGGGATCGCGTTTCGGGAGAGCCTGGTTCGACACGAACCCGAGTCGCCATTATTACCCACCAGATCTCGCTGGTGTGGTGTTCCCGGGTTCAGCAACCGATCCAGCATATCCAGCGAGTCCACATGCACGATCAACGGGTTATCCGACGGCCGCTGCTTCGCCCGGTAGATCCCCTGCACGGCCGCGCTGCGTGTGGCATCCGCCCCGAGTCCATACACCGTCTCCGTCGGGAACGCAACGGGGATATCGCTCTCGCGGAGCAGCCGTGCTGCCGTTTCAAGGGCCTTCGCCTCGTCTGTCTCCTTCTTGCGTTCACTGGCCCACCACTCGGCCAGAGACTGTGTACCCGGGCCCTCGCTGAGCCGCTGCACGGAGAGAATACGCGTCGAGGGTGTAGGAGACGTCATGGTTGTGGCAGTTCGGACGACGCAGCGCTGGCGGCAGCCAGCAAGGCGTCGAGCAGTAGAAACCAGCAGTCTGTCGACCGGATTGCCCTGACTTGGTCGAGGGGTGGGTTGCTCAGCAGGACTGCGTCTACTACCAAGGCGGATGAGTCACGGCGAAAAGAAAAACGAGGTAGAATGCAGGATCTTCAGTCTGATGCTAGCAAACCTTTCACTAATCGCAGAACAGGAATATCAAGCCCGTGGCTCGCACCAAACAAGGCAATTCGTCGTCACGTCGTGGCTTCTTGAGGGGCACAAAAAGAAAATCTTCAGAAATTCGGATGACGTCGAGACCGGCTGACTAAGCAGGCATCAATAGCATACTATGAGGATGAAACCATTCATCAAGCTCTTGATCAATATAGGAAAACTGTTTATAAATGTGTACTTGGGCTTGTTCAAGCCTCAGTTGTTGACGTTGCACAACCTGTGTGGAAAGCATTGATATGGATGGTTTTTCAACACATCTAGTTAGTTATATATATACTATTGAAATCTAGATAAGACATCATTTCATCACTTCTTCTTCCCCTTGGCAGCCTTGGGATTGCCCTTCCCCTTGCCCTTGCTGTCGCCACCTGCCCCCCCGGCAATCATGATACGCACCTTGCCCACCGGGACGAGGTTGATACATTCGGCCTCCCGCCAGCCCTTGAGGAGCTCGCCTTCACGCGCGCGGAGGGCCTCGGCGGTTGCCCGGTCAAGACCTGCGTCCTCGGCATGCTCTTTCTTCACTTTCCCCGTGGTGGTCTCGGCGACCCAGCGGCCGATGATCTCTTTGACGGCCTTGCCCTTCTTGACGGCCCCCGGCTGAAGCTTGACCCGGTATTTGGACCGGCCCAGTGCAGCCCAGGGTGCGCACACGGGGATGGCGGCGAGGATCTCATCCTCGGGCCGGGGGGTTCCTATCAGAGCAGGCAGCCAAGCCAGATCGGCCGCTTCGGCTGCAGCTGTCTCTTCGTCGTAGTCGTCCGCCGCCGCGCCGTTCTCGAACAGAGCCTGGCGCTTCTTCTCCGCTTCCGCCGCCCGTTCGTGCTGTGCTCGGCGCCGTTGCTTCTGTGCCTCGCGCTCGCGTTCCTGGTTCGCTTTCGTGGCCACTGCTGCTGCTGCTTTCTCGGCCTTTGCGCTCTTGGCGCCGACCAGGCGGAGCGCTAACTCGCGCTCCTCGTCGTCCTGGTCGGCGTACTTAGTCGAGCCCTTCTTGGCTTTACCCTTCTTGCCGCGTGTGGGAAGAGCATTGTGTTTTGGTGTATCTGCCGGGGGAGGAGGGGCAGCTGGACTGGCTTTGGAGGGTAGTTCGGCAGTGGTCTTGGGAGGGGCCGCCTTTGCTGCTGCCGGGGTTTCAGGGACAGCAGACTCGATAGGCTTTCCCTTTCTCATAAGACGTCGTTCCCGCGCTGAGAGATGTCTTTTACCAGTGGGCTGAGATGATGTCACGCTGTCACCGGCTTCTGTTCCATCTCCCATTCCCTCGTCCTCAGCGACAGCCATCTCCGATTGAGGTTCATCATCGTCGGGTGTGTTGTCTTGTCCTGTTTCCTCCTCTTCTTCATCCTTTTCGTCATGCATATCATCCACTTGCGGCACAGGCGCTGTTTCTGCTTGCGCAGTGGAAGCTTCAGATACGCCTTGTAAAGGGTTCTTCTCGACACCAGCATCGTCGTCCGAGTCGGAACCGGCGCTATCTTCCTTCTCTTCAATTGCTTCAGTAGCATCCAGCTCCTCAGTTTCGGCTTCTTCCTCTGGCTTAGAGTCATCTGTAGCCAACTCTCCAAATCGTTGCGCACCGTGGTGATGCGAGGCACTTTCCTGGCTAATCTGGAACATGACAGCGAATCCAAGTACCAGCTGCGACGGGGCGAGGAAGTTCTTTGCACCCTTGATGGTGAATTCACCGACGGGCATGATACCGCCACCCATTGCCGCCGCCTTTGAGACCTGCTCAGCTTTCACCCACCAGGCGGCCATCAGGGCTTTGGAGTCCCAGGCTGTGGACGTCGAAACACAGAAGTTTCCGGCCTGCGAGAGCGTGCTCGGCGGAATCGGTGCGTCTGGGGTGCCCGGCCTATTCTTCACGATCATGGGCGTGGCCCCTTGAATATCTGCGTGAATGAAGACGTCTCCTTTCTTCAAGTATCGACGGTAGACAATCTCGATTTGCATTGCATCTCGACCACTATTGAATCAGCCTGAAATCCAGAAGAATCAAGAAAAGAAGAGAAGAAAAGGGAAGAAGAAGATGATGATTATGATCGTACCCCAGAACTAGGTAGCCTTCTGAAGAAATGAAGAAGAGGAACTTCTCGAACCAGAATGGTTTTCTTGCCGGTCGAAGCAGCTGCTTCTCTTGCTTGAGGGTGCGCTTCAGATCATCCGTGACCTTCTTCTCGTGGCTTTTGAGTGCCTTGGTCGACGACTGGATGGTTCGTTGCTCCTTGACAGCCGCGGTCTTCTTCTGCTCGTAGTACTGTGTCGCGTTGGCCCAGGGAGAGAGACCGAGGTCGATATCCACGTTGAGTAGCGAGGACTCCTTCTCTGCGCCCCGCTTCCGGTCATCAAACTCCTCATCTGACTCCGAGTCGCTACTGTAGGTCTCATCTTCCTCGTCTTGTTCATCGCTAGCTTCGCCGAGGACAAGGGTGACGGTGTTCTCGTACAGTTTCAGGGGCAACTTGATGATCTGGGCGACGGGGTTGCCTCGTCCCTGCTCCATTTCGACCAGGCGCGCAATCTCCACCCAGTCCATCCCCTGGGCAATGAGACTATTGACGGCATCCATCGCCTCCTGGATGCGGAAGACGTTGGCTTCGATGGCGCCCGCCTTGCGGATGTGCAATTCCTGGACCTCCTTCAGCGCGCCGATGCGCTTCTCGTGCTCCTGGCGCACCGAGGCAAGCTTCTTCTTCGCGTGCTGTTCCCGCTCTGTCAGGCGTGACTCGAGCTTCTGCGTCTCCAGAGAGGAAAAGTACTCGTCGACCGTCGCGTTGAAGCGTTCAAACTCAAGGATCGTCGTTCCCGGGCGGCCTTCAAACTGACGCGGCTTGAACGGGTGAAAATCCTCGTATAACAAACTGGGTTTCTTCGGCTGCTCCGCGGCGCCGTCAGTAGCAGTGGCCGTAGTAGTAGTCTCTTCGTCTTCCGGCGGACGTGCGTCTTCCTTGGCGACAATGTATCCAGGCAGAGCATCCCCCTGATCCAGACGGTGGACTACAGCCTCCGCCTCTTTGAGAACATCCAGGACCCGAGCTAGTAGATCCTGGTCTTGCAGGACCTGTTCTAGCGGTGTCGCCGGATCCATCTCCCGGACCGCAAAGGCATGGTCCAAGAGTAAAGGCGGGTATTCCGGAAACCCGTGCGACAAGGCCTTGCGCAGCACATCCGCGTTCTTCTTCTTGGACTTTTTGGGCGCGGCACCTTCCTGGGCGAACAAGACCCGGGCCTTCTCGAGCGTGTCGACGACCCGCGCGGTCGTGATCTCCGGCACGCCGCTGTAATTCTGCTTGTTGGCCACGTTGTACTTCAACCCGACCTTGACCTCTTCCTGCTCCCCATCCGCGGGCACATGCCGGAACAGAACCAGGATATTGTACTCGCGATCCGTGAGGATGATGTTGCCGCCTGCAAAGAACTCCAGGAACAGATGGTACGTGCCCTCGCTGAAGGAAAAATCGATGATCCGGTCGGTCCCAATCTGCGAAACGGAGGTGATGCGCCGAGTCTTCAGGCAGTCACGGAGCTTCGACACAAAGGGCGTCGGTCTCGCCGCCGTCGTGCGAGCGTAGTCGGTGACATGGCATCGGAAACCGGAGTCGATGATAAGCTGTCTGCGGTGATCGGGTTTGGCGAGTTTGAAAAGGAAGATTCTCTGGGGAAACCAAATCAGCACGCATCAAACATGCAATCCAACCCATTTATCTCAGTTGGAAATACCCACCGAAGAAAGATCGTAGATATTCGAAACTCGCAGATTCGACAGTGCGGCGTTGAGCTCACGCGAGATGACCTGGTGGGGGGTTATCAGCAGCCAACCCAGCGAAAAACAATAAAAAAAAAAGCAACCAACATACCTTGACGTCCAACGAAGAGAACCTCTGCTTCATTTTGACAGGTGGACCACGAGCGCGCGTCTGTTAGGCTGACAGGGTGCAGGGAAAGGAAAGACGTGCTGCAGTTCAGTGACGGAGGCTCAGAATTTGGCGCTGACGTGACGTATGCGGGGCAGACTTGGAGATGAGTAGATTCCAAACTACGAATAGAGCTACAGAATGGATTTTGGGCCTATAATCAGTATGAGACTGGTCAATTGGTTATTGACTTGGTGTCTTTGAGGCCAGAGTAGTTGAACGAGATTAGGAGAATACTCTCATGGGTGGTACTCTCTGGGGATTCTCTAGGGGTTCTCAAGGGTTCTCGGCAGAATTTCCTGTAGAATTTCCTGTAGAATTCTGTAGAATTTCCTGTAGAATTCTCGAGGGAAGGGTGTCTGAGAATCTCCTGTAAAGCATAGAAGTGGAAACCGACGTTATAACGAGATGTGTATACCAAATACGCCAGGGCCAGCCAGAGGCATCAGAGAACAGAAAGAAAGAAAACATAGGAAAGAGAAGAAAAGAACATTCGAAAAAAATGCACCATGTGGACTCCCCGAACATGCAACCGCAGTCTACATCTGCCGCAGACCCTCTGCCAGCCGCCGCTTGCCCAGTTCCCACACGTTGTAGAGCCCCTGTTCCGACAGGTCGATGTTCTTGATATTCGGGACATCCGCCGCGGGGGCCCTGCTGACCCGAGAGGCAACCAGGACCGGGTCCGTCTCGAGGATGATGCCGTCGTCGATGATCTCGTCAATGGCCAAGGAGACAAGGTCGTAGTTTTCGACAATGGTGCGTTTATCCGTTGCGCCCCTTCATTATTAGCAAGAAAGAAACCATTCACTTCTTAGTGTAATTGAGAAACTCACTTGAATAAAATCCCCAGAGCATCCCGCAGCGTCAGAACAACGTTATACAGTAGGACCTCATTCTCGTCGGCACCCCCAACCACGTAGAGCATGACGTCGCTCTCGAGCTTGAACACCACCACCCGGTTGTCGTACAGGATCACATCGCTGGTCTGTTTGTTCGTCTTCTCCAGCAGGCCCTTCTCGAACGCCTTCTGCTCCTTCACCGTCGGGTAAGGGTTGGCTCCGGGGTAGTCGGTCGAGTGCGCAGAGACGCCCGCCGGAGGATGCGGCGCCGAGTAGTACTTGGCGAAGATGCGCGAGCCGTCGTCGGCGGACGTGATCAGCACCGCATTGACGGAGAAGAGGGACAGATTGCCGAACATGTTGGGCAATGTGTT